ATGCAAATGCGGCAATATTCCTGGAGCCAGAACTCAACGACTCACAGCGTCGCTTAGTCGTGCACTTGGATTGAAGGGTCGTGACTGGAAGGATGAACCCGTGCCTGAAGGATCAGAGAAACAAGATGACCCTCCTGCGTATACCGGACGCCATCCATACAGTGGTGGTGCGTTCGCTTTTTTCATTAATAATTCCTTGGCCTGATGTACCTCTCGCCTGCAGCCCCTCTCGCATTGCATGAATGTGCTTATGAGCTTCTCCAAGCAGGTTTTCATCCGTCAAAGAGCAAGATACTCCAGGAAAAGATCGGATATGTTGTGACAACAACCATTAACAGCACGGTAGAGAAGTACCGGATTCCAATCCCAGAGTCGGTTTGTGCATTCGTCGTGCCCGGTATGATTTGTCGAGTGTTTCTTTTCTGTGCTCTGACTAGCGAATAGATCCACTTGGCGTGTTGGAGGAAGGGGAAATTTATTATCGGTTTTCTAAACCTCGTAAAGATCCGAAGACCGAGATGTTGGTGCATGTCCTAGAAGGAGATGTTCTGGTGGGTCGCATTCTCTCCGACAGTTTTATTCAAGTGCGTTATATCTGATTCCTATAGATTGGACGGTATCCCATCCATCTTCCTTCTGATGTCCAGAAGGTTGGCCTTTTCACTAAGCTTTGGTTCAGTAGCTGACTTCCTGTACAGGTGAAAGCTGTAGCCAAACGCGAGCTCGATAAGTGGGTCGATGTCATCGTCGTCTCGACCCAGGGCACTCAGAGTCTCCCGAGTTTTCTCTCCGGCGGAGGTGCGCTTCTTTCTCAAATTTCGTGTGCTGATGCTAACCTTTATTCGTAGATATGGATGGAGGTAAGCAGGAATAACGATTGATAAGTGAACTATCTTATAATATGCTTGTCAGACGAGCCCATCATCTTCTACGGCCCCGATCTTGTCGAATGTTTCCACTCTAAACCGTTGGCTGAAGCACCGCCCGATTTCATGGAGAATAACTTCGACCGCGACGTAGAGTCAGTGGGGAATTTTTGCACTCGTGTCGAAAACGCTTCTCCCCGATCTGCCAGCGAGGCATTCCTGGAGGTCCTAGTTGCTAATCTCAGCGAATCTCAGAAGGGTCTGTACGACATGATGCACGGCAATGCCGTTGTCAAATACGGGTATGGACATCCTGAGACCATCCGGCTGGCCTACATGTACGTGTCCTGCTTTAGATCCAACCCATACATCGTCTCAATATTGAATCCATTAGTTTCTCCACACTTCTGGATGCGAGCAAGACTGGTCGTCGTCTGAAAACGGGTATCTTCAAGAAGGATATGAGCCGGTTTGGCAATCTATCCAGACTCGGGACCTCTTCTTCGGACATTCTGTCAATCCTCAAAGCTGCTGGAGAAAGGAAAGGCGAAGAGCTCAAGCAAAAATTCATGGCTCAATCTGGCGACGGTGATGCATCTCGTGGATCTGGCGGCACTGACAAAGATCTTCTGAAACCGTACGACGTCATTTCCGCCTTTTCTCTTCATAAAGTGGATGGCAAGACCAGTGACTACTGGCATGAACTAAATAGAATTCGCGACCACGTCAAGATTGCTGAGAATACCTGGCTTGATGCGTGCAAAAACAATCAAGAATCGCCCGCGAAAGGTGGAAAACGGAACAAGAAGGCAGAAAAAGAAGAGATGATGCTTGAAGCTAGTCGCCGATATGCAGACCCCATTGATGGGATCAAGCTCATCCCCAACGTCGAACAAGTCAAAGCATCATATGCTTACACCGTCCGGAGAAACTTCGCCTTTAGTGTCGCCTTCAACGAGCTTTGCCACATCAAGGCCCTGGCTTCTCCTGGGGGACAGATACCTACGCTCCGAATGTTTGCGGAGGCGCAAGGATTCAACTCATCTTACATGAGAGCTGCCACACATTTCGAAGAAGAGTAAATTTGATCTGTCTCGTCAACGTCTGCCTTCTCAGCGCTTAGTACTTGAACTTTGTTGACCGTTCGTTTCCTGAACATGGTACCCTCTTTTTTCTTGGCTACGATAGATAGAAGTTTGGTTTGGTTCGCTTCCGAGCTTGGTTTCTCATTTTCATGTTGCATAGGAAAACATTTCGCATCATCTCTTGTATCATTGCCCATTCACATTGTACCATATGTATTTTCCATTCCGCTGTACCATACCATATTCTTCCGAATTTGTTTGTATCTTACGTTGATATTATAGGTCTCATGTATGATGTTTCGACGCATGTAGTCCAAACGCTGTTGAGCGTTTCGCAAAATTATCATTGTTCATACTTTTCGTTCGAACAACCGTTGTGAGTTTGAATAATAATAAGTACTGCCGGCAAGAAAATCGACTGTGGAAGAAAAAATAAATTATGACGCATGAAAACGGGCAACTGAAAGGCGACGTCCTCCGCTCCAAGTTGGAGAGAGCAATGACAAACGAGACCATCGAAGAGACATGCATCATCATTGTGCGATTTCAAGCATTCAGCTCAGGTAAGTGGACAGCTCCAAGCCACGCCAGGATAATCTCCACTCGTGGACCATGCAAAGGAATGTTGATGGGCACAGGCTTCTTCTTACCCCCAGACGATGCTTTCTCCGCAGCCGCCTTCTCCGCGCGTTCGCGCTGGCGTTTGAACACTGGTGCCAGCAGGATCCTCGCACAATCCAGAGCCCCTGCAGCGTCGGCGCGTCTGTGGGACGCAGATGGATCCAGGTGGGTTTCGTCGTCAAGTGCTTGTTGAAGAGAATCGACACGGAAGGCGTGCCCGTTGCACGAGCCGGAAGGCTTGAGGTTGGTACCCTCACCGTTCCTGTCGGTTGATGAGAAATACGAATCACGCTCACAAGTTGAGTCATCGAAAGCGTGGTCGAGGCCGTTTATTTCAGGAATATGACCATTGGAAGTTGAAGTCGAAGGTCCAATACCATTAGACATGCTGCTCTTCCTGGTGGTGGATCGTGACGAAGAGGCAGTACTTCCATGAATCAAGTCATCCAGAGCGTAGTCTGCTTGCAAGGCATGTCCGTTGAGAGATTTGGAAGAGCCCGATGCGCCTACACCATTAGTGATGCCACTTGTCTCGCTCCTCTTGGTAGATGGGGACGAAAAACCCGTAACACGATCTTTCTCCTCGCTCTCATTGTAGGAATCACTTCGCTTGATGGTAGGCGCTGCTGGAGGAACAGGAGGCGGCGGCTCGATGGCCAACCTCGCCTTACCCCGCTGAGCAGACAGCGAATGTGGCTGTACGCCAACCTTCCACCCACCAGCCAGCCGCTCGAGGACCTCGATGAATTCAGCCTGCGACATCGACCTTGGAGGGAGGAAGATGGGATACCCTTCAAGTCCATCGACAACCAGGGCAGTGCGAATGAAGGCGGGGAGGAGATTCGCGAAGTCTGCAAGCATGAGCTGGCATATAAGGACGCTGAACATCGATTCGACCAGTAGGGGATGGTACGTCGTAAACATCGCTGGGGCATCAGTCATAGGTGGTGGCATATTGTTATGATTTCCCGGGCGAATCGACTCAGATAAGAGGAAGGCGTATTCGGTCTGAAAAGCGAGGTCTCCATCGGGCATGGCATTAGGCGATTCCAAGGAGTCGAAATGTGCAAGGAACTTCTCGTGGTCTCGAAGACTCTTCTTGAGTAATTGCGTGATACACTCTCTGAATGGCTTTTTCCCTAGGACTTCCGTGTATGCGGCCAATTTCTTTCCGCCCCGCTCGCCCAGAGGGCCGTCTGGGTTGCCGATCTCGGTTCCTCCGTATTTGCCGTTCTCAATGTAGCACAATCGGAGCTCGGCGCCATCTACAGAGGGAGCCTTGCGAATGCCTTCGATCTTGAGGACGGCACTCTCGATGAGATGGACGGCATGCTGCAAGTACGCTGCGCCGCGAAGAAACAGAAGTTGAGGTTCAATAGGATTAGGAGCATCGTCCAAAACAGAGGGGTGTTTCAGAAGAGGCTCCCCATCCGAACTGTCGAGATTATTCTCCATTGTGCTAGTGCCATCCGGAGGAGCTTGTCCATTCGTGCGATTTGCCGAACTGCCCTTCCGGCGCTTGCTGTTTTTGCTGGTCCGGGATTCGCTTTGGGAGCCGTTATTATGGTGTGCCATATGAGCCTTACGAACCGCCCTCGCCTCCTTGAGTGCATAGGTGAAGTCCTTCGTTGCCTGACTAAACTCGTCGCGGAAACAGTGAACGATGCCACGGGTTCGGTAGTAGTGTAGACGTTGAGGATGAAGGGCGATTAATTCGTCCAATACGCGGGTAGTCGTTGACTCGGCCAATTGCCTTGGGCAGAAATATCAGTCGGGGTTCGTTTGAAATTAAAGGAATTTACCGAGAGGGTATCTTCTCATGGAAGAAATGAACATATTTCGCATCCGTATCGTGTGGGTCTAGAATAATACTTGAGAGTAAATCATGTCGCGGCGAACAGAAGAGCAACTAACCAGTTTTGAGCACCCGCTCAGCTACATCATCAAATACACTTCCTCCTTGCATAACCATGACACTGGAGGCTATTTCATCAGATTTGTATGCTTCAGCCAACTTCTGTACGGCAAGTACGCGTAATCGATGGATACGCGTTGGTGACATCCCAACGTTCCTGCCATTTCCGTTAGGATTGCCTAGAGGATTGAGGCCCAAACTCTGAGCGGCTGCCCATGGACTCCCACTCAGGCCCGAGTTTGACCTCATAGACCCTAGTTCGGCCGCCGAAAGCCCAGATGAAGCACGAACGGAAAGTTCTGCAGCTTCGTCGATAAGTCGGCGTATGTTTTTAACGGATCGGAAGACACCAGGATCAATAGGTGGCGGCGTCGCTTTCCCTGGCTTTGGAGGCGGAAATGGAGGTGGAAGAGGAAGCGAAGAATATGTGGTACGTGGAGATTCCGGTGGAGAAAAGTCACCAGGACCATGGAAGGTCCGGTCGCGTTGTTTGCTCGAGGGTGTGCTCGGAGGTGGAAGTAGAGGCGGAAGGCGAGTGGTCTCCGGGCCAGTCAGGGTAGCAGGATCAAGATTGAGCGTCAATAGTGAGTCGAGAAGTTCCAACGGTAATTGCAACCACGGGCCCTGATAAATGTTGGACTCAATTATTCCAGACAACAGAAAAATAGAATCGTACGTGATAAGAGCTTATGTATCTCCAATGCTTGTTCCTGCTGATGCATAGAACAGGAGGACGGCCTTCCGTGTTGCCCTCTTCATTCCCGTTGGTTTTAGACGCCGCGTCCTTCGACTTGGATGATTTCTTGGATTTCTTCTTCTTCTTTTTCCTCTGCGTGGTGGCAGCTGAGTCCTCGAGGTTTTCCACGACAGCATACATTGGAGAGGCTCTGCCCGACTGCGAAACAGGCGTAGATAGTTCCGAGACAGCGTTTGGAAGGCTGTCGGTATCCGGAGATGACGGCGTATCTGCCACCATGCTCACAGCAGCAACCATAACAATTTGAGGCCTTGCAGGACAACAAGTAATCGAAAATAAAAGGGTCACTGGTGGAAACCGTATGCCGCGACGGTGAATGAAGTCTGTCAAGGAAAGGAAAGACGAATTCAACTTCATCTCCTCCTAGAAATTTTGTAGATATGGACAACCTATTCCCACGGTTCCCCACTGGCCCTGCTACAGACTCCGCTGACGTTAACAAACACGCTCACACGGGAAATGGGCTCTTCTCTCTCAATGTCACCCGTAACTACGGTAGTATGTACTCTACCAAGTCGCATGCCACCTACCATAAGCGCCGTCGCATCAGGCCCAGGCCTCACATACTCAGCAGGGGACAAAGTTGACCAAGCCAATCCTCCAGTGTCCTCAGCGTGGGCTCACCGAATTTGAGTCTTGCATCGAGCTACTCATCGCTCTTCGCGACGCTATTGCTGGTGCGTTTCAACATTCTCGCTCCTTCCCCTATTCCGCTGAGGCCTTCTCCTAGGCCATCAGCATCTGTTACGCGAGGGTATTCTGCACCGAGACGTCAATGTAAACACTATCCTGATAGCAGAAAGCTACACCGATGGAAAAACTGACAGCCGTGGAATCCTGATCGATCTTGACAAGACGAGTTGCGCGTACCTGGAAGGCATGCGGGGGAGTGACTTCAACGCAATATGACCAATAGTCGTCGTCTAACACTCACGCTCTTCTGATACAGGAAACTCGAGCCTTCCAATCCACAAATATTCTAAACAGCAACGAGGACCCAACCTACAGCCGACCCCATAGTCATCTCGACGACCTGGAATCGTTCTTCCACGTTCTGTGCTGGATATGCTTCGCATACATGAGACCACGGCAGAGGGTCTCAGAGACGCCCTACATCCTAGCGGACTGGAATTCCAAATCTGTCGGTCGAGCGTGCCGAGCAAAGAAGGCTTTCTTCGCGGACCCACTTGGCCCTCAGAAGACCGACGCAGTGTCTGATTTCTTTTGTGCTCCATTCCGAAAGCTTCTGCAAAACCTTCATGGCTTCTTCCGACCGTACGCCTTTGCGCCTTTGCAGCCACCGCCTCCTCTCTCTGAGATTCTTTCAACTGCCAACGAAGACTACGAAACGATCCTTGCGATGTTTGAGGAAGCTATTCGGGAGGTCGGTGCTCTCCCCCAACCATAGCTGTGCCGCCAATGGCTCCAAGGCGACGTGCGACACCTCTGCCTCGACCGCCTCAGTCAAGTCCTTCCTGCCGGATTTCTCCACTGAATAACCCCTCTTTGTATTCGTCTAGGAAATGTGGCTCTGGAGAGTTCGCTCATGTTCTGGATCCTGCTGATAGTCCAAAGGCGAAGAAATAGGGATTACAACGGCAAAAATCCGTTCAGTCTTTCTCAGTCAACTACAGTACCATGAAATGGTAATGATGACGGCGAATCATTTTGCTTCTAGAGCACAATATGTCACTTTAGTAGACATTCGCTCAGTGCGTCCATAACTTATGGGCATTGTAGACTGTCTTATTTATGTGACTACTTCTATGAAACCCAGATTATCATAAGCTTCTCGATAACATCAAAAGAACTATACCATTGAACTCTATGCAGCTCCCGTGTCCAACGTTAACATAGCCCAAAAGACCGGAGACCCAATTTACTGAGTAGAGCGGGGCCCGGTTCAGGCGGACCGTTTGCTAACGCGATCACGTGATACACCTTAACGCGATTCGGATCAACCCTGTCAATGGCGCACTTACTTCTGTTTCTCACTACTCGTCCACATCGCAAGCCATACTCGCAGTGATCTTAAAACACAACGGACATAAAAACGGACATATAAAGTAAGTTTCATTGCTTGCCTTCGGGCCATGATCCAGCTCTCTCGATTCTGGATCTGAAGAACCACGGGCGCAGGCTCGCGCGCTCAATCTTGCAGGCTTTATCTATATGGCTTCCTGCAAACAGAAAGGAGAAAAAGTACCCAATATTCCTGTGGTCGGATGGTTATCGGATGGGGAGAGATTCAGCCGCCGTGTCTTCTCGCGCCGTGTGGTCTTCCAGTGGCCTGGCCGTAGGCTCACTGAATTCGAGTCTCGCATGGAAATACTCACTGCTCTTCGTGACGCCATTTGTGGTATGTTTCACTATTTCCCCGTCTGATCCTATTGACTCTTCCTCCTAGACCATCAAACTTGGTTACACAGGGGATTTCTTCACCAGGATGTCTGCGTTGATAATATCCTCATAGACAAGAATCACGACAAGGGCAAGCCAGGCCGCCTTGGAATTCTGATCGGGCTTGATACGGCCATTTGCCTGGCGCAGATGGACGCCCCCCGGCCTAGAGACTCCAGGACTGTATGTGCAATCAATCATAGTTCAACTTGAGTTCAACGTAGGGAACATCATTAATATTTTTGTGATACAGGGAACTCGCGCCTACCAGTCAGCCAATGTTCTAAACAGCTACACAGAGCCATCCGAATGTCGCCCCCACAGTCATCTCGACGATTTGGAATCGTTTTTCTACACTCTTTGCTGGATATGCTTTTCTTACTCTGGCGTCGGGAAGAAGATCCCGGGCACACCTCGTACCCTGTTATATTGGGATGACAAGAACCCTCGCCTTGCCTACGCAGCCAAGAAACTTTTTTTTGCTGATCCAGTCCCCGTTGACAAGGTATCGGAGTTCTTTGGGACCCCCTTCCGAGAACTTCTTCAGAACTCCAGTATTTCTTCCTGCCACACACCTTGAAGCTTCAAACTTCACCTCCCTCTCTCGCTGAGGTCCTTTTGACCGCTGATGAAGATTATCGAAAGGTTCTCAAGATGGTTGATGACGCCATCAAGGAGATATCTGGTGTCGTAGAAGTTCCGACTACGTTGTCGACAACTCCAACAAAATCTGCCCCTTCTCCGGTGGCGGAGGAGGGTCCTTCCTAGTCCGACTTCGACGACTCGTCGTTTTTCTTCGAAAAAGTGCGACTCCAGCTGACTCCAGGCAGCTTATACGTAGCGTGGATCCTCAGCTGTTGCCGCCAATGCGAAGAAGCGGAAAAAGCATCAAAAACCCAAGAATTTGTCTAACCTTTCTCCATCTATCGGACAGTCATGACTTACGCGAGGATGATGACGGCCATGAAGACTTACCTGTTTATTTAGTGTTGAAGCAGGTTGAAGCTCACAACTGCCCCCTGTGCGCATTTTTTATGTACATATATAAATCTTAGATACCTAAAAATCACCTCTATATCCATGTAATAACTCTGGAGCGTTGTAGGTACGAGGGCGACGCCTTGACAGGAATTTTATACGCATTAATAATAAATTATTGATATTGATTAGCAGGTACTTAAATGAGTCTCCGACCTGCAGGTTAACACGATCACGTGAGGCGGCGGGACTTCCGGAGTTATCAGAATCCTTTTCTCTGTATTGTTCATCCACATCGTCGGCCACACCTGCACTGGGCCACAGTTTCAAGTGGCACAGTGGACGTATAAATCGTCGCACAAAGTAAGTTTAGCTGCTTATACTCAAACCACGATGTCTGACGAACCATCCAGTTCTCCCCTGAGTCCCCTCACCTCCCTCGATTCTGAATCTGAAGGACCGCAGCTCACAGAAGATACTCGCACCACCCAAGTCCAACAATCCATCGCCGATACAGTTGTCTCTTCATCTATTACCTCTTCTTTAGTTGAAGATACGCCAATGAAGACCAGCGCCAATGGTGGCGAAAACGGGTTCGCGACGGTCAAGCTCGAAGAAAAGGCGATCAAAGCGGAGCTCGAGGGCGCCATCTTTTTCCTGGATTCGCTCGCAGACAACGTCTTCGTCGGACGGGTCGCTTCAGACAAGAAGATCCAACGTTTCTTGGAGAAATCCAAACACTACGACTGCCAGAGCAAGACATGGGACGTTCCCAACACTGGGAGAGAGCCCGAGCTCTACAAGCCGCATCTCGCTATCATCCACTCTATCCTGAAGTTCTTTGGCTACACAAATCACGACAGGCGATCCTTGTACGACACTCACGCGAAAGGATTGTCCCATGAGGCTGCCGGCAATGGCAAAACATTGAAGTCGTCACCGGACTTCATGGTTAGAGGAAGTGGGAAGAACTACCCAAAAGAACGACCCAAGGAGAACAAGCAAGCAGTATATCCCAATTGCGTTTCACCGATAGAGATCAAGACAGAGAGTAGCGTTTCCTTTATGTCCGACCTTTGTCAAGTCGCGGTTTATGCAAGGTCAGCGTTCTTACGCTCTTTTTATCCTTGAGCGAAGTGTACTGAGCTGACGCCTGCTTACAGGGAGTGCTTCGTCTCACAGAAAAATCGATACTACGTCCTTTGTCCCATCATCACTCAATCTCACTTGCAACTCTTCATATTCCACCGCAGCGGTGTACATCATTCGCGCCGAATCGACATTCACAAGGAGCCTACTCTCTTCGTGCGCATCATCCTTGGGGTTTGTTCGCTTGACGATGCTCTCGTTGGCTTCGATACGAGAGTGTTCTATGACTCGCAAGGCAAGAGATTCATCACCGCTGTCGACGATGACAACAAGCCTATCACCTATGCCTTGGATGAGTTCGAGGCCCTTTTTACTCGCCGGAGTATCAAAGGCCGGGGAACTTGCTGCTGGAGCGCACAGGGTCGAAGGCACCATCTCCTTGTCAAAGACTCATGGCATCATCCTTCACGCACCCCGGAGACCATCTTCTTGGAGGCGCTGGTTGATCTCGACGGTGTCGTCCAGATGGTTGCCTACGAATCGGATGGGACAAAAATATCCGAATTCCCTGTGTTCGATTGGTTGTCGGACGAGGAGAAGGAGCAGAATATCCGCGACCGTGTCTTTTCACGTGTGGTCCTTCGGTGGTCTGGCCGTGGGCTCACTAAATTCGAGTCTCGCATGGAGATACTGACCACTCTTCGCGACGCCATTGCCGGTATGTTCTAGTCTTCTCTCTTTTCTTATTCTGCTCATTATTTCTCCTAGGTCATCAAAAAATGCTAGACAAAGGAATTCTTCACCGAGACGTCAGCATCAACAACGTCGTCATTGGAAAACATCGCGACAAGGGCAAGGTCGGCACCCGTGGGGTCCTGATTGACCTCGACATGGCAGTCTGGACCGCCCGGATGGAAAGCCTCCGTGGTAAAGACTTCAGGACGGTATGTCCGATGACGACTCAATATAGGGATCGTTACTCACCTTTCGTCGATACAGGGAACTCGCGCCTACCAATCAGGCAATGTTCTATACAGCTACTTCGAGCCATCCAAATGTCGGCCTCACAGTCATCTTGACGATCTTGAATCATTCTTCTATGTTTTGTGCTGGATATGCTTTTCTTACTTGGGCGTCAGGAAGAAGCTACCAGGGACCCCTCCTATCCTAGCAGACTGGGATGACGAAGACCCCAGTCGAGCATTGCGAGCCAAGAAGTCTTTCTACTTTGACTTGGTGCCCGTTGCGGTGGTGCCGGATTTTTTTGGAGATCCCTTCCGAAATCTGTTGCAAAACCTCCAGTCCTTCTTCAGGCCGCTCATCCCCGACCTTAAGACCACGCCTCGTCCTCTCGCTGAGATCCTTAAGACCTCTGATGAAGATTACAAGACTATTCTCAAGATGTTTGATGACGCGATCGAGGAGGCGTCTGGTGCCCGAGAAGTTCCAGCCGCACCGCCTGCAACTCCAACGCGGGAACCGGCACCTCCACCCCCACTGCCTCAGGCAAGTCCTTCCAGGGAATCTCGCAACGTGAATAACTCCTCTTCGTCTTCCTCTCGGAAGCGCGGCTCCGGAGAGGTCGATCATGTCGCGGATGCTGCTGATAGCCCCAGGCAGAAGAGGCGAAGGAAGAGTTATAAACCCAAGACCCCTTCCAGCCTTTCACAATCTATTGGACCATCACAAGAGGATGACAACGAAGACGATGAATGATTTTGCGTATACTGTATGAGAGTATATTTTTTTTCTTTTATAGTCACGCTTTGTATGTATACAAACACGGGCATTTTCAATCTCCATGCTTCGTACATACAGATGCACGCTATAATAGCAGCTCCATGCCGAAATATCGACAGTACCATAGAACAATGTAGGTTCAAGAAATGAGAGTTCGCAACTCTATACAACCGTTGCGTCCAGCGCCATACATCGCGATAATCGTGACGCATAAAACCGTAAGTGCATGAAACAGGGTATCAAATCGTCCGAGTAACTCGAAAGTGAAACCCGAAAAAAAAAGGGCAAACCACCCCACAAAGGCGCGTACACCCATCCTAAACCCACTCCCTCAAGCAGAACCCGACGCCTCACCCAACTTCTCATAAAACCCAACACGCTTACTAACGCCCGGACAAACAGCCAACCGCAGCTTCTCGTTATCCGCAAACACCCTCCTCGCCTCTTCCTCGCCCTTGGTGCTCGACAGCCACCCAGCGACGCCAACCTGCCTCGCACTGTCCTTGAATACGCGTGCGAGCGAGTCACGCTGCAGACTCCACTTGAGCTTTCGCACGACAGGGAGGAGCGACCGGGCGATGAAGGGCGAGGAGGACTCGACGTCTGGAAGGACGTGGGACGTGTAGAGCGTCTGTAGGGCGGCGGAGGCTGAGGACCCGGGTATGGTTCGTCGTCGGAGCTGGACGGAGAGGATATGCGACGCGTGCCGACGCGAAAGTGAGCGTCCATTCTCGTACTGCTTGATAGACTGAACACGAAGAAAACGCGAAGATAAACGCATAAGCAAGGTTCAGAAGCTCGAAAGAAGCGCGAAACTCACGTTCAGCGAATAGAAATACGCCCCCATCCTCCACCTGCGCTCTATCCCCAAGCCCCTAATCACGCCTCTTTGTACAAGGTCACCAATCGTCGGCCGGAACGCATGTCCCGCCGGGCTTCTCCCAAACAAATCGTGGTTCACCCGCGACGGAGACACGATCTTCAGCCGGTATTTGTGCAGGACAGGATCGGAGGTGAGGGGCACAAGTGAGGGTACGAGCCCAGCGAGAACGGCCAGGTCCGGGTAGTCGAGGTACGATACTGAACAAAGGAAAGCAGTAAAGATTTGTCAATTCGTGGATGACATTCAAGGAAGAGAAGACGCACAAATGTGAAGCAAGATCTCTGGCGGAAAGTTCAACAGCCCAAGTTCAACATGGTTCAAACCCGGGTCACCAAGATGACTGCCCTTCTCGCCGGCGCCAGCGCTAGCAACGCTCTGTAGCATGATGGTAGTTGTAGTGAAAGGAAAGAAAGTAGGAATGTAAGAACCCCGCGCAGTGGGTGCCTTTGAAGCACTGTAGCCGCAACTGCGGGGTGAGGCTGATAGTCGCGGAGAGGCGCCGCAGCGTGAGCTGCAACGATCCTGCAGACGTCTATTTATGGAAAGTCACGTGGAGTGGGTCCAATTATAGCACGCTCGCGCGACGTAAAGGGCGAAAAGACCAAGACAAGAATGCAAATGCAACAAGGCATGTATTTACTGTATGCGATAGGATGGCGGAGTGAAGCGAGAACAACAACGTACTGTAATGACTGATGTGAATGCGATGTGCGAGCTACGGCAGCGAGAGCGGAATTCTATGAATAGGAAGTGTGAAAAGCTCGACTACAAGGCTCTTCAACCGGAGGATGTAACTAAGGAAGGGAGAAGAAACGCCTCCTTCGATACAAGACCATGAGTCGTGCTAACTAACCAATACGTAGGAAATTGAGGATCAAACATGCAAGGGCTAATAATACAACGGTGAAGGGGAATGTGTATAGTTACAATTGAAAGGTTTGGAAAGAAACGCAAAACCCAAGAGAGGTAAAGAAAGTCAAGACAAATAGTTCTGAGGCTGTTAACCCTCTGTCGAGAAAGGACGCGACTAGAAAAAGAAGCCAGGAGGAAACCGGTAAGCTGGATTCTCAAAAAATATGCGACGGATCCGATGCTGAAGACACGGAAAGGGAATAAAGGACGACGATTCTGTGCAGATAGCTCCAAACCGAAGAAAATCCTAGACGATTAGGTGAGCCGTAATGTCGTGCACTTTCAAATCCTGGACGTTGCTTGCTCCACATCGACACGAATGCCTCCAACAACAGAGTGCGTTGACTGCCGTTCGTCGATGCTAGATGTTGGTGACCTTCGACTGGCAGCTCGGAACCCCATTTCCAATGTCTGGTAAGCGGGGGCAGGACTCTCTCCATATCGGCTACCATCTCGATGGCCTTCTCCTTCTGACAGGGGTTCACCGTCGTCTCCTCCAACCGCCGTGCTGAGAGACCCGAGGTTCATTCCTAGTCCAAGACGGATGTCCTCCATTTCCACAACGTCGTGCTCCAGCTCGATGTCCGTGGGGTTTGGATGTATGCTACCCAGCGTAGTGAGAACGACGTTGGAGCTGATGGTGCTGACTACGCCACGACTGCGTCCATAACGACTTTTATTGCGGTGGCCTGGAGGGGTATACGGCGAGTCTTGCTGGGTCATTGACTTCGTTGTAAATGCAGCTATGCCCGTGCTTTCCGAATGGGATACGGTTTCTGACCCGCGTTCCCGGAGATCGAGAATCTTATAAAATATAGGTCAGAATCAGAATGACGCACAGCATGGAATATATGCGCACCAAACGGCAAGCAAGAACAGGTCCCAGCATAACGCTCAAAGGGATGTTGATGGCGGATATAACCTGGCGCGGCCTGAAGACAAAATCAGCCCAAAAGGTTATCATCGAAACTTGCGCCGTTACAACTCACTGTAGGTAAAACACGCCGTTGATCTGCGAGTTGTCCATTAGGCGATGAAGGTGAATTATAATTATGCACATACCAAGTTCGCGATAGAAATCAAAATATAGTAGAAAACGCCTGGACGCAAAAATGAGATTCGCTTTCACAAGATTGAGGTTATCAAAGTGAACAAACCTTCACGAAGGAAAGTCTGGATCAGACGACTATTCGGTCCCCCATTACGTCTGCGGATATGGAACGCTTTCCAAATTGTCATGAAGGTCACGACGGTATCGAAAAGGAGCGGCGCAATCTATAACAACGGCAAGTTTCGTTGAAACAGAGTTCGTCAAAGCAAGTCGACGCTTACGAAGAAGCCTATTCATCGGAAGTTTGTATGAGCACGCAGGGTAGTAGGCAATAAGAGAATACCGACCGAGTAAATGCGCTGAATGGGGCTTGGACATCGGAAAGCAGGGACCTCTGTCCTAGAAGGAAGTCAGAGGGTATCATAAAGCGAGCTATTTCGCGCATACAAAGGGTGGTTTGACGAAGGGAAGTACTAAAACGTGGGTTTAATCAAACTCTCTTCAGCTCATGGATGAAAGGAACGCACGCAGCATCTGTGTGGTATCAACATAGAGCTGATAGGCAACCATTCCGGAGAGGGCGGCGATGAGGAACCATAAGACGAAGAGGTTCCTGCTGAAGAAGGCAAACGTTCGTATTAACAGAACGGCTACGATAAGGCGGGTCAGCAACTGGGAGCGAGATACGAGCAAGAGATCTTACATTCAGATCCAACTTGATTCCACATAGCGAGGGCCACTGGAATCTAAGGACGAGTGTTTCAGCGCTTGCTACGAGAGAGTGAACATGAACAAACCTTGTAAATGCGTTTGCATGTGTCTAGGGAGTGGTCGACTACAAAGCAGTAGAGCAGGTAGGGGACGACACAGATGACCCAGTAGCTGAAGGGGGAGTGAGTTATGTAAAAGAGTCATGAAAACGTCGCATATACTCACCGACAGAAGAGATAGGCCATCTTGACGGGGGTCCAGTGTGTCCTCCATATCTGTTAGAAGGGTGAGAAGGGGAGTTGGGGCGAGAGCGAAGGTGGGGACGTACGAAGCGATATTCTCTTGGGATGCTGATGATCCAGTCCCAGAGAACGACAGCATCTGAGAGGGCAAAACGACGTGCGTCAAAAGCGAGAAAATGGAGAAGGAGGAGAGGTTGTACACATGGCTATAAAATCCTCGGATGAGCGTCGTTCGTTTCTTCATGAGGTCAAGGATACGTACCGCAAAAGTATGCTTGAGTGACAAAGATGAAGTACTCCGCCGTGTCGAGAGACTCTGCCGCCTTTGTTGCGTCCGACATGGCAGCGGACAAGGGGGACGGGGGAGGGGCAGTGGGGGACGAGGAAGGGGGATGGTGGGGGGGAGAAAACAAGAGGGCTCGTGCGGAATTTCAAAGGAGGAGAGACCGATCTGGGAGACGTCACAGCAGACATTCCACAAACTCTGGAAGAAGCAAGTTGGCCCCCTTATCCGGCGAGAAGCCCTCGACGCCGCGTCACACCCGCCAGTCACCCGTCCCACACCCGCCTTTCCGTCGGTTCTAGCGGAACACAGTTGCCACAGCACCATAACCCGCTCGCAGCACAGAGCCTATTCGTGATCCAGCACCCCCCGCGTCAGCCTCACCAGAGTCAGCCTCGAGGAGCATATCGCGACGCAACGCGATAGCTTGTCACGCTGCAACAAGAGACATCAACAGGATCAATCGACGGCAGGCTTAGCAGCACTCCAATCGAAGGTCAGAAGAGAACCGATCGAGGACGCGTCAACCCCAACGCGACGTGACGCGGAGACAAATGTCATCACGTGAGTTGTGTTTGTCCAATCCCCGCACCGGCCCGTACCGAAAACCCGACGTCACTGTGTTCTACGCCGCCATGTCGTCCGGCGTCGAGCACATCACCTTCAAGCGGCCCACCAACAACGATCACAAGCCAAAGACAGCACAGCTGCGCCACACAGGTATCCTCCAAGACCAGCTTCGGAGGTGCGTTCATCTCGCAGACCGTCCAGTGTCGTGCACTTTCCTGACAAAGTTCCAGAGCACAACGTCGACCATGGGTCCCAACCTTTTCACTCGCCGTACGCATCCTAGCGCTCATCAGAGTGTCTGGGGCCATGTATTCAAACATCAGCGACTGTGACGAAGGTCAGAATTCGGTCTGGTCACTGTTAAGAGATCCACTCACTTTCTCCGAAACGCAGTTTACAACTTTTGGGAACCTCTACACTTCCTTGACCAAGGCTATGGCTTTCAAACATGGGAATTGTCGCCAGCATATGCGCTCAGAAGTTGGGCATACATATTACTGCACTTTATCCCACCTCGACTTGGACGACTGTTGGTAGCTGGAGACAAGGTGTGTCACTTTGTTATAGTCAGAAATTTCCTGCGTTTACATTTTCCTAAACAGCGCGTCGCCTTTTTTGCGACAAGAATCTTCCTGGGATCTGTATCAACCCTCGTTGAGGCCACTCTCTATCGGACTATCGTCACAGCAATCAATGAACGCGTCGGACGGTATTATTTCTTCCTCATGATCTTCAGCGCAGGGATGTGGAATGCTTCCACAGGTACGCCTCTATCTCACATTTACCCAATGGTAACCTCAAATGGCTCGTCATTACTAGCTCTCTTGCCCTCAACCTTCGCAATGTACACAACGGCCTTGGCATGCTCTTACGCATTTATCCCCACCACCACCAAAAATAAACACCGCACGCTGGCCGCAACCCTGCTCTTCGCGGTTGGCGGCATCGTAGGGTGGCCATTTGCCCTAGCACTTTCCATGCCATTCATCCTCGAAGAGCTCTTCGTATATGGCGCCGACGTTGTTACCCCGGAGTCTCACGTAGCCTGGATGACCACTCGTTTTACTCGTCTCTTCGGAGCGGGCCTAGCGGCTCTTCTCATCTTCGTACGTCATTCCATAGACCTGGTCCATTATAAATTCACTTTTGGTCGTAGATACCCGTTACGGCCATCGACAGCCTAGCCTACGGCAAACTCGCCTTCGTACCTTGGAACATCATCAAATACAACCTCTTCGGGGGCTCAGAGCGCGGCCCGACATTATATGGCACCGAACCATGGAATTTCTACCTCAACAACCTCATTATCAATTTCAACTTCGTTCTGCCTCTAGCCTTAATATCCTTACCCGCACTGGCAGTAACTTACGTCGTTGACCGGAAACGTCTGGGCTTCTACACCCCAACAGCGAACCAGAGCTCGCCGTTCACTTTGCTGGCTCTGAGGCTCGCCCCTTTGTACCTCTGGCTAGGTATCTTGACGTTACAGCCGCACAAAGAAGAAAGGTTTATGTTCCCAGCCTACCCTCTTCTCTGCTTCAACGCGGCCGTGAGCATCTACCTCATCCGTGGCTGGCTAGAAGTCGGTTACATTAAAGTGACGAACTCCCCTTACCGCGTAGGCCCTCTGTTTCTCGCATTTACGCACCAAACATCGATACTGACCTCCTTCCAGGCCTCCCAAGCAGTTGTCTTCAGCAACCTCACTCTCTCCATCATCGTCGCCTCCTCCTTCATCTCCCTAACCCGCATTCTCGCGCTCTGGAACTACTACCATGCCCCTCTCGGCATCACCTTCGACCTGCAAATGACCGAGCTGCCCCGTCTGCTCAACGCCACGGGTCTCCTGCCCGTGTACCCCCCGAACATGCCAGAGGATGAGCAGCCAAGGATCGACTTGTCCCCAGTGAAGGAATTTGATTTGAAGTTGTGTCTTGGAAAGGAGTGGTATAGGTTCCCGGGGAGTTATCTTGTACCGAATGGTGTGAGGGTCGAGTTTGTGAAGAGCGAGTTTGATGGAATATTGCCGAGGCATTTCGAGGAAGGTCCGTTGGCCAAGGAGGAGGGGGAGGGAGGGGTCTTGAAGGCGCTGTCGAGGAACTGGTGGATGAGGCCTCAGACATCATATGTGCCGAAGGATCTGAACGATCTGAACAAGGAGGAACTCTCGCGATATGTGCGTTCTTCTGTTTTCTTCTTCTTTCAACCTTTTCCCGTTGCTGATCAAATTGTCACCCTCATAGATCCCGATAGACGAATGCGACTACCTCATCGATCTCGACTTCCCATTGCATCCCTCCAGTAGCCCTCTCGAGCCCCGATACGCTACGATGACCGACACCTGGGAGCGTGTCTCCTGCCGCCCCTTCTTGGACGCCCGGCATTCGTTAACCCTGACACGAGTGTTCTGGTTGCCTGGCGAGGCATGGCAAAGACGGAACGAGTTTGGCGACTACTGCTTGCTGAAGAACAGCGAGCGGGTTGGAAGCAAGGAGCGGCTTTGGATCGAAAAAAGGGCTGAGTAAGGATGGATAGAAATTGTAGGTGTTATTGTACTCCATAGGAATATTGATATAATGATTTTTTATGTTAATTTTACAGAGACTTGCAAGACAGAACGCGCATATAGTCATCCACATCAGGCAGAACCAAAATGAACTTCTGTTGAACAACAACCAGCGTGAAATAACTTGTCACCTAGACTCAGCTACCAATCACACTTCCAAAGTGTTCTAACGAATGGAAACGAAGTTGAAGCACGCGTACGGATATTTTTGTGCTTACCGCCTCTGCTGACTCAGCGTTGTCGGCCACCTCCTGCTGTTGCGCCGAAGTTCCCACGCTGGCGGCCAACAGCTCAACCGAAGATCAAGTCACTGAGGCTGGCATTGGCCTTGAACCGTTCTCTGCACAAACTCTAGCGTCATGGATGACTTCCCTGTGGACGGAGACCTCGATTCACTTCCTATTTCTCCAAATGCGTCTGTTCTGGAGGCTCTCTATGACTTGGGCCCACCGTCTCCCGTTCTGACGCCTTCCCAGCTCGCTTTTACCTGGTCCTCTGGCGACATTCCTGTGGTCCTCTATGACGATGCTTACAGAGATGAATTCTCTTCTTCTCAAATTTTGGGTACCAATGAGGGAAAACGAAATAGCTCTTCCACTCTTCGAGCAAATCGTTTGTCAGCTCATTCGAAGGCTTCACGCCGAAGTTCGGCGACACATTCTCGAGCGTCTGTGGTCTTGGGCAGTCTGGATAGTTCAGATACGATAGTGTCTGCGGGGACATTTGGACCTAAGAGGAGAAGCCTTCAACCACTCGATGGTCCTCAAGCAGTACGCATCTTCCCAGAAGGCATCGCATCCAACTTTCGAAGCTCCGTGACCCACTCAAAGACATCGAACAGAGAGAGCTTTTTGTTAGGAAATTCGGGACCTACGTCGATTCAGGACAATCCAACTCCTGTCGAACCCTTGACGGAGGATTCTTCGCGAGATACCAGGCATCTTTCTTTTGGGCACGTCAAGTCGGACTCTTCTGGTGATGAGAACGTGGGCGGTGACGAAACGCCTAGGAAGTCTAGGGAATCGACTTCTTGGATCTCCTCTCGTGACTGGGATAATCAACAGTACAAGGACTTCGTTGCTCGGACCGAGTCGTCAACTCGCTCTCAGACCCGCTACTCATTCACCATCTCGCAGGTCAGGTCTGACATGGCATCGCAACCTCAGGTCAGTCCCACTCGTCGCAGAGTCTCAGAGAACCATGTCGCAAGCAGGGAAATGCATCGGACTCATATTTCAGGCGAAATTCAAGAACATTGCAGGGATAAATCGGCATCGACCCATAAGACCGGACAGCCGCTTACCCAGCCCAAACTCCATCGTGCTGAAGATCACAGCTGGCTTAGAGGACTCGCCGTTTCATTCCTGGTGGATCAAGAGGGATTCCGCGCTGCTCAGCCCTCCTTCAAGTTCTCAGGCATTGCTCGATTGCGTTCTTCTCCAGAGGTGAAATTACCCGACACCCTCATGGCTCAGTTCCGTCCCATCTCTCGGCAGTCCTTCCACTTCCACCACGCGCCGTTCGAGAGTCCGCCTATCCTGCGGCGCGTCACGCTCAATGACGACGAGACGCACGACTACGTCTCCAAGCAGGCGCATCTGACACTCAAGTCCAATGGGGTGTACGTCGTCTATGGGCACGAGCTCTTCGCTTCCGACCACGCCTCCGAGCCGGTTAAGCTGCACTGGCAATTCGAGTACTTTGTCGATAATCGCCGTGTGGATGCGTCGAATTCCAAGCGAGACATGGAGGGCGAAAAGATGCTCACGCCACTGACGTTCTCGTGTTCTCCAAACCTATTGCTACCAGTCCAGGCGAAACGGATCAACATCATGCACGTTTTCAAGAAGGGCGTTGGCCCGAAACTCGTGGCGGAGAAGATGCTCCCTCCTGGTGTAGCTCGTGCACCTGCCCATCCAGCGCCCGCTACTGGTCTCGGTATCTTGGTGTCCTCTCAGACGGAAGCGCACCTACCAAATTTCCTTTCCTCAAAATCTGTCTGGAATCTTCATAAACGCGGTCAATCTAATGTGGTCAAACAAGGTGATCTCCACGGAAATCGGCACCATCGCGTCGACACTAGTCCAGACTCCAAGCCGTACTCCAAGCACCGTCGAGCGTCATCTGTAGGCGAGCACCTCCATTCTCGCAGTATAGCTTCTCGTCTCTCCGACCACATCATGCCGAGGCATCGTCGCGATTCGTCTCACGGAGCGGCTGTAGTGCATGGGCCGCCGACAAACCGCCACATTATTCCTCCTGCTCAACTGGTGCATATGCTTGACGTTTCATCCAAGGAAAATCTGCCGCCTGCACCACCGCCCCCGAAATTCGAGCGTCATAGTTCAGAATTTATTCCTCTTACACCTCGACCGCGCCACGCTCATCAACTTTCGCGAGGAAGATGATGCCATCGTCCGTAGACAAAGAAGCTCCAATCTCGAAGAAGCGCATATAAGACCATCTCAATAAGCATAGTTACTTTCCGTACAAGTACAAATACAGACAGGAAACAAGACATTCGAATCAGTTACACGCATATATTTCTCGAACTTTGGAAGCAAGGTGACATCTCCCTCATAGCATACATGTTCATTTCCCCAATCAACATTTATTTGCAGCACGCCTGGCCCTCGGCATTTGGACCAAAGGCATTAACACTGAGGGGGTCTTTCGTGCCCGGAACATCCATGCTGGGGTTCGCCTTGAAGAAAGAACTGGGTTTAAATGACACAGTGAGGTGCTCAACTGGCATGCTGGAACGACGAAGGTCGTGTTAGAAATGGGAGATAAAGTGAAAAAAAAAGAACTTACACAGGCCAATCCTCGGGGCGAGGAATATGGGTCGTACCTGAGGTTGCCGAAGAGGATGAGGATCTGCCTTTGCAAAAAAAATAATAGTGGCAGCACGTACCAACAGTGACGTAAACCAAAATATCTTCATCCTCAACCGGCAGCTGGCCCTTCACCCAGGACCCAACCGAGTCCTCAGGCTCCTCTCTCGTCTGCGGGACGTACTTACCTGCCGGCCACATCCTGACAGTGCTCCCGCCCTCCGCCTCGATGTCTCGGCAAACCCACACCGTGTTCATTAAGAACGCTGCCCTTCTCGCCGCCCACCCGTCCGGCTTGGCCATCATCGGCGTCGCTCCGCCCCTTACGCCAATGCTGTACCCGACGTCCTTGCCCGAGGCATAGTGCTGCCTGCCCTTGTTGACGATGCGCCACCTGCGCTCCTTGGCAAAGTCGTAGGCACGTCCAGACTCAACTTTAACCGGGGTGTCTTGGGAGTAGAACGCATTGCCGGCAAAGTTCTCCTTCGAACCTGTCGGCGCCGCGAGAGGGAGTATGTCGGACTCGACGACTGTGTTATTTAGACCGTCAATCATTGGGTCGATGCGAATGCTGAACATATGCTGATGGTAGTGCCCATTGATATTGGGAGCGATGGTGGTACCGAAAGGATTAGGCTCGCCGTCCTTGCTGACATAGACCGATAGGATACCAGTGAGGCGGATCTCGAGTTCAATGGCGCCGTCCTGGTAGAAGTGGTAGTTCCAGATGTACTCTACAACGTGCGTCAGAATCAGGCTCGTTGGAAGAAATGTCAGTCCTACCGTAATTTGCCAAGGTGCACACCATGCTGACGACGAGTCTTCGCCTCCTAATGGTCTGCGAACGGCCATTCGGGCGATAATCAGTGTGCTTCCAGAGCACACCGGCATCTTCTTCATGAATGCAGATTACGTTCTTGATAACCATAGCACTACCATCGTGGGCGACGAATGCTCCAGGCTTGAAGAGCTCGAAATTAGACTACCAAAGTCGTCGAAAAATGAAAAATGTACCAGATAGTGAATTTGGCCCAGACAATCGCACCCTAACGAGAGTTCATTTGCCATCGTGCCCATACCGTACTCGCCACTGTAGGTTATATTAGAGTCAGGATGGGACAAGTAATGGGAGAAAGACGTACGAATCGAAGGCAAATTTCCTGGGATGAGGATACTCCGGAGCGCCGTAGGGAACGACCATTTCCGCTAACGATAAACGGTATATGAGGGGTCTTATCTCACCGTTATCATTGTACGTTATGGTAGACAGAGCAATTCCCTCTCGGTGGGTGAAGGCTTTCGGGGAAAGGGGATTCAGTCAAAAAACAACGGAGAAGGGGGTAACGGTCAGTCTACCAATGTGCATTTTCCAGTTCTGCCATTCCAAAACATGTCCATCCATCTTGAAACTGACACCCTCGGGTTGCACGACGTGCAGAGGCTTCAGATCCGTCCTCGGATGATAGCCTCCCTCCTCAGTCTTGGCCATGAGATCAGGCAAGAAATCCCAGGCCTTGCGAGGAGGTGGAATCCGATCCCTCTGCGAGGCAGCCAAGGACTCGGATTCCGTACCAACGGAAGGAGGGGCAGTATCAGGAACACTCAGCTTCGCCGACCCGTCAGCAGCGCGGGAATAATGCGGAGGGAAATCTAATGATAGGACGAGGATCAGAGAGGGAAACTGAACCCAAAGGGTGCATATACGAACCAACGTGCAACAATTCCTCTGAGTTGGCGTCGATAACAGGGATGAAGTCCTACAGCAGAGAGGGCATGAATGGGACATCCCGAGTGATGGGGAGGGGGTTACCATAGGATGGGCATACAGGTTGTCGTGCTCAGAGAGTCGAGCAAAAACGAGTGCCTGTTGAACGCGGCGCTTCTGAGGGAAACGATCATCATATCCAATCGACCAACCGTCACAGACAATTTGTTCGGGCAGCACACCTACAGATAATTCATATTTTATCATGCTTTAATTCGGGATCAAGAATCAAGACTTACCGACATCTGCAGCTAACTTCTGAATAGTAGGGTTTTTCTTAACGACCATCTCGCAGGCGATGAGCTCTTCAACAGAAATCTGAGGGTGATACGACTCCGGAAGGAGGTTAAGGACATCCACGACCCACTCTCCGTTGTCATTCAAGGACAGCACACCATTGTAGGAGCCACTGCCAAATCATGTAGTCGCCTCTACGTCACTGGGGAGAATTCGAATCTTACCCGTTTACAACGTCGAGGAACTAGTAATTGTTGGTATCAAAGTGGGAACAACGCTCTTAGTGTGGACTCACATCGGTTTCTGCTTTCCTTACAATCGGCACAGGTGCCTCGGGTTTCGCCCCAGGCATGAGAGGAATGCCAAGGTACGCAAGGACGGCTTTCTTAGGCGCTGGAAGGAGGGAACATGTGATGAATTTGATAGCCTTAATCTCTGTCTTGGACGCAATATGACGCCTAACTGCAAGAGAGACGGCCGCAATCTAGACGATGTGATGTCATGAATAGGTCCACTCGGGGAAACTAGAGCACAGCAATCAAGGCGCACCTCATCAGGAGTTAGTGGGTCCAGGGGGTGCTTGAAGGCCGTCGGGACCTGTTTCGGCTTCTCCTGGGCATGGCTCGTGGTGGCCGGCACTGTATGCGTCGGCGTAGAGGTTCCGTCGGGACTCATAGTGAAGACTGAGGCAAAAGCAGGTGTGAGAAGTGGGAGGAGCAATATCAGCGATTGGCGCCGCAGAGATACGGTGCGAGATGCGCCTATATATACACACCTGAGTACCTGATGACCTCGATGACTGATCAAAGCCTCGCCGAAGCAACGTTTCCTGCCAGATAAGAGGATTGGGAACCTTCTCCGTTCAAAAGGCGACGATTGGCTCTCGGTGGTCCTGAACTGCAGTATATGGCAACCAAAAGTGGATACCAAGGGGCTTATCACCTGACCCGGCACAGTAATCTTGAGGTTTCGGAACTCGCACGGACCAAGATAAGCATTTGCCTTCCATAATGCGGGGGAGGCATCGTTTTGAGACTTGCACAATTGCTTGGGCCCTGTAGTACCGGCAATTTGCTCAGAGTGCTTCCTTGGAGGAGGTGCGATTCGCAGCAGAGTAGGGGTCTTATTTCTTGCCACAGGCCTAGATTTAAGCCTGGTCGTAGAAAAGAAGCATTGCGAGGGTACTCGGTGGAGGAAGAAGAGGCTATTTTTGAACTCGGTCAGGAGGTCAGTAGATAAGATAATGCCCAGCCGATAAGAGAAGCATAGTGATCGCCGGCGGCTCCGACCGAAGTAAGTAGCTCATCCGGCCGTCCGGGATTGCCCCTTTTCACTTTCTATCATAGCAATGATCCTCTATTTCCGTAAGTCCTTATTGCAGCGCTTAATGGCCTCATCTCACCGTATACAGAATCACAACTCATTCATCAAGATTGACATCAGTCTTGTGTTCAAGTTCTTACGACAAAACCTCCCTTGGCACATCGTTTGTCTTCCAGTCCTGTCAACGTAAAACAACAATCCAATCATAATAGCGCCCAATTTCAGCCTCGTTCCCTTCCAATCCACGAATCTATAGGAGCCCGTGTTGCGGCCGTTAGGACAGCCGTATTGGACGGGCGTTAGCCCCGGTGCCGATGAACCAAAGTGGAAGTTGGCACCTGCGTCCAGCCGAGCGAAAGCTAGAGGGGCGATCTTTCCCACGTTACGTTCTTGCTTCCACCACTTTCCATTGCTCGAAGTCGCGGCGCGCTCATCTCGAGAGCCGCCGACTTCTCGCAAACACTCGTTTTTCACCCGCCCTCCCTTCCCTAGATTTACTCTATCATCCATTATTCATAATCGTTATTAGCACCACACTGCTCTACCGTCATACATACGCACATAATGTGGTCGAATATAATCACCATAACATCACTAGAGTTGTCCGTCACAAGAAGAATGGGGAACGAGCTAAAGTGCCATTGAGCAAATTGGTCCCGCCCACCCAGCGGCCCAATTTGCTCCGTGTTCCGATCTGAGCTGACGCTCAGGCCCAGCCCAACCTATCAAGCTCGCACCTCGCTCTTCCTGCGACAGACGAGGCTGGAGCTGATTGACATATCTTCTCTGCGCACTTCTTGGTGTCAAGAACAGGCTATTCGACAGAGATCCACCATCGCCGGGTACCGCAAACCCTCTGAGCGCGTCTAACGTTAAACGGAACGATTGCATGCATCCGTGAACCTATCAGCAGGCTTGGAAGCTACCACGTGGGGGCAGAGGCGATGAAGATCACAAAAAAACCTGTGATATACTTCTTCCAGGGTGTATAAAGCTGTCAGTTACGGGGGGATGGATGCTGTCGACTGCTCTACCCCGCACGGCTGCCACGAACACATCTAGAATCTAGGCTACGCTCACCTGAAAGTCAGCGGAATTGCCAACACCTGTCGTGGACATGACCTCAAATCCAGAGTGGGGGCCTGAAGGATCGCCTCATCGTTCGTCGCTGGCGACTTTCTGACCGGGATGGGCTATGGTGCGTGTCTTACCCAATCCTTACGTTGTCCCTTTTACAATCGGAATTTAGGCATCCAGATTGTCCTTTTTACTAGTTGCGCGATATATTTATGGAACACACGCCGGACCAAAGGCCGACAGACATATTTCCTCCTTGCCTACATGACACTTCTGCTCTGCGTCGAGACGATCTACTGTGCCGTACAAGCACGTACGGTGCAGATAATGTATGTCGACAATCGAAATTATCCGGGAGGACCCTGGCAGTACTTCCTGGCTACGCAAAACCTTCCTGTTAATGTTATGTTTTACGCCATACTATTCGTCTTGACCTTCCTTGCCGATTTGCTCATTGTGCGTATGTTCGAGAAAGGTTTACGGACTGACACCAATATAACTGATTTACGCTTTGCCCTCAGTTATGGAGATGTTGGGTTATCTGGAGTGCAACTGGAATTACCATTGCGTATGTTGCGATAGCCTTCCCTGCTCTCATGCTTTTGGCCTCCTTCGGTGAGCAATTCTTGTTTATTTTTGTCTGCCCCTGTCTCTGATCCGTTGCTAGTGATGGGCACCCTATGGACGCTTCAATCAAGTCAACCTGGTCTCTCACTATACAGTGCGCTCCCAATGGCCTACGGAACTTCCTACTACGTCATCTCTCTCAGCGTCAACATCATCCTCACCATCCTCATCGCCACGAGACTCCTCTTATACCGCAGGAAAATGATGGCGACCATCGCCCCCGAACACGGAACGGAGTACTTCTCCCTCGCCGCCATTTTCATCGAATCCGCCGCTCTCTATTCCGTCTTCGCTATTCTATTCATTATCACTTATGCCATCGACAATCCGATTAACCAGGTCTTCCTCGCATTTGCTACGTCGGCACAGGTCAGTTGATCGAGTTGTATGCATTTTCCTGTAGTAAAGACTGACGTTATCCGTTGCATTCGGGGGTAGCAAATCGCTGGGTATTTGATCATTTACCGCGTTGCAGAGGGACGGGCGCTGAACCAGAAGACGTTGGCTGCGACACAGCAGACGGCCCACAGCTTGGACTTCCATGTATCGATACCCCACCAAAGTGAGTCGAACGCGACTGCCGCGTCGGAGGCTGCCAACGTCCCAGCACCGTTGTCCCCCGGATCACCCAGACGCACCTCCGGCGGAGTACGTCTGCGCCAATCAGGAGAAAAAGAGAAGTCGGAGGGTGTGCAGGTCTCAAAATACGACGTCTAGTGGAGGCGTTGTCCACCTTTCTCTATGTTCTGCTAAGACTCGCAGGGAGGACGTATGACTACTGTACAAAGTCGTTTTATTTTTATTAGGGTCCAAGGTCTGTCTGTACGTACTGCTATCATGCTATCATACAATGAACACACTGTATTCAATCAGGGTACTAATTCTGTTTCCTCCCACTGGACTCCCTCGCCCCCACTGATCTTCGTAAAAAGCGTCCTCTTGTCCGGAGGACTTGACAAATCCACAAAATCGACCTCGATAGGGTCGATAATCATCAATGCGAAATTCCCCAACGCCATCTCCCAGTTCCTCTTCGCCTCCTCGTATTTCTCCTTCCCCGCATCCGGATCTGGCTTGTCGACACATTCCGGCCACTTCTTTGCCTCCTCCTGACCACCTTTCAACGGACTTCCAGGCGTGGGTCTGCACCAGCTCGCCTTCATATGCGCGCTCATCGTCTTGAAAAGTGCGACGCGCCGAGCCTCCCAGTCTTCTTCCTTAAACAACGCCAGGCCCGTCCCGTGCTCAGACTTGGAGAGCACATCGAGGAAGTGGGCGTGCAGCGCATGGGTAGGTTGGGGGACGAGGTAGATGTCGGCGATGATGCGGAACTGTTGCACGGTGCCTTCGATCCACCAGACGACTTCGGCTTTGGAGGAAGCAGTCAGCTGGGAGACTTTGGGTGTGCGGATGTCTGTTGAGGATAGGAGGAGGGGGAGCGAGGGATTTTGCGGACTCTCGAGCCAGTCGCGGAATATTTGGGAGCGAGCGCGGGGGATGGTTCCAAGGGAGCTGGAGAAGTCGAGAGTTGCGACCTGCATCGCTTTGAAGTCGTGTCAATTCAGGACCTGGCGATGAATTCCAGAAGCAGTACCATTTTGATTTTTGTATTGTGACAACGCCTTCTCAATGGCGATCTTCCAGCGTGGGCTGGCCATCGTCGCTGCTGCACTACGTTCAAAGTTGGGAGGAGATTAGATTGTGAATGCTTGGCAGTCGGAGTTTACACGGTCTCACGTGCCCTCCTATTTTGACGACGCGTTCAACTTCAAAGCAGGTTGTCTTTCTCTAATGCTGGCTTTCATCAACGGGCCTACACCGTCTTCGAATGGATGTCCAGAAGGTTTAACCAATCTTGTGGGCATTTCTTTCCGGTGAACATGATATCGAAACATCATGACACTACACACCGAGACGCGACGTGTCCAGTGGGACTTCCAATATTCTTAGGGCCATGGTATCCGCCCGGCACTGGCCTGCAGAATTCGATGACTCCGAAGCTTCAAACATTTTCTTTGGTGTGTCGGTACTTATGTCTACTCTGTGTCATTGCTTATACTGAAAAAGATGTGCTCTTTTATAACATCAGCACCTCGACATTAACTGTGGCTCAAGAGCGCATGCACAATGGCCTACGTGAGCCACCCGGGCCAGAAAATGCGCCCAAAGAGGAAACTTAAAAACTCAACGGCCGTACAAGCGGGGCCACTCGCGCTTGCTCATATGCCGGGGGCGATATAAATGAGAGCTGCTTTCAGGTCTTATCTCTTTCATCCCCCGCCCATACACCTTGTGCCGGTTCTTGCGAAGCAACCTATCATCCCCGACGATATATAACGGCATCCTTGTATTATGGCTTCCCCATTCCTCCCTCCTCATCCGATCATGGACATGATGGAGCGTACCCGTCATATGCGCAAGATTGAACAAGGCGTCAACGGCCGCGAGGTTCTGTTCGCTCTCTGGATTACGGTCTCAGGTAAGCAGATAAACTTGAAGGCCTATATCAATGCAGCTAATTTATTTCTTGATCAGTCCACCAAGAAGCTTGGATGAACTCTCGTACCATCCACGGCCACATTTCTCCTCGTAACGTCTGCATCCCGTTCAACAACCACATCAACGATGCCCTCAACGACGCCCGACTTTACCTCTATGTCCACCCGGCCTCCGATGAGCCCATTGACCCGCGCTTCCAATCCGTCATGGCGCTCTCCAATCCCATTCTTAGACGCAGGAGCCTCCCACTCGACTATCTCGACGACCTCGAGTCGTTCTGGTACGTCTTAGCTTGGGTTTACCTCGCAGTCGGCGCTCCTGGTGCAGAGCCGAGTCTGAGGGGCCACAACACATACGTAAGGCAGAGTGCGCTAGAGCGCTGGGCCAGCCGGCCGACCTCACGGGAGAGCGTGCTGGAGAAGGAGAGCATGCTCATGGGGGAGGGACTTAGCCCCAGTGCAACATCCCACTTCTTCCTGCCGTTCATATTCGACCAAGTATTTGACCGCCTCCACGCGGTTCTCAAGCACCGGTACATCCTGAAACTCGAGCTTGGGCGGTCGAGGACGCCTATGGAGCTCATGACGGACTCGAGGGGGGACTACCACGCATTTTTGGAGGCTCTGTCGGACGCCATCGCATACATCGACTTTATGGATGCCGGAAGGCTCAACGACATCAACGCCTGGCGCGGAGCACACATGCTCATTGGTCAGCGCATCCTCCCTGACGAAGAGTACGAAGTGGCCTGTATCAAACCAGTCGACGACGAACCTATGGACAGATTCAAGATGAGCGAAAACATCTCCTTCCATCGTTGTAGCCCACAGTGCGAAGAGGACTGCCTCTGCGTCAACAATTACATTGCAGAGCAGCTGAAGTTTTTTAAACCGCGACTTTGAAGCCGTCGTTCTGAGGGGCCATTTGTCGAGTTGATTCCAAAACGTATATATGCTTTCATTACTGTCTCTATACCAATGCTATGTATGTATGTACCAATATTGCTATCCAAACATTCTCCCTGTTTTAATAATCTTATACTTATCTTTATCGACAAGGTCGGAGTCTGGCATGTTTCAGCAGCAATGTAACTATAAATTCAAATTAGCTTGCTCGAGAATGCTATATTCCTAAGCCTCACTGTCAACAACCATAATTCCTGGTCAAGACGTTGGTCTGGAGTTCAACCAGCCCCAACATCAAGTCGCGTGACAGGGGCAATTCCTAATTCAGCAATCGAAATTCCATAAAGAGGTTCTTGACAGGTTGCCCCAAACAATTGGTCTCCACGAACATATATAAACCCCACCAGGGCGAAAATGCCTCTTCTTTCCTTGCCTTCCCTGCCGAGTCCTCCATCGTTGCCTTCTGGTGCTCAGCTCCGAGTTCGTGCTAGGTTGATTCGGCGACGCACGCTCGTCATCCAACTGTCATGATAACTATCGTCACCGTCTCTCTCCAGTATCTTATTCGTGCTTACTCCCTGGTGATTAATTTGCTGCGTCACGGTCTACCATGTACAAACTCCAGGGTTCAGAATCGCATTCTATCCGCTCATTGCGCGGAGGTACGGTCACGTCCGTTATGCATTGTCCTTCTCCCCCTCCTTTTTGTCACAGTGGAGTAGGTAAGCGAACAAACGCGCAGCTATGTGCGGGTTTTTAGAAGCGTGACAGAGGATGTATTAGAGCAGGGCTACTGCAGCAGCGATTGATTTTTGTGGATTGGGCTGGGGACTGATCCGGGAGTGAATGGCAAAGTGCGGTTGCGTTATGATATAATCCGAGTCTCTCAGTGTAAATGGCATCGAATGGAAGGTTCACTCTCCCCCCCTTCTGCTCATACATAAAGTGAGCATCTTGGAGGGCACTCTCGACCTTGTGTGACTGTAAGCCTTGAGCCTGTCCGTAAAGCTAATAGCAGCTGACTGGCGATTGTCGTCAGTAGGTTAGCCTGGACTGACCGTATGGCGTAGAGAGGAGCTAGTAGGTCCAGGCCGTCCGTACTTACAGGATATCGTCCTGGGGACTCGTTTGATGTATCAAACCTACAAGGTTACCAGTGCCGTCCATACTTATGTTGTGCCCTTTCGTTGGCTTGTCGTGGCATCGTGGTCCAGGGAAGACGGAGCCACTTTGGACCTACATTCTGCTTAAACAAACGTCAGTGTGGTAATGGGCGAGTGGGCGAGTGGGCGAGAGTAGAGAAGGCAGCACTAATGCATCTTCCGTGCCGTATCAGCTCAGCCTGGCCAATCGATGACTCAATACATGATCAATTAGTGCTATAGCCCGAGGGCACGGAGCCTTACAGAATCCTATGAGAATCATGCACAATTATGCAATCCGATCTCGACGTTCATTTATAGCGCAAGGCCTTCGGCCGGCCTCGGCTCACAGACGCATTAAGCGCCCACACGCGCCCATACACTAATACATTTACGGACGCGGCCCTCAGGGACAGCACATTGACCTATAAATCCGATACTGTGTGTCCGACGTGCGTCCTAATTACCTCTACCCGTCGTCGGCCCTTCAACAACGTTTAATACCCACCCTTCAAGTTGTCTTTCATGGTCGAGTCGAGCCGAGTCGGTACGGGCGCCGAGGCACGGGGGCAACGTTCGTCCCGACGACGACGATAATTGGCCAACTGCAACGCGGAAGGAGCGGCCGACGGGTATATTTTTCATTTTGTTGTCAAGGTGCGCAGGTCCAAGAGACTGCGTGTTCGGTTGTGTGCCTTTTCATTTCATTTCATTTACGATTAGACGAGATAAATACTTAGATGCGCGTGTAGAGGACACAGATGATCGATGAAAAATCAAACATTGAAAATCACCTAGATTAGATGGATCGATAGACGCGATGGTATTTCTCCGGACCGCCTGCTCGACGGTGGACAGAGTGACTATCGGAAAGCGTGAACATGCACGATCGAGCCAACTCCATCTGACAGGATACCGGAATTCGAGGAGATAGACGTCGGAGGAGCTGAAGCTGGAGGCCTAGGGAAAATACTTACCTGCATGGAGGTGTGCCCGTGTGGGTGGGCAACGTGTCGGGGCTGCGACGACAGGCTGCACGAAGGCTATCCTAAGGCGACAGTTCATAACGCTGCTTGAACTCGAGGCCCGGTCCCCGAGGGTGAGGTTTATTGGTACCCAAGGATCCTCCCATACAGAGTCGCAGGGACTTACCTACCGCCGGTGCTGAGCTCGACGAAGAGTGGAGCTCATACACGAGCTGCAGATGCTATAGTTATACTTGCGTTGGACTTCACATCTTGTCGACGTATGTTCGCAGACGAACTTGGTCTGCAGAGCCCAGCGCGGAGGAAAGGAAGAGTCGGAGAGTCGGAGACGTCCCCCCTCCGTTGTCCGTGCGTTTTTAAACGTTGGGACCTTTGGGCTTGCTTTGGGAGGGGCTGCCATATGGGTGAGGGGGACCCTGATCTGCGGGAGGAGAAGCCTGGAAGACTGGAGGCGTGGCAGGGCGTGGCATGGCACAGTTCTGATCGTTCTGCTGTATATCTGGCACCGAGAGGAACTTCGTGGTCAGTTAGGCTTTGGAAGTGGATCATGGGGTTGAAGAGCTTGGATGAATGAACGCGTCCTCCGCCGTCGATTGAAAGCACGTACCTAGGCGGCCCAAGTGCGCGGTAGACTGCGACTGGAATGCACGAGGTTGTGGAGGAGGAGAACGTTTGTTCAGCAGCCGCGGTGCCAAGCCGTTCATCATCGAATCGTCATCAACTCATCATGAGAAGCTCCTCACCTTTCTTGCTGATGGAAATTCTGTTCAACTTTGTTCAGATCAAACAGCTGGACAGCTCTGGACAGCCGCGGGAGGGAGGAAGAACATCGGAGCGACTCTTGTTCAATAATTGAAGGTGACGTCAGGGATCCGGAGGTTCTTCCCCTTGAACTTGAAGTTGTAAGGCTTCCTTGAATCCTTACCCCTTGCAACCTAAAAAACAAGGAACGCACGAAGGGGGGGTACCTCCTGTCCTGTTGACTTCAAGACCATCGCCATCGCCATTGGCAAAAACCCAAAGGCCTCGACGCCACCGGTGCCTTGCCGCCTCACCAGTCGCTGTCAGCACAACGCGTTCCGATCCCTTAGTGCGGAGCGGATGCGCTTGGAGCGAGCCAAGCGAGTAGCCCCCCTTTCATTTTCGCCCTCCACAAACGACTCGTTTTTGGCTTTTGCGCTAAGCGTTAACGTTGTGCTTCCCTACCCTGCACTCGACGACGGCCGACAGCGAGCGAGCGAGGTTGTTCGACTGGTGCAGCAACGCAACGTTGGACGACGGACAGCACGAGCACGGTAACGGACAGAACGCTCAACGTCAACTCGGACTCTCGGAGCGTATCAGACAACCCCAATGGCGAGCTCGTCCAGCAGCAGTGGGAGCGGGTCCTGGTCGCGCTGGCCCTCCCTCCTCGCCCCGCACCCCGACCCACGCCCGTTCGCCCGCACAAATAGGGTCTACAGCGCAGCGTCCACATCGACCTCCCCCTCCCGGCCCTCCGCATCCACATCCCTATCCCCATCACGCACCGCGCCCTCCTCCCTCTCCGGCTTTTTCACCACGCCCACATTGATGTCGCGTTCCGCGTCGAACCTCGGCGTTGACGATGATAATTCGCGGTCCCAGTCGAGGTCGAGGTCGAGGTCAGGACTGCGACTGCTGAAGGGCAAGAGCAAGAGCAAGCCGAACTTGAAAGCAAGGTCGCCCCCGCCGTCGCTCGAGCCGCTGTCATTCCCGTCCGAACCTATCATCGACCTTGGGTCGTTGCGGTCCTTCTCCTTCTCCTCTAGGCCAAGGACGCCGTCGCCCCCTCCGCCCGTCCCTCCTCTACCCCCAGGAATACATAGTCATGGTCATGGACAACGCAACACCCCACACCGCAAATACCACTCCGAGCCCAACCACCCCGATAATCACGAATGCCATAATGAACTCGGATTTGCCAGCCATGACGGAGATGACGGAAGACGCAGGCTCGCCGGTGGCCTCGTGCAACCTGGCAACTATCCTTCGTCAACTTCACAGAGTGTACCCTGTGCACCCTGGGCTTCCAGGTCGCCTTCAACTCCAAATGCGCATGTACACCCCCGGGGATCAACCAGCCCACCGCCCGCACACCCACAAATATACACCTACTCCAGGCCTGAGGCTGAGGTTGCAAGACAGGCGGAATCGTCGCGGGATATACCCATACCTCCACCACGCGCCGCGGAGATCCAGAAACGCACAAGTAGTGTCACCGTCAGTGGGGGTGCGGGTACTTATAGTACCCTCACTCTCTCCTCAGCCCCCTTTCCCCACCCGCCGTTGGCCCAACCGCCGGACGCCCCGGCCTCGCGACTGCAGCGCAAGGCATCCACACTCTCCGCTATATCCATCTCCAGCCGCCGCAGCTCGGGCTCGGGCTCGTATAAGCTGAAAAACACCAAGAGACGCCCGCCGTTGCCGCCGGTACCACCTACACCGACTTCGCCTGACCACCCCCATATGATGAGTACCAGCCAGCAGTGCCAGGAGGAGGGTGGGTTTCCGTTTCCTGATGTCGATGCATCGACGTCGACGAAACAGCCACGAGATGAAGGATCTCTTGGATCAACAAGTACTGCGCCCATGCCCTCCTCGCGTTCTCCGTCGCCCCTGCCTATTCCTCCGGTCTCCGACGCCGCTCATTGTCGTTTCGACTCGCCCCTCGAGGCGAGGAGCGATTGTGGGCACGGTACCCCTGCAACAACCTCGTCCACAAATCCGTTAACCTCGCCCAATAAACGGACTTCTCTCCTCCTCCGCCATTTCAGCCTCACCACCCGCTCGTCGTCGCCCTCGCATCCAAAGCCCAAGCGCACAGGTACAGGTTCGAGACCGACGTCTCCTCCCCCAAGCAGCTGGGCGGACGTCGCCTGTCCTCATCCTACTTCATCCACCACTAACAGTACGCTAACGGCAACGTCAACGACAGCTTCGACTTCGATTTCGGCGCCCTTGTCGAGGTCGGGCTCGGTGTCGGATTTCAGCGCCAAGTTGCGGCGGTGGTCGATACGCCGCGGAAAGCAGAGCGCAGATGGGAGTGGGTGCAGCAGCCGGACGAGTCTAGAAGATGAAAATGAAGCTGCGAAGAAGGATGCAGTGGGAAGGGTGAAAGGCAAGGAGCGGGCACCACTGATCAGGGTTGTGTCGACGGGCAGTGTGGTGAGTCACTCTAGATCCTTTTCTTTCTCATTGAGGTCTTCGTCCTTTCTTTCCGCGGAGCTGGTGGTCTTTCGCTCGTCTTCGTGGTTGGCAAGAATGATGGAGGAGAAAGGCAAGGACGGCACGGGCAGCCCTGCACGTTTTATTTTGTGGTTACTATGCAATATCCATGGACGTCCGAGGCTTTTCCTTGCATCCTCCATCTAGACGCCCGTCCTCCGCCGGGCCGACATTCCTCCTTCCTTCCTTCCTGATTCGAACGTGCGCTGGTTCGGAGACTGGATGAGCACGCGCCTGGGTATCATGACGTCGCCAACGACGCGTCCCTCTCGCCTTATCTCCTCGCAACCACCTTCAGACCCCGCTCCCGCTCAAGTTATGATGCGGGCTCTAGAGCGATTTGACATCATTATTTCCTTTCGTTTTGTTCGTCATCTATTGAGAGTCTTGTCTAATCTACTTACTGTCCGCAGCACCCCCGAGAGTCTGATCTCCTGTCCCTCCACTATCTCAATCCTGCACGGTCGTCTGCACTATCCACAACAGAGTCGCAGCAGATGCCGTCGATATGCTCTTCGCAACAACGAACCCACAAGCGCAGTACGTCGTGGGGAGACGCCGCGGTCGCTCTCTTTCGCGGGGCGTCGTTTACGTCGATCTCAGGCGAGAGCAGGCGTAACTCGAAAGAGAAGGAACGACCGAAGACGATGGAGAGCAGTTACAAAGGCAGGGCGATCGTTGACCTAACGAAGGACGAGGGGGTCGTTTCACAGGAACCCAGCCCAAGCCCACGCCGAGCAAAGTTCACGTTGGGCGAATGCGACTCGGACGCTGACCTGCCCTCGTCGTCCACCTCTGCCCCATTATCACCCCCAACAATAACCAGCACGACCGCAGCCCCGACTTCTCCACGCCCACCGTTTGCACGACGCGACGCCCTCATCAGCGAGACAGAACGCAAGGGCCGGCAGCGTTGGACGCTCGCGCGCGCGGTTGCAGACGAGGGCATCTCGGAGGCGGCGCTTGTGCGGGAGCTGGAGCGACTAAGAGCGGTCAGGTCATGGGGCGTTGAAGGGAGGAGACGGAGAAGGGTCATGAGCGAGGGCGGGAATGCGGGCGAGGGTGTGGGTGTGGGTGTGGACGAGGACGAGGACTGCGCGGATGAGATGTGGGACGAGTGGGACGTGGATGGGTGGGGTGTTGAGCGGGAGGTGTTCGAAGGCGTCGAGGAAGAGGAGCGGAGAGAACGAACGCAAGTGCTGGACGGCGCGCTAAGAGACAGCCCGACAGAATCATCCGAGTCCGAGCCCATCCTCCACCCCTCTCCCTCCCGCTCGCCATCTCACACCTGGCTCGCCACCCGGCGTGCCCTCCTCATCTGCCGCGAGCTCATCCAAACCGAGCGCCACTACCTCGCCTCCCTCCGCGCGCTCGTCGCACAGGACACCGCGTCCCCGCCCCCGCCCCTCATGCTGCACTACGCTTCCGAGGTCCTGCGTGCCAGCGCGGGCGTCCTCGCGGGCATGGAGCGCGAGCCGGGCATGCGCGGCGTCGCACGTGCGTTCGTGGACCGCGCTGAGGAGGTGGATGGGGCGTATGTGAGGTGGTGTGGTGTGGTGGGTGGGTGGTTCGCTGATGGTGCGGAGGAGGGGGAGGAGGGGCATGTGGTGAAGAGGAAGAGGAGCCGGACGAATCATCATCGGACGTCGGTGCCTGGTGTGGATGGCGAGGGCGAGGAGGGCAGTGGCAAGGAGCGGGAAGTTGCGTCGCCCCCGGTCAGCCCGCTCAAGCGCACGGTGAGCACCTGGCGAAGGAGTATGCCGAGCATACCGTCCCTCGGACTGGGCGAGGCGCATCATGCCAACGAGAGCGCCCCGCCGGCACCCAGATCTGCACGCAAACCCACCGTTCGTGACCTCGCGATCCTGCCCACTCAGCGCGTCATGCGCTACGTCCTTCTCTACCGAGGTACGTCTCTCAGACGTTTGCGAAGTTGCGCATATACTCACCTAACTCGATCCTGCAGACCTCCTCGCACACACCCCACCCACATCCTCTGCCCGCCCCATCATCGAGCGCGCCGTCGACGCAGCATGTAGGATCGCAGAAAAATGCGACAGGGCACAGAACAACGCTGCGTTCGTCGCCCACTCCGGCTCCTCCAACTCCAACACCCACACCAACGCCACCCTCCTCGTTACTGCTGGTACCAGCCCCAGCACGAGCAGTAGCAGGAGCAGCAGCCGACGCGAGCCGCCCTCGCGCGCCGAGTCGCCTTCCGCGCAGACGACCGCTTCGTCTGCGTCCAACTCGACCACAACCTCCAACTCGTCCAACTCTTCTAGCTCGTCCGCTTCCTCTGCGAGCTCCGCCCTGACGTCGATTACCACCCCTTCCTCATCCCCCGTAGTCAATTTCCCCTCCGCGGCAGAGAAGCTCGTGAAAGGTCCGAGCGCCTTTAGAGCAGGAGCAGGGGGTGCGTATACGCCGACGACTGAACAGACGCGCACGAAGCGCCGGATGTCGGCGTCTGCGACGATGTTCAAGTCACTTGGGTGGGGGAAGGGCAGACCGGGGAGCAGTGGTGGGCACCCTCAGCCGCCGTTGCCGTTGCCTTTGCCTTTGCGCTCTATTACGATTGGCGGCGGCGGCAGTGGGACCATGCCGATGGTCGTCCGCGCCGAAGCGTCAAGTTGAGGGCTAACAACTCTGCAACTAAAACCCAAAAAATGCAGTTATGCGTTGTTCGCTCTCTCGCTCGCCCTGATCGCGTCGCTATTCGTTATTTTTTTATATTTCCTTCACTCCGTCTTTCATTTGCTATCTTCATCCATCCATTCCGTCTACTTATCCCTTCTTCATGCATCCTTTCCCATCCTAGTCAATCAACGTTTTTCATGATCGCTATGACCTCATTCATGTCCTCGCCAACCTACTTCCTATTCACATTCACATTCATAACATTGACCTCGCATGCATACATACGTACCTTCAAGTTCCCTTTCTCCTATCCATCCATTCTACTCATCTTTAATCGTAACCCACTGGAAAACACCCTTCACAGCCCCCGAGCTCGTTGTATTTATAGCATATCTCATATCCTACCTCTTCCCTTCCTTTCTGCATCCTCTGATCTATTCACGTTCATCGTTGTGTTTTTCCTTATCACTTCACGCTCATCAGCCCCAAATCCTAGCTTTTTGTCATTTATTGCATTAATTAGCACGTTGGTAGGGAATTAAAGTATACCCATCTTGGAACTTGGATGAGAGTCCTGAGCAGACGAGCTGGATTGGGTCAAGTGCCTTCCTGGATAGGATATTGCCGCCGAGGCGTCGCCCTTGCGCCACACAACTTCCTTGGCCTAGAAGAGTCGAAGCTCTTCTAGTCTCTTTCTGTGAAAGAAAGTAGGCGCAAAGTTCTTGAAGTGGAGTGGGGCTAGCTCGTAAATCCGCATTCTAACCGACCTCCGATTTGTCCCACCCAGAGGGGTAATTCCGACACGCTTCGATAATACAACCAAAATGTCCTTGAACATAACCCAAAACAAATCGTACATACGAGCAGAATACATACAACAAGACCTTCCTAGAGGGTATTGTGATTCTCCGTACCTGAAAATCGATACCCGTGCAGTCCAGATAGCAGGAAAGAGGAAGGGATAGAGAGAGAAAATAACAGAGAGAGAGAAGAGAGAAGATACACAACAAAACAAGAAGAGTTGTCGCCAGGAGGGATAAAGGAAGGATAAATCACAGCAAGTTCGAGTTTCGAGTCATACATTGGTGACATTCAGTCTGTTGGTTCGTTGGTCGTTTGTGCGCACTGTCCTTGGCGTCTTTCATCTATTTTTTAGAGTCGTTGGGTGTCCAAGAGTGTAATATGTAGCCCAGATCTGCTTCGGTTAGAAACTTCCCTTACGATTTTCGAGTTTACGAATCCTGCCCACCAGGTGGGCCGTAGGTGCGTGTGTGCTGTCCACCAGAATTTGACAGGGCATATGCATTATGCCTTGACCTTCTTCGAGCCTTGGGGTTCGGCGTCGTCGGCGTCGTCCTCGACGACCTCCTGGATGGAACGCTTCCGCGAGATGGGCTCGGGGGCCTCGACGACAGCGGGGGGCGCGGGGTTGTCTACGTAGTCGTCATCGTCGTCTTCGTCATCGTTTTCGTCTACCTCGTCGTCCTCGTCGTCCACGTCGTCCACGTCATCATCGTCGGCCGGTGCATTGGGCTAGAAAGACGGCGACACCTCACGGTCAGTCCGCGGCACTCAAGCGGGTGAAGAGGACTACACACGTTGCCAAGCAGGAGGTGGGTGAGAGTGTTCGTGCCCTGATGACGGACAAACCAGCGTGAGCATTGGATTGGCAACGGTAGCGGAGCAGAGCGAGGGAAGAAAAAAGTGACGCAGGGAAAGGTGGGACGTACACGGTGATCTTGCACCTCCTCTTCCTCTTCCTCGCCCTCAGGCTCGTAGGTACCCCCGCCTTCCTCTTCTTCCTCCACCTCGTATTCGTCATCTTCGTCCTCGTCCTCGTCGCCGACAATCTGCCTTTCTTCCTGTGAATTGCGGTTCAGCGCCTGTGCAGTGCGGAGATACGGCTGGGGGCCCAACGCGACGTGGCGCGCATACCTCGAAGTCAACCTCCTCCCCGCGCTCCTCGCCACCATTGAGGGCTCCCTCGTCGCCTTCTACATCTACGGGGATCGCTTTCTCGGGCGCTTTGCCCACGGCACCATTGACGACGCCTTCGTTCTTATCGTGGTGGGTATGTTCAGCAACTTCTGTCATATTTGCTTCCGTCTTCTCTCCGTTGCGTCCTCGATCGGTCGTTGGTCGGTTGGGGCACGCTGGGGCAGGAGGCTGACGTGGAGGAGAAGGATGTAGGGGGGACGCGAAGAGGGGGATATGGTGCGGCTTATCAACGGAATGATGCCCAGTTGACAGTGAGACTCACGGATGTCGAGCATTCTCGGGGGACGCTCGAGCCCTCCCAACGGACGGACGGCGACGCACCGAAACTATTCTCATCGCCCACTCCCGAAGATCACGTGAGCATATTGCACACGCGTTTGTGTACGCGACGATTTCAAATGGAGAATGTGGCGCGTCGGATGGAGAGGGAATTTCTGCCTCGGTCGGGACAGGTCTTGGCGGTTACTTCTGACGCCGGACAATATAAGAGACAATTCTTCGTTGGAAATTACAGTTATATCGTTGCCGGAAAATATGCCAGATCTCGTTGGCAGAACGTTTGGTTAGTGGGTCGACTACAGCTTCCAAGGCAGAGAAAAGGTATGTGTAAAGTTATTAGAGATACAGAGGGTTCTCTGGACGCTTGAAGAATGTGAACTGGTCAAAGCAGGTGAGAGGCCTGAAAGAGAAATAAGCAAAACTCGGAGAGGTAAGAGAACGAGGGCGGGAGGTTCAAGAGCAGACAAATAGGTATAAATGACTCCGAGGGACCTGCTTCATAGAGGAACATAGAGGAAGGAGGGGTACGCCCTCCGTGCGAGTCCTAGCGGTATGTAAATAGAGAAAAGAGGATATCGCGTTCACTAGACATTTTCATATTTTGTGACCTGCTCGCCCTCTGACTTCTCTTTTTCTCCTGATTTGCGCAGATGTATCCCACCCGAGGTGCGTCCGGGTGATCCGGGGCCCGGGGAGAGCGATGTTGGGGTATTGGTGGCTTCCAACGCGTCAGTCGCGTTCAACTCGCTTTGCTGGGTGTTTGATACATGGAAGTTCAAGCTGTGGGCCGTCTGCCATGTCGCGGCCAACGTCTTCTGGTTCAGCGCCCGTCCCTCTGCAACGCGGTAAATGATCAAATAGCCAGCGATTTGCTACCCCGGCCGCAACAGAAAGCGTTAGCTTTTATTATATAAAAACCATACAACTCGATCAACCGACTGACCTGTGCAGACGAGGCGAATGCAAGGAAGACCTGGTTGATCGGATTGTCAATGGCATAAGTAATGATGAATATGATGGCAAAGAAGGAATAGAGAGCAGCGGATTCAACAAAAATGGCTGCGAGAGAGAAGTACTCCGTTCCGTGGTTAGGTGCAATGGTCGCCATCATTTTTCTGCGATATAAGAGGAGCCTTGTGGCGATGAGGATCGTCAGGATGATGTTGACGCTGAGGGAGATGACATAGTATGATGTTCCGTACGCCATGGGAAGTGCACTGTATAATGAGAGACCAGGTTGACTTGATTGAAGCGTCCAGAGTGTGCCCATCACTAGAAATCGAATCAGACGCAAACAGAAGAGAGGAAGGGAGGGTTGCTCACCGAAGGATGCCAGAAGCATGAGAGCAGGGAAGGCAACGACCACATAAGCGATGGTAACCCTTGTTGCACTCCAGATAATCCAACATCTCCATAGCTGAAAGCAAACGGTCAGTTATAATTATGATCTGAAATTGAACATCTCTAAAATATACCCACAATGAGCAAGTCAGCAAGGAAGGTCAAGACGAATAGCGTTGCGTAAAACATAATATTGACAGGAAGGTTCTGCGTAGCCAGGAAGTACTGCCAGGGTCCTCCCGGATAATTTCGATTGTCGATATACATTATCTGCACCGTGCGTGCTTGTACGGCACAGTAGATAGTCTGCACGGTGAGAAGAAGTGTCATGTAGGCAAGGAGGAAATATGTCTGTCGGCCTTTGGTCCGGCGTGTGTTCCATAAATATATCGCGCAACTAGTAAAAAGGACAATCTGGATGCCTGAATTCCGATTGTAAAAGGGACAACGTAAGGATTGGGTAAGACACGCACCATAGCCCATCCCGGTCAGAAAGTCGCCAGCGACGAACGTTCGCTCGAGTGCGATCTCATGAGGCGAGCCTTCAGGCCCCCACTCTGGATTTGAGGTCATGTCCACGACAGGTGTTTGGAATTCCGTTGACTTTCAGGTGAGCGTAGCCTAGATTCTAGATGTGTCTGCGGCAGCCGTGCGGGTAGAGCAATCGACAACATCTATCCCTCCCGCAACTGACAGTTTTATACACCCTGGAAGAAGTGTATCACAATTTCTTCTTGCCTCCCTTCCCAGGTGGTAGCTTCCAAGCCTGCTGATAGGTTCACGAACGCATGGTATCCATCTGTTAGACACGCTCAGAAGGTTTGCGGTACCCGACGATGGTGGATCTTTGTCGAATAACCTGTTCTTGACATAGAGAAGCGTGTTGAGAAGATATGCCAATCAGCAGCTCGTCCAATAGGGCTTTAGCGGCCGCAACGCGGGCTCCTATTCGTGGATTGGAAGAGAACGAAGCAGAAATTGGGCGTCATTATGATTGGATTGTCGTTTTATGTTGACAGGACTAGAAGATGACTGGTGTACCGAGGGAGTTTTGTTGTAAGTTGAATTTGAACAGAAGACTGATTTCAATCTTGAAGAACGAGTAGTGCTTCTGTACGTGGCGAGATGAAGCCAATAGGTGCTTGCAATAAGGACATACGAAGATACTTCAGAAAATCATTGCTGTGATGGAAAGCAAGAAGGCGTTACAAAAGGGACGCCGACTTCGACTTCGACTTCGGTCGGAGCCGCCGGCGATCACGGACCGATTTTCAAAATAACTCTTGTCAGAATATCCAGCCGGCTGGGAGAGTCCGGAGCCCGGAGTCTTGTCCCTACTCTTGCAACATTTCTCTTCTACGACCAGGCTTAAGTCTTGTGTACCAAAAAATGAAACCCTCTACTTTGCTGCGAACTGTGCCTCCTCACAGGAAGTTCTTTGAACAAATTATTGGGTGAACGACTCCCCTGCCACTTTATGGAAGGCACGGGAAAACTCTAGTACTGGTGGCTGGAATTTGAGAAACTCACAACCCAGCAACATTCCAGGTTAAATAATGTGATGATAGATTGTGGGAGATACATGAAGACATTGAGAAATAAATAACACCAGGATAAACCGGTGTGAAACAACTAAGAAGAGCTCAGCATTTGGAAAAACGCCTGAGGGAGCGCATACGAAGACGGCGCGGTATAAATAAGCTCGACTACCCAACAGTCCAGCTTCGTTGGTGTCCTCCGGGGCGCCTGCTAGCGTGGAAGGTGAGGTCGATGGTCTGCTCGGTGACTTCTCCGTGGACAAGTTGGATGTATACGCAGACATGTTTGGGCGCTTATCCGCCTCCGCTTCCCTCCGGCATAGCGAAATCGAAAGAAATAGTACATACCTAGTCACATAACACTCGTCTATCGCAATTCCATTTCTTTATCCATCATATCTTGTGTGGTTCTGTGACTTCAACCGGCGGGTGTTTTGCATTTGGGAGAGAACAAACACTGGAGGGCATCAACTAGCCATCGGACACCGTAAGCGCCGGCCAAAGGAGCAAGACGGAAAACGCGACGTCCGGCGGTTTGTCTATTTCTTCCCAAATAGTGTAAGAGGATATCCGAGGTGATGCGCCACGGCGCTTACTTGGGTGACCCTGCCTCAGTAATCGGGGACCACTGTGGTAAGCACACGGGGCCGACTTGCAATATGTTGGGGAGGCTGGTCACGAGCCTATGCCAAGCTTTGGTGCACCATCTAATCTCCTCTCCAACTGTGATGACCAACACCGACGATGGGGAGTCCTCGCTGGAAAACCGCCATTGAAAATGCATTGTCGCAATACAAGAAGCAGAATGGTAGTGCTCCTATGACGAATTACCATCGTCTGTTCCTGGGTTGACATACTTTGAAGTGATGCAGGTTGCAACGCTCGACTCCTCGAGAGCCATAGGGCCGATTCCCCGCGTCCGCTCCCTAGCATTCTGCGGCTGGAAAGCCCAAACAATGCCTCTCTCCCACTTCTCCTAACTTCAACAGACATCCGCACGTCCAAAGTCTCCCAACTCACCGCCTCCTCCAAAGCGGAAGTTGTCTGGTGGATCGAGGGCACTGTACAGCAATTTCGCATCATCGCCGACATCTACCTTGTTCCCCATCCAGACCACGCACTTCACGCGCACTTTATTGACGTGCTCGCCAAATCTGAATACGGGACGGGGTTGGCGCTGTTCAAGGAAGAAGGCTGGGAGGCACGGCGCGTGGGGTTCTTCCGAGCGATGAGCGCGCAGATGAGGGCGATCTGGTGCAGGCCTGCACGTGGCACTCCGTTGAAAGGTGGTCAGGAGGAGGCAAAGAAGTGGCCTGAACGTGTGGATGAGCCCGACCCGGATGCAAGCAGGGAGAAGTACGAGGAAGCGAAGAGGATTTGGGAAATGGCATTGGGCAATTTCGCGTTGATGGTTATCGACCCTATTGAGGTTGATCTTGTTGACCTGTCCAGTCCTCCGGATAAGAGGTCACTCTTTACGAAAAGGATAGACTCGAACGAGGGTGTTCAGTGGGAGGAAACAGAATTAGTCCCCTGATTGAAATTTTGAATACAGATTGATTGTATGATAGCATGATAGGCTGTGTAATCTGTACGTATAATCAAACGGCAGTGTAAGCCTTCTTCAAGTCGGCCCTCGCAAAATATAAATCGAGAAAACCGAGCAACGTCCATTGTCATTAGACATTTTCGTAGTTGTTGATCTGTACGACTTCCGACTTTTCTCCCAATTGGGGCAGACCAACCTCGCGAGAAGTTCGTCTAGGGGATTCAGAAGGCGGCAGCGCTGGTGGGTTAGCGCTGCCCAAGGCACTTGTGTTAAATTCGCTCTGGTGAGAGTCCGATACATGGAAATTTAAATCGTGGAGTGTTTTTCGGGTTGCAACCAAAGTTTGTTGGTCCAACGCCCGTCCCTCTGCGACGCGGTAAATGATCAAATAGCCAGCGATTTGCTACACCGAGTGCAAAACACAACATTAGCCACGACCCAACCACACACAAGTCAGCCAACTCACCTGGGAAGCTGAGGCAAATGCCAGGAAGATCTGGTTCATCGGATGGTCGATAGCGTAAGTGACGATGAACATAATGGCAAAGATGGAATAGAGAGCCGCAGACTCGATAAAAATTGTGGCGAGTGAAAAGTATTTGCTTCCGTGGTCGGGTGAGATAATCGCCGATATTTTTCTGCGGTATAGAAGGAGCCTTATGGCGATGAGGATGGTTAGGATAATGTTGACGCCGAGGGACACGACAAAATACGAGGTTCCGTATGCGATGGGGACTGCACTGTATAATGAGACACCAGGCTTGCTTGAGTGAATTGTCCAAAGTGTGCCCAACACTAGAAATTGGGTCAGAGACTATGTAAACAAATGAACAAGGGGCTTCGTACCGAAAGATGCTAGAAGCATGACGGTGGGGAAGGCAATGACCACATAGGCGATGGTAACCCCTGTTGCACTCCAAATGACCCAACATCTCCATAACTGTAGATCATGAAAGTCATCCATAAGGCGTGAAATTTCCAAACTCTCGAACAGCACTCACGATGAGTAGATCGGCAAGGAACGTCAAGAGGAATAGCAGAGTATAAACATAACATTGACAGGAAGGTCTTGCGTGGCCAGGAAGTACTGCCATGGGCCTCCTGGATATCTTCGATTATCGACATACATTAATTGCACTGTATGCGCCTGAACGGCGCAGTAGATCGTCTCGACGCAGAACAAGAGCGTCATGTAGGCAAGGAGGAAATACGACTGCCGGCCCCTGTTGCGGCGCGTCCTCCAAAAATACAAAGCGCAACTGGCGAATAGAACAACCTGAATCCCTGGGTTTCGATCTGAGAACCCGTCAAATATCGAGAAGACAAATTACGCACCATAACCTGCCCCAGTCAGAAAGTCGCAAGCAACGTAGGCTCGCTCGAGGATAATTTCATGAGGCGTTCCTTCCGGTCCCCAAGCTGGATTAGAAGTCATGACTACGGCGAGGGTTGGCAGTTCCGTCAGCGTTCAAATGGACGTAGCTCGGACGTAGGTGTAGTGGCCGTGCGAGGAAAACAATTGACAGCATATATCTCCCGTAACTGACAGCTTTATAGATTCTTGAAGGGCACGCTCCTGCTCGTATATCAGAGGAGGATGGGGCTGGGCCACAATGGATGATGAACGCGATGTTGTTTTACCTCGAAGCAGTGCGTTGCCAGGACTGAAACCAAACGTTGTGGCGCAAGAGGGCTTCTATGAGGGGTGTTCTTGATTGATTCGGAGAATTTATTTACACCAAGAACGGCAAAAATGAGACGACGAACAGGAAAAAGCTCGCTCTTGACGTTCAGTGCGCACTATTTGTAAGCCTGGGGCATTTTCGGGGTGGTCGACGACATCGTAAATGTCGCGATTCTTGATTCATCTTGAAGAGGGCATGTGCCTTGGCAGGGAGAGAACCTATTCGGATTGTCTTGACGCTTTCTCCTCGACGGTTGAACAGAGAACTGTCCGCGAGTGATTCTGTCCGCGATGAGTGGAGATAAGATGAGACCAATCCGTGCTGCAATAAGGACTGAAGGAAATACATACTTGACGGGTGACTACCTTTGCGGGCATGACGGAAACACGAAAAAGGGGGTACCGCGGTTCGAACCGCGGGTCAACCGGTCACATGCATATGCATTATCTTATCTGTGCCCAGGCCAGTTACATAACTTCCAACCAACGGATCTTCCGACTTCCAACCAAACTCATTGAAAGACATGGCCGACCAACCCCCCGCATTTCTTCTCGACCTCTTGAAGCACCATGAAGAACCACCTCCGGCGGAACGACCTCATGTAACACTGACCTTCGCCCAATCCATCGACGCGAAAATCGCGGGTGCAGGTGGACGGCAGCTCATCTTGAGCGGGAAAGAGAGCATGGTGATGACACACTGGTGAGTTTCACGTCCGTATATCTCACATCTGGGGGTTGACAAAGTTCGACTTTGAAATGTTGAAAGGCAGGATGCGAACCATGCACGATGGCATTCTCGTGGGCATCGGGACAGCATTGAACGATGATCCTCAGTTGAACGGTCCGTGCACTACTCGTACTTGCCTCCTCCTTTCATCTTCACATTTACAACAGTCAGACATCTTGCACCACCTAGCGGTTCTGGCCCTCACCACCTCCCAAGACCGATTATCATCGACACACATCTTGGCCTCTTACCGACATGCAAGTTGCTTGCGAACTTCCAGAACGGAACAGGACGACGACCATGGATCGTCTGCTCCTCCATCTCACCCGAAGTGGAAGAAGACAAGCAGCAACGGAAAGGAATGCTAGAGGAGGCAGGTGCGAAGATAATTGAACTGCCCCTCTCTCCGCGGTCGTCTCCTCCAGGGTATCTACCTGTTCCACTGATCCTGAAAGCTCTTCGTGATTTGGGAGTCTGCTCTCTGATGGTCGAGGGTGGCGCACGGATTATCGCTTCATTCCTTTCTGAGCCCGTCGTCGACGCTCTCATCGTCACTATCGCGCCGGTTCTCGTTGGAGATGCAGGAGTGGGATATCAGTCGCCCACATTCCTGTCGAATAACGGAGAACTCAAAGCGAGATTCAAGGACGTGCACACAGAGTCCTTCGGAAAGGATACCGTAGTTGCCTTTGAGGCCTTGCCCTGAGCAAGTGCAAAGGGAATCAATCTTGTATTGCACTGCGTGTATGTGTACAATCTCAGAGGCATGATCCAACACATCTATGATATTCACAATCTTGATACTAAAGTGGCATTTGATGATTTCTAAATAATATGGCACAGGCAGGGACAAAAACGCAATGAGGGTTAACGAAGCAATAGTACACACTGGATGAACGAGTGAGTGGATGAGGCAAAAGGAAATGGAAACCGAGTCCACAGCGACAACTCCTCAAAAATGTTAGATACTAATACATACTGGCGACGTCGCCGACTGGAAAAACGTTGTTCTGTTCTCAAGAATTTACTCGTCCTCTGAGTTATCGTCGTAGAGCAGGACGTAGTCCATCGCAGAAACAGAGTTGGAACGGCCTGCAGTGCTAGTATGAGACGGCGATGCATTGGCGCGCGTAGTACCAGCAGCAGCGAGCTCGGCCGTAGCCTGCGAACGAGTATCGTGCCACAACGCCTCATCTTCGTCTTCGGATGAGGACGGCATGCTGATCAACGAGATGTCTGAACCCGCATCCGACATGTTGTCCTCCGTGGCAGTAGAAACGACAGATGTGGTCTCTGTCGAATGCGTGTGGGCAGTCAACGAGGGTGGATGCTCGGTGTGTGGAACTGAAGGTGGGGTTGGCATGATGATGGAAGAGGCAGCCATGGATTCGCCGGATGAGTGGTGCGAGTCGGACTCGACAACGTTGATCCTAGAAGAAACCAATCAGTTTTAGCGTCCGTTGGTGAGTACCTGGAATTCAAATCACTCACTCGATCCAAAGGCTGTTGCCAAACAACTCTCCGTCGGCCTTCAACCTCCAATAGCCCACATAACGTCCCGGTGCATCAGGAGCCTAATAACGATGATAGTTAGTATGACAATTGTCTGTCGAGCAAGGAGTGAAGACGAACCTTCAATTCGCCAGTCCAGATATCGGCCTCAGCTCCTGAAGCTACCTTTCCAACCTCGACGACCATTGACGACGCCTTATCCTTCTCGGCCGTCAGGGTCTCCCCTGCGACGAATACAAGCTGCGTCGATTCTGGCCAATCACGGGCACTATCGTTCAACAACCTCCAGCACTTAACGAATTCCGCGCCAGGTGGGAAGACCTGGCCGTCTGAAACTGTAACATCCTCGACGAAGGAAGCACTCAGAGCCACGCGAGGCTCCGGTGCAGGTGCTGAGACAGGCTCTGGGGCACTGCGCGGTACCAAGGTTGGCAGCTCGTCGATGAGGTCCGCCAGCGACTGGCGCTGAGAGAGGGCAGGGAACGCGCTCGAGTTCGGCGACACAGACCTGTTGACAAGCGGCTCTTCCGAGACTGACGATCGCGGACCACTGCGCAGCGTCTCCTCAAGACGGCCAATACCCTCTAGCAGATGGTTAATCTCGGAAGAGAAGTCGACGCTCCATGGAGCTGACTGAGAGCTTTGCGGGATGACCAGGGGCTCGGCAACCGGCGCAGGAGCGTTCTCGTTGTTGGTCGTCTGTGGCTCCGCAGGGCTCGGGACCGATGGGACAGTCGATGGGGTCTGAAGTCCAGACGACAACCTTTCCAGAAGGACCAGGTCAGCCTCAGCGTTTGTGCGGACCAAGTCTGCAGCACGTTCCAAGAGCACTTTATCGTCCTCGTTCTGCTGAATGGCCTCGGCGACGGCAACATGCTCTAATTGTTCTAGGACAGGCTCCAAAAGCGACTTGTCTTCAGGAGCCGACAGAGCCGACAGACGATCCATCAAAGACTGCCTTTCCGCCATAACTGGCTCTTGCTGCACATAATGCAAATCAGGGATTGCGTCAAGCACACTCTGCGACGTTGAGGGGCCAGCGAAGTCCGCGATGAGCTGGAGAAGTTCCTGGCGCTCAGCAGGGTTCGTTGTGGGCCATGGGTTAGGGATGTGTCTGGGAACGCTGGGCAACGTGACTTCAGGTTGCTCAACCTCGACAGAAGCGGGAACTGGAACGGCTGGCATGGTGGGTGGCATATCCGCGAAAGGGTTGGTTGCGGGTGGCTGGGCGCTGTGGCGGTTAGTCATACGCGAAAGCTCCTGTTCCATGGCGCGGACAAACTCTTTGTCGTCGGCGGTAAATGCCTCGTTAGTAGCCCTGAGCGCATCGTTGGTAGCCTTCAAAACGTCAGTGAAGTCCCAGGGTTGATAGAGCATCGCTTTTGGTTTAGGAGGAATGGGAGGTTTGACCGATGGCAATGGGACCGAACTGGCAGTCGGAGTCTTGATCCGTTCCTCTTCTGCGGGGCTGCGCGGACGAGATGCAGGTGGAGTTGACTCATACCAGAAAGGTGCTGGTAGGACGGGCGGAGGAGATGCTCGAGTTTCAACGTTGACATTCTGCGAGTTGACTTTTGGAGTCGTCTGGACCTCTTCAGGACGGGGAATAAGGGTGCTTTGACCAACACGGTACACGGTGGGAATGACAGTTTCTGGAGCCTTCATCTTCAGCAAAGGGTGATTATCCGGATGAACCGGGATCGGAAGAGCCTCGCAGTTTGCGCATAAGTCATAGTCAGGACATTCAGGGTGCATGCACTAGCAGGACTAATTCAGAAATGCGCCCAAAGGCAGTAGTAACCTGTGTCTTACCTTGTATCTGACACCGAAAATGGTTTTCTGGCAACCGTCGCAAGTTGCATAGTGCATTGGGCTAGGAGGAGCTCGAGCGCGCTGCGTAGAGATTAACAGTGAATATGAGGGCCCTCTAGACACGACGACGGCTTACAATGTAATCAGCCCTCTTGGAGATACGGACGAAAGGATGGTGAGGATGCTGCTCTTCGGTGATGCTGGGAAGGAATGAATGAGCGACACAAATATGTGAACATAAGGTGGGAGCCTTACCTGAAGCAAGAATTGCAAGTGTCGAAGTCAGGGCAAACAACACATTTCTGCACCAAGTACGGTCAGTGAGGAACGCTGCATTGAATGGAAGAAAACCCACGTAGCGGTCACCCTGGATTCTAGAGTCGCACAGATCGCAGTTGGCAGAGTGAGATTCAACTGAAGCCTCTCGAACAGGGGCCCGGTGGGCAGAGTTCAGTCCTTCTCTTTCACCCCGTCCGCTAAATACAGTGTGCACGACGACCCGACCAGGCTCTTTAAGTTCGAAGAATTCGTGGAACGGATTGTGTCTTTCAGCCGACCCCGCCGAGATGCAAGCAGTGCATAAGTCGTAATCTTCCCCGTCCACGGATTAGATATTTCTTTTTAACAAGACGGAGCAATGGCATACCTGGACAGTCGAGACATTTGTGACGAACACCTTGTATAGTGTCTCGACATGCGTCACACCAAACTCCAGTATGAACAACGGGTGCAGGATCTGCATTACGACCAGGGTTCTCCAGACCATCAGACCGGTCAGACCTCGGCGAACATGCAGCTGGTTCGGCGATGGGAGGGTTGGGCATCGAAGCTGGTGTTGCCCAAGGCGTAGGAAGGTGAGGGATGGCTGGACCGGGTTGCCTACCAGACTCGAGTTGCATGTTGTGGGGTCCCATCACGCTCAAACAGAATCCAGGTCGTCCGCGCTCATGACAAGCTTTGCACTACGTGACAGATTAGTAAGGTGAAGGTTGCCTGAGAGCCAAATCACTCACAACAACAATGTGGCAATCGGTGCACGAATACCAGACTTTCTGGCCGTCTTCTGTTGAAGAGATGTTGGTGATACACATAGAGCACAAAGACGGAGGAGGTGCTGATTCAGTCATGCCATTTGACGTCCTCTGCGGCGCACTGAGGCTATATACCAACGGCACCCCGAGATTGTTTTCTAAGACACTGTTCAAACTTTTCTCGAAGTTTGTCAGCATGGCCTGGATGTCGGCTTTGCCCTGAGAGACTGAGCAACAAGCATCCATTGCCGGAGCTGACATCCTGTGCTGCGGCGGAGGCCGCAAGTACTGCGGACGGTAGTGATGCCTCTGGATATGAGGCAACGTCGGTGCTGGGGGCTCAACGTCCATAGGAACACCCGATGCGTATTGGAAAGTGGATGGGGTGGCAACTGGGATATGAGACATAGAGGCGTGGCGCAAGTGCGATGGCGAATCGCGAGTACTCCCTGACAAGCAGCAACCGCCTCCATCAGCCCTAGAAAGCACATCGAGGGCAAAATACTCACTAAGAGAGCCGTATGGCGCTATGATGTCGTCGCAGATGGTCAGCCTCAAGAGGGCATTTGGCCAGCTTCGATCCTTAAACTGGCGAATGTACCGATGATAGTCGTGCGAGGAACGAACCTCCTTGCCGATTAGAATGCGAGATGCAGAGCTGGCATCAGGCGAGAACTGAAGTTTAGACAGATGGAAAGGCTGGATAATAGAGAAAATGCGGCGAAGCTAGAGGTCGAAAGGTGAGTCCTTATCCGTCGATGATGCCACCATGGAGACACTGACCTCAATGCAGATAGAGTGATACGGGGGGAACGTATTCGTATCAGGAAAAGTGTATTTGCGAGTTTCGTTGCGGTAGGTCGCCTTGATGGTGAACATGGTGGATGAAGAGGAGTGTGGAGGGCGTAGGTGGTGGATAAGACCTCGAAGCCCCGCAGTCTTGATGACTCTATTTATGTAAAGCACTGCCCGGTCACGTTAGTCACACTTCCCGCAGACGCCGCAGACTCCGCCCGCACCCCGCACTGACGCGTCTTGCACTCGAACCTTCCACACAGTTCAAGTCACCGTCCTACGCATCCTCTGAATAATCTCAATCTGCTGTACGCGTCATCTGAGGGATCCGGGCGAGACGGGTCTTGTGTGTCACACGGCGTCTTAGTTCCGGCGCCTGTGCTTCGGATGCGCTGATGGGAGCATATACCAGTTCTACATAGGCGCCCTCCTCATTGGCTTGCGCAGCCTTTACGCGGTACGGTGTTGCTTAGGACCTGCCAAATCCGACGGCTGTCCAGCACCCTCCCCCTCCTGATCACGGTGTCATAAATGCGATAATCATTCCATGGCAATGCGTAGAATTGGTACAAATTGATGTAGGTCCCGTTAAAATCACGAGCGGTGTCATCCTCAGGCAGGAACGACTTCCGTGATCGAAGCCCACCCTCTTTAAAGGGAGAACGGCACGTCAGAGTAACTCATAAAGAATAGAAGGGGCTGACCTGGTGGCGTGTACTTTCTTGATCTTCATCCCGCCAAGTTCCACCATCTCCTGCAGCTGCGGAAGGGTGCGTTCGAAAGCTTTTAAAGGAGTTATCAAGCAGACCAGTCAAAATATTAGATATACTCACAGTTGCAAAGGGCCGTCAAAGCAACATTGATTTGATGCTGCATGCGACTGGCCTCGCCGAAATCAGCAGGAACGAAGGGCGGAGGAGGTGCAGGCTGGTAAATGTTCTTGTTGAGGGCGAGAAGAGATTGGACAAGCTCGGGGCCCTCAGAGGAAACGACCGCTGGCAAAATGACGGTGTCGATGATCAAGAGGGAGCTCTGTAGAACGCTCAGTCAGTCTATGTGGGAGGAACAGGGGAGTGTCAGAAATATACGCACGTTCTCGTTCAGAACGTCCTTGATATGTTTGATCATAATGGCACCTTCCGCATTATGAGAGGCGCATTGGGGAAAAGAGAACGCACAAAAGCGTACCTTTCTCCGTACTCCAGTCGTGCAAGACGCGCTGCATAACAAAGACGTATTTGCCTTTGCGTTGCTGCGGCTTGAAGAAGTCTTGAGCCTCGAACTCAACACGTCCGGTCAGGCCTTTGGAAGCAATGAAAGATTCGGCGGCTTCCCGAGTCTCCGGAAGATCCTGAACGATGAATTTTTTGATGTCTGGATATCTGCGGCGTGGTTACTTGATCAATCTAATACAGCTGATGAGACGAGACAGCCGCTTACTTTGCAGCGAGAGAGCAGCAGAGTGTCCCCTGACCACCTCCGACATCGACAATGCCGTCCTTGCCTTTCGTAATGGCATCCCAAGCGAAATCAGCCGCGACGCCGGGATCGGATGTAGGTCCAACGGCACCCATGCTGCAAGGGGAATCGAGACCCAGATTGGAGTGTGATATGAGTGAAGATAGAAGTAGTAACTTACGCAAGGCCAAACTTGACAGCTTCTTGAGGGTCCTTCGTGAGCCAACCATCAGCACCGAAGTAAGCAACGTCGGTCTTGTAGGCGAGTTGGAAAGCAGTGTGGAAGGGATCGTTGTTCTTTTTGAACTCGGGATCGAGGTGGTTGACAGCGTCTGCAAAGCTGGCGCCGATCTTGTTGAAGAGGTCATTCCTAATGCCATGGAACGTGTCAGTACATTGCAGTGGCAATGTAGAACTTGGCACTGACATGTAAGTGGCGAGGTGGTACCCAGGCTGGTCCTTCTTGATGAGGTTGCTGAGTCGGTTATTGGCGAAGTAGCCATGCTTGGTCTCTCTGAACCAGCCTTGAGTGATCAAGAGACGAAGGACGCGTTCTGAAAATAAGACAAAATAATTCGAGAGGTGCTTTGACGAAAAGAAAATGAGAGAGACAAACCAAGTTTCAACGCGTCGACGCCAGTCTTCTCAGCGATCTCTGCAAGGCTCAAGCCTTCCTCAGAGTCTCCAAGAACAGTAGCAAGTCCAATTTCTGCTGTCAAACGGACGCCGGCGACCTCCAAGACCATCCAGGTGTTGGCGGTCAGCGCGTCCCAGGGGGACTGGATCAAGGATTTGATCAGGCCCTACAATTCATTAGTCGATCAACAAGCGCCATAGAAGGTAGATCAGAATCCAGGAGGATCACACTTACAAGGCTAGCGAGCGCAGCCCTTCGCGCCTCATGCATCGCGGGTGTCGGGAGATATGTAATCTCATCGATGGGATGTGCCTTGGAAGTGTTGAGAGACGGCTCTGGGAGGTTTTGTGCCGCGAGTTCCGCCTTGAAGGCATCGAGGGCGACGTTGAGCGTCTTCTGGAGGCTGGTGATTTCAGAGACCGACATGGTGAAGTTTTCTACGTCTGTCAGAGAGCTGAGTCTGAGGATCCCCAAGAGTGGGCATGGGCCCCCATTTTATTCCCCCACAAGCCAAAGGCATGGCCGGTAAGCGAGAGAGTCTGACAGATGGGGATAGGGAGGTCACTTTTCCAGGCGACGATGAGGTCGTCAAAGCAAAACGAGGCATAGATTTCCAGGGTTCTTTTGTTGATAAGTTTTTAGCCTGAAGGGCCGCACCCGCCTGCTGACTTCAGTAACACAAAGGCCCTTGATGGACAGCAGCCGATAAGTGTTCCGGAGTCCCATGTCAGAACTAGGCTATTTCCAGTATTTCCGACCCAGCGCTTCGCAAAAACTGGGAGGAATGTTGTGGGCGCAAGCAGGCACGGAACTCGTCTTCGCACTCTTGCACAATAGCTGTTGGCTTATACACTGTGCAAGACCCAGAGCAGCTTCTCCGAAAGGTTTGGCAGAGTTATGATGCTGGTCCAGAATCAATGCAAGGGGAAGGAAGTGGTTGGACTTACTATTCCATGAATCGCAAGTTGTGTTGTGTTTGGCCTTTCTCCGCTTCGGCGCGCTCCTGCAGGTCGGCATCTTTCTTCCATCCCGAATCTTTCTTCCCAGGTACGTCAAAGAGATTTGAAGAAAGGCTAGATTTACATGTCCATGAAAACAGGCAGCGACGAACTTCCGACTTTGAAAAGTAAGTAAATCTTGGAATTACAGGCCCTCGACTCGGATGATATTGAACTGATTTCTGCCCCAGATGATCCCGAGTCGGCCACCCTTACTCTAAATCATCCCCCATATTTTAGAGGGATCAGAATGAATATCAGGATCGCATTCCGTTCTGATATTCCTGAATGTCGATTAGTTTGACATATTACACCAACCCTAGCCACTAATCCGATATGGCCTGAACCGTTGCTGCTTGTGATGAAGGGCGACCAGCTACCCTTCCTGTGAGAGTTCCACCAACCCCTTTTTGACAAAACTGACAAGGCTCATGTCACCCACAGACCATTTAAATTGGAGAGCTTGAAGGAATATCATTCAGTGGATTCCTCCCCGATTCCTTTGGACATCTTCTCCTACCAGCTTCTCGACCATGGGCGCCTATGATACCACTGTTGGTGAGCATTTCTTGTCGCTTTTACCATTCTTCCGCGGCTGAATCACTTCGCCTCAGGTGTACTCCTCCTTGGCTTGTTTTGTACGTCCTCACAATCGCTTGGCCATTATGTATGGCCGCTCATTTCATCGCAGTCAACACATTTCTATACGGCCTTGTGGTGTATCAATTTATCGTCTATCGCAACACGAGTATGTGGCTGCATGTTTTTCCTTGACACATCTGACGTCCTCTCCAGAGTTCAACGACCCATTGTGGATAAAGTATACCACTCTCTTATCTTCAAGTCAATTATCTCGCTCACTGACGATACTCTTAGGACACTCGTGGGGGCCCTATTCGTGGTTGACACGATCCACAGCGCTGTGTACGTTCTTACACCCTGCTAGCTCCGCGGCCTGCACTAATCTAGCGATCGTTTGACAGGGCTATTTATGCTGGTTGGGAGATGTGGTATGTCTGCGCCAACCACCGAAGCATTTCTATTAACAAACGATGCCAGTGTCACGAACTACGCCAACCCCGAGAGCCTGTTCGGTAAGTAATTCACTGAGAACATCCTCCTCAGCTTAACCTAACGCCCTTTTTGTAGTCATTAGCTGGACTATTCCTTTCACGGCCGTCGCAACTGCTGTGGCTGCTGTCCTTACCCAAGGCTTCCTCAGTCATCGGTACGTTTCTAAGCATATCTGAGACAGGAGAAAATAGCTAACCATTCTTCAGGGTGTTCAAACTCACGTCGAACAAGCCAATCGTTGCCGTCATCGCTCTGCTGAGCGTTCTCGGCTTTATCTTCGGTGTTTACTCTGGGATTCGATCAGGTATCATCAAAGAGTGGATTTCCTTCCCTCCTCTGCTCAGGGTTCTGTCCCTAATGGTTTCGATTGTCAAGGGTGAAAAGCTTCTCGCCTCTGGTGCCTTTCGTCACTTGCTGGCTTGGGTTCCAGACGGCCGCCGACCTTGTAATCACTGGTGTGTCCTCATTGTCCCTCTGCGCGTTATTACGATTGACCGCGTTTTCCACAGCCGTTTTGGCTGCCGTACTCTTCCGTGCCAAAACAGGCTACCGCAAGACGGATACCGTGATCAATCGCATGATCCAAGGAGCCGTCCAGACTGGTCTCTTCGCTTCTCTCTTCGCGTTGGCCGATTTGTTCAGCTTTGTCCTTCATCGTGATACCAACCTCTACGCCATGTTTGCCTACCCCATCGGCAGAATTTACACGAACGTACGGCATTCAGTTGTGTTACCAGTTGATTAGCTGACGGCTTTAGTAGACCTTGCTGTACACCCTAAACGCTCGAATTGAGCTCAAGCTCATGGCTGAGGACACTGATACGGACGCAGAGGTAAAGGAAACTCCACCAGTCACCGACTAATTCACTGTCTAACTACACTCAAATCATAACAGAAGGCAACCGACGCCTATAGAATGCGTAATGCATCCCAAACATTCGCAAGCGATCAACGATCTGTGAGCCATTCAGTGTCTTCCTGAACACGGGCGACTGACTTATCATAAAATTAGGACATCAAGGTCGCTCCGGAAGAGAGTGCATAAATGTGAAATTCTTCTCTTCTTTTTCATTCTATAATGACTAGTTGATGTCCCGATCTACGATCTGTAATGTTGTGCCGACTTCATGAATTATAATAATATTTGAACCTCCCTTTGACGGTTGGTGAGATAAGATAAGCTTCAAGTTGAGCCATCCATAACCGTGCAAATCGCTCTCCTTCCTTATCCTCGTCCTCGAATTCCGTCTTCATACATGCCTCAGCAGTCTCCAGATTACCTCCTACTAACTTCTACCCGTTACGACCCGTTCCTGGAAATTTTCACCTGGAACTACGACGATGACGGCCCGTCGCCCTTCTTTTTACTGAGACATCACTGCGACCGTCTCAATGCTGCAATCGACGCGCACGACTGGCCCAATGCTAGATCCTCTCACAACTATTCAAACCTCAAGGCTGCCTGCGTAAATGCTATCATAGAAGAGAGCTCCAAGGAGGATATTTCGGGTGCATACTATGTATGTCAAGCTCGACCTGTTTCTTCAGCGGTGCGCTTATCTTGCAGGTCCGAATCACTCTTTCACGAAAAGGCGAAATCGCAGTCACAGCATCACCCTTACCAGCCCGCTTCAGTTATGATCCCCTGCTAGCTCCCTTATCCACTGCGCCCTCGGGCTCCACGGACTCACTCCTTGACGACCCGCCACCCCTCAGCGTCTTCCTAGATAAACAACCAACCCCTACGTCCATCTTCACCCAGACGAAGACGACCTTCCGCCAACTCTACGAACAGGCAAAGGAGAGGAACAGGCACGTTCTTGGATCAACTTCAACTAGTTCAGATATTCTCCTGTACAATCTCCAGGAACAATTACTGGAGACCACAATCTTCAATATCGCATTTTATCGCTCTGGAAAGTGGCTAACACCTAAAACAACTTCAGGATGCCTTTCAGGTGTTATCCGGCGATGGCTACTAGAGCACGAAAGGATACGCGAAGACACGGAAGGGGTTTTGATGAAAGCGGACGTGCGAGAAGGTGAATTAGTCCTTCTTTTTAACGGGGTGCGAGGATGTCAGCTGGGAAGAGTGTACAAGTAATTCGACCAAGATCATCCTTCTAACCAGCATATATCAACGCACATCGGCGAAACAATGCCATCCCTGTGGAGCCATTTACGCGATGTGGAGAACTCCCCCGAGGTTGAAAGCGAACGGCACAAGGTCGGGAATGGTGAAGCGAAGATGTGAATTCAGAGCATTCGATGCCAATCGGAGGACGTAAAGGAAAAGAGGAGGCGTACGCCTCTAATCTACCACGGAATGGAATCCGACGACGACGAGGATCCGTTTCTCACAATGCCGATCATGCAAATAAGCCGAATGCCCTGCTTATGCCGTGCCAGCGTCCGCTTTCATGGCATCGTCGTCCAGCAACTCGCTGTCAAACATCCCGTCGTCCATCTCGCCCAGAATATAGTCCACAACATAGCTCTCCTGCAGTAGCTTCTCCAATCTCGAAAGATGCCTTTCGGAGTACGGAATAAGTGCCTCAACGAGCTCCTTGAGAGCGGTACGTCCCGTCGTGGGGGCGGTCTTGGATTGAGAGATATCTCCATCGGCAAATTCATTTTCAACAGTCTCCTCGCCGAAGGCTTGAATGACGTCGCCTGCGGACCGAAGCTTCATGGCCGAGAAGAGAACACGTTGGGCGACAGAAGACGTCTTCCCGTTAGTATTCCAGTCGCGGACATAGCGAAGGAGTTTGGCGAGGTCGGGGCCGCTGAGTGTCTGGATGACTTCATCCACAGCAGGGCTGCCAGAAACCGACACCGCTTCTTCTTCTTGGGAAGCACCGACCTCCTTGAAAAGGGAAAATAGACGGCCAGGTTGAGACATCGCCAGAGCAAGTTGAATGGCTCGTTTATAGTCGTGTAATGCAATGTAATTCATGAAATCTTGATCTCTGCAAAATGTCATGTTTTTGGGGTGGCATAAGAAAGAAAGGTTTAACTCACTTCAGAACCATGTCTGTGCGCTTTGTCTCCTTCTCGGCCTCGTTTTCTTCTGTGCAATCCTCCCAAAATGTCACTACGGAGTCCGCAGCTCCAGATACGATGGTCCGTTCGTCTGTACTCACGGCCAGTGCCCACACCTGTGGCAAGTATTAGTTCATATATCCAACGACGAGCAAATCGTAACTGCATGCACCTTGTCTTCGTGGTTGTCGAGAGTTGTCACACACTCCTCCTCCTGTACGTTCCACAACTTGACAAGCCCGTCAGACGCCGTGCTGACGAGTTGCATCCCAGCATTCAGGAAGTCGAGTCGCAGTACAGAATTCGTATGACCTTCAAATGTCTTCAGACACGAGTAATCATCGAGACTCCATAGTTTGATCGTTTTATCTCCACTTCCTGTGGCAAGTACCCTCTCCGCTCGTCCGAATCGCACCGTCCACACACCTCGTTTGTGTCCTTTACATGTTCCAACCAGCTTAAGTTCACCTCGCACGGCACCGCCCGCTCCAACGACGTACTGAATCTCGAAAACCTTCGCCGTCCGATCCTGCGAACCAGAAACCAGAAAGCGATCGTTTGGCGAGATATCAAGCGAGTTAATGTCCTTGTCATGCGCCTTGTGTGTCGTTAGACTTTTGCAATGCGTCACAGCTGTGCTGTCGGTTGAGGACAACGGGACGTTAGCAAGGTCCCACATCTTGATCGTCCTATCCTGGCTGCCCGTAAACATGAATTTCGGCATGTCTCCTTCTCTAGCCATCGCGATAGCCCCTATGCTTTCAGCATGACCTTCGCAGACGGCAACACAACCGTAGCCCCATGACTGAGGTTCTTCTGGATTCTCGACCATGGGAGCCCATACTCTTGCAATTTTGTCTTTACTTCCACTGACAAGTAAAGTCCCGTTCGCAGACTGGTCTAGTGCAAGGACAATTTCGGAGTGGCCCTCCAGCAGACGAGCGTCGACGTGTTTCGTTGAGTAGACTCGAATCAAAGAGGAGTTGGTGGCGAGCGCGATGTGCGAATCTCGTAGGGAGGCGTTGGCAGACGTGGGATAACTAAGGAACGTGGCGTCGACGATTTCGTCGTTGAACCCAATCAGCTGGCGGGACAAAGTGCCGTCCTGGAGAGAATGGAAGATAATGTTTTGATCAGCGTGGACAGATACCACCGTCGAGCTTGGGGGCAAGTATCTGGTTGGTTGTGGATCATGAGTTTCCCTCTCATGACGTAGGCCCGAACTTACAAAACACTGAGAATTTGTCGCTGCTCCTCCACGTCATCCGAGACGGTAACCTGTTCCTTTCCCAGCTGCTGCAGGACCTCCCCCTTCTTTGCACCCCAGACCTTGACGACGCCTTTCTCGCCGCCGGTATAAAACCTGAGTTTACTAATATCTCCCTTCGACTCTCCAAAGGAAACGTCGCTGCGTAGAATTCCAAGCGCTTCGACTCGTTCTAGAATTGGTATAGTCTTCATTAAAGTTGGTGTTGATGATATCGTTCTGCCAGTTTTCTTTCCTTTCGTGGTTGACGGTTTCGACAATAGGTCCCAAATCAACACAACCGAGTCCCTTCCACCACTGACCAGCCATCTTCCATCTTCCGAAACGTCGAGGCCGCGAGGAACAGAAACATGTCCTTCAAGAATTGCTTCTGGTTTCCCACCTCCACTCGAGGTAGATGCACCTTCTGTCAGATTGAAGATACGGATTCGTGTATCCACTGAGGCCGTTATTAGATGCATTGTCCGGGTCTGCATCACAGAGGAAGTGTCTTGAGGGTAGTTAAACGCCAGCGCGCTGACGACGCCACCATGACCTTTGAAAACGTGGGTGACATAACCACGTAGAATATCCCACACTTTAACAACGCCATCTGCGGATCCAGATGCGAGGTACGTTGAAGTTGGATCGACAGTGCAGACATGGACTGGGGCTTCATGGGCACGGCCAACGACACGGATGGGCGGGATACGCTTTTGCAACGGGTCTACCGACTTCGGAAGTTCGTATATTCGGAGGGAGAGCGAGGACGTGAAAACAATGACATGAGAGGAGGAAGGAGTAATGCAAAGAGAATTGATGATTTGGGTGTCCTATCGAATATTGTGAGATGAATTTCGAGGAGGTTGGTAGTCGGTGACGCACCCCTACAAAGCGACATATTTCAACGCCGCTTTCAACATGTGTAAGGAGGATATCCTCGGCGACACAAGTAACCAGCCTCGATCCATCTGCTGTAATCGCTACAGCACCAGACGTGTAAAGAGGTGCGATCGTCCTCGCCTTTCTGAACCTATTTGCTGTCAGACGCGTCTTTCGAAGACATTTATCCATACACACGCAGTTTTGAGTTTTGGGCGCCCGGTAGAGACCGCCATTGTCGTTTGTAAAGTTTGAGGGGTTCAGATAAGGGCAAAGAGAGATCACAACTCAAAAAAGTTGTTTGTGCGTATGTGTACCTGGTTACCGAATTCGCTTGACCAAGCGCATACAGTGTACACTACCCCGAGAAAGGAAAAGCCAAACATCTCCACGACATATGTGCTCGTCCAACGAAAAAGATATTCGAAATACCTGGGTGAAGATACCAGTACTAGAGAGCCACGTTATATATGAAGGGACTCGAAAACCGAGCTGAATTTGGGAGAGTATGCGTCTAGTGCATCGGTGGCTAGTCAGAGTCTTCCCATTCGGAAACGGGAGGGAAGAGAAACATCTCTGTCGCTCGTCTTTTGACAGATGTATAGGCGATACGAGGAAAGGGGCGGACCCTGTGAACCTCGACGTGTGTCGGTAGGGTGGGGTATAGTCGATCACGTCGGCCGGGGTCGGCTCGGACTCATGGCTACTCCGTTCGGCGAGCGCATCGATAAATTGTTGAATGCGTGCTCCAGCGTGCGTCTTCTCTCAGCTTCCATCTCTCTTTGCCTTTCCGCTTCTTTGCGCTTTGCTGTCTCATCTTGCAGCATGTCCTCAAGATCTCTAACAGCCCCTCGTGACCTTGATACTTCAAGATTAGCGTGCGCTAGCTGTTCTGAGAGCCGAATGGAAATGGAGACTGCCTCAGCAGAGGTCCGGCGAAGCGTGGCGATTTCTTGTCGCATATGCTCAACGACGTCTTCTCGTGTATGCTCCAACGAAGAGAAAGGGGGCAGGGAAAAGATGGGCGATGGTTGCGTTGGTTTGAAAGGAGAAGGGGGTTCATGACGATCGTATGGTCGAACCATATCCTCTTCGCTTTCGTACTCATCATCAGATACGGTGGCAAACGGGACACCACCCTCTTCTCGTGCCATCATGCTGTTGTCGTCGGTCTCGGAGTCCCTTGAAGACGGAGGATAAGTTGATTCGCGACCAGACGCGCCGGATGTAGAAGTTACAGGAGTCGAGACTTTACGATGCAATTGTGGGCGATGAATATCAGGGTGATGAGCAGGTTGGGGGTGAGGCTGTTGTGGCACCGAGGGATGATGGTTCCCGCGTGGCTGTGAATGGTAATGTGACATTTTGTGTGGCAAGGGTGGGGGTTGTGGATGAGGTTGAGGTAAGCTTTGCGGTCTAGGCGGCTGGACTGGAGGCTGTTGGGACTGAGACTGCGGCAACGAACGAGGTTGCGATTGCGACACCGAATGACTCGAATTTTGGTGTTGATGAGACGAGCGAGGCGATAAAGAGTTTACCTGGGGTTGGGGTAGAGGGGGTGGCGGGGGAGGGGGATGAGTCTGTGGTTGGAATTGGAACTTAGTAGGTGCAGGAAGTGGGCTATTTTGAGGTGCGTCTTGAGACATGGGCAGTGATCTCGGAGTTGAGGTCTTTTTAAAAGTTGCGCCTTCAGATACATCCTTATTGGGCCTCCCTCGCTTTCGCGGTCGTTTGGTGCCAGGTGGGGCAGCTAGATTGACAGTCCAGTAAGAACCGAAGCCAGGATCCGTTACCGGTCGTGGTTGGCGTTCGAAAAGACGGTTCAGCGAAAGGTGATGCCTCACTGATTGCTGTGATAAAGTAAAAACGAGAAAGTTAAAAAGACGAAATTAATGAGATGTCACTTGTACCTTCCATGTTTGACCAGCCGTCTTATAATATGGATACTTTGCTTCCATAGTAGCGTAAATTTCTCGAATAGTCAAGCGCTTGCGTGGACTTCCGAGAATAGCGCATCGTAGTATAACAGGAAGAGTATGCTGAGGCCGTCCGAGTGTATCGGGGAGGCAAGCGAGGGTATCTGGACAATCTGCGTGCGCTTTGTGGTCATGTAAACCGAGGTCTATCTTGCGGTCGTGCTTTTCGAGCCTTCGTCTGGGCGCTGGCAGCTTTTCCGGTCTTTTTTCCTCGGAGCGCCTCGCAAAGTGGTCCGTGTCACCATTATGCCTGACTTCCTCTAGGGGTAGCTCGAGAGGATGATCCATGAGTGGTGAGCCGTCAGGGTTCAGAATCGGCGGCGATTGCTCATCATAGTCGTCCTCCTCGTCAGTCTCCCCGTCAAGTTCGTCTATTTCGTCGTCGGACGTGGGGGAAATATCATCATCCGGGGTGGACGATAGGTGCTCGACAGATTCGGTGTCAAGGGACGATCTGATTGTTTGGGGGATTGTTAGAAGAAACGCTCTGGGATTAATAAAAAAGAGACGCACTTCAAGTCCTGTCTGCTCTTCGCCTCTGGGTTCAATATGGAGTAGAGGTGGGACATGGTGGTGGTAGGCGCTGAGGACCCCGCTGGACAAACAAGTGGGAAATCGTCAATCGTGGGTCCAAGAAGGTCCAGGTGATTGCGATCACATATGGTTCAGGCGAGGCATTACATAACACCCTTGTGCCGAAACCGTAACGCGCGAAATCCCATCAAATCCCACCTATCGTGATATATACAATACACAATTAAAATAGTCATAACTACACAGAGATCCTATTGTACAGCTTCGAATTATCAGATGACCCACATACGCTCACACTCCATAATGCCCGAAATCGTATGGATAGTTCAACTGATTCATACCGTAGTCTCCGGCCGCAGTAGGCGCATTTGGCATCCAATTGTTGGACCCCGTCGTGTGGTGCGTAGCGCTTGCTTGGACCGGCAAATCCGCACTAAAATCCGTACCAGACGGATAGGTCAAATGGTGGGAGTTGTTGGCCAAATGTTGCTGCAGCGTCCCCTGGTTCATTCTCGGCCACCATTCGTAACCAGGATAGTACGACGTTGATGGCTCGACGCCGGGAATTTCGAGTCCAAGCATGTGAGCCATCAGTCGGGTGCTTATATCATGAACACCGCCCAGGTCTTCGAGATTATGATTATTGTCGTGAGTCGTTTGTGGAGCCCCAGATGTTGCAGGGGAACCAAATGCTTCGCGCTGTAGAAAGTCGGATGCTTTCTCTTCTCCAAACGCGTCGTGCGCTCCCCTTTTGTTTCGGTCCGGATATTCATATTGCGGTGCAAGAGGGGGCGATGGGTGCGCGTGGGTCCGGATACGAACGCCGTTTAGGAGTTCCCAAGCCCGAGCAGCACTAGGCCAAACAACCTATCATTGGAATCAACAACCGTACACAGAGATAACCTTTGTCGCGAAGCACGATCAATTCTCACCGCCATCTCCTTTAGGGAGACCATGTTTTGCTGAAGTCCATAGTTAGCCTCCACGTTGTCGGGTCTGATGATGACTGGCAACAACCAAGTTAGTATCAAGGATGATTATGCTATCTGGATAGCTTACGGGCTAGAATGTGCAAGACGCTAGAACCCAGGTTAAATTGTTGGCTTCAAACAATAGAACAGCACGTACGACGCGCTCAGAAGATAAGATGTGAGGAACGGGGAACTCCTCCGCATGGTGAAGGTTTCACGACAAGCCGTAACTGGTGATTGGGGGTTAGCTCGACGTCGAGGCCCAGTGATTAACAAGAATGTCATACCCAAAGCGCCAATATGACAGGCAGCTGCGTGAGCCAGATCAAACGCTCGCATCCCAACAGTTGACTTCTGCAAGGCTTCCTTTATTTCATGACTAGGATGGGTGAGTCAAAAAGGACTCCAATGTGCAGCAATGGACAGGTATCTCACCCTTTCCAGTTAGGTATGCTGATGGTCACAATGAGAAAGTTCGTCAGACGGGTAAAGCGTTTAGAATTTCCACACTCACAAAGCGCGATGGAGGAGCAGCACTCCGCCCCAGTAGCGCACATGCACATATAAGACCTGCGGGGGAGGCGGGGGACGTTTGCTAGTGGCGTCATATCGCAACTCTTCTGGGAGAGCAATGAACCATTGATCAAGCTGGCTCTCGAGATCCACGAGCGCTGCATGTCTCGCAGCACCCGACGAAGGAGCAATGGGATAAATGCGGGTGATCACAGCGCCCACAATGACGGCTTATGACAGATGCGGTGAGTAGCGTTCGATTGCTCACAGGAATTATTAGACCAACCTAGTTTCGCTGACACGCGGAACGCGCTCATAGTTTTGGTGGGTACAGTTCCGTAGGGAATGTCGTCTTTAGTCAATGTCGGCTGCCAAGGTTGACGATCGTCCACCTGCATGGAATACTTTATAAGGAAAGTTTACCCAGGCCCGATTGAGTGTGCTTACGATATCAGCGGTTGGTAATGGTGTCTCGAAATCTTGGTCTTTTATCATGATGGGCCGACCTGGGGTATGTCAGATGCACAAGGCCTTTACAGGATGAATTCACGAGGACTTACCCATATACATCGATCCGTAGCTATACAAAAAAAAAATAAGCTTTGCCACCACAAGATTTGCACTTGCCGACTTACCGGTCTGTCAGAATGCAAGCCCACCATATTTGTCGACGAACTTGGGTCTCTTCTGGAGAGAACATATCGTGGCCATGCATCTTCCATTTTGACGAGTCACAGTTTAGGCCTAGATCAAAGGCCTGATAATTCTGTTAGATTCCCCTAACGTAAGATGAGAACGAGATTTCACCATTCGAATCCCGGTGCCTATCAGACTGGTTAAGAAGATGTTCGATGAATCGAAAGTGGGAAACATACCAATAAAGATCCAGCCTTGCTCCATTGAGCCAATCCCGAACTCGCGATATCCCAGGAGAAGAAGGGCTTGTACTGTCGACGGACGCGAGATGTGGAAAACCTTGGCTGTGGATATCCTGTCAGCACCTCAAGCATGAAATGAAAGGAACTGCATACGCAAAAGCTTCCATGCGACATCGACGTATTCGCATCCCGCATCCCACATATTACTCTCAGGACCAGAGGGGTGAGATAGGTCATCATCGGTAAACCGTGCCGCGATAGCGAAAATAGAGATGAGTAACAGAGTAGTAACTTCCTGTGTGGGCTCTGGCCTCGGGGAGGAGTAAACCGAAGCTGTACTTAGACTAGGACTGATTTCTCGACCCTCGCTGAGAAGATGATCAGGAAATAGGAAGTCGAAATACGAAGGCCATTCCTTACCTCTTTTTTCTGCAAATAGACCATCATCTAATAAGCGTCGCGAAAACGTTAAAGGGGTATTACCTGGCATTATATTCTGTCAAAAATCGTGTCTTGTGGATGACAGGGAATATTGGGTGAATCCAAGTGAAATATTGCTTGATGAGCTGATCTTGCACATCTTGTGGAGGGAGCTCGACGTCGACGTTCGCCAGAGGATATGTCTTAAGTCCGAATTTAGATGGAGGCCATACTCTGGCCATTGGTAGTCGCCTAATGGACACTGAATGAAAACAGCCACTGAATATTTTGCAAGCACTCACCAGACACCACCGTCTATTCGGTCGTCGTTTCTGTCCTGACTCCCAAGAATATGCAACCCACTGGCTTGTCCGTGGAAACGGATCTTAAAAAATATTGAGTCTGACGTTACCAGGCAAGTAGAGAATGGCTACCTCCTGGTGTTCATCTAATGATAGTTGGCCCATACCATCAGTAGCACTCTTGAGGTCATCTGGGTCTGTCTTTCGATCAGAAGCGGCAAAGCCAATGACGTCGCATAACGAACCTGACGAAGGCTCTATCGTATAGAGAGCATTCCACTCCGCTGGCGTTTGGTCGCTACTGCCGTTCAGCCGCCGGCGTCGGGGAACGTGGACAGCATCTCCATCTATGGACCCGGAACTTGAGCTTTGACCAAAAGCCAATCGTTTCGAGAGGTTATCCTGCCACTCCTTCGTTGGTACAACGGAAAGACCGTGATCTACATGACTCGATTGGAAGGACTCGATTAGGAAAAAATCGGGTCACATACCTTGGTTAGAGGATACGATTTCCCGAGACACTCGAGACTGCCTCCTTGCCCGGGAAGAGTCACCCTGGCCATTCTCGTTACTTTTCATGATAGAGGCAAAGAAGTCTTCTTTCGTGGCGTCCGCGGGTTGTGCTCTGCGTCCAGATGGGCCCTAGGAGTAGCATTGGAGAATTAGAGGGAAGCAACGGTACGGCGAAAACGAAATACGGACATAAGGACCCGAGTCTACTCGCCCTAGAATCTCCCGAGCAAGATCATCCTGTCGCAACTCGGAAACGATGCCCTGAACCCTTTCGTCTGAGCATTGAAGAATTGCCCCCAATAGCGCTTCGACTTGATGCCACCGCTGCTCGATAGCATGAATATAGCCTTTCGGAGGGCCACGCTTATAGCTTGGACCTAATAACAAATGGTCGCCGTTGGAGATGAGGGCTAGAGGACGACGAACTCGGACCTACCGAGGAAGGTGCAGGCTGCGGATGACAATGAATGAAACATGGGGTTTGGGACGATGGACATCTACGCACCTGTACCTGCTAGAGCACAGCTCTTACACTTCTTGGATTCGCTGTTTCCCCTCTCGCATTTGCTTTTAGTCTTGCGGCATTGATCGCAGGCTGCGAGTAAATTTGTCAGTCGACGGCGCCTACGAGTGTATACCCCACAATTTACGCACCCCGGCTACTTCGCTTTCGTGAAGTAGGTGGTGACTCGTCTCGTTGATTGTTCTCGTCATCTGAGGGGTCAGAGTCCTGCCAGCCCATTGTATGTTATAGTGCTAGAGACGGAGCAATTGGTTGTGGAGGTAGGAGAAAGAGAGATAGCAGGCAGGTGACCATACTCCTGAGGGATACTTAATGCACGTGATCAATGGACCACTATTCGCCGGCAATCAAACATCAATCCCTCTTTCGCCCATCTCTCATTGGTGGATTCATCCGTTCACCCCCTCCAAACAGTCTTCTGCGGGTTTGGGAGCTCGCAAACGCAGAAAAGCCATCTGTTTCCGTGACCTTCCAAGTTTTCTCAAGGGCGATGATCAAAAGCATGATCCCTCTTGCTCCCTGAACGCCACCAGAGCTGAGCCATCTTCTCGTCCGGAATCTTCCACTTTCTCAATGGCATGGTCAAGGTTTCCCCAGGAATGCGGGGAATGGCCTGTTGCTGACTGATGGATCACGAAGTCAATTGACAACACAAAAATGATGCTTCGGTTGCTTGGACCGGAAAAAGAGTCCCTCCAAGTCTAGAATCGAGACGACTCGGTGATCAAATGACTGAAAGAGAGCATTTTCGGCGTTGCTTGGGCCTAGGGCAGCCAAGTCCTAATACTCGGGATTGATCTTATCGTGATCAAGAGGTTTAAATTTCTCGAGGAATTACACGCCCTCTTGCGACGTAGATGTGATGAGAGGATGCCGCTTATGCACAAAGATCAGAAGGGGTTCACAGCACACTTGGGGATCTTATTTGAGGGGACTGAATGAGAGCGGTACAAGGATCGAAGCATCCATAGACCACGCTAGCTGCGAGGTCTAAAAAAAACCTCGTAAAAAACCTAGGCCTTTCGACCGAAGAGGAAGAATTGGGCTTACCTTTGAGACCGTTTCTGCCCATCCATCGATCTGCCACGCTTTCTCCCGAATGTCTTTGCGTGCCTGAAGGCTTCTGCGGCGGGTGTAAGCAAAGGGTCACCCAGGAAGAGAGAGAACTAGTGACTCACGGATATTGCCACATATGATGGACCTGGTGAAGGCGCCCAACTTGGGAGAACCAGGCGCCTACGGGAGCGACGGACTTCCGCCGTGCTTCGATACCTCTCCTCCTGCGGAGCCGAACATTCAATAAGAAGAAAAGACTGGAATGGAGCGGACTTCTCACCAGGTATTCTCCCACTCAAGTAGGGTCCCAGGTTTCAACTGATAAGTCCTCAATTCAAAGATACCTCCTTCGGCGCGCGGAGGTGCCGTTGGGAGAAACGCGAACTCCTGGTTCAGTTGATTTACACGGTTCGTGAGGAAAGGCAACATCGCCTTGTAAGCTTCGACATGCTGGAAGGGTTTACTTAGTTAGGGAAGGAACATAGAAAGAAAGAAGAGCATACTTCTAGTGAGCCCCTCAGAATTTGTGTTGCCTTGTCATACCCAGCCGAGTTCTCGTACTCGGTAATATGCACAAATCTATCTTGGTTCCCAACCAGGGTTTCCCAGTTTCCACTGAGCTTCACTGATAGTCTGCTATCCTCTTGGATGCCCTTGTAGTAACGCTCTCTTTTACGAGGTCGTGAGCCTTTCAGAGGGATATATGCATAAGGAAGTATGACTGACGCAGCCTTCTTGTACTCGTCAATACAGGACGGTTTCACGCGGTGAGCTGGGATGTCGTCAGGTGGGTGCTTTGAGGCGAGCAAACAAGAAACATACTCTCAATGTCATGGATGTACTTTCCCCGCCCTACGAGTCGCGAATGCTGTTGGGTATCTTGTTCCCCCGCTTCCTTCGCCTCCGGAGACCCATGCAACAACGACTGTCATCTTAATGAATGTTGTTTAAGTCTGAACAGTTCTAAAAGAGCTACCTGAACTGAGATCCCCCGCTTTGGAGAAGAAGCCAGCACACCAGGTGCAGCCCGACGCGTCAGAGAGTTGAGGATCATTGTGGTTGGACGGGTCAAAGATGGGGCAGGACGAATGAGGGGCCAGGGCGGCGAATGGCTGCAATGTCCGCACTCAGGGTTCTGCACGTGCAGCCGTTCTTCCAAAGCGGCAGCAATTTCCTCTTCCATCTTGACGCGGCAATTGTACTTTATTCGACAGTCACAAATCGGAGGGCATAGTACATACTCTCGCGTTTGTACACACGCATCTCTCAGATAGCTACCGAAACCCTCCAGGAAAGTCTAATGAACCCAGGTCACTCTTCGGACTGGATATCAACAAACATCTCGAAGACACCCCATTTCTCCTGCATCGGCTTGAGTGACCGTACTCGGAAATATCGTCCGCTCACATGGCTGAGTGAGGATTTGCACAATCTCACGGTCTTTGCAAAGTTTGCGTCGAAACACTCAAGCCCGCGATCCCACGTGTTCTGAGAGGATTCCCAATGAGAACCTCCAGTGCAAGAAGTTCCTGGATTCGGACTTACCCAAACGCATCCATCAGCGGAGGACTCGAAAGCAGAATGGCGCAGAATAATCTCCGTAGGAGGGTCTACTAGAAAAACCAGCTCTGCATCCTTCACGTAAGAGAAGGACTTCGTTGTGTCCAAAGCCACGTAGTCGTCCCGGTTTGCGCCTATGCTACGTTTCAGCAGGGTCATACGACAAACCAAATCGGAGCAGCATACCTTGCGGACTCCGGAACACCGTGTCTGCCCGACCATCGACTGCATGTGAAGGAGGAAATTCAAGATAATGAGACTTTCCCGCCTCTCCCAGTATCAGCAGTGCGTCTTTCTCAAGCCCCAGAATCTCCGCTGCCGATGTCGGCGATCCACCAATCTTGTGAGGGAGAAGATTAATGGAAGTTTCGAAGATGCACGGCTTGTCATGACAAGGTGCCCGCGATACGTGCGATGGCTCCGAAGTCTCCTTTGCAAAGGACGTGAAAGGAAGATCTAATGGGTTAGTCTGATTGGCGGAGACGAGGGTGTCAAGGATTTCTGCGGCTCTAACCTGAATAGCCGTGGGCAATTTAGATTGTCGGGCAAAGATAACACGCTCACAATATGCCTGTTGTTTCTCTCATCTCCTTCCGTCCCTACTGTGAAAGCTTGGCCGCCTCCAAGCTCAATTCCCTCGTCGAACCACCTCTCTGGAATGACATTGCTCAGGATTGTGAAGTAGTTGTCCGCCATCTTCCGTTCCTCTTCAGTGACTTTGAGTCTGTCAAGTAACGATAGGAACTCGACGGCTCGAGAGCGCATCAACATAGTACCGTATCCCAACCAGGCGAAGGTGGTGTGTATTTTATCACCAACAACGGTGGTGCGCAATTGGCTCGACAGCATTTCGTGTGGCGGTTGCAAATGGATCACCGGGACGGCATCCTGGTTGATCCTGGCATTAAGGGCCTTGATGATTTGTGGTCGAATAGAAAAGTCATCGTCCTATCAGGGATTCATGAAGACCAATTCGTATGGCTATAGAAACGGTATACAAACCTGAATAAAGCAATAGGCCGTCGACGCTTCAGCACAAGCTATGTACCGCGCTTGAAAATAGAGATTTTCTGGAGAGTTGACGATACGAAGCCTGTCACTCGGACAGAGTGAGTTCGAGAAGTCCTTAAGAATTTCTTGTCAGATGACCGAAACGCGTGTAGAAGATGATAGGACCGACTTGATGAGAGATCGTCTTGGGACTATTATTCCAAACGACGACGCTCTGAACTGTATCTTCTAAGAGGTTCTGACAAATCTCCGACACGATTTTCACGACATTTGGGAGTCTCGACCAGTTGAGGAGCACAACAGTAACGTTGAAGTCGTGCAGGCGGTCTGCCTGTGTCCTGTCAATATTGCTCTTTCCTACAAGGAGTGAAAGGGCAGAAGCAAGCGCAACAACGATGCAAAAGTGGATGAAACCAGGCATTCTTAAAGCGCGGACTTGCACTCGATTGAAGGTTCAAGAATCAAGCTTCAAAGGAATTGGCGACCATGGTGGGAGGAAGCAAGTCCATGTGGCAAGGAACGCGTCGCAGCTTATTGCGGTTGTGGGAACGTCTTGCTCTTCTGGGAAGTACAAAATGGAAATACATTGCTCAGTGAAGAAAGTAATGAGAAAGCAGACAGCGTAACGTATTTAATCCATCCTCGCCTTCAGCGTACGGGTGATAACCTTGTCCTTGGTTCTACGGAGTTTAGGGCTGGATTAGGGAGAATGAACGGAATCAAGCAGCAAGACAAGCTCACATTACATGCACAACACATCCCCAGCCCGAAAACGCATCGCGGTCAACAGCGTTCATCAAAGTCTGCGAGATCGTTTCGAAGAGATCCTCCGGCTCCAAATCCGGCTCCCAAAGACCTTCCGCGACACCATAGAGCTTTGTACTTGCTGTTCCAGCCACGACGAAGTCTTTCGCAAAGTTCAGGCATCCTATGAGATCTGTTGCGGCGATGAAAGGCTTGTACCCGCCTGAGGGTGTCTTTGACATGCCCGCCATAACCGGCTCGATGAAATAGGGTCCAAAACGGTGTTCGTACAGCGTTGAGGATACAAGGTGCGCAAATGTTTCTGGTTCGATTTCTCGTTCCTCTTTGATCGTATACATGTTGACTCTGAATCGGAAGCGTTCTCGTCTATAGGGATTTTATAATCAGACCCTTCCAACGTCGACCTAACATGTACATGCGCGCTGCTTACAGTGTCGTTACGTCAGTTGCAAGTCCAGGGAGTCCAAAGTAGATGCGATCTGTTACAGGGAAGACCTGCAGCCGTGTCAGCTTATAAGATACAGTTAGATGAGCACAGACGCACCCTTTGGAAGTTCGACGAGATGCCCAGAGCCTGATTTCCCAACCGCAAGTCGGATGCGATGGCGACACAGTCTTTCCCCACCATAGCTATGACGGAGCCACCGTTTTGATCCATGATCGACTGGCAGCCCTATTAGTAATTTCAAGGCGTTCGAAAGAACAAGCAAATACCATTGTAAACGACTGATATTGAGGGAGAGGCGATAGATTGAGATATGTAGTTGCAACTACCGAATTACGCGTCGAGGCTTTCAAGGTGACGCGTCGTTTCCGTTACGGGCAGTCACGAGAATGTCGCGGGCCGGAGAGCTTTTCTTGCCGAAATTTATCTGACCCTCGACTATGCAGCTCTCTGTCCAACCCATTCTTCACTTATGGATTTTCACGCCTGAGATTGGAAAACGACTTCCCTCTTGCATCCATTTCTCTTCAAGGACTCTATGACACTCATTCAACGGCATATTCGTTCAAGATCCATCCCCAAGCGATGGTTTGGGAGCAACAGGCCGTCTGGCTCCGCCGCCTCCAGCTTGCAACTTCGGGTCAAGGTGGGAGATGACTTCAGAGCATGAATCGGCTTCTCTTCACCTAGTTTGCCTCAGGAACGCATCCATGAGATAGACGCCTCGACACCTTTTTCGCATCACCTCCGAGACACTTTCAACCGCAAGCACGACTACCTGAGGATCTCCTTGACGGAGAGGTGTAACCTACGATGTATGACTCTGGCGGTCACAATTCTCACTGGACTCTAACACTCTTGATTTGTATCTAGGCTTCTACTGCATGCCCAGCGAGGGGGTCGAGTTATCGCCAGATGGAAAGCTTCTGGCCAACGAAGAAATGCTTCGTTTAGCCACCTTGTTCGTCAAGAGCGGAGTAACAAAGATCAGACTCACAGGGGGAGAGCCCACTGTACGAAAGGGGATTGTAGACATTGTCGGTGCGTCATTCTGATACTCGCAGTCATGCTCGTTCTCATTCTTGTCGGTTTAGGTAGCCTCAATAAATTGCAGAGATATGGTTTGAAATCGATCGGCATGACTAGCAATGGACTTGCTCTACACCGTCGTCTTCCCCTTCTCGTGCAGAACGGGCTCACACATCTGAACCTCAGGTTTGGTTCCTATCCCTAAATTCGAACGCGTCTTCAAAGCCTGTTCCAGTTTAGACACGTTGGATCCACTCAAATTCGAGCTTATCACAAGGCGTAGAGGCCATGATGCGGTCCTGAAGGCACTTGACGTGGCGCTGTCTCTTCCGTTGGCTTCAGTCAAATTGAATGTCGTTGTCATCAAGAACTTGAACGACTCTGAGGTCCTTGACTTCATCGACATGACAAAGGATAAGCCATTTTCTGTTCGCTTCATCGAGTTCATGCCCTTCACTGGTGCGTATGCTGTGTCCTCGGAGCATCCTGAGAGATTGATACTGGCTTCAGGAAACAAGTGGGATAAAAAGAAGATGGTCAAGTCCTCGGAATTGCTGGAGCGCATTAGAGTCCGGCATCCCAATGTTCAACGTGCTTCGGACGAGTTGAATGATACTGCAAGATCCTGGATCATCCCTGGGCACGAGGGCAGCTTCGGGTTCATCTCGAGCATGTCAGACCATTTCTGCGCGTCCTGCAACCGGCTTCGCTTGACTGCGGACGGTCAGATCAAGGTGCGTCCTTCCGCGGAGCTCGGTGTGAGATGCGATTTGAACCCTTTGTGCATTCCCCAGGTTTGCTTATTTGACGCCAACGAAGTTTCTCTCCGCGACAAACTCCGAACTGGAGCATCCGACGATGAACTACTAGAAACTATTGGTCGTGCTGTAGCTGGCAAGAAGGAGAAACATGCAGGCATGGAAGACATCGACGTCGTAACAAATCGGCCGATGATCCTTATAGGCGGTTGAGTCATCTTCTTTGTAGAGACAATGCATCATCCATGCCGTATACTGTACTGAACGTAACTTTTGGGTTGTAGGAAAGACACGGCGAGTGTCCCGTATGGCGCGGTTTCCCCGTCAGCATACCCCTGCCCATATGATTCCGACACATGCACTGTCAGTCGGTGCGCTTCGATTATACAGTACTGCGGCTCACCTTACACATCTGGACGAGCATGGCCGGGCTTCAATGGTTGACGTCAGCGACAAAGCAGCGATCAGACGCTCCGCGACGGCATCCGGCAGGATACTTATCCCCAAAGCGGCTTACCATCTCATTACGTCGTCCTACCCATTGGAAGCCGAAGAACACTCACGAGAGCAGAACATCGAGGACGTTGGCGTCGCCAAGGCAAGGAGGAAAGGAGATGCTCTTAATGTTGCGCAACTCGCAGCCATCATGGGAGCGAAGCAAACGTCGACGCTGATCCCCCTCTGCCATCCTCTCTCATTATCCAGCATCAACGTGAGCCTGGTCCCAAAGGTCTCGAAAACAGCATCGGGGTGGTCATACAGCATTCGGTGCACTGCGACTGTGACATGCGAGGGCAAGACGGGGGTGGAGATGGAAGCGTTGACTGCGGTTTCCGTCGGGCTGCTAACAGTTTGGGATATGTTAAAAGCGGTCGCTGGGGGAGACATGGAAATCGGAAGAATTATGGTCACGGACAAGTCTGGTGGTCGAAGTGGTGACTTCCACCGGCAGTCGTCCTCGGAGGAATAACGATATATGCATTTGGAATTTCGTAACTTTAATTTGAATGCAGAAGCAGGGATGACTGTAATTATGACGATTTCACGAAGGTCTTGAGGTCGTTCAGAATTTCCTTCTCATCGACAAGCCTCCCGACTTCTTTGCCCTTCACGTAGCACGGTGTCAATAGCGGCAAGTCTAACACAATGGAGAAGAATAACGCACGTCTTTTAGCTTGACTATGGTAGGAACACCAGTGATTTTCCAAGGGTCCTGGCGATATATGTTTGCAGGGTTCTTCCATCTGCAGAAGGATGATGAATGTATAAGCTAGGATTGCAACCAATGGCAAAGGCGTACTGAGACCGTTCTCCCACATAAACAACGAGGCCGTCTGCATCGTCCGCAGAGAAGACTTCCTTCACAAGGCTTTCGACGGCCCTGCAGTCCTGATCATTGGGATGAAATTATTTAAGTACAGCCGGGGCAATGAGAAAGAAGTCGACACTCACCGGACACCACAACTGGCCATCGACGACGGAAGAGTAGAATATGATGTGGTGATCTGGGACCGTCTGTAGGGTGATAGGATCGATGGACCCGTCAGCGTAATAGAGAGGCATTTCGAGATGAGAAGTAAGTAGCACGATTTCAAGGGTGAAAGGCAGCTCTAAGCTCGCTGAGCCTCCCTACAGATTGGAATGGTGATTATCTAGCTGACGTCATCAGAACCTAAGATGAGCGAGAAATGGCTGCAGAATACGCCATGTTTCCAGATGCTGCTGCAAGAGCTGTCCTTTATAATTCTCGAGGAATTCGTGATCTGGTAGTTTTTATCTGACCTCAAGAATTAGTTGTTGGGCACTAAAGGTGATAGAAGACAAGACAAGATAAGATAAGATGTTGATAACTTCTCCCGAGATGCTTAGCGCCCGCCGTTGGCTCTTCATTTTCATCTTTTGGCACCGACAGGCTTAATGCCTTGCAAGTCGTCCTGAAAATTAAATAATTATACCTTTTCTCTTATGCGGGAAAGACACATATTTTTCCTCTTGAGATTCGGCTACGCGTCCCTCGAGGCTCAATACACCCGCAGCCACTATGAAAGCGCTAGGGCAAATGACAGCGAACAACCGGCAAAAGAAGACAAGGCGCTATGTATTGATTGGCGACGTGAACGACGCATCGTGTCTCTTTTGTCGACTGCCTTTAGGACCCCTAACTTCGCTAGGAGATGGGGAGTGTTCTCGAAGGGCCTCATATCCAATCTCCCAAGGTCATGCCGGTGGTCGATTTTGCGATTTGATAACAAGTTGGTTGACGAAATGCCTCAGCAAAAGCGAATGGTACAACCATGTAGCCACACGGTCTGCACACGCCGACCCGACGCCCGTCTAAAATTGCTCCTTAAGCGCTATCTTGGCAAGAGGTCCATGGAGGCAATTAACGGTCGCTTGGCGATGCAGCCAATCCCGGGCCAATCTCCGTATGCAGTCCCTGGAAACGGAGAAAGGGATCCTCATAGCTTTCATGGTCGAGGCCGGTCTATTCATTAGCACTGCCCGAACGCGTGTGTGTGAACAAATCACCTCCAGGAAGACGCCGCAGATCCCTGAAAGGCTGGAAACTTCGTCATGAAGGAAGCGTAACAGGTGGAGACCGGCATGCTGCTTTCAAACGCATTCCAATTGCAGCGCAATCCCAGTAAACTAGGACAGATGAAGCGAAGGGAATAGACAAGTCGGCGGGCATGAGGAAGGGGGGATAAATAGGTCGAAAAAAGGCCCGGTAGGGAATGAACCTGTCAATACGAAAAAGGGGTGGCTAGCGCTCTGGAAAACGTATTAAGCACCGAGGTAACAGTAAGCAGCTTTCAATGAAGATCGAAGGTATATATAGCGTCCAATGCGAGAAACAAGCTGTAATGTGAGGAAAACAGTCCATGGTATGGGGGCGTACTCCGCCAAAGAAGTCTACAGTATGGCATGAACGGCATGATGATGGACTACACAAAGAACCCAGAATCGAACGAGACGGAGAGCGGATTCAAGCATCTCCCACTTAGTAACCGGACCCGGAGTCGCCACTTGACCCATACGATCCCGAGCCGTACTGCGAGCCATACTGCGAACCGCTAGACCCATAGCTACCTTGAGAGGCGGCAGTGGTAGTGGTGGCGTGGCTAGATGTCGTGTAGGATGGGGTGGGAGCAGCGTACGTGTTGTGGTTGTTGTTGTTGCCGACCGTCAGCCAGTACTGAGACTTGCACTGGCAAAATGTATCAGGACAGGCTGCTCATCAAAAAAGAAAAGCAAACATACCTGACCAAGGCACTCCATGAGACCAGTCTGGAGAACCTTCTGGATTTCGGTGGTCGTAGCAGTGGCAGTGGCTGTCGATAGCGACAAAGAGGTGACGGTCTGCACATATGTCCTGTCCTCGACCTTCGTCGAAGTGATTGTATTGAGAACAGTCTTGGTCTGAAACGAAAAGTCAATATTCTGCCTGGATTGAGAAGCTCGGAACTCACGTTGTCGATGGTTGATGTCTGTACCCATACCGATGTCAGGGTGGTCGGCTGGACGTACGTGCTAACGTGCGTAACAGTGACCTTGTCCGTTTGGGTGTTGGTCACAGTCGCTGTCGCTGTCTGCACCGAGGTAACCGCCGAAGTGACCGTGGCGGTTTTCGTCTCTTCAACGGTCTTCGTCTAGAGAGCCGAGTTCAGTAAGCTAGTCGAAAAACACAAGTGTAAAGGTACGAACATTGTCGATGACGTGCGTAGTCACCCAGACGCGGGTGTACGTGGTCGGCTGTACAATCGTGCTCAGGTGGGTGACGGTCTGGAAAGCGGTCTTGATCTCCTTGACTGTCTGAGTAGCGGTGTCCGTTTGGGTAGCCGTCTGAGTGTAAACGTTGGTCTGTGTCCTCGTCTCAGTGGCAGTGAGGGTATGCTCGACAACTTTCGTGTTGTCGATGATCTGCGTCGAGACCCACACTCGTGTCGTTGGCTGGACCTCGATAGAGGTAACGACGTGCGTAACTGATTGAGTGTTGGTTTGGGTGTAGGTAACCGTCTCATGCTTCGTAATCGTGGTGGGGACAACTTGTGTGTGAACCTAGGTTCAACAATCAAAATGGTCAGCAAAATAACTGTCATAGAAGACGATAGAAATGCACCTGTGTCTGGATGGCCGTCACTGTGACCGTATGAGCGCCTCCCCCACCATAACCACCGTGGCAATTACTAGAAGACAAGATAAGAAGGCCAGAAGGTACCGAAAGCTAAAGAAAGCTCACTTGATATTAATAATTTGAGTAGCATAGCAACCCTCAGTTTGTGTGTACTGAGGAATGTCTAATTGGAATTCGGGGGTACTAAAAAGTTGGGCAAGAACGACTCACCCATGTCTCAGGCTTGCATGACCCATCCTGCTGCTTCTTGTAGCCGTATCCGCAGTCCAGACTTTTGTATCCTCCGCTCTTGTACGAAGAGTAAGGCATGACCTGGTAGAAATCCACGGAACTGGAGGGGGCTGCCGTAGGTTCTGTAGGCGGCGCTGCTCCATCAGTCGGCGCGGGCGTTGGGGTGATGGCGCCAGGCTGGGCCGCTGCGATAGGGACCATGGACATGCCCACAACGCTGATCTGAGCGGCAGCTGCGCTCACAAGGGAAAGTCCAAATACGATCGACTTCATCATGACTTAAAGAAAGTGTGGGCCGCGGGGGGTGCGATGAAAAATACGAAATGCTGGACGCGAGTCGAACGAAGGGAGCGGTCTACGCTGGCGTTGACACTGTCTTGCAGTTGGGAATGCGAAACGGCGCGACACGAGCGGCTGGGGAGCGGCAGGCAATCTAGAGGAGGATAAGGGAGGGACTGCGATGAAACAGGGGAAAACGCACCGCTTTAAAAGAAAAAAGAGAGGAAAGAACGAAAACGAAGACGAAACGAAGGAGGAGGGTAAGAAGGAGAGATGAGGGCCGAGCGTATTTGAACCATCAGCGCATGATCGGTCACCACATTTCTTCTGTCCTCGCAACCATTGGCATGCATCATCATCTTCCACATCAACAGCCCATCGGATGCGGGCAGGGAGATCTCGGTCGTGACATTTTTTGCTGATGGGTCTCCAGGGAGAACCGCCCAAGTTGGATTTCGCATATGCATATTCCCCTCCCATTGGCCTATTTATTACAGATGTGACACGACAAATCTCTACCCTATCATGACGAGGACAGCCTTGGATTGGACAGTGACAGTGGCTTCCCCGAAAAGGCTGCCGCTCGTGCTCCAAAATCGCCGTGCACGTCCAGAAGGATCTTGAGAGCATTTCTGGCCCTGATTTTAGCAAGGTCGTCCGGCCGGGAGGTGAGAGCAGTCTCCACCTTGATAGGCTTATCTTGCCAGGGATACTGCACACAGCGCACTCAGAATGAGAAGAACGAGGAGCCAATGAGGCAGTAGGCCAACTCACAGGTAACTGAACATTATTGGGGGAAAAGGTACATCCTTTTCAACGCCAATTGCGATGGGGATAAAAATAGAACCACTTACCACATCCTTCAACGTTTCATACGCTGCATGTCGGTCGTTAGTAACTATCACACAGACGCCGTTAGCACGTTGCTCACCAAGGAGAGTGAATCCGAACTGGGGGCTGCTACGTATAACGCGGGCGGGGCCGCCTTTGAAGAGCGCTCGGAAACCCTCTTCACGATCTGTATGTCTAATTGAGTCCGGGATTGCATTAGGGAAGGAACACCACGCACATATTTTCACGAAGGCGTCACGAAGACCGGAGTAGTGCGTCTGCCCTTTCCGCGCCTCAACCTGCAATCGCGTCTTCACAACATCTGGAACGGACGTTTCATATCAGTTCATCACAAAGCTGTACCAAATGCAACGAGGAAAGCCCACCTGCAGGAGTGGTCAAGTAGGCTGCCGGCATGCCACTATCAGCCAGGCATCATTAGATTGATATCAAAATTCGAATTGTAAAAGTAACATACGCGATGCCCGCCGCCGCCAAAGTCTCCAGAAACGAAAGCTTTTTGCCGTTGTACCCTTCTTGGAAGACGTCCGACTTCAAGTGCGAATATGCCGTGAAGTAGATGGCGGAGAAAGGGATATCTCGAAGCAAGCATGCAGAGGAGCCTTTGTACAGGCCCAGAATACCAAGCTGACGGATGATGTGGATGGCACCCTTCGGTGTCGCACCCTCAACCTTGGCTGCTTCGCCCTGTACCTGGAGGCGAATCTTGCTAAAGGCTATTTTCAGCACGAGAGGCTCTGCGCCAATAAATCAAGCAAAGCGTACACGATCTCCAAAGGATTCGTGAAGATCTAATAATAGCGTTAGTCCAGAGAACGGCGTGTTCGGATGGAAAGTGCACCGACCACTTGCGAACCTCCGGCGGTACCACCAGCAACAAGCTCCCAGAACACCTTTATCCGACCTGTTTCGGGATCCATCGCGCGCGACCGCACGAGGTCATTGACTGTCAGCTTGATGGCCTTCTCCGGTGCTACGCCCTACACATTTGCCTTCGCATTAACTCTGGATCGTCAACCACTCTTAAGCAATATACTTGCCACAAGCTGCGGTCCCAGACCTCGGTAGAAACCCAGGAACCCTTCGTTGCGGAAGATCTTCTTAGCGCAGTCAATGCTGTTTTTGTACAGCATCTGACCGACAACCGTCGAGCGCTGATTCTGCATTCTAGTAACCGTATTGATTCAGCCACTCGTAGATGCTGTCAACACGGTGGACACTCACCGAGTCTATTACGAGAAGGGTGAGGCATCAAGTTCCGGGATGTCCGACGAATCACAAACACAAGACATACCTTAACTGAAGAGTATACCGTATATAAGTATCGAAAGCGCGCTCATCTAACTAAACAAAAACTTACCCATATCGATAGGATACACAATGGTGGCTCCAACAGCCCCAGCGATACCTAAGTGGCATGCGCGTCAGTTTTGTCATGCCTGCCACAGAGAGGCACCTTACCGCCCAAGCCAAAGTTGTATGCTGAATGCAAAATGTCGTGGAGGAGAGACACTGGTGAGGTAGGCTTCTGCTCGACGACGTGCTCATGAGGTGGCTTCCACCGTGGGTCGAGGAGTTGACCAAAATCGAGGAGGGCCAGGCGTTGGGTGCCAATTCCGCGTCCGGCGAAGTGAAAGATGATAGACGCCTCCATCGGCGTGAAGAGGGAATAGCGAGAGCTCGAGGCTGCATGGTTGAGGAAATCGGTCTGGTCTATCCGGCCGTCTTTGCTCTTCGCTGTTGCCTCGCGAATTATTCTTTGAAGGGCATGTCAATAACGTCGTCCCAAAAAAGGAATAACCGAGGTAGATTACCTTTCGACCATATCCATTTCTGCCGACAGGGTAAAATTAGGAGTCAGACGCGTCTTTCCAATAAAACGACGCGTCGAAGACGTACCTCTGATGACATTATGGAACGCAATAACTTCCGAATAAGATATACGTTGGCCAGGAGTTAAGGTACAAAGGGTAGGTAGTCGGTCAATAACGGTATCTGATAGTTTATGTCCAGCAATTTCCTGCGTGATTGGAAAGGCGTCAGCGTTTAGAGGAAGTGGTTATAATAAAGACAGCGCACTAATATGATTCTTTTGAATTCTTCAGGTCTAATGAATCCGTCTTGGTCCTTGTCTAAGTATTTGAAAGCCTGGCGCAACCGCTCGCCCTGCAAGCCCTTCATGAGTTGCGTGAATTCGTTATCTGCGATATGGATGATTTAGCCATGAACAAGAAGCTTCACGATCAGCATGGAAGGCGGCTTACAGCCCAACACGTGTGTCCCATTCTTCTTCCCAAGGTATAGTTTGATCCAGTCGCTGCAGGGGAGATAATGGGCGAACGAACGAGTGGGCAAAAGAGGGAGCTAACCAGTCAAAGTCGAAAGGTATCGCGTCTGGTCCAAGGTTGGCAGAAAAGACAGTCTTGAATTCGTTGTAGTCTATATATCCTGAGTGGTCACTGTATCGCGTTGCACGCCACGAATCATGAGCATGGCCGGGATGCACGGAAGAGGGAGTGGGGCGTACACGTCGAAATACTGGAAAGCCATCCAGTAGTCCGCATCAGGCCGCTTGAGGAGTGTTTCGAACACAGTGAAGTCGTCCCATGAGACCAACCCGCGTCGGGAGGTGTCGGCGATACGAAAGAGGATGGCGAACTGCTCTCGCCCGATCTTCTTGCTGAGGTCGGCTTTGGGAGCGATAGCATTGACGAAGCTTTCTGGATCCAAGAACCTAACATCACGCCCGACGGAAGAATAGTGGAAACACAAATACAGCAGTCAGGACCCAGAACATTTGCCTTGGCTTCGCCGACCTGTAGCCGGCATGTGACCAAGGTATGGATGGAGGACTCACTTCTCGCCATTAACGACCTTTGCGTTACTGTCAAACGTGCGCCTCCATCGCTTGAGCTCGCTCTCCGGAACGGACACCGCGGTGCGCACAGTGTTGAGCGCGGATTTTGTGATGGATGACGAACCGTCGGAGTCGGCGTGGACGGTAGGGAGGACTTTGGACTCGTCGGACATGATTGAGGACGCGCTGGATGGTGCGCTGGGGTATCAGAAGAGCCTGGAGGAAGACGGCGGCGATGTGGGGAGAGAATAACAGCAGCTGGCCGCACGCTGGCGGAAATGCAAAAGTAAAAGTTTTTGCGTGCGGGGTTAACTCATGCCTACTTTGGAAATACGACACCGCTTTCCGAACGGCCGAACACGCCGCCGTCGCTTACTTCACCATTCCGGCCGTCCTTCCGCTATGCTTCCGTCCGTCGATAATACACCCCGTAGTCATTCTCCTTCAATTCATCGCGCAAAGGCCACCTCACGGGGAAGCCGAAAACTAATACAGTACATCTCCTTGCTCGGCGCGACGGAACGAACTAGGTGTAGGCTTATCTCGTTGCCCAACGGATGCCCGAGCTTCTCCTCGACTCGCTGAAAATCATGCTGTCAGAAACAGGAGGTCGGACCGGTTAGGATATCAGACGGACCTGCCGAATATCTTCCTCTGCTCTGGCTATGTCTAGCTCTCGAGTGAAGCAATGGCAATGCACCATAGGCATCTGCTCATATTCCCCGCTCAAATTCCGCGAGTCGTCGGCTAATATACCTCGGAACGCGTCTAGGAACGTAATTGCTGAGTCCGGCAGGTTCATGACGAAATGTGCAATGGCTCTTCGAGGAGGTTTCCCATTTTCGACAGGATCGGACACAGGAACAGGCTTGCCCTCAGCAGCGAGCTTTTGAAGTCGTTTCCGTTCCCTTTCCTCCTGCATCCTGCTCGGCTTCGGGCCCGTGTACGCAAGGAACGGCTCGTCAAACACGCGAGACACACTCGCTCGGATGAAATCGCGACCGTCTTCACACGAAACACGCACAAGTTCGGTCACCTTCGTAGGAAAACGGATCATGAGCAAATCACAACAACGACATCTGCATTTGAAGAGGTAATCACCCTGTTGTCATCGATATTTTTGCGCAGATATTTCGCGCTATTCGGATTTAGGTCATTGGCAAGAACTGCACAACCTTTCTTCGCTGCGGGTACTGCAAAAGGCCCTACTCCAGCAAAAACATCGGCAACAAGTTCTTCTGGTTTAAACATCTCGACAAGCCGTTCATGTTCGGTGTGCAATCGAGAATTCCAGTAGACTTGGGTAAAATCGAACGTGAATCGGCAATCTGCCTCGTGCTATATCCTCCGTCAGCAGGAGCCTTGGTTGTACTGCGACGACTTACATGTTCGACAACAAAATCAGGTTCTCCGGCAATTAGCTCCATCTTGAAGAAGCGGAATTGATTATCGATAGTGTTCAACTTGTTTACAACAGTCTTGACCCTTTTGTTTTTCTGTCGGAAGGCGATGAATCCCATATGTCATTAGATGAATGGGCTGTTCACCAACATCCATGATGAGCTGACCAATAATATGCTTGTATGGGAGATATTCGTCGAGGAGATTGACATGGGCTGAAGGGAAAACAAGTTAACAATCATTAAGGTGTATCTGGAAAAACGACCGCACCGATATGTCCTGTCATTGCAAACCCATTCGGAGCGCCATCTCGAAGTTCTTCCGGGAGAAATGCATGTAGGCATTCGTCTATTATCTTGTTCAATATTGCGACACGTACACGGAAAATTCTTACTCGCCAGCGGTCCAGTAATTATAATCCAATTCAATCTTGTGGTCGACAAAGCCCTTCGCCTCTCTGTCCAGAAATTGTCGAGCCTCGGGCGGAATATCGGCTGGCTTGCACGAAGAATCAGTAAGTCATCCAAGTGTTCAGAGGGCAAAAACACACCCTGATTTGACACTCTTAGGAGGACCAATCGTTCACCATCAGGCACGGAAGAATCAGAGACGACAGTACGAATTTTCGGGAGGTCCATAATGCAGCTGTTGGCGAGATGGCACGGTCACAAACTTCTAATGACAGGAACGCATCGACGCACTCTTTTAGTGCAAGAGTCTTGAGAAAGGCGCCCGTCTTCTCAGGTGGAACGCGTGCGCCGAGGACTGTGAGGCTCTTCCTAAATGCCTCTTTGTCCAAACGGTCCCAAGGGCCATTATATGGCGGTGGTGACGCGTCGATGGATAGGTGACGAGACATGCTGAAAATATTGAGGTATTGGCGTTGTTTGGAGAGCAGAGTTCGCGCCAGGAGCATTCACGAAATTCGCGGATGTGGAAAGAGACAAAATGCAGCGAGCCAACAGGAATTTCTGTTACGTCATGATGAGTCAGCATCCGCCTCAGCCAATTGCATGTCGACGATCACCTCCCAAACATATCCGTCAAGTGTAACACGCTCTTTTTGGCGAAAATCGCGTTTCCATTCTATTCTGTGACAGAACTTCGAGCACACGATCTTCTGTCGATACGAAAATCTAATCAGGACGCGAGTAAACTTGGCTGATTGCGACACCCCGAACATCTGCCATCGACATCCAACTCGACAACAATACGCATCTAGACTCACATCTTACTTCATCTGTTCTCTCGAACGCTCGCTCTTGTCTTATCTGACTCGTGTTCTCTTGGGCTTCGATCAACTGCCGGGCGAGTACAGACTCGGGAAAGCCTTTCGCCGACCTGCTCCAACGTTGCGGTGGCATCTCACGAAATTGCTCACTTAACGTCACGTCCAAATTGAAGTTGCGACGGGTGAAGCGTCGCTCGACCACCCAACCCGGCTGCAGCACTCAAAATACATTTATTCGTCGTATCTTCTCACCAACGTAACCTTTTGCGCCCACCTTCAAACCCAGAGCCTATTCCAAAATAATGTCGGCGCCTTCGAACCCAGACGCCCAGCCTTCGGATTTACCCCCCTCCTCCGTGCTCTCACACATCGTGGACGTGCACTGCCATCCAACAGACGCTCCAGACGGCATACCTGCTTCTGCGATGGACAGCCTACAAATATCGATCTGTGCCATGTCTTCGATGCAGTCCGATCAAGGCAAGGTGAAAGCACTAGCTAGTGCGTACCCGGAGAAGGTTACACCGGCTTTCGGTTAGTGCTTGGTGTGTCCCCATTTTATTGATTGTGGTCTTGTAAATTGCTACTTTGTGGATTTGAGATGAAGATCCTTACCCTTTCGACACTTTTTGACTGTGGGTGGAAGGATTTGTGACTGGGTTGTTGGGTAACCAGGCAGTGCTCTTTGGCACACGCCGATAAAGGCACCCAAGCCCACATCATAACGTTGTTTCTCTTGACCGTTTCATGAAGGGTGTAAAATTCCTTGAATTAAATTGAAGGCTAAAACGCGCCTTGTACGCAGGCTACCATCCCTGGTTCTCTCACCTCATATCCATAACGGCATCGACCTCCGCGCCCCCCAAAGAAACACACTACCGCACGTTGTTTTTCCCAACCCCAGCAGCACCAAATGCCGCCCACGAAGCCCAATTCCAAGCTCTACTCCCGTACCTCCCCGACCCTTGCTCTCTCTCAACCATCCTAGATGAAGTTCGCGCCAATCTGACCCTCTTTCCAAACGCTATGCTAGGCGAAGTAGGGCTCGACCGTGCGTTCCGTGTGCCAATCGACTACTTCGCGTCTCTGCGCATCCTTACACCTTTTACGATCCCACTGGAACACCAATTGCGTATCCTTGAGGCACAGATCGACCTGGCGGTGGAGTTGCGGAGAAACGTCAGTGTGCATAGTGTTAAGGCACAGCAGCAGACCGTTGAGTTGCTGTCGAAGATGAAGGCAAAGCACGGCGACGCGAGGTGGAATAGGATCAGTGTGGACATGCACAGTTGTGGGCTGAGTGTGCAGACCTGGCGCGACCTCGAGGTAGACTCTTTATTGAAGTTTCTTCGCTTTTGTTTTTGATTTCTGGTCTTCGTTGTTCAGAAGAAGCATGAAAACGTCTTCTTATCACTCTCAGTTGTGATAAACTACAAACATGCGAACCTTCGCGAGCTCATAGCTTCGTGCGATGCAGACCGAATTTTAGTGGAGTCCGACTTCAACGACATCAACATGTGCACCTCCTGGACATGGGACATGGTCAGAATCATCTCAGAGGTGAGAGGATGGCCTATAGAGACAGAATGGATCGAAGACGACGCATCGTTGGAGGAAAAAGACTGGGGTGTCATTCGCAGGCTCTGGAAGAACTGGCTGAGATTCAAGAACGGCAACCATCCCACGAAGCAGAAGGCGAAACGCAACAAGAGAAGAGATTATAATTCTGAAGGGTCTGATATCCAAGAGATATGAGAGTAAGGTAACGTGAAATGGCCCAGCATGTCTGAACCGTTGGGCAGGATGTTCTCCCACCCACAGTGTTCATTTCGAAACAAGGGGCTTGCCTTGGGATGTTTCAAAATAACGGACGCTGGGCCTCGGGCCTGAGAAATTGATGCACATTGGTGTTTCGGAGGTTCCAAAGACGAAGCGGGTATTGGCATAATCAATGCCAGATGTATGTGAGGAGGATGATAGCGCAGACTCCGATGAGGACGCCCATGATAATGGAGTCTCTCCGCCGCCGCGACTTGATCATTGACACCAAGCTGTTGATACCAGGCATCGTACCTACTCAGGGTTTAGCGGAGAGGATTGCGGGAGAATGGAGGAAACACACCTAGCACCTGCACCATCCGGTTGTTGATACCTGCGAGGGACGTCCGTTGACGAGAAAACTCTGACCGCGTCTCGTACGCTTGTCTAGAAGGGAAAAGGGTATTGTTACATTATGCTGGAGAAACGGTATACAAAAGACAGGCGCACTGGAGGATGTCGTCCGTCATTCGGTGTGAACTATCAATACGCCCTCGTTCGGCCAATAACGAGTCCGCTGCTGACGACTTGTACGCGCTAACGGGATTGTAAATGCGACTGTCAGAAATATAACGATAGGAGCACATACTCAATGTCATTCCGGACTCCCGAAAGCAGATTTGCCTGGTCCAGTGCGTGTTTAGTGTTGGTCTGTCGCGTCGTCGCAATCAGCATGATTCCAGGGATTGGTCGAAGACATAAGGGGCTCACCTTCGTCCTCTTCAATTCGCGGATGTTATCTTGATGAAGCTCACGGTGTCGTTGGATGGCCCGCAACATGGAGGCGGACATGAGATCGGGTGTACCGGCCAAAACTGCCAATTGCTCATTGATTTCTTCCAACTGTATTCCTTCTTCAGCTCTCGGAATACGAGTAGCCTGGCAGCAAACGCACCTTCGCAGCGAGGTCGTCCAGCTCAACTTCCAAATCCTTCCATCGTTCCGTCGAGCCTGAAGACTCGATATCCTGTCCCGGCCGTGAGATGCTGGCGGCGAGTTGAGAGTATGAGGTGAGTTTGGAGTCAAAGAGGTTCTCGAGTGTCCTGCATTGTCTGTGTAGCTGATCGTAGTTCGACATTTCTGGTGAAGAGGTATTGAGGGTGGTGGTAGGAACGAAGGTTTTTTGTGTTCTAGTCCTGCTCGAACAGTGCTGTGCACGGCATTGGTCCCATTTGCCGCTCGGCACTTTCCGGTCTAAATTTAGGTACTCACATGACAGTAAATTGGCGCGTGCCAGTTAACGGTCGTACTTACTAACGCGTCTCCTACCAGCTACCTTGAATCTCATTTCTCGGAGAGCTTGCAATCATTTCTTTTGAATTTCATTGCCTTTCTATTTTATTAGTACATATTTGCGCAATTTATATTCCTTTCAAGTATCCTATGAACGTGGACCTGAGAAGCCTAAGCACAAGTAAGTCCCAGCTTACAGTCTGCAGGGCCAGTTGTGAATGCGAACGCAAAACTAAGCATGAATTTTATTCATCTTTGAGCTGGAAAGTCACCTCCGAGACTGATCTCGCCTTCAGAGACTCCTTGCTCTTGGTCCCGCAATTCTGAATCCCTATTACCTTGGAGGTAATCCAACCCGACCCTCGAGCCTGACAACGAGAGTCGTAATTCGTATCGAAGAATGCAGTCCGTGATGAAGTTCACAACACCTGTCGTTCAAGCCAGGGCGCGGTTTTAGGCATCACGGCAATATTGACAAATGAAGAGAACGTCACACAGCTTTCAGTATTATTTTATGTACGTCTACAGTCCAAACCAAGATTTTGCCGTCTGTTGCGCCGCCAGTCGTTTTGCCTACATGAAGGAAAGCATTATCAGAGCTCGGCACCTTTCAAAACTTATCATTCGAAAAAAAAGCAGTTACCTGCGCGACCATGTTCCTGCTACCCTGCTCCAGCGATTGGAAGCGCTCTTCCAGATCCCCAAGGAGCTGCCTGAAAGAAGTGATTGAATACGAACGAATAACGAGTTGGACATCTTTGCGCACCCTCGTTCGCCCATCGCAGACGACAGTTTATTATATAAGTTCGCCTGGACAGTAGCAGCTCCAGCAGCAATGCCTGCTGCCGCACTCGCGACACCTTCAGAGTCTTTGCTCCTCTCTGATTGTGGTTGCGGAATCGGTCTATTGGGTCCGCCCACTGTAGGTAATCAAGGCCGTTGTTTATCAGCGACCGATTGCATCATATGGAAACAAAGGGGGTCAGGGACTCCTATGAAGCAAGAGAGAGAGACGGTCGACGGCAAATGATGAATTGCAGTGAGATAAGCAAAAGGCAACCTGGCCGCCGAAATGCGAAGCGCAGCGTAATTGAAGAACAAACACTCACGAAGTTCATCAATCTGGTCACCAGACAAGGTCTGGTTGAAAGAGAACCACGAACCGAGGAGAGACGGAGGGCCAAGTGAGACGGGTTGCGGTTGAGGCGGGACGGATCCACGTGTGGAAGCAAAATCGATATCCGGTGGAGTGTAGACGCGTCTAACATTGAAGAAGGTGCCGTAGGTTGCTTGGTGAATGTGGGTGGACTTGGTTTGTACACGAGGATCCTGTGTCCAGGCGATGAAGTCTCCACTTTCGTCTATTGATAGAGGTCTGTTGAAGTGAACAAAGAACGTGTCAGAAATATTGGAAATACTGAGAAACATGACAGACGAACAGAGACGATATGAGAGGAAGGTGGACGGTGTTGAGGTGCTCCAAATGAGGTAGGGAGTATATCAATACATCCCGCCGATCTGTTTGGATGACAAGAGCACGCGCACCTACATCGACAGTGTTATAGGTGTTGTACTTGACCTAATAGATCTGAATACATACCCATGTGCTCTACAACCTGAGCGCTTTCTACAAGCCCAACCTTACTACCCCACTCCACCTTTGCCACTTTCTCGCCATTGATGTCAGCGGAGATCCTGGCACCTCGCGCACCAACAGCAACCAATAAACATTGAGGACCAATGTCAACTTGTGGTATGTTCTTGAACGAAGTCGCGAGCCGTGTCCGTTCCGCCCTCCATTGCGAGCCACTCTTGACGTCCAGAACAAATGTAGCCCCGGGAACTGGGTCAGCCATCGCTTTACAAATTGTTGCTTCACCGGCGACGCTCCAAGAAACGGGGTTTCCTGAAGGAACGAATGTGTATATTTCCCCCTGTCCTGACTGGCGTACTGCGATTAAACGAACTTTCAGCTGAGAATCTAGGAAATTTTATCAGTAAAAAAGTAGAGCTGAGCCACGGAGAAAATGGGACCTTTATCAAGAGGAGCGATCGTCCATGCTAGCGATTTAACTGCATCCGGGGTAGAGTGCGTTGGACTACTGACAGAGTACCTGTTCTGTTTCTTATTCTTTTCAAGAGAGAGAATAATATTTGGGCCCCGCATGTCTACCACCGTGAGAGTACCATCGCTGTATGATACGGAAAGGAAACCTGGTCCAAAGACGGCTCCTAAGCTGGTGAATGTATAGACTGAACTAATTTACGTACCAGTGTCGGATATTGCGCAAGCTTCAACTGGACCCTTACCAGCACCGAGCATGAAAAATGGTCTTAGCCGACTTGTGGCAGGAGAATAAATTTGCTCCAAAGATGTGATTTCTGTGCCCGCCAGCACCTTTGATGAAGTGACAGAACCTAAACGGGATCGTGAATGGTAGATCAGGACGTCGCCCGACCCTAAAACTATGGCACATTCAAGGGCATCTGGTGCAATTTGAACAGACTGTATGGCAGCGTGTTCGACAGGGAGATGAAGACTTTTGGAGATTGAGGCATCATCGAATAATTCTGACAACCGAATGGTTAGGCTAGGAAGGGGATTTGGCCATTCGTTCTCCAGCGGCGATGTTGCTGATGTCGGAATCAACAAATAAGCACTCATGTCGTAGAAGCGAACAGTGAGGTCTCCGTTATAAGTCATCCAGATCCTCTTAGGCTGATACTTCGACAGTTTGAGTTCGTTCAATTTGGTCGTATCTGCAAAGGCTTGGCCGCCCTTCAAATCGAGGTGGATGTCATTGTCGGATTTCTTGTCAACGAAGTTGTCGTATACATCGTTCTCGAGCTTGAAAAGCCTACCGCCTAGGACCCCAGAGCCGCTGTTAGACAGAGTGAACGGTATGCGCGCTCGTGCCGGTGTGCCATTGAGATGGCGCGGTGACTTGGGCAGCGGTGTTGAAGGGACTGGGCTCAACAGACCTGCGGGGGATGCTGTGGTTTCTTCTGCAGTGAGATCCGTTATCGAATTACTGTCAGGCATTTGTGCCTCTTGCACGGCTGTTGTTTGGACAAACCCTGGGGGAGGAAATTGATAGCTTTCAACGGCCCTGACACCTTGAACGTCAAGGATGAGAGCAACCGCATATGGGTCGGAGCTGCCATTGTAATGAGGGCTCTTTCGTGGCAAAAGAAGATAGTCTTGCACAACGCCACGAGTTTCGTAGAAAAATGTCTTCTTTGGCACAACGGATTCACACATAGCGCTGCGGAATCCGGGGTGCAACGAATTTAGTTGCGCTGGTGGTTCGTTAGGCGGTGCAGGTGGGTTGAACGCTGGTAGGAGGGTGACAGTCAGGCCAAATGGTTTGCCAGGTAAATCGCCACCGAGAACAGCGAGGACAGTTTCGCCTCCTCGGGGATCTGCCGAGTTCGAGAAACCACTCCACGACAGCTTGAAGATAGGCTCTCTGATCGATTGGGACGATTTCTGGTTATCACCCGCTAGATGTTTTTCCAGGGCATCTGCATTCACCACGTTTACGTCGACCTCGTCCAGAGTTCGAACGACCAACGGCCGAGTATCATCTTCGACTGCCCAGAAGGCGATAGAGCCATCTGCATAACCGACAGCGAGTATATGTCCGGAAGGGTGAACCGCAATGGAAGTGACGATCATGCGACGATGTGTCAAGATATCCTATAAGATGTTTAGCAAAGGTGAGAACATGAGCGAGAAACAACAACGAACGTCGAGGCCGTATCCAGCTCCCCCTGGCGCTCCAGGAGGGAGAACTGATTCATATGCACGTACTGTATTTCTTTCCGTCTGACAAGGTAGCTTAATTGCAGGTCGAAATGGCGCTTCCTCAGTTGTGAACACGTACGAGATCCGTCAAGATGACACCACCTACCCACTAGCGTTCAACTTTAGAATGCTTTCACAGGAAGGATGACGCACCTGCGTAAGCCACGAAAATCAGATTCAGGTTTCTGGGATGAACAACAATTTCAACGCCATCTGGACTACCGCGAGCAAGGTAGGTTAGTTAGAGCGGAATTTATCTGGTAATAAAAGCACTGACGGAGTTGGCTGCGTCAACGAGGGTACTCCTCTAACTGCCTTGCTTTCTTCGTATAGTTTCCACATGTTGGGCATTATGTATGGAGACTTTCGGCGACAGGCTAGGTCATAGGTCCTGACTTCCCCATTCTGCGTAGCGAGGAAGACCTATGTCAAGGTCAGAATGAGGACACGACGACTGAGAGACGACAAACGTGTGTATGAGAAGGTGCAAGTGTAATTGAGCTGTAAAAAAATTTAAGATCGTTAACAGTACCTCAACAATAGTGTCAACGCACTTGGTCTGGTCAAACCGCGCAGAAGTCACATATTTGGGCTTTCCAAACTCCAGAAGATCGTAGATGTGAAGCTGGTTTCGATCATCTACGAGTGGATGAGACCCTGATTCTTTCTCGTACGATATGAAGTGGAACACACCTAGGCAAACGACGGTGTATGTTGAAACAGAGAAATGGAGTAGTCGGACACCCACGGGTTCAGGAAGTGTGATTTTCGATTCCACGCTCGGGCCGCCGAAGAGGTGTATGGCTCCTGTCGCAGTGCCTTGCAAGACGGTTAATGAAGGGCGCGATGGCGAAACGCAGAGATGGAATACCAGCAGCAAGGATTCCTGCTATAGGCTCCACTGCGAGTGTAGTGATATTCGGAGGAAAGTCGAAAGTTCTCAAGTTTCCGACATTCCAGTCATTCGGGTCGCTTAAGTCAGTTGAAAGATCCGCCAAAACAGGTTCATGGTGTTTGGAGAACATGGTGAGTGTGGGCCAAGTAGCTTGAGCAGCATCACGATCACTGTAAAGTTAGGATTTCCGAAAGTAGACCAATGTCCGCAAGAGTGCGCATGCGCATATGCCCTATCGCATTATAACCCTGGCATAAGAAATAAGAAATAAACTGCATAGAAATACATGTACAATGCAAGAGGTATGCTACATATCATACGCGCAATAATGTAGAAAATCCGAAAAAAAAGAATGTATCAAGGACAAACCCTGTCATGAAGCCTCCCCTCTATCGAAGAGAGACCTCATATTGGACGGCCTGTCTGGCACTTGTGATGAACCCCTGATTTTCCCCAACCAACTTCGCTTGCTTGATTTCAAAGAAGATGGTGGCATAGGAGGTAGCTTTTGAGGACTGTTGGTCATGTCAGAACTCAACGGGGCGATGCTTCTCCGCGGAGACGGTATCGGAACTGTAGGACGGTTGTGATGCCGATTAGGAGTGAAACCAGATTGCAAGCTGCTCAACATTCTTCGAACTCGAGGTGTCCGATTTTCGACATCCTCGCCTTCGGGGCTGAAAGCCTGAGCAGGAACGTTGTCACAGACCTCAAAGTCATCTGGTGCTGCTCGCTTCTTGCCAATGACTATCGCAGACGACATTGGCATAGATTCAGCCACCGCAGTGTGCCTCTCGGGCGTTTGTGCTCTAAAGACCGGGACAGGAGCAAGTGCAGCAGGCGCAGGAGCGAAGGCACGGTTACGCTCAGGTGTTTTGGGCCGGGGTAAAGATGACGGTCCAGAAACATTTCTGGAAGTAAGCCTGCGGGCGGATAAGGGAGTTTCTGTAGGAGCTGCAGGTGGAGAATGTGAAGCATATGTCGCCAATCGCGGACGAGAAGTTTGGGGACTCGGCTGCCCCATGTTTGTTGTCGGTTGTGTGGATGAGGGTAGAGGTACTTGCCCTTCGGAGGGAGGTTGGGCCGCACTTGCTGCCTTGGCCGCCACAAGTTTGGCCTGCAGGTTTTGTACTTTGCGAGTCAAGGATTCGACCTTGGTTGACAGCTTCTTCTTTTCTTTCAACATCCTAACAGCGAGTGGTGAGCCCTTCGTCAAACATACAATTCCGAGAACTTACTCAAGGACCCGGTCGTCGTTCTCTTCAATTTCCGCACATTTAGCCCTGAGTAACTCCTCCATCTCGTTATTACGTTGTTCCAGCTCATAAAGGGCATTCTCGAGATTGGGTCGTGAGCGCAAGGTTGACAGTTCCCGTTGAAGCTCTGAGGTCTCGCGCTTGTGTTGAGCGTTCTGCAAACTGAGATTGACTTCGGCCGCCTTGCATGCCTTCTCGGAACGGGCAAGGTCAGCTTGGAGACGCTCAATGTCTCCTTTGAGAACGATGGCGAGTTGTTCGCTGGAAAGGAATTATCAGGACGACACTTAACGGACGAAAATAAACTGACTCACTTATCCTTGACCTGACCTTCGAGATATCTTTGAAGCGATTTCGATTTCTGAACCTCTGCTTCCAATGTTGTGATTTCTTGTTGGAGAGCGATCTTGTCCTCTTCGGTAGTTTCAAGATCGACTTGAGCACGCTGGAGCTTATCTTGGATGATAGCCAATTCTTCCTCCAACTGTGATCTGCTATCATCTGTGGCCTTCGAGCGTTCGACAGCGGCAGACACCTCCTTCGAATACTTCTTTTGGTCATGAGCTCGGCCTTCGACTTCCTCCTGCAAACGCTGAGCCAGCCGGGCTGCCTCCTCCTTCGAAATGTCAAGGAGGCGGGCATTCTCTTCGAATCTGCCTTGGAGGGAAACGACCTTCTTCTCCAGCTCCTGCTGAATGACATGCCCCTTGCCACGAACATCGTCAAGTAGGGCATCTTGTTCTCGTCGGATGTGGTCCAAATTCTCAAGCAGGCGCGCATTGTCTTCCTGAAGGGCATCTCGAGATTGTCGAGCACTTTCTAAGTCGTGCGAAGTCTTCTCGAGTTGGACTCGAAGCTCATGAATCTTCTTGTCATGATCCTTCGACAAAGCATCAGATTCGTCGTGCAATTCACGTAGCACCAAAAGATTTTTCTTCGCAGTTTCGAGCTGTTCCTCCAGCCCGCGGATAGTGGAATTGGCACCATCCAAGGCCCTATGATAATTTTCCTCAGAAGACTTGTACCGCGTTTCTAGCTCTTCCAGGGCACCCTCGGCTTCCACAAGGAGCTTTTGAACTGCGCCCATTGCTTCGGCGTGCTCGAGTTTAATCTGGACGAGCTCGTTCTCTGCGTCCTGGTGGACAGTACCGCTTTGCTCAAGCTCCTGCAAACGCGTCTCCAATGTCTTCTTCTGCAGTCCAAGATCGCGGATGATGGACTCGTGATCCTGTTTCTGCAATTCGGCAAGTTGAGACTCGAGAGCTGCCTTCTCTTCCTGGAAGCGACGGGCGAGGATCGACAATTCCGTAGCTTCATTCTGTGAGTCAGAGAGGGTGCCCCTGACGGCATCAAGTTCAGCCAATGATACTGAGTTCGATTGGAGCTCTTCCTGCAAGGTGGATCGCTCTTGTCGGAGAGAAGAAACCTCCTGTCTTGCTCTTACGAGATCCTGTCTGTTTCGGCGGATTGAATCCCGTGCATGCAAGACAGTATCGGCGACGACACTGATCATAGTCGTTACTAAGGCTGCATTGTCGCCGTTTGCTTCAAGCTCATCTTCGAGGGTCTCGATGCGTGCAAGAGCTTCGTCGCGCGCTTCTCGTGCATCAGCACAATCCTCCACCATGGCATCCTTTTGAGCAGTGATTGTCTCTAAGTCTGCTGTCATCTCGGTGAGGCGCTCTTCTTGAAGTTTCAAGTTCGTTTCAAGACGGCGAATATCATGCTGGTGGAGTCCAATTTGCTCTGTGCGTCTCATGACACGCCCTTCAAGTTCTTCGATGTGTTCGCGTAGCGTACGCGTGGCCTCGTGGGAGGTCATGTTGGATAATTGATGGAACTGAAGATTAGTATACCGACTTTCTGCGTTTGTTAGCTCATCCTGGGCTTGCTGCAGATCAACGATGAGATTCGTAACCTGAAGGTGGAGGGAATCGCGGTCGGATTCGACGTCCTCGAGATGCGCATTGAGCTCCGATAGCTGGCGCATGACCTCATCCAACTGTTGACGGGCTTCCTCTAATTGCTGTTGGGCATCCGTCCGAAGAGATTCTAGCTCCTGTTCCCATTGACTGTCCTTCACTTGTAGTTGCTTCAGAAGATCGTCGCGTTGACTGGTGATTGCCTCTAGACAAACGACTGTAACACCATATCGCTTCTGCAATTCTTCCATTCCCGCTATGGATTCTTGGCTGGTTGCTTGAGAGAAGATATCGCTGCCAGAAGATTGAATGGGTAAGGTTGTGGTGCGCTGAAGGTCAATATGAGCCAGAGCGATGGCAAGTCCTTGAAGCTGAATCCCGAGACGGCGTATTTCGACGTCCTTTCGGTGGAGAGCGGCAGAATTGCTTTCCGTAGCCGTAACAATCTGGGCATGCATCTCGTCCATTTCCGCCTTGAGTTGGCCGATAGTAGCAGCAGTCTGCTCGCTGGCAGTTGAGGATGAGGCTGACAGTCTGGCTTCTAGGGCCTCAATGGCGAATTTAGACTCCGACTCTAAGAATTGTACATCGCGTCGCAGGCTGTCGCGCTCAGCGCGGAGTCTGTCAATCGCCGCCAGAAGTCGTTCTACATGGTCCACAGTATCCACGTCGGGCACCTGAGGCGGGGGAGGAGATGACCGCCGCGAAAATGCCTGAGGTTCAAGGGCGTCCATATCGATTAAGCAAGAATCGTCGTTCATGAGTGGGTCATTGCAAATCGTCAATGACTTCACAGCCCTACCGAAATGAAATCAGAAAATGAACGAGAATATTATTTTTCACTCACTTGTGGTTGATTTCCTGGTCTCGGGAAGCCCTGTCTAGCAATTCCCGTGAAAGGCGCTGAAGTTCCTGACGAGCATCGTGCAACTCATCCAGAACCTCCTCCTTCTCCCGCACAAGTTCAATGCAACGTTCCTCGCCCTCCACTCTTAGGCGCTGCTCGTCTTTTAACCGACTCTCCATCCGTCGCACCTTTTCCTTCGATTGCTTCGGGTCCTCCATTCCCCTGATCATGGACTCTAGGGCTGCAATCTTTGCATCATCCTCCTCAATCCTCCTCAATAGCTCCTCCTCACGTCCTCCGTCCCCGGCTTGCTGTCTCAGATATTCTAACTCGTTCTCCTTCTCCTCCATTGACGACTGAAGTTCTTCCAATTGGCCCATCCAACGCCTCTCTCCTGCAGCTCTCTCATTGTCAGCCTTGATAAGGTCGTTCTGGGCGACAGTGACCTTCTGGGCGACAGCTTGAAACTCGGCCTCTCTCTTCGCCAGAAGACTGCGAGCCTCGGAGAGATCCTGTTCAAGAGTCGTTATTCTAAAGTTTGACAGCGAAGAGGATCGTGGACGTATAGCAGCCGCCCGTCGACCAGGGGTTGTAGTCGGTGTTGGTTGGGAGACTGCTCGTAGGTTCGCCTCCAATTCTCTCACACGAGCCTCTGCCACGAACTTCTCTCGCTCCAATTTGTCGCCCCGGGCCTTGTGTTCGTCCGAGGTATGCGACATCCTTTCCAAAGTGGCTTCAAGATCCCGCACTTCCCTCCCAGCACCCTTGTTCTTCTCTGAAAGCGCATTGAAAGCAGAGTTAACGTTCGCAGAAGAAATCTTTTCGTTTCGAAGTTCCTCCGATCGCTGCTGAAGATCTGTCTCGAGTTGGAGAGCACGTTTGGTCTCCGCGGAAAGCTGAAGGGAGAGTCAGACGAAAGGTGCGTGTGCTACCAAGCGAAATAAAAACCGGCCTTGTGTAAAGCCTCGTTGAGGCGTTCCTTTATTTCATTGATGTCTGCGGCTTGCTTCATCAGTTGATCTTGCTGTGCAGCGATGTGTCCATCTAGAAAACAGGTAAGCCACAAAAGGAGATTTTTCCGCAGAAAGGTCACCTTTGCTTGCGAGCTTATCTCTAAACGCGCGAGTTTCGTCTGACACATCATCAACACCCAAATTCCAGGTAGACATGGCTACCTTGCTGCTGCCAACGTCGGTCGTACGAGAGGGATGAGGTCAAGAATACCGCTAATACAGCCCGTGTTGAATTGGTTTATTTTGGGTATCGTCACGTGTAAGATCAACGCAGCGAGATTACATAATTAGTAGGCGCGTTACTCAGTCATGTGATCGTGGCAACTGCAAGTTTCACCCTTCTCAGGCCATCTCACAGATAGTTTCTTTGAAGTTTTCGCTGCCTAAGAGCTCATCATTCTGCTTTCAGATCTCCTTCTGCCCGTTGCCTCATGACGTGGCACACTTCTGGCAACACATCCATACTACCACCAATCGCTCGACCGACCTTCAGCCCCTCTTCAATGTTCATCCATCCGAGTCCTTGCTTGCCACGTCGTGGCCGCCATCCTACTACTGGCTTATTCTCCTATTCGAACACGGAGATCCTACACCTCCGTGCCCCCATTTACCTCTTATTGCGAGATCAACACATATATTGCCCCTCTTCATGCCTCCAAATGTGATTTACTTTGCCTATGACAAGGCTGTTCACGCTATTCAGCCTTATGGCATCTTTTCACCCTGTATGGCTCGGATCAATACCTATGGAAAGGGTTCATATCTTTACTCGCTGATGAACTAGCCCATGGTGCATATACCTTTGAAGAGGCCTGAAGACGTTCAAGCTCCTTTCTTTCGCCACTCTCATTCCCATCTCTGGTCCGTTTTTCCTTTACGGCTTGCCTTGTCATCCCGTACGACGAACGCCTGTGAATAGGCGTTCGCCTCTTCAGTCTTGATAGACAAGTCGATGTCGCATATGCCTATCGAAGAGGCTTAAACTCGGTCCGTCCCCGTCAAATTGCTTTCTCTTCGCACTCATGCGCCTTATCCCTCTTTCGTGCCTGTTGTTTTATGATTGCTGTCTTCTCTACTGATGCATACATGGTTTCTCAGCCGATGGCGTCCGCCATCCCAAAGGCCCCGTGCTCCACATGGGTAAACGTCAAGTTTGAGTTTGACAAAATTACAGTAGGACGAGCTTAAATTAAAGTACACAGAGGCCGACGTGGAGCACGATATGTGTCTTAGATGTTTCAGGCACAGAGACGTACTTCTTACTTCAGCTTGTCTTCTGACCTGTTCTTCCCCTACCGGCCGTTATTTTGGTCCAGACTTGTGCCGTCATGTGTTTGTGGAGAAGTTCGGGGCCCGCTGCCCAGTGAAATTTCCCCCGCTCCTGACGAAATAATCACGAGAAGAACCTGTGCTTGGATAACTGCATAACATTATTGAAGATGAAGCATTGAAGTTCCGCTTCCATGCTCTAGGAAATCGATCGCGAGAGTTGAAGTCCACTCCGCTCGAGTTGACATCTGATGTCTTATGTCGAGAGCTCTCTCTCGGACTATCGGAAACATGTACCGGCTTTCACCACGTCGATTTGTTCAACGACTCTTGGCGATTTCATTATGACGATAGAGAAGAAGGTCTGGCAGACCTTGCGAAAGTAGCTTTCTCTGCAGACTCTTCCTAATTCCCTTCGATTCCCGCCAGCAGCAAAACGGGGGTGCATTCAGTCACGGTCCGACAACTTACGTGTCGAAAGTGGGGCCAGGGAGGAAAAGAAGGCGCCGTGGCTGCTGTTACCTCCACCAAAGCAGGATCCCAGAACATCCCAGGTTAGCGCGCTCCGAACGGCCATCAAGATAACGGAAGATGGCGCTGACGTCACTTCCATAAACGCCTCCGAGAATGGCATCAACCTTCGGTTTTTCAGCCCCCAACTTCATTTTGGGAACGCAGATCACCCCATATCTCGTCGGCATGGTCCCCACTGCGGCTACCAGAGAGTGGTGCATGAAAAAAATAGTTCTCTGTGGCGAGCTTGTTTGGAGGTTGTATAAAAGGCGGAACGATTTAGGTGAACGAATATCACTCCGAGTCAACCTCTCCTCGATCGCTTGGATTTAGCCCATACAGGCTACTACAATACAGACATCAACACCGGCAAATTATCCACCGCTGTCGCTCCCCCTCTTTCTTCTCTACCACTACTTCTCAGAGCCTCAGTTCGTCTCCACTATCCCCGCCGCCGCATAAGCTCATTTTTTGTCCCGCCTAGTCTAGATACTGCCGCACAAGACGATGTCTAAATTGCAAAACGGCGTCTATGCCAATGGTGTGCACAACGGTTTGCACAATGGCGACAACGTGTCGAGCTCAGGTGCCCCTTCAAGGGTAACTCTACACCTCGGACATCTTCCCAGCAAGAAGGACATCAAAGCGCCTTGGCCAAGGACGCCGACCAGGGTGAATATATGCGTCTTATCTGTGTTATCGTCCATTCGTTTCTGACCCGCCTTTAAGGTTGACCCCAACAACCCGCCTTGGCCCGCCTACCGTGGGTACCACGAGTACTCTTTCGCCCATGCGACCATGCAGTCCCGCCTGCCCACAATCCTCGGAAAGGCCATTGAGGACACTATCCGCACGCTCAACGAGCAGTCGTCCGAAGAGCGTGTTGTCGACCTCGTCGCATGCATCGACCGCATGGGGGACTTAATGACCGACCTGAGCGGCAACGCCAAGCTTCGGCCTATCATCGACGACGACGAAGGCGATGTTGCCCTATGGAACAAGGAAATCGCCAAGTATTTCCAGGGTGAGTCCGCCTTGGACCAACAAGCCGGAAATAGATCATGACGTCATGTGTTCGCTTTAGGCAAAGACTTCATGAACGCCCCGTGGCTTTTCGCCGAGGCGTACAAGTACCGTCGGCTTCATGAGTGCTTCAGTACCAGCAAGTTCTGGCGTGACTACGATGTCTTCTATCGTCAAAAAGTGGGGATTTTTTTCCACGTCTATGACGAGCCGGCTAACAGCCGGACGCCTAGTGCGATACCTTCTCGCGCTCATCCGATGCGGTCTTTGAGCTCTCCTTGCGCTTCGCTGAACCATTCAAGATCTCGGACAATCTCTCCGCGGATGAGAAACTCGAGGCAGAGCGTCTTATGTTCTTAGAACTCACTCAAGGTTCTTATCTATTGTTTCCGATGCCCCTCGACATGATCTAACAGCCCGTGTAGTTTGCCTCTGGGGAAACTCTACCGATCTCTCGCTCCTCATCAACATGACGGAAGACCAGATCAAGGCCCTCCAGTCGACAGGTGGTGACCATCTAGCAGCTACTGAGAAGAACATTCTTGGAAATCACCTCAATCGTCTGTGGGACCACGTCAAGATGCTTCGTGAGAAGACCGGCGGCAGAGTGGACTTCGTTCTCGATAACGCAGGATTCGAGCTTTATTGCGACTGCGTTTATGGTAAGTGGCAATCTTATCTGGTTCGCCTATAACTCAATGAGCTTCGTTTTTTCAGCCGACTTCCTCATTCAGAGCGGCCTCGCGAATCAAATCAGGTTCCATGGAAAGCGCTACCCATGGTTCGTCTCGGACGTCACCAAGAAGGACTGGGAATGGCTCCTGAACACCATGGTTTATGGCCAACTCTTCCCCAAGGCGAGCGATGCCGAACTTGAATCGCTTCGCAGGCTCGGTGCTCGTTGGAAGGTGCGTCGTAAATTGGAATATTAAAACCACATCCAAGAACTATTCTTAGCAATATGAAAAAGAAGGCAAATGGGTGTATGAGCAACATCCTTTCTGGTGCACTGGTTACACCTTCTGGGATCTGCACTCCGAAGCTCCCGATTTGTTTCTTCATCTCTCTCGCTCCGACTTGGTAATCTTCAAGGGCGATTTGAACCACCGCAAGCTCACCTACGACTGCGCTGCCCCAGCAAGTACCCCTTTCGACATCGCAATTGGGCCTATGGCCAGTTCGGCTGGTGCCCCGGTTATTGCCAGTTTGAGAACTATCAAGAGCGACGTGGTCGTCGGACTCGGTACCGAGGGTGATGTGATCGCCGAGCAACTCGACCAGGCGGAGCCGGGATGGAAGATCAGCGGAAAATATGTGCGTACTATACCCACCCAATTTTATCTCCTATGGCCATGGTTCTGACTCGCCCTGTCATTCTAGGCCGTCGTTCTGGTTTCTGAAGGCCGTCCTGGAGAAAAGGTCAAATTCGCCTAGAGAGCTATGCATTAGTTTCAGGTGCTACCTGAAGCAAGTTAGCATTCGACGTTGTATTCTCTATTATTCCGACTATTCTCTTCTGGATAACTGCCGGCACCTGTGTTACTCGGACATATACTGTACATAAATAGAAGAATTTTCATTCCTGAGCTCACATATATCTATGAGTTCGCGGATTCGTAGGCTCATCGATTCTCTAAGGACCCACCTTTATAGTTGCCTTGTTGCTCAGGGTAAGCCCACATCTGCTTATGGGAGGACAGCTGAGCCGCTCCTCGTGATACCTGAACCTTATGCAGTTGTTTCTTTTGGGGAAGGATTCGTTCCTCTTCCACGAATCATGATGATATGGTCCATACTACTTATGCTCAAGCCATATTGTAGATGAGTGTTATTTTTAGAATTGCTCTAATCTTAGGACATTCTTGTTTTCTGGCTCACTAGTCAATCAAAGTAGCTTCTATCACGCGACACGACATGGCTGTTGTTGTGGTATATTATATACAAGAAGAAAGAAACATTTTGACTGTACACAGATGACAGCCAAGCGGGTTGAGTAGGCATTTCCTGGACCCTATGTACGGCTTTTCCTGTGTAACGCGAAAGTTCGAGGAGATGATGCTCGAGGTGGAGGGGCAACAGCGGAGATGAACAACGGAGATGCGTAGTACACATCATACATACCGAGATTCTGCGTTGAGAAAGAGAGAAAGTCGAGGCAGGAAGGTACTCCAAGAACTGTATGGGTCTCGGACCCGCCACTCCCATAGCCATCGTCTAGCTGATAACGAGTGAGTTGCTGATAAAGGGCACTGTTGCGCCAGTCTGCGTGGGATGCGATACATCGGGACAGGAGGCCACAAGCACGTAAGACCACATGAAGCTTTTACCGTCGTGGGACGAGGAGCAGACAGGAAGGGACCTCGTCATCCCTAGAGAAGTAGATTAGATAGCAAATCTAAGCGAGGCGATCAGAAGGCGACCCTTTCAAGTCCCTGCTCATTTACACCGCTGTACGAGACTCACTGGTTCATGCGCTGGCTTCCTTTCTCCTCAGTCAAGACTCAATTCCGTTCATCCGACTAAGTAACTCACCGCGGCCTTCAGTTCTGTCAAACTGCCGAGGCATAAACGAGGTTCCGCTTAAAAAGTAACGTCCAGTTGAAGAATCCACCGTCGGGAACGCGAACTTAGAGTAAATTTGGAGTGAGAAAGGGCTATCACAACTGTTAGAACGAGAAGAGGCTTGCAGAGGGCCATCCCTCGAGGGCATGGAGGATAAGGAGATCTAATCTTAAATGTCCTCCAGAGGCACGCGCTCTTGAATGAGCACCTGGCCACCTGGGTTATCTAAATTTAACTAACATGTTCCATAATCGGTGAAGTATCGGGCGGACCCATGCGACTATATTGTTATTCATTGACTAAGTACCCTGAGATGATGTGCTGTTCTAAATTTAAACTCAGCCAAAACAGTCTCTACGCCTACACCAGTCTAGTCAACCCGCTGTCCACGTTATTGACCCAATCTTCCCTCAATATGTGACAAGGCTTCAAGCACCATTTACAACATTCCTGATTTTCATAACTTTGAGAGCGACCCGTGTCAGGTTTGCTCGTTGGCCAAGCAGCGGTCGTCGACTGGGAAGCAACAATGCACGTTCTACGATTCGATACTACGATTCGATACCACGGTTGTTCATTCGGGCAGAAGCACTCTTTCAGACTCGGTGAGGTCCAGTGATCAAGGTGTGGGGGTCCAGGTCTTGCCAGGTCTTGCCCTTGTGGAGGCATTCTAAGGCAGATGTCGACAGGTTAAGGTGTCCACTCCCGCCCAACCTCGCCAGTCAGCGACTCAAGAACCAGAAACACAGGGGTCCCGCGCTATGTCATCTCTATTTTAATTCTCAATCGTGCGACAAAACGTGTGGTATTCTGGTATCGCCATATTCGTATCATTTCGTCCTTCAACCTTGCCTACGCAACAAGCCAGATTTTGGATGCTACTTCGACCGACAATTTTTGACCTCATGGCTTCTGAGCCATGCAATTCTTGAATTAAGACGCTATTCTTAGCCGTTCCAATTTCTGCCGACGAGACCGTCGTCTGCACAGGGGGAACCCTCTATGGATCGCTTGATAATCTCCACATTTGCTGCTCATGGCCACCGAATCACGCCTTCGCGATACTCAGAACCGCATCGCTTGAATCCATGTGGGCCTTCCCCTACCCGGACTGTATAAAAGGGCGCTGAAATTTGCTGCTCTTCATCGAACACCTGCATCTCCAGCAGCATTCGTCTGGTAGCCATGTCTCCTACGACCTTGTTGACCACGCTCCTCCTCGCGCTCTCCGTCGCTGCCAACCCCGTGTTGGTCGACCGGTCTCCAGTAACTCTGCCGCTCTCGCGTCGCCTTAACCTCACCAGTGTCCACAACTTGGTTCGCCATGATCAAGCTCGTGCTAAGGCCCTCAAGGCCAAGGGCACTGTGAAGCACGACAGCCGTGCGGTCATCAACGAGCAGGTCGACAACCAAGCCGTCACCTACATCGCCTCTGTTGGTGTCGGCAGTCCTGCTACCACCTGTAAGTCATTTGATCTTATTACACCTTCATTGTTTTAATTCTTCGACTAAAAATAGATGACCTCCTCATTGACACCGGAAGGTTTGTGCTGCATATCAAAAGCTTTTGCGTCCACTCATACAAGCATCGTCAGTTCGAACACATGGATCGGCGCTGGCAAGGCGTACGTGAAGACCAGCACCAGCACCCAGACGAGCAACAAAGTGGTATGTTTCGCCTCATTCAGCTGTTAAAGTTATCGACGTTTATGTTATCTTTAGTCTGTTACCTACGGATCAGGCTCGTTCTCTGGTGAGTCATCGCCACCGGATCACAGGAGCCCTGCTAATCGACCTGCCTGTAGGCACTGAATACACTGATCAAGTCTCGCTTGCGTCTGGACTTGTCATTTTAAAGCAATCGATCGGCGTCGCTTCCACAGTGAGTTAGAACTATGCCGTAATTAGCACTCAGTGTCTTATTTGGTTGCTTTAGGCGTCTGGCTTCTCGGGCGTCGATGGCATCCTTGGGTATGTATTTGGTCGAAAGTGCGAGAACCACTGTCCTGAATCATTTTCAGAATTGGCCCAGTCGACCTCACTAAAGGTCAGTTACATCCTCACCCTTTTCTTATGAAATGATCCACTGACTGTTTTTATACATAGGCACTCTGTCACCAGCCGCGACCACCTTCATCCCTACTGTCACCGACAACCTTTTCTCGCAGGGTACCATCTCCGCCAACGAGATCGGCATCTCCTTCGAGCCCACCACGGCCAGCGAGGTGTTGAATGGCGAGCTTACCTGGGGTAAGATTTACGTATTTCCCCGAGACAGAAATTGGATAGACTGATCTATGTTTTCAGGTGGAACCGATAGCTCGAAGTTCACTGGATCCATCACTTGGGTGTAAGTCTGTACTTCAGTGTTCTGCCATGCCAAGTACCGCCGTCCATAAACTTCATCTCTTTCAGGCCGATCACGTCCACGTCGCCCGCCAGCCTCTACTGGGGTATTAACCAGTCTGTTCGCTACGGATCTTCTACCACGATCCTTTCCACCACCGCTGGAATCGTCGACACCGGCAAGTCAACCTTTTCACCGAGTTCTAACGTCACTCAGGCTTACCGTTTCTTGAGTATAGGAACAACCCTTGTCCTCCTTGCTACTGACGGCTACAACAAGTACAAGTCCGCGACTGGCGCCGTGCTTGATAGCGCCACGGGTTTGCTCCGCATTACTTCCACGCAGTTTTCCAACCTGCAGAGCCTGTTCTTCACCGCGGGCGGTGTGCGTATTTCCCTGCTGCTTCCTGATTCTATCTCTCATCCTTTTCTTTCTTTCTTTCTTTTGCTTCGGTATACAGACTACATTCGAGTTGACTGCAAATGCTCAACTCTGGCCCCGCTCGCTTAATTCAGACATTGGTGGAACCTCCGGCCGCATCTACCTTATCGTCAACGACCTCGGCTCCAACTCCGGTCAGGGTCTTGATTTCACCAACGGCTACGCCTTCCTTGAGCGCTTCTACTCCGTCTTCGACACTGCCAACAACCGCGTCGGCCTTGCCACGACCTCCTTCACCACTGCCACCACGAACTAGGGGAGAGATCGGTAACGGGCGCGATAAGTAAGACTTATTGAAAGCTCGAATTTAGCTCGAATGCCTGGAAGCAGAATAAATCTACAATTCTTCTTTTTTCTCCTTCATTCGTTCGAGTTTCGAGGCCTCGATAGTTTGAGAGGTGCCGCAACCTTCCGAACCTGCCACTTATCATGCATTCATCGTCAAATTTACAATTGAAGGCTTCCTAACGTCTGGTATAGAGTAAGAGAACAAGGTGCTACAGAAATTACTTACGTTTACATAACTAGAGTTTGGAGACAAATGAAGCATTGAACAAGCGAATACAATAGAATGCAGCGGGATACAATCGCAAAACTAGGGAGAAAACAGTCCAAGTTATATCCGTTACCGAGGTTTGGAGGAAGCCATTGCCACAGCATCCTGGAATATAAACCATTGTATAGCGTCTAGTGTGTTTTTGATCATGCTGACCTCAGTCCAACTCTTCTGACCAACTGCCAGGAAAGTTGTCGCGGTGATTACCATGGCTGTTTCCGTTGTTTCGTCGTTGCCTTGTCGGGTCAGAATTCGACCGCCGATGAGAAGACTCGCGTGGAGGTGACCGTGGATGCAACAACGGAGGGGACCTAGGTGGCGACCTTGAGCCACTTGAGCTTCCGGGTACATCAGGTGAGTCGCTGCTATGAGGTCGATTGTCTCTGTGGCCAGTTAAACCGCCAAAGATCGAGTGAAAGAGACCACCCGGCTCAGGTCTGCGATCCGGGTTGGAAGAAGCATGGCTGGATGGACCGGCGCTCGCATTGGGCCGAGGAGAACTTGATGCCGAGCCCGGGTTCGGTGGTGGGTGTTGGTCTGGCTGCGGTATTAGTGCAAACCTATAATAAAGGTCGTTAAATCAAGCATAGAGCAAGCTGACGGAGAAAAATGTACCGGCATACGGGGCAAGTTCCGCTGGACTTTAACCATGGCATAATGCAAGGTTCGTGGAATGAGTGCTTGCAGGGAAGGGTGACCACAACTTGTTCGTCTGGATCCTCTGTCCCAAGCTTGAATTGGTCTTTACAAACGGCGCAATCCAGCCCCAGAGTCTTGGCTATTTGCGTCGGAGGAGATGAGTAATATTCTAATAACGTCAAGGCGATGACATACATCCTTCGAGCAAAACCTCCCGGGGTAGCTTGGCCATAATTTCGTCTGTAGCAGGAACGGGGCGGTGGGCATTATTACCTTCCATAATCTGAGTAATAATTTGGTCGAGAGCTGATGAAGAGGTTTAGGAAGATTCGGAGCCACAAGACCCAGCTGTAACTCACCGTCTTGGCTGAAGACGTAGTCGCCCATTCGTCCGTTCTCCGGCATACCAAAAAATGCTGGATCACGATGTCCAAGAAGAGCCATTAGATACTGAGCCATGAGTGAACCATTGATTGTTGCACGATCCTGACCACCTGGTCCAGGTGGCGGATATTCTAGTGGACCGGAGCGCAAAAAACTGACACAAGCATGAACGATGAGAATGTATTAAATAAGTGTTGCATTTACGCTGACATGTTTGGGACCTCGCTAGGTGAGTCTGGGCGACCACCTAGTGTATTGGCTCCACCAAACCTGAAGGTTCTCGCGCCACTGGGTCCTCTCAATTCGAATGTGACCTGAGGTGGTCCTTGAATTAGACTAGAATACAATTTGACACTGAGGAGACACACCGAGCTATTACTTGTTCTTTGTGGGTTGTTCCTAATTCCTCTCTCCAGCAGCGATTGAAGACCCACTGAGCAATCCACAGTCATTATGATTTGCTCCCAATATTCTTCATGCACGCACTAAGAAAGTTATCCACGCCCGGAGGTGCTGTGCCAGGACCAAAGTTATAGCCTCCATCGTCGTTGTCGAAGTTACGAGGATCATCTGCTGGATTCTCCATCTAATCACAGCCACAGCGTCAGCCACTCCTCTAGCTCCCTCACGAAGAGGCTGACCTTCTCGACGAAGCTTCCATGACATGAAGCGCATACAGGATCGGGTACCTGGACCCATTTGTCAGAAAGAGTGCTACGGTTTTCACGTCGAGGGCCATACCATGAGTGGTCTCATCTCTGCATGGCACTATACAATGAAAGTACTTTAATTAGGTGTGGCGCACCGTAGATATGATCAACAACAAACCTCATGACAGTACCAGAGGGGGTCGCGACTCGACATCGGTGATATGTGTAGTATATGTTGATACTTGGGAAAAGGATAAGAGATACTTGAGTAGGCTCTGGATGGTAGTCGACTGCGTGAGTGCCGAGTCCGTATTCCGCTCCGCTAGGAAAGGTAACGCGTGACGTCACGGTTCCACGCCCTTCCATTCCCATCGATGCCAGCATTTGTCTAACTTGTCCAACAACTTGAACCGTCTCGCCGATGACATTGACAATAACTCCGTAAGTTGTGCCCTCCACCATGTTGCGATTTGATGATCCACTGGTTCCCTATTAAACGATTTTGCGCCTCTTGTGCGCCATGAGATCCCACACCGGGTTTTCCTGACATACCTCGCCTTTGTGGATTTGCCTGTTGGCTGACGATTCCTCTCATGGACAGGGCAGGAACAATTGGCCATTGTCACGTTTCTCTTGTATTCAATTTACCCAAACAGCTCTCCGTTTCTTGTGGGCCTGCTACATAATGTCGGGTTAGCGTCGGTGTCCGGGTAGAAGACTTTTCTATACCGTGCTGCTATATGTGTATTTCCCCTTCCTGTCGTTTAGCTTCCGCTATCTTCCGGCTATCTCATAATACTTCAATGAAACGTGGCCTCCGTCCCATTTATGTGCACGCCGAAACCACGCGTTTCCTGTGCTTTTGGTTCATTGTGAGCCCATTTCGGCATGCAATGTTGTCCGCCATGAGTTCAGGTCCATGTGTGCCTAAATCCCCGAGAGTCGCCATCATGATATACCTGAGAAAACGGGAGGCAAAGGCCTGGAGGAGCGGCGGCTTGCGGACGTAGTACAACTGCACCGACGACCACTGCTCTCACAGCTACCTTTGTCAGCTACCAGTTTGTATGGACTCCCTGGTACGGTTCGAACCCTGTACTGGAAGCGGCATCTTGACCTTTACTGATGCTCTTTCACTCAGGTCGGGTTCGGTTTCAAGGCAGACCCATTTACGCCCCAAAAATGGGTAGGCGTGTTCTTACCCCCAACCATCATCCTCGTCGCTTTCTTCCTTGACCTTGCATCATCAATCTCGTATCCCAAAGTCTGTCAGGCGATATGGCGCTGGTCTACAGCCCCCTTCCGAAACTTCTTGAGTTTTGATGACCTCTTGGAACCAGTTGACCAGACACCGAGGCAATATAAACACAAAACCGGTGCCCTTATTGGACTGGCTCTCCTGGCTTTCGTAGGATGGGTGGGATGCATGACGTATGGGGTCTCTACAAACGATCATGAGTATGCTATTAGGGCGTTGGTATTTTCCGTTTCCTGGGTGAGTTCCATGGAAATGTTCTCGGATTCCGGCAGACATAACCTGTCAAACAGTGCTATATTGTATTGAAGCTGGCCATCACGCCCCCTTTAACACCCCCATACCTCGTCATTGTTTTCGGGATCACGTCTGCGCTTCTATCTTTGCTTTCATTGGGAAATGATATTGGATCGGCTCGCGGGTGGAATGACGCGCTCTTCGATTTCGGGGCCATGATCGTGCCTGCCACATTTGTATGGCTTGCAGGTACACTACCGCTGAAGACATACAAACCTTGTCTCAATGTCGCAGGGCCCAAAGACGTGAGCATTTGTTCTCAGAAACGCAACATAGTCTCTGAAGGACCTGGTAGATTCCGTCTGTCAAGCTATCCTGTCCGGAGGATAATGTCAACCTTTGGCAATGGTGTGGATTCACATTTATCCAACCTATCCTGGATCTCGCGAGCAAGAGGACTCTTCACGACGAGGATGTCTGGTCGCTGTCTCCTTTTTTCCGACACAAGAACCTTTTCCACAAATTTTTGGAGTACCGGTCCCAGTACGCATTCTTTGCCATCGCACAATGATATACGACTTCCTGATGGAAATATTATTCGTCAGGCATAGTTCACATAGCCTCCTTCGGTTCTTGATCGTCTCTAACTCGTTGGACCTGATTCTTGACGTTGTCCTAGAAATGTGGAGTGCTACCGTCGGTATGGAGCCCCATTAGTATGACGAGGCGTCATCTTTGACAGTCTCGCTTCAGGCTTTGTCCCGCCTTATGCTCTCAAAGAAATCCTGGCAGCGCTCGGGGAGAACACTCAAGAAGCCAGACGTCATGCATACTACTGGTCTCTCATCACATTTGTTGTGCACCTCTCCTTTGCCCAGATTGATCTCTTCCAAGCCTGGCACACACGGCGGTGTTACGAGAGAACTCGCGGTCAACTATTCTGCACCTTGCACTACAAGTCCTTGAAGAGACAAGATGTGAGTGGCAGGGTAAACAGAGAAGGCGAGAAGAAGAACGCAGACTTGGGGAAGATCGTAAATCTTATGCAGTCAGTGCCCCGATTTCCCCTTCGGTTTGTTCTGTGGTATTCTGAAAGTTTAAGCTCAGAGGCGATTCGTATACTGTTGCACAGCGTTTCTGGGAATTTTCAGGAATTTTCACATCTCCGGTTCGAATTGCGATTGCTCTGACTTTCTTGTACCGGTATGTTTCCGCTTTAACCCCCCTCTTGCCTTTTGCGAATCTTGCGTCGAATTTCCTAGAATTCTTGGTTGGAGCGCCTTATCGGGCGTAGTAGTCGTACTCGTGGCATTTATTCTCAACTATCCCTTGGCACAATACGAGCTTCACGTCAGTTATGGTTATGATACACCAAACGCACTTTCTGACGTTGTGCAGATCACAAGAGAAGGTTGGAAAGCCAAGGACTACCGAATGAATACGATCAACGAACTTCTCCAGAATATCAGGTTCTTGAAGTTCTACGGTTGGGGTGAGTGTCTTGCTTTACTACAATCCGTTAGCTATCGATGCTCAGAACTCGTCCGAAGAATATACGTGGTCGCGGAAAGCACAACAGGCGCGAGAGTCAGAACTAAGCTGGCGCGTGAAGGGAAACGTTGTCGATACCATGATTTCCTTCATTTGGTTAGTTTTCCTCTCTGTTTTTGCTAGAGGGTCATTTGAATTGCTGGCCAGGGTCTGGATGCCTTCTGCCACTGCATTGACTTCGTTTTTGTGCTACACGCTCGTCGCCGGAGAACAACTGACCGTCTCGAAGGCTTTCACTTCAATTGCCCTTTTCAACCAGCTGCAAACACCCATGGTCGCCTTGCCTGGCCAATTCCTGGCGATGCTTCACGGTTAGCAAGGTAGTATTATCGCTGCTGCTACAGATTAACAAAACTCTTCTAGCTTATATCGCGATGCAACGTATTGAAGAGTTCCTTAAGGAAGATGAGGTGGAAGGCTGGGCTTCCACACTGTCGGCGCCCCTACAAAATCATTCAAATGGCAGCGGCAACGGCAACGGCAAATCGCATGATGCCATCGGTTTCCTGGATGCTTCGTTCGAGTGGAAGGAGACAGCAACTGACATGGTCCCATCGAGATTTCAATTAGGGCCTCTGGACATCATTTTCCCACCAGGAAAGTTGACGATCGTCAGCGGGGGGACAGGTTCGGGAAAAAGTGCATTATTGGCAGCACTTCTTGGAGGTCAGTCTTTTTAATGCCCCCATTTTGACTAAAATATTCAAAGGTATCAGAAATGCACTGTACTGGTGGTCAAGTTTTAATCAACAAGACCAGTCATCAGGTTGCTTACTGTGCTCAGAACCCATGTGAGCTAGCATACATAGTGTCGTACGCACAACACATTTACGTCTATGCAGGGCTTGAGCATGCCACAATCCGAGATAACATCATCTTCGGTTCTCCTGCTCCATTCGACGAAGAACGATATGAATCTGTCCTTAGCGTCTGCGCACTCCGGCAGGATCTGGCTATCCTTGATGCTGGTGACATGACTGGTATGAAGGTCCCTTCGTTTTGATGACTGGTTATTCAAAGCCTTAAATTCTAAAGAAATTGGAGAGAAAGGTATCACACTGTCCGGGGGCCAGCGTGCGCGAATTGCCCTCGCAAGAGCTATCTATTCTCAAGCGAAGGTAAGCACCCGATATATTCGTGCCATTGTCGAGGAGAGATCGTTTATTTATTTATTTTCCGTTCTCCTTCAGTACATCCTGCTTGACGATCCGTGAGTCTTCTTGCTCTATACTGAGGTAGGCCGGGAACTAGACGTTGTCGAATAGTCTGGCTGCAGTGGATATGCACACTGCTCAGCATCTGGTCGGTGAATGTCTTTCTGGGAAACTCGCCCACGGACGAACAATTATTCTCGTGACGCATCACATCACACTTTGCCTGCCAATCGCCTCTTATCTTCTCGAGTTGGATAAAGGACGAATTCTCCACCAAGGAACTATACCTGAGCTGGAGGAGCGAGGATTGCTCCGAGCAGTCATCGAGACAGAGGAAGAGCCATTCCCGGAGCCGCAATCCCCTGTCGTAGAAAGGGTCGTCAATGAAGCCGACGGAGTTGGAAGTCGTACCCCTTCTCCCCCCCGTCCACAACGTGGTGGCAATGGAAAGCTGGTCGAAGCAGAGGCACGGGCAGAGGGACGTGTTTCGCTTCGTAGTTACGTCACATACCTGCGAGCGGCTGGTACCATCCCGTGGACCCTGACGGTCGCCGTCCTTCTTTTAATTCGAGCAATCACCCTGGGGAATCAGGTAAATGGGCCAATCTCCTTTCCCGTTAAATTTCCCGTTCTCACAGCCAATGTATTAGGTCTTCCTAGCTAGATGGGGCGAGGCTTACGAGGAAAAATACCCAGAAGTCGCCAGAATCACTCGACTATTGAAGCATCCCTGGGAGAACCTTCCTTCGCCTAATGACAATGTGAAACCTTGGTTGATGATATACCTGTATATCTCCATCGCAGGGGCTGCCGCCGTGCTGACTTATATCATTCTGGGCTACTATACCAGTTTGCAAGCCTCACGGTCCTTGTTCATCGCCCTCTTGCAACGATTGACGCGGGCGCCTGCCCGGTTCTTCGATACTACCCCGATTGGCCGTATACTGAACCGCTTTACGACCGATATCAGCACCATCGATTATGCACTCCAGGGTTCTGCGAGGAACTGCCTTTCAGGAATCCTAAATTTCATTGTCTCTTTCGGCGTGATGCTGTTCCTCGTACCAAGCTTTGTGCCATTCGCACTTTTCATCGCATGGTTGTATATTCGACTTGCACCACCGTACATTCAAGCCTCGCGGGATCTCCGAAGACTCGAGTCGATTTCATTATCTCCCGCTTTTGCCGGATACGACGAATTGTTGCGGGGCATAGTACACATTCGTGCCTTCGGAATGGAAAGCCGTTATCAAGATCGATTCTACGCCAGGGTGAGGATAGCATCTCCTTAGCTGAATAGTGATTGATGTCCAGGATTCTGCAGGTTGACAAATTCCAGTCCTTTGACCATGTTTATGTGAGGATGGTATCGAATAACTAATTTCTGAAGTTTGACGAATGCTTTGCAGTGGCTCGTGAACGGGTGGCTACGCTGGCGCTATGACTGTAAGCTTCTAAATGCAAGCTATTAAAATCTTATCTCATGTGCACTCTGGTAGGCCTGGGCTCTGTGGTCGTTTTCGCTGCGACTTTGTGTGCGCTTGCCGCAAAGATCAAAGACGGCTCTGCAGCTATTGTCATCGTACAGGCTGGTATATTCGCGGATGCCAGTCGTCAGCTGGTGAAAGTCGCGGCCCAACTGGAACTTGATTTCAATAGCGTCGAACGCGTGGTCGAATATCTCGATGTACCACAAGAAGCCCCTGCCATCATCGAGAAGAATAGACCACCCGCATATTGGCCTTCGAATTCTGGCGAATTGATCGTCGAAGATTTGGTTGTCCAGTACGCTCCGCAGCTACCCGCTGTTTTGCATGCTATTTCGTTTGTCGTACGACCTTCAGAGAAGATTGGAGTTGTTGGAAGAACTGGGTCAGGAAAGTCAACATTAGCTATGTCTTTGTTGCGAATGGTTGAGCCTACCGGTGGAAAAATCATGTATGTTTTCTTCCTAGCGGTAGTCCGAGTTGCTAGCTCACACTATCATGGATTTCAGCATCGACGGGATCGACATATCGACCCTGGGTCTCGAGGACTTGCGCACTCGGATAGTACGTCAAAACCTGTTGGTCGATGCTACTGCATTTCGTCTTATTCCTATCACCGATAGACTATTGTCAGCCAAGATGTCTCACTCTTCTCTGGCACCATCAGAAGCAATCTCGACCCTCTAGGGATATGCACAACAGAGGAGTGCATGCAAGTACTGGAGAGATGCCATCTTTTGTCCTTGCTCAACCACAAGTCGACGGAAGAGCACCCGACGGTGTTGGACATGGAGATCAACCAAGGAACTCTTAGCGCTGGCGAGAAACAACTCCTCGCTTTGGCTCGTGCGACTCTGAGACGAACCAACATTATTATCATGGACGAGGCAACGTCGCAGATTGACTCCAACCTCGATGACAAGGTAAACATTTTCCATTGGATAGGCCTTCTTTACTTTCTGAAGCGAAACACTACAGATACAGCGGACGATTCGAGAGGAACTGTCTGGTGCAATCGTCATAACAATCGCACATCGCCTGAAGACAGTCATGGATTACGACCGCATCCTCGTTCTCGATGCAGGGAAAGTTGTCGAATTTGACACTCCGCAAATTCTTATCAACACGCGAGGTGGTGCCTTCCGAGGGATGTGCAGGAAGAGTACGGATTGGCCTTTGTTCTTGAGCACGGCGGGTGGTAGGAAGGACACGAGTCAACGATCGAGTGAGGTTTCTGAGTCGTGATTAGAATAGCCACTGTCTTCTCGTCCATGGCATTTTCTTTCTCTTCATTTTATTTAGGGTAAATTTGCTCAGATCTGTTGGTACTTTAGATTTCCTTCTACTAATAATAACCAGATAATATCCGCAGCTTCATGAAGTTATTATTGGAATTTTGATCGAATACTCGTTCCGCGTCACAACGATAGCAGCCCCTGCGCTCGTTCTGTGAACCTCCTTGATTCCTTTTGCTGGCACTGCCTATGCGATTTCAAGATCTTGTGCTACGGTGCTTCGTGTTCTTCGGACATTCTCTTGGCCGTCCTCTATGGCATCCTCGAGCCGTCACACCCGTTGCGCGAGACTTGTTGCACCTCTTAGGCGATGGAGGATTCCAACCAGCCGTCATGGACTCAATGACGACCCCGCCTATACCAATTGTGGCGGGCAATGTCGCACAGACTGCGATACTGCCATTAACCCCCAACGGCCACATGCATCCCGCGCCATCACCTACGGACGTGGGTCGTACTTCGAGTATCACACTGCCCTCTGCTGGACGGACGTCAACATCAACGAGCACGCCAACCACTATTGCTGCGCAGGTGGCAAGCACGCCTTCTTTCCTGTCTCAACCCAGCGGGTCCAATCCCGAAACGGCGTCTTCAACACCCTCTGCACCATACACATACGTCGGTGACGCGTCGAACACTCCCCCCGCCGAGTTGACTGAGTGGAAAGTGATCGGCATCGCCGTGATGACAATCACATTCATCGGAATAGTCGTCGTTTCTGTGACGTTCTTCGACTCGTGGTGGCGACTGCTGCGAGAGGTCTTTTGCTGCGGGCCGAGGAAATTTGGGGAACCTTTTGAGGGCCAGGAAACCATGGTGCCCGACTGGGACAAAAGGAGCTGGGAGTTCAGGCTCGCAAGCGAGGACGGACACCGATACCCAACACTCGCCTCGTTGGAGTCGATCGCGAAGGAGAAGGAAAGGTCGGAAGCAAAGTCGAGACAGACTGACGAGGAAGTGCGTGAAGCGTACAGCGTGGGCCTTGCGACGCCTGAGTTGGCTTATAAAGGATAGAAGGAGAGGCTGGTTCTTATGCGTTGTTGGGTAACTTTTCAACAATTCTTCGAGAAGGTGATGAGCGCATATACTCTACAGACGATCCTATTACACATATTAACATCCATATAGGCTAAAAAAGATGAGGAGATCTCACAAAGTGTTCATGCCTGTATTCATAACACTAGTTTTGTATTTCATAACGAATTCAACGCGTTCTGCGACATTAAGAACGTGCGGGATCCGGTGATTGAGCCGAAGTACTGCCTCTCGGAGGTTCAAGCTTTTCAAGGTAGTTGGAAAATATAAGGCCCACGGCTCCGACTGTGCAGAACCCCAATGAAATGACGAGACGTTTCCGAGGGCTGACAGCTAGGCAACAAATATTAGTATGGATTGTTGAGGAAGCAGAACCCCAACACTAACCTAGCCAGGACTCTAGTAGCGTACGTGTCCGAGCTGGAGGCAGTCGTTTCTGGTTCAATCTCTGCTTTTGCAGCAACTTGCTCTTGGTCGTGCTCATCGTCAGAAACGAAAGAGTGCCCGGGCCGAAATCTCCCGCTAAAGTTTGAATCCGAAAGTGTCCGTGAGTTGATCCGTAGCGGGAATTTGCGCCACACAGAAATCCTTCAGGGTCTACCTCAGCCTTTGCGCGAAAAGATGCGGGAGTTTAAAGATTGAACGGCATCATAGATTCTGCATGTTCTTACCAGCCACAGAACGCCATGATCCGTCGCGATGTCTCACGAGCACAAGGTATAATAGGTGACCATATGAGGCAGGAACTAATTTTTTAAGCGGAAGTGGAGGGAAATTGATTTCGAGAAGAGGCGTTAAGTACAAGGAATTAATTCAGACAGCGGGATCTCGACAAGAAATCCCGGTGAACTGGGTACTTTCGAATTACTGACTTTCCCTCCAATCGTCACAACAAAATAGGGTGTATATGTTGTGACTTCCGCTGAATTCACAGCGAAATCGAGTGAATGGAAGCTCCTGGCCCTCGTCTGACTTGAGCGCGCAGTTCTGTATTTGATGCCTAGAAATACCATTAGCAACTTCTTCGAAATTTGCGGAATTGATTGACTTACATGCAAACTTAGTCCGCATTGGACCAATCACCCCATTCGTAGCGGTCGAAGGGCTGCTCGAGTAGTAGAAACTGGAGCCTGCGGCAGAAGCACGCGACTCTCCAAGGATTCTGTATCCTAGAAAGGACAGTGTTGACAGTCTCGGCCGGAGTATTCGCGCCGTCTGATTGCTGGAATAGCCATCGTCATGTTCAAAAGAATTGCACTTCGATGGTACTGAATACGACCCCCATTCTGACGAAATATACATATTGTAGGATGAAGGAGCAACGCGCCCTTCAACCGGCCTTTGGACCGTAGAGCCTACAGAACAAGATCGACAACAGAAGGCGTCATCGTGAGTGCTGCTGTGAAAGCTGTAAACAATAGAATATGTCTGTCCCTGCTTCTGGAATGGCGCCCGACGAAGAAAGACACAACGGCTGAGGTGAGGGTAAAGGCAAGGGCGTGAACGACGAGAGCGCCAATAACTGACTGCATGGGGATGAGAGGGTTGTCGTCGAATAATGCCGTTGAACTCTTTGAATACTTCGTATCTGAGACTGCGATCAATAAGTTTGGAAACATAATTTGTCAAGAAGGAAACAAACGTAGGTGTGCGCAGGATGCCAGAGTGCCAGCTCCGTGAGTCGCATAGTAGCCAATGGTGCCGAAAGAAATGCACTCGGGACCAGAAATGCGGTGCCAGGCGAAGAGTATTGATATCCTGAAAAAATACATACACAGAAGTGGTAAAAGGAACGCCGATAGAAGAGAAGAAGAGAAAGTCAGTGGCAGTCCAGGCGGAGAATAGGGGAATGATGTTTGTGGCCTGCAGCAGATGGGGGCTTGCCATGAGACAACTCAGGCCAGTAGCTTCAAGACGGGAAACGTTGAGGGAAGAGGGTGACCGGGCGCATGGTGTACGGGTTATATGCTGCATCAATACCCAGTGCTGGAATATTTGGGCCGCGATGCTACCGAGCCGGGATGGGACACTGAACGAGGGAATAGTGCTCTGCTAGTAATATGCAGAAGATGGGTTTTGGAAAATCTGCTGGTAGCCAGGGAGGCTACGGGTCAAATACCTGGGCGTCCGATGCAATGGACATCATTTTGTACATGTCATGGAGTCATTTAGTAATGAAGAGACAATTATCTGATGATTGATGTTTCTGACGGGGTTGCTGGACGTTGGGATTGAGAAACTTGGGGGAGATGTTCCGAACGTTAGCGCGTCACCTGAGATCAAGGCTAGAAGGGTTGAATCTGGGGATTTGGGGCAATGCCGTCGTGCAACTAGTGTTGCCGGGAGCTGAGGTTGAGTCAACTCGAGGTGGAAATATTTCGAACTCAGACGAACTCGAGCTGATGGGAGCTCCAACTCAGCTCGAGTCACCTCGTAATCAGCAATCAAAAGATTTCCTGATTGGGATCCCCCTCCTCGGTGAAAAGGACAAACGATGATGGCAATTCTGCCCTCGTAGAAATTAGAAAGGTACAGCAAAAGGTATACACAATTTAATGTAGGATAGAAGTGCACTAGACCCCTTAAGTTAGATTAGTTATTACCCTCCTCATCGTCATCATCACATTCCTCCATTCCCCAACCCTCCTAAGAACCGTCAATGTATCTCCTGTTCATTTCAGTAACAGTGCTTCAGAATTTGAAGCTCTTCCTTCACGAATTCCTCAAGATCAGAATGTCATATGGTGTTGGTCTTCTTGCTCGATGAAAAGATCCTCTCGCATGGAACAGCTGAAGCTTGGGCAGGCAGGGCATGGTACGCGACCCTCCAAAAGAGTGCACCATTACCCTGCCACTCGGCCTAAAAATGGATGTCAGAATCTAATGGCATTTCGAAAATTTGCCAACGTACCTGTTAGAAGCGGAGGAGACCAAAATCCTTCATCGTTGTATGGCCCTTGTTGATAACACCCTCCTGTTTGTAGACCCGAATCGCCGTCTCGACATCCTTTGATTGTCAAGGTCTTCATGCTGCTGAATAGTTCATCAGCAGCGCTCGAAGACCCATTCTTGCCAGAAGGACTTGCTGCAGGGATGGATGGAGCCGATATCGCATGTGCAAGCTCATCCAGACTCCAGACATTTGAAAGCACTCGCTTGGGCCCAGGCAGCATCCGAAAAACTGATAGGAAGCTGAGCAGGAGGTGCTGGAGTGCTGGGGAAGGCACATATGAGGCCAGGAGTAGGTCAGGATACGAATGGGTAAAAGCAGGATGATATGATTATTGCGAGTGAGGACAAGTAGAACAGATAAATTGTATGGGCCTTTACGGACACCACAGATGGTCGACATACTATGGCATGATCTATGTTCCATTTCTCCACCTGCCTGATATACCCGTTCCTCCTTGGCCCCTTGCAGTTATACCCCCTCCTGACGCAAGAAATTTCGACAGGCCTGACATGTCAATGACACCAAACTGACGTGTCTAAGCATCACCAAACAGGATTTCGTAGCTTGAGGCGCGAGGATTTGACTGAGCTGGGGCTAATACTGTGTAACCACGAGAGAGGAGGGCGGCCTGCAGGAGGCTTGGAAGTAGTCTTTAGCAGGGTTGCTGATGGGCGGGGGCCACACTCAGGAGGCGAGAAACGAGCGGAAAACAGGGAGAATGGTGCAGACGGGTTGTCGAAGGTGGCGAAAGGAGGAAGGCTAGCTGTGGGAAAGCACTGTCGCTGTGCGACGCTTTGAGACTTGCCATCAACGTCAGCTCGGAGCCAGCTCGAGTCGAGTTACACCTCTTTTGCCTCGAGGTGCCTGATTTGGAAGGCACGCCGAGCCAAGTTCAGCTCGACTCGGAGTTCACCTCAGCTCCCGGCAACACTACGTGCAACCTTAATATTCGATGGTCATGTGTTCGGGTTCGAAGACAATAACCATAAGAGAACTGGCGCGAGGGTGTCGAATGAAGAGACCGTCGGACGTCTGACTCATAATACACACGGTGGTTGGTAGTTGCAAAGTACATACCAAAGGAGTCTTCAAGCACATTTCCCACGTTCCCAGGCCAAGTTGATGATGGACCCTAACTTGCACATTGCCAATGCTTACCACTACCACCACTTCTATTCAAAGGCCGAAGGTTTTCAACACTTAAAAAGCAAGTCACACGAGCCAGCATATGTTCGTTGTCGGCATGCATAGTTTGGCATCAAAGAGCGTTCCGTCGGTTCTGCACCGGGTGTTCAAATTAGCCTTTACGGGGACAGAACACCTTGCCTTCCTTATCTCTAGAAAACATTCATGAAAGCAACAACGATGTACTCTCAGCTTAACTTCAAGTTTCTTCTCCTTGTTGTCCTCTTTACCATCCCAGCTGGAGCACACCACCACGATGGCTGCAACGACGCGTCGCAGAACCCGTTACTCGTCCAGCAGAAATCGCAACAGTCTTCCTTATCTCAGCCTGTCGTTACAGGCCCAACCTGGATAGAAAAGTATGGGCCTCAGATAGATCAAGGATTCACCGGTCCCTTGTCATTCTCTCATCTCCCCTACATTCGATGCTTGGAGAGCGACGAACCCAAATTCGATATTGCAATTCTTGGTCTACCTTTCGATACAGCGACATCCTATCGACCTGGGTCTGTGTCAAATTTCGTAGTGATCGATTTTTTCTGACCTCTTGTGAACAGAGCGCGCTTTGGTCCGTATGCTATTCGTTCAGGTAGTCGACGGCAGCGCGGTATCAGGGGATACACTCTGTCCTGGGGAAACAACCCGTATGAGCAAGGCCAAAAGATTATTGATTGTGGTGACGTAGGTCCAACTGATCAACATATCTGACGTATGGTTTTAACGCTCCAGTACAGGTTCCTGTCAATCAGTTTGACAATGCTCTTGCATTGGATCAGATGGAAGTTGCGTATTCAACACTCCTTGCAAGACCATCGGCTCGAAACCCAGAAGATGATCCCGTCACAAGCATGATCTCGAAGGATGGTTTGGAGCATCCTCGCATCGTTAGGTCAGTTATTTCTTGAGCCACTGGGATTTCGGAGGCTAGGTGATTAAAGTTCAACAGTCTTGGAGGTGATCATACAATTGTATGTCTGATTTTCTCTACTCGATTCGATGCATCTTCTAATCAGAATACAGGTGCTGCCCATTTTGCGGTCGTTGTATAAGATCTATGGGCCAATATCCGTCATTCATTTCGACGCCCATCTCGTCTGTCTCATCCCTCGTGAATTGACTTTCCCCCAATCTCATTCACTGACAGGACACCTGGCCAGCTTATCCTGGCCAAACAAGCGAGCAATCTCGGGTTACACACGGAACGTTCTTCTATCTCGCGCGAGAGGAAGGCCTACTTGCCAATAATAGCATCCACGGTGGGATTCGGTGCAAACTCGCAGTAAGTTGCATTCGTCCAGCTAGAAGCTTGCTTCGCAATAGCATTCATACTCGTTTCAAGGGCGTTCAAGATCTCGAGAACGACGACGCCGTTGGATTCCAAGTCATCTCGACAGATGACATCGACGATCTTGGAATCCCAACGATTATTCGCAAGATAAGAGAGCGTATCGGCGATAGCCCTGTGTATCTGAGGTATATTCTGTTTCATTCAGTTTCTTGATACCTTCGTAGTGATTCCGATGGCTAACTGATATTGAAATCCTGCACAGCCTTGATATTGATGTCATAGGTGGGAGAATCGTCCTCCTTTTGGAACAGTACTAAGCTCACATTCTATATCGCGCAGATCCTGGTTTGGCACCTGCTAGTGAGTGTTGGGATCTTTACATCGGACTTCAGATGCTTTTATAACCGAGCGTCTTGGTCAACATGAAGCTGGCACCCCAGAAGCGGGAGGATGGACAACCCGTGAAATGAAGCGTATCATTCGTGGGCTAGCTGGGCTCAACTTCGTGTACGCACATTCAACGGTATCTGCATTTATTTGTGCTGACGAGAGCTCGTCCTTTCCTAGTGGTGCGGATATCGTGGAGGTTGCTCCTGCATACGATAATGGTACGCCTTTCGCGTCTTATCGCTTGGCCTTAATCATCTGAGCACCCTTCGCCTCCATATTTTTAGCTGAAATCACTGGGATTGCGGCTGCCGATTTGGTGCACGATTTCCTCTCGATGCTGTTGTCCAAAGAGCCCCCCAAGGTACCTGTTCATCACCGCAAGGATCATAGTGCTGAAAAAACCGTGGACAACTGAGGATGACAACAATTCTGATAATGAGTTACTGGGGGCGTAGAATTTTACTGAGAGTCGTATCCAGTTTGTGTTTTATGTACATAGATGGCTCAATCATCGATTTTGTTAAATCTCTGAATCCTCCGAGTTGATTGTACAGAGTTCAGCTTTATAGAACGTGGATAGCGAGGCAAAGTTGCTGATAATGCTGTTTACTCAAAATACAAGTCCATGGTCTTGTACATAACATAAATAAAAAATAGCTAGGATGAGCTGGAGCTGGACGCTACTAGCACTAATAACGACAAGATGTGGACATGGGTGTAGGGTATCGAAGGAGAAGAAAAGAAGGCGAGGAGAGGGAAGGAAGAACCACACCGACTACCGCTTGCCCCAGTTCCCAGTGATACCAGATGTACCCGGCTCGTAGCCTGGAGGCGAGTCCTCGGGAATCGCCCCCGGTTGTGCGCGCGGGCCCTTCACTGGGCTCGTATGCACAGGCTGCGCTGCATAACCAGTGTTAGTGTCGATAGGGGAAGGAGCGTATGGGTTGATATGCTGCGGCTGCTGGTCTCCTCCGTATGCGTAGTACGCCCCACCTGGTGTGCTGTGCTCGGGTAACGGCGGCACAGAATTCATACCATACCCGTCGCCGCCGAGTGTGTAGCTACGCTCGGGCTGGCCGCGGCCTTGTTGTGGCGGCGGTGATGAGGAGGCGCCGTAGTACGGATTTGAGGCGGCATAGGTGCTAGCCTGCGGCATCGGTGGACTTGTGGGGGTGTTGTTGTAGGGATCAGAGTTGTAGGCAGGCTCAGCATATTGGGGCTGAGGCTGGGGCTGCGATCCATAAGGGTCATACTGAGAGTAGCTTGACGGCTGTTGCACATGAGAAGATGCGCTGTGGTCTGCAGGGAAAGCATTGAGGAAAGGAACGAAAGATATCAGACATAAACTTACATGACGTTCCGCCGCTGGTGTGTCCATAGTCTCGTCCGTATTGATCTGATGTATATTGCCCTGGCGGCGCCAACATTTGATTGGAAGGCGGAGGTGAAGTGGTCATCGGAACGTTGTATGGATAATTGGAGGGCTGTCCATAACCACCCGCCGCAGAGTACGCAGTCCCTTGTGTTGGCAGGGAATTCTGGGGAGAGGGACTGTGGGGGACATTTGCTGTATATGTAGAATATTCGCTCCTTTGACGGCTGAGATTTTGCTGAGGCGGGTAGCTGTTATTTCCGGGCGTCTGTGGTTGGGGCGAGTAATAGTCGTCGGTTGCCCGAGTACCAGGAGCAGCTGGGACGTATCCTGTGTGTCGAGCTGGAGGCGCACTGGTACCTGCGAGATTGACTTGGCTTTCGTTGTGGTCCCCCTCAAGAAGTACGCGATCGCCGTCAACATGGGCCGTCAGAGGTTGTGACTCGTAGAAGGCAGGAAGACCTCCTTCGCCTTGCTTCTGTCGAGCTTTGCGGTCTGCCTCCGCTTTGACAGCATCCAAGCGCATTTGCTCCGCATAATCCTTGTTGGGTCCCGTCTCAACATCTTTGTTCCCCCAAGGTATTCCCCCTTCGTCCTGTCTCTTTCCACCGCCACTCGGCCGTTTGCTGATGCAACATCTTCCAAGGGTGTAGAAGCACCCACTAAAGAAGAGGAGTAGCCATGCTGCGAGCGTCAACCAAATGGCGTTACCGATTTCTGCGCTTCCCACGGCGTTAATCCTGGCCTTCGCGACGAAAAACAGGACCATGTCGAAGATGAAGGCGAGCATAGCGATAACGGCTGCGAATCCAGAGACAAACGTGCTGCAGCACGCCATCGACATTTCGCGGACGTGTGCAAGCAAGCCAAAGACGGCCGATCCTGCGGCGCCAACGAGTGCGACAATATGGAGCACCAATGCGTATGTTATCCATTTGACGGCGACTTGAGGGATTTGGATACGAGAGTCGTTGCCAATAAGTCCATTGATGTCTGGAAAGCCTACTTCAGACTAGGTGTTTGGAGAAATCGAATGGCTTTAGGACGCACCAAGCTCGTAACCAACGGAAGGTTTAGAACATGTTGTGCCGGTTGGAAGTTGCAGGCAGTATCCCAAAGTACCGAATGTAATTGAGCCATTATAATTTTCGACGGTGATATTGGCCTTGAGGAAGTAGATAGACTTGAAATACGGGACGCAAAAGGAGACGACGGCCAGGAGGATAGTAGCAACGAGGGTGACAATGAAGCCAGGTGTCGCTGGTCGTAGGCAGCCCATCGTCGCGGAAGTGAGGGTTAGAAAAGATTGGGTGAGGTCACCCTAAGTTGCGACGAGCGCTGGGCTGAGACTCGAGGAGGGGGAGAAAAGGAGAGAGAAGGGTGTGGGTGAGTCTGGGTCTCGAAGCTCCTTGATTTGGGCAACTGCCTGCACAGCCACAGTCGCTGCGCCACCATCCCTCCGATACCCAACTCCAAGGAAAGCTCCTCTTCGTACTGCGGCAGAGACCCACAGGGCTTGGCCGCCTCATAGGCCATAAATCACCGAAATGCAACTACAAGACGTCTTGTCGGAGTGAGCGGGTTAGGAATTCCGGACGCATTGCTGCTGCGGGTCCTCGGTGCCCCGGGACAGACTCAAGACGATGACAAAACAGCTATGAAGGAGACTGCTGCCTAAGCCCAGGTAAGTAGAGTATAAATAAAGGCGGTGAACTATCCAAGAGGCTTACATCCCCCCTCTCGAAGACTTTACTCGTGGTGGACACCGCCGTTATGCCTTCTTCTGACTTGACCGTCTAAGCTCCTTCTGTTTGTACTGGACTCTACTGGACCTCAGTATTTTCTTGTCTGTAATCGAGTGTTGTCTTGAATCGGGATGCTCGCCTGAATGTTCAAGGATGTAGGATGCGTGTGTGATTCGTGAATCTTGAAACGGTCTGTGGTCCTTTCGATAAGGATAGGTTTGGTCTCACTCATACCTCGCTATACAGATCTTGAATCCTCATATTTTGAAAAGGGTCAGTTTATAGTGCAAGCCCAATTCTCTTGGCATCCATACGCACACGGAGTTGCAAACTTGAAGTCTTGGTAGGACGGAGGTTACTTATGTAATCGCTCGGCATCTGAGTCGGTTCAGAAAATCTTGCTGCCATTTTCGAGCACAATATCTGTTTCAAACGCCAGCGGCCATGGGCGCACCGCCGGTGAAATGTATGCATATGTCCGACGTGCGTCAGCAGGTTTTTGAGCGCCTGAAATCCCCTTTCATGCCGTACTACTCGTTGTGATCAAAGAATTCCGTTGGCAAGGATGATTCGCGTAAGCATGCAATTCGACTTCGTCACTCATCTAAATGGCTGCCGATGGCCCTCACATAAAGCGCGCCGGATGCGTTGCAACAACGGATCCGACCAGCCTCATCCCCTCCCGCCCTCGCACGTTCCACTACCAGCACGCGCAGTTTAGACTTATTGACTCTGCGGCGTAGCGACTTGATCTGGTTGCAGGGACACGAACCAGTGACCAGTCACTGTGGTACGCGGTTCCCGGCGGTACTTCTCCCAGTTTCAGCGCAGTCACTGCCTCCCACATAACGCCCGGCATTCACGAGACGGACCTCCGTAATTCTTCCCTCTTTTCCCGTTCGTTATTATACACTCCCTCCTCACCGTCACCTCGTGGCTTTGGCACTCGTCATGTCGACAGACGCTCGTCTTCATGGGTTCCTTGTAAATGCAGTTGGGTTCGTTTATGCGTCTTTGGGCTTTTCATTGGTAAGTCGTCGATGTTTATAGCCTGATGCCGCTGCTGATCGCGGGGTTTTAGAGCGTATTAGCTGCCATCTTTAGCCTCTTTCCCCGTCCCACGAAACCTCCTCCCCCACTACCGAAAGCCAGACCTGGAATCCCTCCCAACATTCGTGTCCCTAGTGGCAGTCGGGCACGAATACCTCCTAAACGGAGTTTCTCTGACCAGTCTCCAACGAGCCCTGCAAAGTTACTGCTTGCATCTGAAAAGCTCAAGGAATTGACTGTAGAAGAGAAAAAGCGAGCAAGGTCACTTGCATCTCATCGTCGTTCGAGGTCGATCCCTATCATCACAATCGATTATTTTGGCTCCACCGAAACGCTGCGCAAGAAGACCTCAGCCGATTTCTTGCGAGCAGAGCCCAAAGCCCTGCCGTCGGTAACTGAGCCCCAGGTTTCTTTTGCTGCAGCTCCGGAAGTTCCAGAAAGACGAGGACGTACAAGGTCCCGACCTCCTCCACCTACGCCTATGCCCTGTCATGACAAGCAAGGCTTTAGTTTGGCCAACCTCAAACCTATTTTCACGAAGGAGAAGCCCAAGCCCGAACGACGACAATCGTCACCCCAACTGTGCAGTTGCCCTTCACTTCCTCCGATATGCCACAAGACGAGTGGCAGCGACGGAACACCCCAAGCTCATTCGAAGAGTGTCTCGAATTCCAAGTCTCGCAAGACACTTCGCAAGATGCAGAGTGCTCCTGGACCCGTGCAAGAACGCGAGTGTATTCTTGCTAGCAATCATACTGTCGCTGACTCGAGTTTACACTATAGAACTGACAATGAAGTTTGACCCTTCATTCCGCCGGAGTATCGAGAAGAAGAAATCTCTCAATCTGAGGACACAACCTTACGACGCACCATACTTCGCGCCTCCTCCTCTCCCAATAAACCCGCAAAAACTACCTGCGGACTCTGTTCCGAGAAGAATTAAATCACCAACCGGCAGCTAGTGTCTGGACTGCGTTCACACTCTTTTCTTCTGAGCTATCTATCTTACGAGGCGTGGATGTCGCCTGTCCCTTCGTTCTTGGATAATCTAGAGATCTAACCAAGTGTATTATTAGTTAATCTAATCTTATCAGTTAACGAGATGCGCATCATTCACAATGTCCCACGATGATTTGCCTCCGTCGCAGGTTGTTCCGCGCGCCCACCTTTTCAGCCTCTACACACTAGAACTCGCTGCGTACAGTCGACCCAGGAATGGCGGACGGTGTGCCGGCGTCGAATCTACTAGCGCTTAGCGGGGCTGGAGAGGTGGAGGGAGGGGAGCTTGGCAATCGGCTAACAGACAGATCTTCGGAGACTAGATCTATTTTGGCCCCTGCAAGCCCTCGTACACACCTCTTTGGGCTCCCTGAAAGCCTCCTTCCTCCTCCCCCCACGGACCCCACTCCTCCTCTGAATGCGACTGCTGCACAGGACATGAGCCGTGCATCCAAGCCGTCGACACCGCGTCCAGAGGCGCCCGGCGCCTCCCCAGCTCATCGCTCCCCAGAGGTCCCGCGTCCGCTCAACGTCACCGACGCCCTCAGCTATCTCGACGCCGTCAAGAACCAGTTCCAAGACAGCCCGGATGTTTACAATCAGTTTTTGGACATCATGAAGGACTTCAAAAGCCAGGTGTGAGTGCTCCACGTCTGCCGACGGTGCTCGTGCCACCCGTCCGTCATCGTCGTCCTTGTCTTTGACCTCCCTTGCTTCGCAGAATCGACACCCCCGGCGTCATTGACCGCGTTGCAAACCTCTTTCATGGAAATCCCTACCTCATTCAAGGATTCAACACCTTTCTCCCCGTGGGGTATCGAATAGATATCTCAGCCGACCCCTCCAACCCCAACTCCATTACCGTGACCACCCCGCTCGGAACGACCACCCAGAACACTGGCGCCAATGCCATGATGCCGCGAACGGGGAGGGAGATACCTGCTATGCCCTCCCCGGCGCCTCTCAACCAAGGCCTCTACCCCGTTGCCAACCCTCTCGTCCCCAACGCCGTCGTCGGCCCCGCATCCCGTTCCATTACCCCTCATGGATACCAAATGGCTCACGCACCCCCATTCGAACCGCTCTACTCCCCTGGCATGCAGCACACCGCTGATGCCGCGTCTTTTCTGCACAACCTCAACAACAAGGGCCAGGTCGACGCCCCCGGCGGCGAGTTCAACCATGCTATCCAGTACCTCAACAAGATTAAGGCGCGGTACGCCGACGATCAAGTCACGTACAAGCGGTTCTTGGATATCTTGCAGACGTATCAAAAGGAGCAGAGGCATTCTCAAGATGTGAGTCAAGACTTGTTCGTCGCGTCTATGGCAGCGAGATTCATGCTTTTCCCAGTCCCAGGTGTATGTTTCGGTTCAAGTACTATTCAAGGACGCCCCGGATCTACTTGCCGAATTCAAAGATTTTCTCCCAGATGCGGTTCCAGGAGGCGTGAACGGTCCGCCTATGATGCCACAACCTGGTCCTGGTGGTTGGGGCCAGGGAGAGCCAAGTCCGCCCAACGTTGCGAAGAAACCTGTACAGACAAACAAGCGCAGTAGGAAGCGCGTGCCTGAGAAAGAGACGACGCCAGTTCCTCCGCCCAAGCCGATGACATCGCGTGTACGTTCTTCTTGAGCTTATCTTCTGTTCTGGAAACGATGTCTCTCTATGTCTCTAGCAATCGAAAAAGGTTAAGCATCATCACAACCAGGATAACGAGCCGGCTGCTTTTTCGCCATATGCCGTCCCTCGTTCACCTCCTCAAAATCACGCCTATCCTCCCTCCCAAATGCTTCCCCCGCCCCATCCTCATGCAGTGCATACGCATACGCATCCTGGTCACCACGACTATCAAACGAGAGATTCTTCGGCTGGAAAACTACTCTTTTTCGACAGGGCCAAGAAATCGTTGGAGAATAGGGAGCTCTACGAGGAGTTCCTGAAGTTGCTGAATCTCTTCTCCAAGGATATCATCGACGTCGGAATCCTCATCGACCGTTCGCGTGCATTTTTGGGCGAAGGCGACCTCATGGCCGAGTTTAAGGACTTGATGGGCTGGGACGAGAGAGACAAGCTGGAGAAGGGGCCTCCAGGAAGTATACGGACGGGCCCGCCGGAGATGCCCTTCGCGCTGCCGGTAGATGATGGCGAAGGGCCCAGTTATCGAAGACTTCCCCCCAGTGTGCGTCATTTCCCCGTTCAACCTTCTTGGTTTATCCGGCTTGGCCCTGACGTATGTATTTGCAGGAGGTGGACTTGGCGTGCTCGGGTCGGGACGAGCTTTGTCGATCTGTGCTGAACGACGAGTGGGTGTCGCATCCTACGTGGGCCTCGGAGGAGTCGGGTTTCGTGTCGCATAAGAAGACGGTGTTCGAGGAGGCGCTGCACAAGAGCGAAGAGGAGCGTCATGAATATCATGTGCAACTCCAGGCGCTGACGAGAACAATTGCGGTGCTCGAGCCGATCAACTCGAGGATTGACGAGATGACGAACGAGGAGCGCGCTGGGTTCAGGCTGAAGGCTGATTTTGGTGGATACAGCCCGGCGCTTTACCACCGCATCATCAAGAAGATTTATGGGCGCGATATGGGCATGGAGGTTATACAGGCGCTGCAAGATTGCCCAACTGTCTCTGTCCCTGTTGTCTTGCACCGACTGAAGATGAGAGACGAGGAATGGAGGAGAGCTCAACGCGAGTGGAGTCGAACATGGAAGGAGGTTGACTCCAGGAATTTCTACAAGTCTTTGGACCACCAAGGCATCAACTTCAAGGCGAACGATAAGAAAAACATCACGGCCAAACACTTTGTTGGTGACATCCTGGCCGTTAAGAAGCAACAGCTGAAGAAATGGGAACGGAAAGGTGTCAAGCCATTTGTCCGTGGTCCTCTCGGACATCAGCTAGAACTCTCCTTCAAGAACACCACTGTCCTGCATGATTCTCTCAAGATGGTGTATTCTTTCCTCGAGCACTCCCATTCTCCGTACAGTCCTCAAGAGCGCAGAGCCGTGGAAAAATTCCTCCGTGCATTCGTCCCTACCCTCTGCATGTGCTCCGAGGCCGAATTTAATGCTGGAGCGGCGTTGGACGGTTCATGCGACGAAGACTCGGTGTCCGTTCACGAACCTCCATCACAGCCGGAGGGTGCTGGTTCGCGTAGCGGGAGAAGGTCGACTGGCACACCTCACTCGGTGCAGTCGGGTGGGATCCCGGCGAATGACCTCAGAAAAAAGCTTTTGAAGACCGCTCAGGAGAAGGCGTTGAACAAGAAAGATATTCGAGGTGCCCCATCTACCATTGGCTCTCGTGCGGCCTCTCCACACTCGGGTCATCGTTCGCCGCGTCCACCACGCCCCGAGGAGGAACCCCTAGAGCCACACGACGTGTGGATCAAGGAAGCGAGTCCGTCCTCGTCATTGAATGGAAACTCATCCACTGCGGAGAATTTCGTCTCAGGAGGTCCTGACAAAGAACGGCCGTTTTTCGCGAACACAACTTTTTATACACTCCTGCGCCTTTTGGAGGTAAGCTATTTCCTTTCTTGTTTGCTTTTCGCGCTGTTGTGCGTTCCATGCCTTGGTCCTTTATTTAGCATGCTTTCATTTTAGTTGCTCTATTCTCGTCTGCTGATGTGCCATGAAATTGGGGCACAGTTCGCTGCTCAGAAGCACGCTCCGCTTCTAGCCAATCGGGTCGCGGTCGACTTGGGACTGGATGACCCCAATGGTCCTGCTTCGGTGCTCGCACAGACGATGGATCATCTGGGAAAGCCCCTCGCTGAGGACACGAATGTGGTATACATGTACCTCCTAACGGCCTGCGAGAAGTATTTCGACAACGAGCTCGATCAGGCGACGTTCGAGGAACACATGCGATGGTTCTTCGGCACCAAGGTGGGTATTGCGTTTGCGTCTGCATCTGCGTCTGGTTCCTTGGAGCCCGCTTGTGAGGCCTTGGAGCTTAACGTCATCTATTCTTAGGCGTATACTCTGTCTACCCTAGATAAATTAATAACTGCACTTATCAAGCAGGTGAGTAAAAGAATACGCCATGGGGAAGAGGGGCTTGCCCGGGAAGTTTCAGCAAAGCGCTAACATTATTTTTACCACAGGCCCAGACAATTTTATCTGATCACAAATGTCAAGAGCTATGGTCACTACTTAAAAGTGCACAAAATTCGAAAAACATCACATCGCAAGATATCATAAGGTACCGTCGAGAGGCGGAACGACACGTTGGCCAGGATGACCATTTGTACCGACTACAATGGGTAAGTTCTAACTTTAGTTTTTTCTCGTTGTTCTGACCGCAGCTCTGGTGTGGTAATACGTTGCGTACAGGTGCGAGAATCGCGGTGCATTCGTGTGTCGCTCTGCAGCCCAGATGAACCGAGTTGCCTGACGGATGGCTCTGCGACAAGTCGGTGGCGCGAGTACGTGAGCACATACGTGATGACCCACCCTACGGAGTGGCTGCCTGAGCCCAGGAAGGGAAGCAACCCCGTCTTTTTGCGCAGGTGAGTGCGCGCGGGTGCAGAGGCCGTTTATCAGGATCTGGTGATTGACCCTTGAATATTTATAGATGTGCGCGCGTGGGTGAAGAGGGGACAGCTGCACTGGTTGAGGACCACATGAAGATTCGTGTCAGCGTGCCGACGTACAAGCTGGTGTACGAGGCGGGGTGCGAGGACATGCTGTGGCACGACTGGGGGAAGGACGCCGGGGAGATGGCAGGTCGGGCTCGGGCACGAGAAGAGGACCGACAGCGGAGCAAGTGGTTAACATTGTAATGTAGTAGCTGGAAGGACGGATATAGACGTGTAGCGTTGTGCCGGAAAAAGGGGGGACTGTTGGGTGTTTGTCCGTGTTTGGCCTGGGAGAAACCTGGGTCAATCCTGGATGACTTGTGACCGTCTCCCTCCTTCTCCACTCGCTTGGCCCGCCATCGCCCTCTCTCCTCCTCACCGTCCCTGCCGTCCTCCGTCCCCCCAGCCCCCCGGCTGCATCCTCAGAGGCCACCACACAGGCCCCTTCCAAGCAGCCGCACCAAGACTTTCCCTGGGGTGCAAGTGCAAGACTTGCTTGGCACAGCAGAAAGCTCAGCCCCTTGTAACATAATGGCCAAGCCATTATCAGTCGCGTCCTCAGACGGCGCTAGCTCCTCCAAATCTCATCGCTGTAGCGCCCAGCACTCTCCGGACCCTCACCATCGTCCCCGCCATCGTCGCCATCGCTCATCGAAAGCATCCCTCTCGACGCTCGGACCATCATCTGGCCTTCTCTCCATCCTCGCCACCATTGCTTCGGCTTCGACTGCTTATGCCAGCCCAGCGCCCCCACCCTTCCTCTGCCCATCCATCCAATCCCAGGAAAACATCGACCGACCCCTCTCCAAGCGGGCCTCATCATCAACCACCGACAGGGTTTCGAACTCAACAATTCTGTCCGCCAACATCCGACGACATGTGCCGGCAAAGTTCGAGAAGGGCGCTGACGGGGTTTGGAGACGGGTTGATTCGTACACACTCTACGGTAGCACTGTACCGTCGGGCTGCACTGGACCCGTAAGCATTTTTATCTTACCCCCCCACCGACGACCTCATCGCCGCTTTTAGGATTGCCGACTACCCACCAACGCTGTCTCAACAATTGACGACCAAATACAAGTCGGCGGAAATCTGAACACAAGCAACTCTACCACGACGCCGTACGATATTCGAGACGAGCTGCCCCCTGGCTGGAGGCCAACTGTGCGGCCCTATGAAGGCCGCACCACGCTCATCCTTGCCATGTCACTCGTCCTCGCCTGTTTCATATGCTTCTTTATCATCGGATGCCTGTTTTGGAGGAGAAATTTGAAGAAGAGACGCAAGCATGCCGATGTTGAGGCCAGGTCGAGGCGAAGAAGGCACAGATCATCCCCAAGCGAAGAGGAGGTCCGGGAAATGGAATTGGAGCGGGAGATCAAGACGAAACAGAAGATTTGGGCGAGGGCTACAGCACGCTGGAGGGCCAACGTTCGCTATTCTGCTCATCAGCGAAGAGGCAAGCGATTGAGCACCAGACTCTCGCAAGCTCAACAATCGACAACTTCTCTCGACAATTCACGCAGCCGCCTGGCAGGATCGGGTTCCTCGACGCACTCGAGAGCATCTTCCAGACGATCGTCTGTGAGCTCTATCCGTGATCAATCTCACCATGACGATTCCCCGGCCACAATGGCCTCCACATCCCAGGAAAACCTCTCGCGCGCGGAGACCCCTCAACCAGCCCGACCAGCCTCGCCGCCTGCATATCAGCGTGGGCAAATCCCTCCAATCGTCGTTTCGTCAGATGAGTCCACCGAGCAGTCTGGACTTTCTACCCCTACACATTTCGATCGCTCCCGGCGCCCGTCACATTCATCGCTATACCCTTCATCCGCCATTTCAGACGACTCGCAGAAGGCAGAACACTTGTTTTCAGTCTCTGCGCCCATTCATGCGGCCCACGTAGCCACCGATGACAAGTCCCTCCTCGCCCGGCTCGCCGACCTTGCCAGCGCTCCACCGGAAGATGCCTCCGCTATCCCGGCAGGGACGTCAGAACCGCATGTTTCTGCCCCTGCATGGCAGGATGACGAATTTGAGGAATACACTCCTGACACCAACCGCGATGCTTGTACCTCTGATTCGCAGAGTTCTCTTCCACCCTTGTTCCCACCTCCACCCTCAAAAGAGCGGTTGGCTGCCGCGGAGCGCTACGAATACTCCTTCGCGTTTGAGGAAATGGATTCACTAGGATCCGAGGACGAACCATCAGCCCCGCCGTTCGAGGAAGGTTGTCTTCCGCCTATCGACGAGTCCGTCCTTCTACCGTCTGCCCCTCCATTATTGGACGACGACTCAGGGGAACTTCCCCCGAACCCCATTCCCAGCGCACCGGAATGGGATTCTCAGACAGAGAGCCTCGAGCCTCGAGAAGAAAACGTATCCGGGCAAGATCACGACCGAATGCCGTCAACGTCAACCAATTCGCCAGCGTCCGGACCAACCACCTCCCACCCAATCAACGAAGCAGTGATATCGGAAAGGAATGGGTCTACTGATACTATTATGCTTCCGGATTATAAGCCCTAATCCCTACCTTCATCTTTACTTCTTGAACAGCAACATTCTGTTACAACACACTCACATCGAGCAACACATCTGTACTAATACATATAGTCTAACTGCATACCCGGAAGTTTTCTTGGAATCCCATTGGATACGGGATATCTAAGAGCGTACTAATTGAACGCTTTCGGAATATTATCGCGTTCAACAAGTCCCGACGAATGACAGAAACATGGCGCAGTCGAGAATTCGTATGGTCTCTGGTCTCGAGGTGGCTGTTATCGACCGGGCCGCGTCTATTTTTGAATCTCGTCGTCACGTGTCTATTATTTTTCGAACGCGATCGGGGCGTCCGATCCTGGTCCTGGTCCTGTTCCATCGTCGTCGCCCAGTGCAACCTCGTCAATCCGCATCTACCATGGGCAAGTCTCAAAAGAAAAAGAACATGCGCCGGCACAATCCTATGCGCGTGCCGGATTCACATCTACCAAAAGGACTCGCATCGGCGTCCGAGTCGTCCTCGAGATCGAATGAGATTCTTCCGATCCTACAGAAAGTGTGTACTCGGATCGAATGTTTGGTGTATTTGTTGTCCCTGATACACGGTTGGGATTGGTTAGATGCAGAGCACGGATGGCGCAGAGCGAAAATGGGCATGCGTAGCTGTGTCGAATCTAATCCAGAACGACCCGTCGACGAGGCGCTTGCTGCAAGGAAAAAATGTCGTTGGGGCTTTGATCACACGGCTGACGGATAGTGAGGAAGAGGTCGTGGTCGAAGCTATCGGAGCCTTGAGGTGCGTGCTTTTCGTGGAGGAATTGAGAGGTTGACGGTTCTTGAACGCGAGCTGTGTCCAGGAATCTATGCATCGACGGAGGGTATGATATCTGCGCCGAGATGTACAATAAAAACATTCTTACGCCTCTGAAGGCGTTCATCCCGAAAGTCTGTGCTCCTTTTCTGAACCCGGACGATCGGCGCTTACAGGACGTTTAGATCTCCACGACTTTATCCCAATTCCTCAACGACCCAAAAGCCGCTCCAGAAAATGTTCAGAGGATAGTATACGACTTTGCGGACAACATGATTACAGCTCTATGGTGTCTCTCGTGAGTTAAATCTACCTCGTTATGAGACGACCATCTCACATCTGTAGAGAAACATCAAATAAAGCGCTGAATGCGATCAACGACTTTCATCTTGTCCCGTTCTTGATGTCCTTCCTTGCGGCGCGCGATAAATTGCCGCTGGCACCTGTAACAGCAGCAGGTATTTATTTTACTCGATTCTTGTCTTGCTCGTATGATGAAACATGGTTTAGCCCAGTGTCTGTATGTTCTTACCGATGATAACAGTCCTGCAATTTCGGACGTCAGAGCTGATGCCTCATACATCTCGTGTCTCCTTTCGATCGCGCGTCAGGAGCAGACACAACCTCTCAAAACTCCAGTGGACCCTCGAGCTGTTACATTGTCGATATTGGCAGCTGGTGTGGTCTTTTGAGCCCTATTCTCTGTTTCTGCGAGTTGACATTGACACAGGAACACTACGAAATATCTTGCCCATCCCTCCTCCCTCAGCGGTGTCTTTCGTTGACATCGACAAAGATGTAATTCTTCCTCTCCTCCAGCCTGTCATCTCATCTATTTCCCTCTCGGATACATCAAATCTTGTCCAAGAGCTCGTTCGGAGGCAGGCGAACGAACCTCAGATCGAGAACTTGTCTCTTAAGGCACCAAAATCCGACCACAAGACGTCTATCGGGATTGAACTAGAGCAGTTGGAAAATAAGCTGCGCAGTGTGCAGTTGGCTCTTGAGATCCTCACTGGGGTGTGTGCTACCCTGCCAGACCCAGAGCCGGATTTGCCGGCGAATGAAGAGGATGTAGAAGATGATGGTATAATTGTTCCTCGGTCTACGCGAATGGCGTGCAAACTAAATGTTTTGTAGACATCGAAATTGACGTTGGTGATATCGACATGGGTGAAGAGCCCGAAAAACCTTCAAACGATTCTAGTAGCCCATCGTTCCTCGCAACGTTGGTAGCACCTTTACTTGCACTCGTACAACCAACGGCACTCTCTTTTCCCCCTCTCTCATCTCCTTCGATACACCCGCCGACAACGTCTGCTTTGAGCGCGGTGCATATAGGTGCCCTCGAATGCTTGAACAACATCTTCCTTTCCCTGACAACTTCGCCGAATCCCAAAATCGCTTCTGATGCTAATAGCGGACTAATTGTCTGGAACGGCATCTGGTCTGCGTTGGGTTTAATCGGCACGCAGACGGGGTTGGGTCAAGAGCGTAGACAAGAAGCATGGGAAGTTGCTATGGGCGTTCTCTGGGGTGTTGGAAGGGTGTGGAAAGGGTCTCTGGTGCGCATTTTGTTGGCTAACTGCTTTGGTAAATTGGAGTTTGATGGTGTTGTTTATAGACCCCAGACAGTGAACAAGTCAATCTTCTGATCCAACTGTGCAATTCAACCTCGGACCCTCGACTTCGAGTGAAATGCATCGGTGCTCTCGAGTGTCTTGCTCAGAACCCATCTGCCATAGACGCGAATCGAGTGCGTTTTTCTTTTTCTGGTGATGTTATTGCTCATGGAACCTACCCAGATAATCTCCGAATATTTGTTCTCCATCTTGCCAACTGCATCTAGCACATTCTCTATGGAAGCTGAGCCTATGATCCAAGCGGCATCAGCTCTAATTGACATCTATTCAGACGAGACACTGCCCTACGACGTGAACTTCCGTCAGGGCAATTACCTAGACCGATTGGTGGCAAGCGTCGAGAGCATTAGAAAGGCCATCAGGGCCATTGATAGGCGCCGGGATGGAGGCAAAGAGCTGAGAAGGAGAGGCGACGAGGTCAGAGACAACTTGGTAGACTTTATTCAGTATCGCAGGGATTTGCGCCTTTGATACGAGCGCCGGCGTGGGATGACTACATATTTATTCCTTCGATCCTCCACTTGGTCGCCCTGTTCGGGATCTAACGCTGACTCAGGAGTCAGCCGGTTACGAAGCTATTTAAACCTTTAAGCCACTGGTCAATCCCTCTTGTCCTACCTCCATCAAACCGAAATTCCCTGAGATGGCCGCAGATTCGAAGACATTCATCTTCACCCCAGACGCTGTTCCTCCGTTACCGGCGTTTTGTCAGTAATGATTCCTACAAATCCACTAATTGGGTCCGCTCATGGAATAGGACGCGCACATGTATGTAGCTCAGGCTGTCGTCTCAGGTGGACGTGTCTATGCCTCTGGAAATATCGGATGCGATAAGAATTTCAAGATCGTAGAAGGTGGAGTGCAGGCACAGACGGTAAACCGAGATTTGATTCGACAGCTTCGATTCATCGCAAGGAAGACTGACTTGGATCCTCAAATAGAGAGCGGCATTGGAGAACCTGTCGATCGTCCTCAAAGCTTCAGGATCGGGTCTGGAACATATCGTCAAAGCCAACGTATACTTAGTGAATATGCCGGTCAATTTCACGTTGATGAACGAAATCTATCTTCAGGTGAGATGGTTTCTTTCAGCACTCTCTGGAAGTTGACGGACAACTGTCTCAATTCAAGTTCTTCGACAAGGACAAGATGCCTGCGCGAACATGTGTTGGAGTCATTGCATTGCCCATGGGAGCAGACGTGGAGATCGAATGTGTTGCCGAAGTGGCTGCACAGTGAGCCACTTGCAGGCCACTCAGGTGGCTACTTTCTGGTGGACTTAGTGGTGATAGGCTTCCACTACTTCGTCTGCCTCTTATCCAGTACTTGGAACTGAAAACACGGATGTGGTCTGGTCTAAAGAGATACCTGGTGCCCCTATTGGTAGGCCGGGCCGCTTATGGCCACATACTCCCGATTGAGACATGTCATGTGATGGGTTACCATTTCGCGACAGAGTGCAGCGTTCAAGTTGAAGAGGAGGGAGACAACTCTCACATTCACTCCAATTCAAGCCAATGCCCGCTGCCTGCTGCTAGCTTACCTGCCTTCAAACTATACCACATCTCTAAGCCCATGATGGCAAATCAGCAGGCCTACCAGCAGTATGCACAGAATGAAGGCTCCTTGGTCCCTGGTCAGACTATCGCGGTCAATAACTATACCGTCCAGGTCGAGCGCTACCTATCGCAAGGCACGATATCGCTCGGAATATGGTAACGAATGCTAATTCTTGCTTATAGGTGGTTTTGCCCATGTCTATCTTGTCCGGACCCCCGCGCCAGTCTATAACACGACACATCATGTCCTCAAGCGCATTGCAGTCGCCAGTGAGTCAATGTTGACGGAGGTGAAAAAGGAGGTGGATATCATGGTGCGCAGGTATCCCTCTTCCTTCTGGACGCGGCCTCACTTCTCTGTGTAGCGATTGTTAAAAGGACATCCGAATATTGTGCACCTCATCGATGCAGCATGGCACAAACTGCCGAATGGTACGTTTGAGGTGTTCATTCTCATGGAGTATTGTCCTGGTAAGTCGATATACCTTGCACGGGGGTGGCTTCGTTCAATTCTCGTCAAGGTGGCGGAATCATCGATATGATGAATCGGCGTCTCCGCGAGCGCCTCACTGAAGCCGAAATCCTGCAAATCTTCGTGGACGTCTGTGAGGGTGTGGCCTACATGCACAATTCTCGGCCACCGCTGCTGCATCGCGATCTTAAAGTCGAAAATATTCTTCAATCGTCTGCGACGTCGTTCAAGCTATGCGATTTTGGATCAGCGACCACCGTTTCAAATCCTCCTACGAACATGCAAGAAATACGGGCGTTGGAAGCGGACCTGAACAGGCACACGACCCTACAGTATCGAGCTCCGGAGATGATCGATGTCTATTCCAAGCGACCAGTCAACGAGAAGAGTGATGTATGGGCGCTTGGTGTGCTCCTGTACAAGCTATGCTACTACACAACACCATTCGAAGAGCATGGCCCTTTGGCCATCCTTAATGTTCAATACCGCACCCCGCCCTATCCTGTCTATTCGCAGGACATGAATATTCTGATTGGTAGGTTTACTTTCTCATTGTCATGACATCACTTTAATGGCGAGCTTTCTCAAGGGTCAATGTTGCGTGAACATGGTGCCCAACGGCCGTCCGTCTTTGAGTTGCTCGGTCATGTTCATCGCCTTCGAGGCACCAAATCCAAATTCACCTATAACGTACCTGTTACTCCTCCACTCGCGCCCCGAATGCAACAAATCAAGCCTTCTAACCCTTTGGATGGTCTGGTCACTTATGGTGTTCCATCCTCGAAGCCAGCAATCGCGCCATATGATCCTAAATCAGGGTCAAATGCTGCTGCCCCCGTCAACCAAGGTATCCAAGCGCGCGACAAGGTCCTCGAAGCTATTGCCCCCATGAGGAGAGGAAGACCAGCTACGCATTCAAGGGAACCCTCGTCGAGACCCCCTAGCCCGCCCAAGTCGCACCAAACAAGCCAGGTCGGGGCGACGAAAGGATGGGCGGATGGTGGATTTGGACAAGAACAAGACAAAGTACGGCAGGCTGCTACCGAAAAGGCCGCTACGTCCACAAAGTCTTCGAATGTTGACGATGCATGGAGTATTGCAGAATCGAGCAGCTCTCGACAAACAAATGCAGAAAAGACGCGTCCCACAGGGTTCGGCGACGACTTTTCGGAGAAGCTGTGGAGCGCCTCCGATCCTAATTCAGCTCTACCGCCTCGTCTCAGCCCGCGACCCACCCAGAAGCCGAGTACGTTAAAACCAAATGATATCCCAGTGCCCCCTCTGGCATTCACAGGCTCCAGGATGATTCGACCGAAAGCGGACCGCCTGGCTCAGAATAGGGAGAAGGACGCGTTCGAAGGATTGGGCCTCATGACTTCTACAACAAAACCAGCTCCAACACTGGGAGAAGCAAGGAAGCTGCGTACTGGACTGGCCATCATGAGTTCGCCGATTCCAAGTGACTATGTTCCTCGTTCTGGAGAAAAGGCTAATGGCATCACACCGCGTCCAACACCCTCTCCACGACCCACTTATCTTTCTACTACACCAGTGCCGCCTAAATCTGTATCTCCTGTGCCGACTCCTGGGACCAACGCTCCCTCTTGGAAGCCACCTCAGTCATCAGGACCCAGCCCATCTTCTGCCAACACTGAGGGACTGCCGACTGAGTCCAGGTTTCCTTCTCTGGAGGAGCTGGACGCTCGCTTTCTACCATCCTCTTTTTATCCGTCTTCAGTCAACGACGCCAGCTCAAGGTACAGTCCCCAACCGTCGCGGCACCCAGACACGCGTTCGCAAATTTCAAAACCCAGTATCGCGAGTTCCGGGACTGGGGGCAATCTTCTTAAGCCAAATATCATCTCGAACGTTACTTATTCTACAGATGGCGTTCGCTCAGAGCAAGTCACTGGCGTTGCCATGCGAGAACCCAAGGGCGCTCGAAAAGCTGAAGGCAACGTTGTCGACAGCAAATCGACAGCTCCTAGTGGTTTAAGTGCGATTCAGCAGAACAGCTTAGCGTCGGCTTCAAGAGAGTCGTCACTGGTGCCAAAGCCCATGTCGGTGCGGAAGCATCGAAGTTCGGTTACAATGAAATCCACCTCTACGAACTATAGGATGGATGAAATCGGCATCGAGTCTTCCAATCGTAACTTGGTACCCCCAAAGCTTCCACCGCGTTCTGGAGCCCATTCTACGCCACAAGATTGGTTAACAGGGGAGGACCACGAAGAGATGAGAGTGCATCTGCCATCCGACGTACCCGTCCTGCGCGATTCTCCCAGCAAACGAGCATCCTTCTTCGAACAGAAAGAGGTCAAGATTCCCTCGAGCTCTGTGGTTCAACATGCACTCCCTGCAGAGCGTTTCGTCGATGAACCAAAGACCGAAGAAATCTCACCCACGGTCTCCAAGTTTGTGCGGAATTTCCCTGCGCTCGAGAGGCTTGACACGCAGCAAACCCATCAGTCGCCATCTAGTGGACTTACGGACAATTGGAGTCCAGTTTCAACTCGGAAAGACAGGGATCTGGAGCCAGATATATCGAGTGCTGATGAAGGTCCTGAAGAGGCGAGCAGCGTGAGGCCGCCAGCGCAGAGACAAACACCCAGGAGGAAAGGAAGACAGAGCTCTGTACATGAACTTGTTCACCAGTATGGCGGTGGTGCGGGATTATCTTACAAGGACAAGGAGTCTGAGCGTCCTCTCGTCCCACAAGGCCTCGGCGATTATGTGCCCTCGCACAAGTCGCGGCCTACTGGCTTGGCACCTCCAGTCAAGCAAGAGTCAGACCGAAAGACACCTTCTCCGACACGCATGGATTTCAGCTCTTCGTTCGCCCCAAGTCGCTCTCCAAACCGTCAGCAATCTTCCACGGCGGGGGTTCAGCGTCAGCCAGAGGCTCCTCCTATGGTTGCCAAATCACCTTCTTCTGGCTCTGGCCGCTCGCGCCCTCAGTCCATGTTCGTCTTCCCTTCCAAATCTACTGATGCTGCTCCTGCGGTTCCTTCCACGAATTTAGCTCCTCCTGAAGAACCGCGGCCACGGGCAGCTCGGCGAACGTCAATATCAGATATGGTTCAGCGGTATGAGGCGATTGGCGGCAAGGTGACGCCTGTTGCCTCATTGGCCCCTCGACCACCTTCACCGCTTCACAGACCAGTGTCTGCCAAAGGAACTTCTTCTGCCAATCTCGAGAATGGGCGTACCAAGATATTCCATGACCCGGTCAAGCCTGCTAATTTGGCACTTTCTGCATCGAGCGAGGCTTCAACGACTCGCTCAGCGCCGGGATCCTCTAAATCGCGAATCATATCCAAGGAACCAGCGCGACAGACCACCCTCAACAGTAGTACCACTGGGATGTCACGAACGGCAACGACACCCGGTAAACCGTTTTCTTCAGAGAAGGAGAGGCCTACCTTCTCAACAGACAACACCCCTCGCCCAAGAAGGATATCTGTCAAGGCTGAATCTTCTGCGGCTTCGTCTGGTCGGCCGGATATCTTTTCTTCGAGGCCGACCCAATCTCAGTCTTCGCAGGAGGCAGATACACCTCGACCACCAAGATCGCCGCATAAACCTACTTTATCCATCAGCAACAACCCGCCGCCCTCAAAGGTGGAAGATCCGTCACCATCTCCTGAACGACCGTATCAAGGAGTTGGGAGACTCATCGATCAGTGGCAGAAGAAGTCGGTCGAGGCAGAGCAGTCGCGGGCAGGACCCCCAGTTAAACGGACGAACATACGGAAGACCAGCTTGGTCTATGGAGATAAATGACTTTCATGACGATTTTCTAGTTTTCAATGCACCGTAAATTATCACCGGCATTTTTTCAGTACTGATTGAATGACTTTAATTGCATCTGCCATTTGTACCAGAGTAGTAGACATATATTCAGTTGTTCATATGGGGTACATTAATGATGTGTGCTATTGTACAAAAGCTCTACATAGGGTCCAGAAAGCACGCCAAGGATGGATAGTAATCAAGTGAATGGGGTCCGTCAATCAGAATCAGAATCAGAGTTGGAGATGTAGAACGGGTCTCGGGAGTGTGGTGCTTTCTTTTGGGCACCGAGCAGCATTTCTCTAGCCATATCCTTGCCTTTCCCAATTTCCCAAGCAGGCTCTTCCCTGTTGTATGTGTAGCCTTGCACCCGTTCGGTGTCGCCGGTCAGCCCAAGCTCTAGAGCGACGGCGTCGGCGCGAGCGATGTTAGACTCGGCTGGATGAATGAAGATGTCATCAGGCTTGGACCGCGACCTGGGACGCGTCTTCATCGAATGGGGTGGGTACTCTTGGTTGGTTTGGGAGAGGAGTGGCTGGGATGAAGCTTTGTGTATCAGGCCGCTGGTGAAATCGTCATTGAGAGGAAATAAGGACAAAAGAGAGTAGAACATACCGGCCTGATGATGATGATTTCGGAAGGTTTCGCAGCTCGACAAAAAACTGGGCGATAGATAGGGTCGCGACCTGCATGTGATCCATTTGTCAGGTCTCTGTGAACGAGTGTGCAGCAGGCAGTTGCTTACAATCGTAAAGATGAGACTAGTGGTTGTTATAGTGAGACCGAATTCGCGTCAAGATGTGAGGCTACTCACCCCATATGAAACGACATTGCAACAAGCATGTAGCATCTTCAGAAACCAGTGAAAATCAATCAATATGTACTGCATATCGAGACTGCTACTCACAGTCTTAGAAAGGTCACGCAGCTATACAATCCGGTCCTCCACACTGCTATCCGCATGCGCGATAGTCGGAACGTATTAGGAGACCATTGCTTGTCGAGTGCGAAAGAAATAAACCTGCCAATACAGCATTTAGCCAAGCGTTGACTTGATTGGCACAAAACAGCGAACGTACCTCTCTGACAGACAGATTAGCATTACGACGATGCATGCCACCACGAAACTAGAGGCCGAACGAAGGACGATGAAGGGGAAAAGAACGTGCTCATTCTGAAAAGACCAGTGAAGGTGGGGTTCGAAACCCATGGTGGTTTGACCGGGTGCGCTCAAATAGATCGGGAGACGAAGGTTGAAAAGCGACCGCGCGGCAGAATAAGCGAAGAGACTGGGCTCGTTGTGGTTGTCGGTGGGATTGGTGGATGGGGAAGACAAGAAGAGAAGACAAGTGGCGGAGGACATCATTCTGTGCGGCAAGACCCTGCCAACGAAAGTTGATCGGGGCTTAATTACGGGGTCCAAAAAGGGAACAGCACCGATGAGCGGCCCGACCACACTAAGCGCCGAAAACGGTACCCTTAACGTCGTCACATCGATCCTGGAGGCCAGAAGCCCCAAATCCACATTTACAATTTAGATACAGAGGAAATTACCAAAGATAAATGAACCAACGCGTTTTACAATATACACATAACATAATAAAGATTGGCCTATACATATTTCCGTACCTATGTCCGAGAGTTTTTCCGTTCTTTGGCCTTCTGGCTGATTTCCAAAGCTTTCTCCGCGCGCCATTCGCAATCGTTAGCGTATTCACACCACCTAAACGTCGTGGATAAGTAAAATTATCAACGTGTCATATGTGTTGCATACCTGCATCTGTACGTGTATTCTACGGGCACTCCCTCCGGCTTACGTTCACCATGCCACCACTTCAAGACGTGGTCTAGGTGTGCATCCAGCATGGCGTCGTTGTGAAAGAAGGCCTTCGTGCCAATAATAGGGAAACGCATCATCCCTTCGGGTTCTGGCTCAGACGGTTGTTCCTTTGCCTTGCCCTTGTCCTTGCTAGAAACCGTAGGAGTGGAACCACCTGAATGAAGTGGATGTCAGTCGAGTGCAAATTTTGATTCAAGGAGGAAAAGGACATACCATCCACAGGTGTTTCCACACCGCTGGCGCCAGACTGCTCCAACAAGGATTGTTCCAGTGCCCGCTGTAGGTCCCTATCCTCTTTGTCCGATGATTGGCCAACCAATCCTGAAGCTGCCGCCAGGGTTTCGATCGTGGCCCCATCTCGAATAGAAGGCCCGGCTACGGGGACCTCAGCTGCACATGCATCTTCCAAGCTGGCGGCAATAGCTCTGGCTAAGTCTTCCTCCTCTTGATTTATGCTCCGCGTCGATTCGGATGAGGCAACTTGCTTGCCCTTCCCCTTTTCATCGTGCGAAGGTCGAAGGCGGTACACCAACTCCAGCTGCATGCTTACTCCAGCAAGGTCAGCCTCTTTGACCTGCCTGTGCCACATGTCAACCAGATCATTCAGGCAAGCAGTCTTAAAACCGTCGTTCGACTCGATTAGACGGGACTGGACGAGGAACTTCGTCGGAAAGACCTCCTCTGGGTCAAGTTCTAGCTTCTTCCAGATAGGATTGAAATCGTATGGTGGATCGGTCGACAACAGCTGTGAGAGTAGCCTTCGGTAGATCATTAGCTGCAAACGCCCTGAGAGTGTGTCTTGGTCCAATGGAATTTTTCTTTTTGCTCTTGTTTTATTGTCCTTGATGTACAAGCCATAGCGAGGTCCGTTATGGGTCGAAGGCGTGTTGCTTTTCTTGGGACTGGGAAAGAAAGGCTCTATCCGCATCTGAGATGAAGGCGGGTCGTGTCGTGCCCGTTTAGAAGAATGATTGGGACTTGTCTCTGAAACCCGTTTGTTCTTGGGCTCATGAGAAGTTGCCTCAACCTTGATAATTTCATCCTATGCTACATCAGAAAGATAGAATGATGTTCTCGCCCGGAACGACCCACCACGATACCAACGACAACTTCGTTATGGATTATCCCAAGAACTGGCACTTCGCGCTGAGGAGGCATTGAAATAAGTGGTGATTGTGTGGGAATCGGAGTATGCAACATACAACAATACCGCCTGATATACTCTGGAAGCAGGCGATCATATTGAAGAGGCTATTTTGCATCAACTCTTGAACAAGGTCAAACGTCTTGAAACATTACATACCGTAACGCCCACATTGATTCCTCCGTTTCAATCTCGATCTCGAGTTCATTGAAGTTCATCTCTCGCTCGAGTTCCCTGTGAACTGCCTTAAGAACATGTCAACACACAACGCATCTCTTCTATTTGTGTCATTATCACTTACTAAACCCTGTTTCGTCGCAATATAATTGCTCTCCGAGAGTTTCTGCTCGACCTTTATCGTCTTCCCAGAAGCAGAAGTAAAGCTTTTAGGCCTCTGATCTGTTGGGCGACTTCGTCTTCCTCGTAGGCCATAGTCATACTGCGCTTCACACCTTCATTGGTTAGCCTTTCTTACTCCCTCCCTTGTCTCTCCGGAGAACAGCGGACATACCAAGCTGGGCTGACAAGGTCAGTCACGGAGAAATGGTGGTTCCAGGCGCGGAACTCCTGATAAGGCGACTTGGTGGTCGGGGGAGCGCCCGAGACTTGGTCGTCTGCTGCTGAGGGCCTTTCCTCCTCTAGTTGAATTTGGATCGCAGGTCCACCTGCAGCATTCTGCGGCACCGCCTCGTCAAGTCTCGCCAGGTCCTCTGCGCTCATCGTGTTGAAGTTGATTCCACCCACGTCCGACTGGAACGACGCGTCCGTCAACGCGTCGGCTTCGCGTACTTCAAGGATGACAGGCTCTTCAGTCGCCGCGTCTAACTTGGCCAGCTCTTCTTCTGTCAGGACGTTCAGATTGAGGCCGCATATCTCTGACTGGAAGGACGCGTCGGCGACTGCGGGCGGTTCGTCTGGGATTGGGCGAGGTTCGACTAGAGGCTTGATGGCTGCGTCAAGCTTCGCGAGGTCTTGTTCAGTAAACTCCGAGAAGGAGAAATCGAAGTCGGAAAAGCTGTCAGAACCTTGGGTAGCCATTATTGTGCGCGCGTTATCCTAAAAGTCACATTGAACTGGTCCGCCGGGTTTCTTCAACGAAATACCAGCTGGATTTCGGTTGGGCGGATATGTCCTGGAATTGAAAGTCTTGCTGCTAAATGGCTGCCGTCGGATTTGCGTGCTGCGAGGAGTGTGACGCGGTGGAAAATGTATCCAGAAATTTCTCTAAGGGCGAAGCGTATTCCTGTTCATAGAGCGATGATAATTGTTTTTGTGAGACAAGTACTGAGAATGGGTTGTCGCGTCCGTGAGATCACAAATTTGCTCACGTGCCTGTCAATCAATCTTCAGCTTGGCAGAGAAGCCAATACCTGACCGAGCTCTGTCCTTTCATCATTCTGCAACCTACTACTTTCAACATCGCGTTTTCATCAGGGCACATCACTGCTAATTCAGTGAAAACCGTTCCTGTTCGCGCTCCAGTGGACTGATAGTCTTTTGTACTCATACATTTCACAGTTCTTGGATTCGACAGAGAGAGGAGACAAATTCGAGCAAGGTAACATCGCCAAAAATTTCAACATGCAATAAATTCACAATTTTGCCTAGGCCATCCTTTTTTTGCGTTGGGGACATCCTGCGATCGTCGGCAACATGGCGCCGACGTCCGTCGCTCCCGCGGGGGAAGCAGAAACCACACTTAAAATGTCAGCAGCTCCTGGAGCGAACGGAGCTGCTGCTAGTGGAAATGGTATTCGTCCTATTGAAGATGACGGCGATGAGAACGATGAAGGCGAAGATGACGTTGCGGGCGACGGTGCCGGAACAGGTCCGTTTGCAACCAAGATCATGCGCCGAGAATAACACTAAAACGATGGATTTTGCATTCGAAGGCGAGGGCAAGAAGAAGAAGAAAAAGAAGAAATCAAAGAAGAAGAAGGTGGAACAGACGGATCCTCCGCGAGTCGGACTGTCCAAACTCTTTCCTAGCGGGGTCTACCCTGAAGGAGAGCTGCAGCCCTACAAAGACGAGTAAGCCTTTCTATCCTTTGTTTCAAATCAGTCAAAGTATCTGACTGTTTCGCTGCAACCCAGCAACACCTACCGAACCACCTCGGAGGAACTCAGGTACAAGGAGAAGATTGAAATGGAAGATCCTGAGAAGACGTACAACGACATCCGTCGGGCAGCTGAGGTGCATCGTCAAGTCAGGCAGCGAGCCCGGCAGTACATCCACCCTGGCTTGACCATGACGGAGATCGCAAACTACATCGAGGACGGAACTCGTGCTTTGGTTGAGGAGAACGGTCTCGAGAGTGGTATTGGCTTCCCGACCGGGTTGAGTCTGAACCACTGTGCTGCCCATTACACGCCAAATGCCGGCGATAGCAACGGTGGGTTCTTTCGTTGTGTATCTTATCTCGAAGTGATCTCGCCTAACGTATTTGTGTCTGATCTAGTGCTACAGCAGGGCGACGTCTTGAAAGTCGACATCGGCGTCCATGTGAACGGAAGGATTTGCGATTCTGCATTCACGCTAAACTTCGACCCAACGTACGACAAGCTCATTGAGGCCGTTAAGGCGGCTACAGACACTGGCGTTCGGGTAAGTTTTCCCTCTTTTGGATTGACGTGTGTGTGTGCTAATCCCTGCAATCCTATAGGAAGCTGGAATTGATGTGAGGCTTGGCGAGTTGGCTGGATACATCCAAGAGACTATGGAGTCTTACGAAGTGGAAGTTGGAGGTAAGATCCTTCCAGGTGAGTACAAATCTGATGATCTGGTAGAATCGACGGCTCATCGAGTATAGTCAAATCGATTGAGAATTTGAGTGGACATTCAATCAACAAGTACCAAATCCACGGTGGCAAATCGGTGATGCTGGTAAAGAATAATGACCAAACGAAAATGGAAGAGGGGGATTACTTTGCTATTGAGACTTTCGGTTCTACAGGACGAGGTCGGATAGTCGAATCCGTACGTAAGAGCGGAGTGAACGTGGAGGATTATCATTGATGAGCGGATGAACAGGGCGAATGCTCGCATTACGCGCAGCGAGTTGATGCCCCCCATGTCCCACTTCGGTGAGTCGCGTGTCCGCATAAACCTTGGAAAAACCTCTTGCGTGTTTTACTGATACAGTAGCACCGGAACCAATTGGTCTAGACTTACATCCGCGAAGTCGCTTCTGAGGTCGATCAATAAGAACTTTGGAACACTTCCGTTCTGTCGACGGTACCTCGACCGCGCTGGGGAGAGCAAGTACCTGCTGGCGCTGAACCACCTTGTGGCACAAGGGATCGTGCAAGATTATCCGCCCCTATGCGACCAGCGGGGCTCGATGACAGCACAATTTGTAGGTCTCCACGACAATTTCCATCCGCTGGAGCTGAGCATTTCTGACCACGCGCAGGAGCATACGATTCTACTGCGGCCGACTGTGAAGGAGGTTGTGAGCCGGGGCGACGACTACTGAGGCTTATGACGTTGCGGGGTAACGGTGCGGGGTAAGGTCAGATGACCTGCCATATTGGGGAGCGATGATGATCGGTTGCCGGACCTAATAGTGATCCATCCGCTGAAACTCTTGACCAGCCCAAATGTACTTGTACTACCATCTCATCCATCTCTTTTGTCCTCCTACCACCACCAATGTTGCCCTGGTTTTTCTCCTCAAAGGCCCTCCACTCGCCCCAGCAGCAGCCAATCCGCCGCTCGCCAGCGCTCTCGCTCCTACACTATGAGACCCCGTCGCCGCCACCCTCGTCCCGCGTGGACCCAAAGCTCAAGCGACGGCCACGACGTCCCCTTCGTGTATGGGACTATTGGAAGTTCGGGGCAGTCGTTGCTGCCAAAGGTATGTGGCTTTCGCGATTTTCCCTCGTCGTCGACGCTCATATCCCCAATCCCCAACGCAGCGACCGAGGTCACCTCCGATGTTCTCTCGCATCATATTTGGGGACCGCGGCGAAAATCTTGGGGTATCGAAATGACCATCGTCACAAGTCTTATGCGCGGAGCAGAGAGGCACAGTGCACTCATGGACATTGCGAGTTGCCTCCCCTCCATCCGACATCCGTCGTCCTAATCTTTCATCCGTTTATCACAGGGCACGATCCGCATGCTCATGGGCATTGGCGGCCTCGTCCCGCTCCCCTCTGATGCTCTTGTCACTCCTGTAACCTTCCGCGTCAAGAAACGCAACCTCCGCGGCATACTCGCCAAGTTCGATGAGGCCGAGGACGGCACCCGTGTGCTTTCTGGAGAGTGGGTCGTGGGGAGGAAAACGTGGCAGCGCATGCAGACAGACTGGAAGGCCTCCAACAAACCAGATGTGGCGACCAGTAAATCTACTGGGGCCTCCCCTCGACCATCCTCTCCCGGCCGCCCCACTCCGAAGAAGAAGGAGCTTGTCGTCCTCTATATCCATGGAGGTGCGATCTAAGCAATTCCTTCTGCCATCCTCGGCGACAGAGCTGATATTTGCTTTCCTTTCGTCTCTCCAGGTGCATACTACCTGTCAAGCGCCGCAGCACAACGAATCATGTCGATACCACTGGCCAAATACACCGATTCGCGCATTTTTGGTAAGCTTGCCTCGTCCACTCGGCTGATCACCCCACATCAACTTCGTTCTTCGATTCTTTGTCTGCTTCTTCTATGTAGCCTTAGATTATCGACTTGCTCCAGAAACGTGCTTCCCCGGACCGCTGCACGATGCCGTTAGCGCCTATCTCAGACTCGTCGGGGATTTACACATACCACCAGAAAACATCATCGTTTGCGGAGACAGCGCAGGAGGCGGGCTATCTTTGGCATTGCTCATGTATCTCCGAGATAATGAGTATCCGCTTCCATCTGGAGCCATTCTCATGTCTCCGTGGGTTGGTGAGTAACAGGTGCTCCTTTTTTCACTCCGGATTCTTGCTCATCGGATCCTACATTCGTTCGTAGATCTCACCATGAGCTGTGAGTCCTGGGAGACGAATGCAGCTTATGATGTCGTCCCTTTCCCATCTGCGGATAATCACATGAATCCCATCGCCCTCTACCTTGGAGAACAAACAGAAGAATATCTGACGCACCCCTATGCTAGCCCTCTATTCGGTGACTTCAAGGGCTTACCACCGCTACTGGTGCAGGCAGGTGATGCAGAGGTCCTCCGCGACGAGATCACTCTTTTGGCCCATAAGGCAACGTTGGCTGGAGTGCAGGTGGTCCATGAACTGTACGAAGACGCTGTAAGGGGTTCGAACTTTCTTCATCATTTCGTCATTGACTAACCTTCAACAGATTCATGTCTTCCAAGCGTACCCTTTCCTCGAATCCTCTCGACGATCTTTCGAGTCTATGAGATATTTCGTGCGGGAAGTTCTTCCAAGGCATCAAAGCCGATCGCCGCAACTCCTTGCGAGCATCGCCGAGCGTGGATTAGAGAAGGAAATCGAGACCGACCGCACCGTGGTTGTCAGCGGAGATGGTGTCGAGGTATCTACACCCTTCAACAAGTCAGAGTTCGGGAAGGAAAAGAAAGCACTGAAGAAAGAGGGTGCTGGCAATGAAAGCAGTGGAGAAGATAGCGATCCCGGACCAAGTTGGATACCATCGCCTGCTTTGCCGAAGTTCATTCCTGAAGCCATGCGATTTGGGTCGAAGGATAAGGGAATGGTCGAGGTCGAACATATCGAAAATATCCCGGATCTGCACTTGTCGCCTCCATCACCTTCACTACCGACGACTGAAAGGCCAGAAATGAGGTCATTCACGTCTTCCACGTCCGTCTTGTCAGCATCGTCTTTGTTGGTGGGTATTTCAACCAGCGCCATGGCGTCGATGTCGCCTGTTCCACCACCCAATCCCAGGCGAATACGATCAATGGGTTCGCTAGCCGCCAAATTCTCCCTGCACTTTAAGCATCACAATCATGTCGATCATCCTCCCTCTTCGTTCCACGGCAGACAAGAGCCGAGCTCTCAATCTACAGATTCTTCCCCCAATCCCCGCTACAGTCATACCCATGGCTTCACTACGTTGAATGTGTTCGCGTCTCCTTCGCCCGCGATGTCGCCAATGAAGCACACCCGCTCACAGTCGTCGACGATCCTTGCTGCCGATGTCCCGCAGAACCTGGCGATGTCAGGTATTCAGCAAACGGCACTTGCGGCTCCGTCTATACGGAAGAGGCGACTGTCATCCGCGCTGTCGATGCGCCACAAGAGCAAAGGCAGCGTGCGACGCGATGACTTCTTCGTCGATCCTAAGGCTGGTACGCCATCCTATGCAAAGAGACCGTCGCCAGCGGTAGTAGATACGCCGATGGATGTCCAGACCCTCGTTGATCAGTGGACGGAGTCTGGTCCTGCAAACCAGACGGTGGTGGTCAGTGCGGCGCCGCAACATTCATGACATGGAATGTTGTCACAGAAGCCTGAGCTTGTTTGTCTCGCGGAGATTGTCGGTGCTTGACGCCCTCTTTCAGGGACTGGCATCCGTGTGCATGAAGTAACGAATTGAAGACGACGACTTCGAATTCCCTTGCCCTATTTTTGTTCTCTGCTATTATTTTTAATATCCGTATACTCACCTTATCTGAAGCTACGCGGCGGGGCTTGAGACGTCCCGCCTCCTACTCACGCTACAGCAGACATGTTATACACTCACCATCACCATACACCCACAGCATATTTATACTCAACCTCCACGTCCATACACGTTCTCCTAACGTCTCAATGACCACTGCATCATTTTATATAAACCCATGTTGTAGCCAGCACCTAGTACTTCATTACAATGAATAATCAATCTTGCTAAGGGTATATGGGGCATGTGAGGTCATGAAATAGTTCGAAATGCACAATCTCAAGGATTGGAAGGAGAGAACGAAGTAACGGAATGCAAGCAAATGAAGGGCGGACGGATATATCAAGGTTTAGAGAACGAAGTTCACTGAGCACCGGAAACTTCACATCTTCAATCTCGTTGGACGCCATTCAGCACGTCCAAACCCTTGCGATGAATCTCCAACTCCTCAATGCAGTTCATCAGCGCATTGCACTCCCAATTTCCAAAAATGAATCCTTCATAAAGCATGGTCGTAGCCAACCACGCAATAAAGACGGTGAACAGGATGAAGATTGGATTGATCCACGAGTGAGGCAGCCAAGCTGTCCCAATGGCCACACCAACCAGGATGAGGATGGAAAGGCCGCAAATGATGAGTTCTTTACGCGAGCGCTCTTTGGAGAAGCGGTAGCAGGACGCCCAGGCTTGTATGGTGGTGGCGATGGCAGCACTGGAAAGCTCTCCTGGCACGTCGGCCTGGACAGCAGGTGCCGAGGTGCCTTCCTCTGTCGTCTGCGACACGATTTCGAGCGTCGCTTCGAGACCGAAGTGGTCAGAAAAAGAAAAAGGTTGTCCAGGTACTTGGTCCATGAAAACGACTTTAGTTTCGACCGCTTTCAAGGCGGGTGGTGCTTGTCCTGGACGGTTTGGCTGTCGGTATAGGACGTAGTCCAGTCGTTTGCCCCATGACCCCTGTGTATATCCCTTACTCGCGGACCAGGTGTTCAGAGGTGAGTCGGCTGTGATGCCCAGTTTCTGTACGGCTTCGAGAGGAGAGGTAACAGTAGAAGGATCGACATTTGGGTGGGTCAGCGGCCATGCATCTGACAACCTGGCGTGCTCCAGGATGATTGTCATGGGCAACGTTGGCGGTATGCTATTAAAGTCGCCAAGCTTGACGACGCAGAAGTCCGTCTTCAGTCCAGAGAAACAGAAGAGGAAGTTAGGAAAGCACTGACAGCAATGACATACTTGCCAGACTCTGCAGCGTGCCGCGCGAGCTTGGCGAACTCCCATGCATTCACTAGACGGTGCGCTCTGTTGTATTCTGGCCCGTCCTCTCCTCCTTTGGCGAAGAGCTGCAGTGAGAGGAGAGCTAAATTGAGCCACATGACAACACCGAAGAAAGAAGAACAGGTGCGCACGTGTGTATTGAATACCTGCACCTGCCCGAGAAGGGGATGCAGGACGGTTATGTGGGCAGCAGCTTTGCCCACAAACCAGTCTCCTGCTGCGACGTCGAGGGGAGTGCCGTTGAGAGAGTACGGATGGATAGAGGTCGAGACAATTGGGAAACGGCTGAATATCGCGAGCCCTGCGCCTAGCGCACCGCTAAAGTAAGGTGCAGGTTATTCTTGTCAGAATCTGGCAACGTACGAAAAAGAGACAGACGCACCTGTAGAAGAATTTGGAGTACGGGAGCTGCCTAGATACCCTCTCTTGCACCCGCTCGTAGTGGGCGAACACCCAGATCTCCTGAAGAGCGATCAGGTCATAGGTGGAATTGGCAAGTTCATGGGCGATGGCCTCTATCCGCTCCTCCAGGTTCTTCGCAATATACTTCAGACCCCTGATTTGACAGTTATTATCGAGCATATTCCGGTATTTTGGGCAATAACTTGCCAGCAGTTGAGACTGAGAACGCGGATGCGAGAGTCGGAGGACATGTTGGCGGAAGGAGACGAAGTCTGATCCGGGCCGGAGTGCATTAAAGTACTGCCAAGGGATGTGTGACATGTTTGTCACAAGACGTGGGCGCAGCGGCGGTTCAGCGCTCTTCAACCTGAACCACGATGACGGCTCCTCTGACTCCCAGCGAGTGCGTTCCGCCCTCCTTCCCTCCTCCTCTTCCTCCTTGTACTTAGCTCTCTCTCGCCGACAGTATCGAAATCGCCACAAGAGCCGCCGACCACTTCACCCGCATCTATTACACCGCGTATGACTCCGACACCCGCCTCGCCGATCTCCCCCACTTCTACCGCCCCAACTCTTCCCTCACATGGAATGGCAAGCCCTTCCAGGGTGCAGAGGGTCTCACGCAACTCGTGTCCAAGATGCCCGCAACCAAGCATGAAGTGCAATCCTTCGATTGTCACCCTATACCAGGTTGGTCCTCCCGGCGCTTGCCTTTTCTTTCGCGTTGCTGACCCCTTGCGTCGATTAGGCGCACAACCTCCATCCCTATTGATCACAGTCTCCGGCAGCGTCACCCATGGACGCGGTCCAGCAGGCAATCCGCCAGATACCCACCAGCGCAATCCTGAGGGTCACCCACGCGTCTTTTCTCAAACCTTCATCCTCGTTCCCGATCCAACTGCCCCGCCGACAAAGCCTGGAGAGGTTGCGAAATACTACGTTGGCGCCGACGCCCTTCGCTTTGTTGGATAATCATCTATAGTACGTCTTCGGTTCGGTTCGGTCCTCGTCGTCGTTCGTGGCTGACACCTGTTGTTCCCAGGTGTAGCATTTGTATGATTGGAATATAGCTTGGCTTTTTCATGATCTCATGATCTCTAGACATGGACCCCTCTGAATTCGTGTTCTATACATCGCTCTAAACAGTTATTGTATCATTTATTCGGCATAGCGCAGCATCTCATTTATACCCTGCAATCTCCCTCCTCTTGACCTTCCCATATACATTGCAACTGTACAGCATCGCAGTGATAAAGCACAATTTATCTCGTTGTTTGGATCTACATAATAAATGGATACAGAAAGCAAGATATACAACGTTGCCAAATGCAAATGTTCAACCAAATGTTTGACTGGAACGTGCACTTCTCTTGATCTTTGACAATCGCCACTCGTCGGGTTTCTCGTACTTATTAAACAAAGGCTCGATCTTCTCCTGCTTCTTCCGTTTACTGATCTTGTTGGCATCCGCGACCTTGAAGAATTGAGGCGCGACTTCCACGAGCCACTTAGGCTCAACCGCCGTGACGTTGTGGCAGTATTCGCGCGTTGTCAAGACCAATTCGTGGTATACGAGCCATTCAGGGTTGCGGTTGAACAGTGCCGAAGATGGGTGAATGTAGACGGGTGTGCCTTCTACTAAAGTCTTGTATCCCTCCTGAGGATCCTTCTTGGCAGCGTTTCGGAAGAAACCTGAGCAGATGGCTTTTCGAACGACGTTGTAGTCTCGACCTGCCGACAAGATGTCGTGCTTATACCTGAAAGCAAATTTAGCGTTAGTTCCAACACAAAGGTAAAATTAACTTACCGATCCATGATACCCAACAACTGTTTCCTCACATCCTGAGCTCTACGCATACTCCTCGCTTGTATAAAATTCTCATAACACCAAGGATTTGAGAAATTTGCCGCCTTCCATCCATTATAAACAGTCAACAGCGTTAAATGATCTCCTTCAGGTTGGTGGAACTTGGCCTTCTTCGAGTCGGCCTGTCCTTGCTTCTCCTTGGGTCGGTAAAAGACCGTTTGTACTGACAACATCGCGACAATGGACAAAATCTCCTCGGAACACCCTAGCTCGACCGAGGCGATCAGCATCTTCGCAAGAGGTGGCTCCATAGGGAAATCTGCCATCTTCCTGCCCAGCCTCGTCAACAACCCTTCGTCATCCAACGCGGACAGCGCATAGAGCGACTCCAGCGCAGTCAACATCGTCTGTGCTGGAGGCGGGTCCATGAAATCGAAACTTAGCAAGTCGTTGATGCCCATCGCCTTCAACTGCAGGATCGTCGCCGCCAAGTTCGTGCGCTGAATGTCTGGAATGGAGTTCGGCAGCATCTCATTGCGGTACGCTGCCTCAGTGTACAACCTGTAGCACTTCCCTGGACCCGTGCGTCCGGCACGACCCGACCTCTGGCGGGCTTGCGCCTGCGAGATCGGCATGACCACGAGTGAGTCCATACCCAACCGCGGATCGTACGCGTTCTGCTTCGAGAACCCGGGATCGATGACGTAGTAGATACCTGGAATCGTCAGACTCGTCTCGGCGACGTTGGTGGCGATGACGACTTTGCGAGCGCCTGGTGGTGTGGGTTCGAACACGCGAGATTGTACTTCGGATGGAAGAGCGGAGTAGATGGGCAGGATGATAAGTTCGGGAACTTTGGGTCCAAGGGCCTTCATACGCTCGAAGAGGATTTCGCAAGCGGTGTCAATTTCTTCTTGACCAGTGAGGAATAGGAGGACGTCGCCCGGGGGCTCTGACAAGTGAATTTGCATGACGGTGATGAGGGAAGCATCGAGGTAGTCCGATTCCGGTTCTTTCGTATACAATATTTCCACAGGATACGTCCGTCCGGGAATCGTGAAGATAGGACAGCCGAAGAAGTACTTGGAGAACTTCTCGGCGTCCAGTGTTGCAGATGTGACAATGAGCTTGAGATCTGGTCGACGTTTGACGGCCTCTGGAACGCGATAGTCAGCAAACACGAGAATCTTGCAACGAAATTGTTACATACTTTTCAGCAGACCGAACAAGACGTCTGTAGCAATTGTGCGTTCGTGGGCCTCGTCCAACATGACCACCGAATACGAACTGCACAGAGGGTCGATCAAACATTCACGCTGAAGCATACCGTCCGTCATGTACTTGATCCGTGTTTCTGGACTTGTACAATCCTCGAAACGGATCGTATATCCAACCTCCTGTCCCAAACGACAACCGACTTCCTCAGACACACGCTTTGCGACGGACATGGCGGCTACACGACGAGGCTGCGTGCACCCAATGCGACCTCTGTCGGCATAACCAGACTCTGCGAGGTACTGCACCATCTGAGTCGTTTTGCCGGAACCAGTATCACCGACGACGATGAGGACTTGGTGCTAAAAGGCACATTAGTTATGTTCGAATAACGTTAGTAAAATCCTAGGCTTGCCTCTGCAATGGCCTTCAAAAGAGGGTCCCGAAGTTTGAAAATAGGCAGGCTCCGCCTCTGTTCTTGTATACTGAGGCTCGTAATTTCACCGTATGTCGTTGCTTTATTGAAGCTTGATTGCTTCCACAACGGCACTTCTCCAGTCTTTTGCATGTTTCCTCGCAAATCCTGGGCGAACATTTTATCAGTGTCCTTTGACATAGGATCAAGCCACGGCTGGCTGAAGTCTCGAGCTTGAGAGTCGGCTTCTTCATTTGCCTCTTGTTGTCGCAACTCACGTCGCTCTTTTGCGAGAGAGGCGCCAGCAAGAGCAGCTCGGTTCAGAGAACCATCTGGAGCTTTAACGACCTTGACAGGACTAAGGTCGAGAGTCCTCTTCGTTTGGCCAGCGAGAAACGGCGGCTCGTCTTCTCGTATTTCGACGTCCAATTCCTCTTCTATTTCTGCGCGCGCCATGGGGTTGTTGAAATCTTCATCGAGTTCGCGGTATTCGGACGGGTCCATTTTGCCAGAGGAGATGAGTTGCTTGATCTCCCATCTCTCCGGAGATGACAGACGTTTGGCTGACCGTACTGGTGCAGGGTCGTCCCGAGACCGTAAAGGCATAGAATTGGCGCCTGTCAACGCGCGAGCAGCAGTCTGCATACGTTCTTCTTCCATTTCTGCTTCAGACTTGATGCGCAGATGAGGAGTAAGGTCTTCGCCAGTTACCTGGTCTACATCCTTCATAGACAACCCAACTCTCGACGCCGCCACACTCATAACCTTGACCTTGACCTCTTTCCCCCTGCTAAGCAAGTCGGATGCGGAGTTCGCTCTCGCGCCAGCTTGGATATTGGATACGTGAACCAGCCCTGGAATGCGTGTAAGGAGAGGTATATTGGACCAAGTAGGATAGACGACATACCTTCTACCCGCCCCACAACTCCTTCGAGTGTGACGAAGGCCCCGAATTCTTTAATGCCCGTGACCTTTCCATTATAAATCTTGAAGAGCACAGGCCGCTCGTCCAACTGACGCCTCCCACCTCCATTTCTGTAACCATATCTATCCTCTCGTCCTCTAGGGGGACTGGGACCACGCCGGCGAGGAGAATATGAGCGGTCACGTCGTTGACGTTTTGGTGGCGGTTCGTCAGCGTGGGGACCAGGTCGTGTTTTCTTGCCAGCAACCAAGTCTCCGAGCTCTTGGAGGAAGACATCATCGGGTACAGCAGGTTCAACCTCCTTGTCCTGCATAGCAAGACCAGGGAACACGCGCTTCTTTCTTTCCAGCTCAGAAATTTCGTCGTCCACTGCTTTGGATTTGCCTATGGCCTTCGCCGACTTGACATGCTTTTTGTACTTGGGGTGCATACTGAGAATGAGCCGGTCTACATTCTCAACAAACGAGTCGGGAAAGCCAGCATCGATTTCCTTTAGCTTGGCCTTGAAGGATTCCAAACGCTTGTTGGACTGGTCATGGATGTTGATGAGGAACTCAGCGAGTGTCTTGTCATTGATTCCAAGGTAGTTGTCGATCTCTTGGGTAATTTTTGCGACAAGAGAGAGGAACTCGAGGTCGTAGAGATCTGCGTCGGCCATAAGATGAGTTGGTGGAAGGGGAGCAAAAAACCACTATGACTTGTGCAGGACACTTAGCGTCAAAGTCTTACGTAATCGGGCTCAGTAGCTGGCACAGCCACCGCCTCTTCTCTTGACCTTGCCAGTGGTATCCTCCCAGCAGATGCCTCCGAAAAGAGGAATCGTCAAGTCAGGAAACGCTGGAAACTCTTCAAAATCTTCAAACCAGAACCCAGCCACTAGCTCCTCCGCAAGTGCGTCAACTGGGCCTCCTCCTTTATTTCCACCTGGTTCCAAATATCCTTTGAGTTTACTCCAAGAAAGGCTCGTCTCAATTGTGTCCTAGTGCTTTTCGTGCACTAAACTGACAACACTTAGATGTCAAAAGCTTGGATGGGAAAAACCTGTCATAGATACGGTTTGTGTGCTTGCGCTTGTCCCATCTCATCCCTCTAATCGTACTTTCAGCGTCAACATGGCGATAAAGAATTTTCCTTCAGAGTGACTCTCAGCAGGCATAATAAAAAGACATCTCAAATAGATAAGGTCATGATGGAGCCTCATCCAGCGTACTATAGACCTACCGCCATCGAGGCACGCCACTGGGGAGCCACTTATGCGCTTTATCGTGTTCGTTGGCTTAATCCGATGTCGACCCCCGCTCGATGTTCTCAATGCATGCAATCCGACAGTTTTCTAACGGCATACAACTTAACCGGGCCCTTCCCCCTGGGCCAAGAGATTATTGGAACGAACTGGCAGTTGAACATAAGACCATCGAAGAACATCAGAAGTGGATGTATGACGCGGATCCCTTTTCCGCACAGAAGATGGTCGAAGAAAGACAAGCTAAGGCGCAGCAAAAGCGGGAAGAAGCAACTTTGGCGAAAGCAAATCCCGACGTACCTCAAGCCGGCAGCTCGACGACGTCTTCTGACTACCCGGAAGTGATCATGGCGACATCTCTGAGAGAACTGGTCGAAGATGCGATCAAGGAGGTATTTGCAGCACAGTCATCTTCATCCCTCGACTTACACTCCCGAAGGGATTTTCACTTTACCCTGAAGCAGCGGATGCGGCGCCTCTGACGCTTTCTCAGGATGCGATTCCAGGTCTTTCTCAACAACTCGGTCACCTTGGGTTCTCAAGGACCCAGATTCGAGATGCAACAACCTATCTTTCTGAAGATTCGACACTGACATTCAACCTCTTGAATTCATTGACTCCTCTGGAAGCCTGCATTGAATACTTAGTCCTTCACTTGCCAGAGTGCGATTTGCCGCGACGTTTTCTGCCCAACAATAACTCTTCAAACCCTTTCATCACTTCGGCTCATTCAGGAAATGACGACCTCAAACGGAGGTGGGTCGAAGAAAAAGCAGTTAAGGAGGCCGGATGGCCTGAAAATGCCGTGAAAGATTGCGCAACAACCCCGAAATTCCTCAAAAAATGGGATCTCTTTATGGTAGCACTTGGTCGAAAGCTGCTTGGTCGCGAACTCGATAGCCTCCTCGAAGAAGCCAGTGAACTGACTTCATATCCGATTGAGGCTGACGAATATGAAGCCTTAGGTGCTCAGCTTGAAGAAACTGGACACCTCGTTCTGCCTCTCTTCAGCGCTCCTATAACGGTTCATATATTGTTCTCGGCAGAAGAACATTACCCACGCGTTGGATATATTCCTGTCTACATCACATCGACAACAATCCCAGCCTATGTCAGACTTCATCTACTTTCGCGTTTCCTCTTGGCTATGGAATCTAAACCAGACCTGGACGTGGGAGAAGGCTTTTGCATGGCCCTCATGCGAATCATGGAGGACACCTGGGCGCAAGTTGAAGACAACGGGCCCCCGAACATGTCCACCGTGTTACAGCACATCATCCCGCGGCCACAACGGTTTGCTTTCGTTGATCAAGACGGGCAGACTCCCGAACCAAAAGGGTCCCTGAGTGGGAACAAAGGCTCAGCAAGACCACCTCGTCGGCCTCTGAACGATGACGGCCAGATAAAGCGCGAATTTGAAGCAATCCGGGAAAATGACAAGGTAGATACGGCCACTCTTTCCCGTCACTTATATTGATTAATCTTGGCCCCTCTCAGTATAAACAAATCCTGGCTGCAAGAATGAAATTGCCAGCATTCAAAGCCCAAGAAGACTTCTTGAACAAGCTAGAACACAGTCGAGTTGTCGTCGTCGTCGGCGAGACAGGTGCGTAAATAACCCTTAGATTCAGATGTATTAGACTAAGATATTTCATAGGGTGTGGAAAGACGACCCAACGTAGTGTGATTGTCCCCTCATTAACATGCGTTTGTTGACCTTCCCTCAGTGCCTCAGTTTATCCTGAATTCCCTTATCTTGTCAAATCGTGGCTCAAAGGCTTCTATCATCGTAACTCAGCCGCGCAGGTTATCGGCTATCTCAGTCGCAGCTCGCGTATCTGATGAACGCCTCGATGACGGATCCGTTGGTTACGCCATACGAGGCGAAAGCAAGCAAGGAAGAAACACACGACTCCTCTTTTGTACAACCGGTGTTGTCCTCCGACGATTGAGCACTGGAGACGCTTTGCGCGACATTTCTCATGTCATTGTAGACGAGGTTGGAACCTGACATGATCCATCTGTCTTTGGCTCACTGAAATTCAGGTACACGAACGCTCCATGGACGGAGATTTTCTCCTTCTGGAGTTGAAGCAACTCTTGAAGAATCACCCAAGCCTGAAAGTTGTTCTGATGTCGGCAACTATCAACCACGAAACCTTTGTCAAATACTTTGAAAATGCCCCTCTGCTGACGATACCAGGGTTTACTCACCCTGTCATGGACAAGTGAGTCATTATTTTTTCTCGTAAATACCTCGAATTTACCTTCTGCTAGGTATTTAGAAGACGTCCTGCCACTAATCAACTACAAGCCCCCATCAGCACGCGCGACGAAAGGCGATGGCGAAACCCGCCAGCGGCAGGAATATGAATCCCAAGGGCTTCAAAAAGAGGTTGTTGATGCTATCCAAAACCTAATTCGTGCAGGAAGGATCGACTGTCAGGTATGGTTGTGTGTTCCTGGGTTTTCCTTTCTGACCCCATCACAGTTAGTCGCCGCACTCGTGGAGCATATCGTAACAACTGCAGATACCAGAGGCGGAATTTTAATTTTCCTTCCTGGCGTCAACGAAATCAAACAATGCATTGAAGCTATTCGTCAAGCTATCCGACGGCATGACGCAGTTATCTATCCCCTGCATGCTAACCTTTCAAATGACGAGCAACGGAAAGTGTTCGAATCCACCAAGTCCTGGAAGATTATCGCTGCCACAAACGTTGCAGAGGTTGTCCTTCATTGACTATTTGACTTTCGGACTTCAATTCAATTGGTTAATTCAATAGACCTCAATCACTATCGACGATGTCGTTTATGTAATAGATGCAGGAAAGGTCAAAGAAACGCAGTATGACCCGGGCACAAACCTGTCGCGACTGGTAGAAACCTGGGTCACTCAGGCTGCTGCAAAGCAAAGGAGAGGGCGAGCGGGAAGAACACGACCCGGCATCTGCTACAAGTTGTTCACTAGAAGGCAGGAGAAGGACATGGTGGAATTTCCTGTTCCGGAGATACTCCGTGTACCTTTGGAGAACATTTCACTTTCTGTCAAAGCCGCGAAGGAAGATGAGGATGTCAAGGTGCGCTTCCATCTGCTCTTCCGGAAGAAATACGACTTAAGTGTGAAAATAGGCTTTCTTGAGTCGAGCTATAAACCCTCCAGCCGTAGCTGCCATAGGTCGAGCATTGCTCACTCTGGAAGAGGTTGGAGCGATCGACCAGTCCGGCAAATTGACCCCTTTGGGGAAACATATGGCAAGAGTCTTTTCAATATAGTCGATGATCTACTGATTTCCCGAACAGTCAATGTTACCCATGGATGTTCGACTTGCGAAGGTCTGTTGGCCGTCAAATCGACCTACTTCATGGTATTTATGAACGTCGTCCTGCAGATGCTCATTCTGGCGGCAATATTCCAATGTTTAGGACCTGTTGTTACCGTGGTCGCCCTGCTATCCTCGAAACCTTTGTTCGTTAGTCCAATGGAAAGGCGCGATGAGGCAAACACGTGAGTTCGTTCCTCGAACCGCCAGACAACTGTTGAACATCCTTGCGATCAGAGCCCGTGCTCGATTTGCACATGGGGACAGCGACCTTCTAACGGATGCCAAAGCATTCGACGAATGCATGCAGATGCGCAAAGATAGCAAATCATCGGCAGCCATTCGATCTTTCTGTGAAGAGGTCAGCCTACCGTCATAGTGATCACGTTCTTTCTCATCGACACCCTAGAATTTCATTTCGGCTAGTACTCTCCGCGATGTCGTGACTCTGCGACAAGATTTTGTGTCTTCGTTGGTGGAAATGGGATTTATTCCCCTCGATTCAACACCTTCGACTGCGTCTCTCAACACATGCAGCGATAACCTCAACCTCGTCAAATCCGTGTTATTAGGAGGCCTTTGGCCGCGTGTTGCAAGAGTCCATCTCCCAAAAGACAGAATCAAATATGATAAAGTGTCAGCAGGTGCTGTCCAGCGAGAGAATATAGCAAAGGACTTCAAAATCTTCGACTTGCGGGAGGGGAGAGCCTTTCTGCATCCTGGAAGTGTACTCTTCGGAACAAGTGCATGGAAACCTCCATTCCTCATCTATTTTCACAAGTACATGACCACCAAAGTCTTCCTCAGAGATGCAACCAAAGTATAGAAGGACGATTACTTCAACTGAGACAAGCCAGCTGATTCTTCTTCTAGGTTCCTATGTACTCTCTTCTTTTGTTTGGCGGTCCTGTGTCTGTCAACCATGTTCGCGGTGGTCTGACAGTCGGGACTAAAGACAGCCTCGTCAAACTGGCGGCAATACCCCGTATTGGTATTTTGGTCAACCAGCTTCGGTACGGTCATTTCTCTCATCATGAAAGCCAGCTATCTGATCAGAATACAGACGCCTTCTCGACGCCCAATTACAGAGATCTATCGAGGATGGAACCATGCTCACAACGCGTTCTGGAAATCCCGTCATCCATGCGACCATGGCTCTCCTCACGTATGATGGCAAGACGGAGTAATGCAAGGGGTATTACTCCATAGAAAGTTGCTAAAAGATCCAGTACAATAGTGCCCTGCCCAGCCCAACTTGAAAGACCTGCTAGCCTCCGGTCGAGTATACGTCAACCTCTCGTCTTCATCCAAACCTATGCCCATACGCTGCCTGATTGCATCCAGTAACAGAGGAATTTTGGACGCGTTTTAATAACTTCGACGCTCGTGATCGTGCGCAGGCGATATCGACGTTATGTATTGATGAACGCGAGGTTCAGGGGCAAGAGACGGACATGTCCAGAGGATAATTGCGGTGCCTATACTCTGAATTTCAAGCGTCACTTTCCAGCCCCTTCAACCGTGATGTAGACGAGAAGCATCGAACCTCAAGAAAATGCAGACCAGTCCATATCCGAGCCAACAATTTGATGAAGAAGGGTGGTGGGGAACTATGAATAATGGTGTCGGTGTCTGACATCTTCGAACGAGTCAATTCGTTTGAGTTCTTTTTGAGGTTCAAAAAGAGTTTAGATGGTCAAGATTTGGAACCAGAGGACAGAGGTGGGACTAAGTAAGAGATGGGGGGGTTGTTTTCGAATGAGCCCCTTGCACCTCTTGTCGCACTGTGTATCTGTTGTCTCAAGCGATCGGGACCCGTTGAGCTTGAAGTAGAGATAAGATTATGATCACACCGATTATCTCAGATAAATATGAGCAGAGCGTTGTACAAGTTGGTGAAAGTGAGAGCATAGGTAATGAGGTTGCATTCGATTCCTGGAGTTGAGTTCGATAAAGTTACAAAAGGGCATGAACGGGCCTACAAGTCAAAAAAGGGATTTTTAGGGGAAAAGCTTCTGCACTTCCTCCGATGTGATGCAACGGATCCCCAGCTTTTCCAACTCCTCGAAAACTGCTTCCTCGTCCTTGATGCTCTTGGTCGCATCCTTAACTACCCAGGTACGAAAGCCGAAGTCCAGGGAGTCGATCGCGCTGTACCTGACACAATAATCTCCGGCCAGACCAACAAGGTACACATCGGTGACGCGGTTTTCCTTGAGTAAGTCTGGCAAACGAGTGACTCCCCGACCCCAGATATCGCGAAATGCGGAGTAAGACTCGACGCCAGGATGTGTCCCCTTGTCAATCACAGCGTCGAGCTGTGAGGTCTCCAGTCCCGGCACAAATTCAACCCCAGTGGTGTGCACTACACAATGCACGGGCCACAGGACTTGTTCCTTCCCTTTCTCTTTCTCTGTGTCATCCGGATGGAATATAGTAAGTGTGGAGAATGTTGGTTTGCCGTGGGTCTCTGCGAAAGAGATATGGTCGGGCGGATGGAAGTCTCTCGTCGCTATTTTCAATCGGAAAGCAGGAAGGGCGGAGAGAGAATTTATGGTGTCGACGATAGAGGCGCCGTCCGGCACTGGGAGTGAACCAGAGACGAAGTCGTTCTGCATATCGATGATGATAAGCGCCGGTACCTTGCTATCTCCATCATCGCTTTGGGGTTGAGCCATTTGTGTTCACGGTATTCAGTGGTGTGGTGTGGGAGGAGAGAAACAGGAGAGAGATCTCCATAGTATAGGGACCGGCGATCACGCGCCAAGACTGACCTTAAACGTTTGAACAGCCGCTGCGACTCGTTGGCTACTGCACATTGAATGTAATTGAATATTTATCCAACGACTTAACTCTGTGATGTCTCCCGGGTAGGGTGAAGATGACGTGTGCCACTCAGTGGTCTTACAGTAACCTAGAATTTTATCGATTGGGCCTTTCGTCAATTATTCGGGCGCTTCTTTGACATTATTTCCCCCATTACAAATAATGATTCAGTGATAAAAACAGCGTTGCACCTAGTCTGTGCCAACAAATCATACAGCCATGAGTCTCGCCTCCTCTCCACAGTAGCGTTTGGGAGGCACTGAGAACCTGTATATAAGACCTCATAGGCTTCAAATAATAGTCTCTGGGTCCTATACACTCTGAATCACATGAGACGATCAAAGGTATGTGCCACACCATTATACCTAAAATAGAAATCGTGGCGGTCATATCTTCGAGATGTCACCCTCCACCTCGCTCAGGCTCCTGAGCCAATCGGTGACTGCTGATTCTCCTTGGGCTTTCTAACAAGTGTAATTGGGTATCCTTTCGGATTATATGTACTCGATTGGAATCTTAATGCATGCGGCTTCTGGCATAGGACATGCGATAAAGATGCTTAGAGGGCCAAGAGCCAAGAACTTTTGGTGATTCTACTCTAGCCTCTTCAGGACAGTGATAGTTCTTAGAATCTGCTGACTCGTTTATAACCGTTTATAAGAAGCTATTGACCTCGTTGAGGTATTGTGGAACTTCTTTATTCCTACCCATTCACAAATATACTCAATTTTAAATATCTTTCCTTCGTGCTGACCTTCTAAATGCTCTTTACGAGAGCCGAGACCACATCCATTTTCGCAAAATGGTCGCAACAAGCCACTATGCCTCTGGTTCTGTTACTTCCGCCCCAAGGAACTCAAGTCGTCCGAGGATGGTCGCTTTTCGCGATTCGAGGACTACTTCAATGGCTTGTGGAATCTCTTCATCACAGCGCTCAACCATATACTCCTGCTGGGTCTGCAACTTTCATTATGGGATCTGCTACGCGGCCATCGACCCTAAATCATAGCCAAAAAGACTGAGTTCATGGGACATTACATCACCCTCAGCGATCATGCTCGCAAAGGTGCCCCTGCCGTCGTGGCAGGCGGACCCAAGTGCACTCCACTCAGTTCACCGACTAAGTCGCGGACAAGTTGAAATTCCGAGAAGTTGGTAATGTTTTCCAAAAGCTGAGTGTGTTGGTGTGGCGCAGTCCTGTTCAGCAATAGGATTCGGTATTGTTCAATAGAGGATTCCATCAGTGTGTGCCTACAGCTGAAATGAGGCAGTACAATCTGCATGAATCATCTTCTTTGTGCAAATACTAGGAAAGCTGACTTGCGCCACACCGAAGCCCAAAAAGGAAATTCTGGGACCATGCTGCGACGTCGGCTAACTATATCTAGTCACAACACCATATAAACAGGACCTGCCCAGGATAAGACGTTCGGGAAAAAAACCTTGGATAATAAGACTCATTAACAGACTATCTACAAGCAAAACGAAGCACATCTTACGGGTCATCCAAATGGTAAATAATAGTGCAATAATAGGTGCGAGGAGCTGAGAGATGATCGTGATAATGATGATGACATATACAAGTACAATGCGATTTCATGCGCGACAAGACAGGTGGTATTCCCCCTTCCACTTCCCAGAATTATGTATGGCGTAATACGAATCTGACAAAGATAACAATTAGTGGCGTTCGGAGTAAGAAACGAGGAACAGTGCTTACAGTTCAAATAAATTAGGGACGTGATCCACATGATCCTTATGACTAGGTCCTCTGAGTCCAATCCTCACTTGCTGACCGGCGCTTGGGTAAGACTTGGGGAGGGTTTAACGAGACTCGTCGTATTGATGAGCGTCCTCGAACAGGTTCGACGTCTTCCCCATCCGATGCTGTCCGTGAGGGAGCTCCTTTAATTTCATCCTCAAATTGTGGAAGGGTCTTCAAATATGCTGGATAGTTGGTGTCCGATGCGATAGGAGGTGCTGCAAAATAGGGTGCGCCGTACGGTGACGTACGCGGTATAGGGGCAGAAACCCGTTTCTGAGCCTTCCGGGACGCAAAGACGGGAGAGAGGATATCGGCAGCGGCGGAGGCTGGACAACGCGCAGGGCTTGACCCGGGTCGAGACGGAGAGGCACGCCGACGGAATGACAAACGAGATGGAGAGGGAGTTGCAGCCTCCGCTGTGACGTCCGAAGCTGTCCGGTTTCGTGTCAGGGTCCAAGGGGCGACAAATCCAGCGCTTGCGCGTCGCGCCGACTTGTCTGATGATCCGGTTTCTGAGTAATGGCGATTGTTGTAAGACGGGAATTTAGTATGAAGTGCGTCACTTGTGCTTACCTGTACTTGCCAGAGAGCTCTGATCGAATGGCTTATCTTGTAACTCTGCACGGTTGGATTTGGATTGGAAATTAAGCTTCAGCTTGTGCAACCGAGAATGTCGTAGTAACGAAGTACGGGAGGAATGTCTGGAGGAGTCTGATTCGGCAGGAGTTTCTTCTATGTGGGCCTGAGTGGAGGGTGTGGGTCGTGAATTATGCGTCAAAGAGTCATGAATAAGTTGATCGATAGATTGCGATGTCGGATTCGACTTGGAGGGTTCTGGCATCGTATTACGTCTAACGATGGGCGAGGGGTCCTTATCCACAAAGTAGACATGTCGCGAGGTCAATTGGGTATCTTCAGCGGGCAAGGCCAATATTGGGGTGAGGTCCACGGGTGCCGAGACGCGTCGTATTGGCTTGGGTAAGCGACGCGAAGCTAGCGCAGCGGAAGTAGCTCGTCGAGTAGGTTTAGATGAAACACGGGAGGCTTTAATCTCCACCGGCGCAGGAGGTGCTGGCGCCATGATGGCTGCTGGTAGAAGCCATCCGAACCAGATGGCAAATAGGCTCTGTAGATGCGCAACCGCCTTTAAGAAACGTCCAGAGAACGAGGCCCAGTGATGTACTCACCACAGCGAAGCCCACAGAGCCGATACACCGAGCAGAGAGAAAGACAAAAACTGAAGCAGAAGCATCGCCGCCTTGGTTGTTCAAGGGCGGCGTCTGGGAGTCGTCGGCGGGATGGTCAAGGGTATTGGGCGGCATACGAAATGTGAACGAGAGCGTTCCAGGATGGTGCACGTCGCGGAGAGCTGCGCGAATGCCGGGCATGGTCCAAATGGAAGGAAAACAGAGAAAAGTTACATGGACGAATAAGTAAGACAGGGCTGGAAGGGGAGTGGCATGTTTTGGGCGTTGTTGCAATAAAACCAAGTCGTTTTACTCTTTCGTGAGCGCTCATCCAATGTCAGCCCACTTTGACTTTTTTATTCGCGTAAGCAGCTGTCAATCAACAAACCGTCACTTCCGCATTATGTCATCACCATTACCTTACCATTACCTTCCTTTCCGCTGACAGGCCTCGTCGCCTCCAGCCCTCGATGATAATCTACACGTGCTTTGCGCGTCAGGAAAGAGAAATTATTGGCATATGCACCGCGTCCTTTTGTCGCCTCTTATATCCGCCTTCAGCCAGGTAAATTGCTCAAAACGATCTGAGAATTGAGCAGCCCTACTGACGAACGTGATCGGCGTGTGTTTCTGGTCTTTTGCTGTTCCTATACTAATAGTGAGCCATGACTGTCCGCTCGTGACGGATTCTTGGAGAGATAGCGTCTCTTTGCCCACCAAAACTGTGCCACGAATCGAATGCTCTAAATTAAGTGCTTGTCAAACCCGTATCCTACATTGGATGAATCACAACCCAGGGATTCCGCTCATGATCGATGCATGATCCCTGGAAGTTCTCAGAAGGACATCTTTAGAGGCTCTTTTACTGGTTTATGGCGATGATCTTGAGATTACGCAAAATTATGGACGACTGTGAGGACAATGACAATTTCGAGATCTGGACGGAACAAATAGGTCAGCCGGCTGCCGAAAATCCTTAGAATAATCCACTGACATCGATTCCAACCACAAGGCGCAATTTTGTTAATATCCATGCTGTGAAATGACTCTTTGTTCGGCCAGGGAGAGCGTGCCGATTCCATTTTCTAGCATGTCAATGTCATTTAGCAAAGTCATCACGATAAGCTCCGGCAGACAAAAGAGGCGCCCAGGAGGTGCACACCTATTTCATCGTGCCTGAAGAAATGGAGCTAATCACCAATGAATTTCAGAAATCTGTGGATCCGAGTCCCTGTCGTAGCAAACTATCTGCTCAGGTGAGTCAGTTTCAAGGTCCTGACTCGTCGTTCGATAATGCTCACTCTCCAGGTGCCTACTCCTTCCCTTCCAGTCGGCGAACGAGTAACTCCGCTAGGCAACCATCTAGCGAGAGGAATCCTGTTTGTTGGCGTTGAAACTTCCGCCACACATCAACTGTCGATCTGTTTTTGAGCTCTCCTCAGTTACGTGGACTTTATGTGGACGTGACCTTTGATTCAAAGCCTATATTGCATCTCGTCAGCTCGCGGTCCCGTAGTGGTAACTCACCGCAAGCTGCAGAGTCACGAGCATCTGTCATCTTGTACGGGACTATGCTCCGCTCCGACGGCCGTGTCAGCTCGACATGGACGATAGAAAGCTAGAAATCATGGGATAAACCAGGCGCTGTGATCCTTTTAAATAAATACTTCGATGAGTAAGGATATTTTTCCTGGGAGCAGATATCTGAGGAATTGTCGAATATGAAAATCACGAAAAGCAGAGGCGAATCAATTCTTCAGATGTTCCAAGGGTATCAGCAAGAAACACGGTGAACGGCCTGTGAAACGCAAACGGGAAAGGTGGAAATCGTGCTTCAGTCATTTTTGCCATGCCCGAGTAGGAGGCGGTACTTGCTCACAATTTGTCCATTTCTTCATATCAGGCCGACCTGCTTCCTTGGCCAAGCTAGAGACTTGAAGTGTTGGTGGTAATTCCTGTTTCTGTCCATTGTGGCGCAATGACGTTGTCGCGACGTCGCAAAACGTTAACGTGAGTGAAGGAATTTATACACAGGTGTAATAGCATTAGAAGGCTGAGCAGCCGCGTATAGTGATCAGAGAATATATTACAGAAGACTCAGAGGAGCCGGAGGATAAACGAAATAGAGATAACGATAATGCAAGAAGAAAAAAACGCGACGGGAAGCAAGACGGGACTCCGTCGAACGTAAAAACCAACGCAAAACCACCGAAAGGATAAAATAAAGGTGAGCAGAGGAAGGGAGGAAGGAAGGCCTAGACATCACCCAGTCTTTCGGCATACACCTTCCAAATCATCCCTCCGACTTCACCAACTTCGATGACATTCGAACCCACCGGTAGGTAGACACTCCATTCACCCGGCTTCTCGGGTTGTTCTTTGACCACGAAGGTGTTCAGCTTCAGCTGTATTTCCCCGAGCTTTGCTACAGCCTTCTTCTTCGCCGCTTTTTCTGCTTTGGCAGCAGCGGCAGCTTGGGCAGCCTTCGCAGCGACGGTGGAAGCCTTTGGTGGCCGGCCGCGGCCCCTGGTCTTTACCTTCTTTTTCCCATTCCTGGGGGGGGATGGTGTTTCCTTCTCGACATCTACGTCCATATCGTCTTCATCCTTTTCATGCTTGTCTGCATCGGCATCTTCTTCGTCGCTGCTGTCGTCCTCTTCGTCTTGCATGTACGTGACATCGCTGACTAGGACGCTTGTCTCACCGGGGACGAGTCGCACTGCCCAGCTCTTGACCCCATCTCGACGATCAAGTGTCAAAACCCGATCTTTCGGTTGTATTCGGAGCATTACTGACTTCAACTGATGACTTAGTGGAAGCACAACGGGGGCGGGCGAGTGAGATGTTGAGTGGGCATTCACTGCTGAACTGGGTCGAAGAACGGGAGGGGCTGCGGTGGCCAAGGGCGCAACAACGGGGGCTGGAGGAACATATGCTGGTTGGGCAGTTTGAGGGTAATGGGATGGGGTCGCATTGATGAATGAGACCGTCTGGACGGGGGGTTGGGGCGTTGCTCGCTTGACCTGTGCTTGAACTTGAGGAGTGGAAGCTTTGTGCGGGGCGGGAGCCGATACCTTCGGCGCAACCTTGTTAGGTGCTACAGGAAGTGTAGGAGGCGGAGGTGCTGGAGCAATAGCAGGTCCCTGAGAAGCAGTTTTGGCAGAAGTTGCGGGATGTGCAGCTGGGACACGGAGAAGGAGGGACGATGAGCCTGATTCGTGCTTCGCTGCCTGTGTCGAAGTAGACGCAGTCGGTTGCGCAGGCTGAGGTCGTCTGATCTTGATCTTGTTCGAAGGTTTGGTGTATTCTTGTAGAGCATGCGGAGGAGGCAGATCTGACATGAGTTGACGGAAAGTATCCTGGGCCCACATGAACTTGCATCGACTGGATAAGGATGCGAAGTGACTTACTCTGAGTGTTAATGCATCCTCCCAGATCTGCGTATGCTCCAGGTTGAACGTCATCGCATTGGAAAAGATGAGTTCGATATCTGCGGCAAATTGAGCAGATGTATGATACTCTTTGTTCTTAATGCGTTGCTGAAGCGAGAGTTAGATGAGTAGCGCTGGAGAATGGTGCAACCGACCTGGACATTGTTGAAACATTGAGGCTTCTTGATAGTCTTGTAATAGGAAGACCACAGTTTCCTGTCAGGAAACTCCATAAATTCCGTAGAAAGAACACGATCTCTATGTGGATGAGTTAGAGACGTGTTAGCTGCCTAAGGTATAAGCAACGTACCCTAGACCCTTCTTCTTAATCAACCTGTCTATCCTCGTCTTCATTAAGTGCTCTAAAGAATTGCCGTTTTCTTCATCGTCACCATTCGGGACCACCTTGTTGTACAGTCTATGAACAATTCTCTGGACAAGAAGAGCTGATTAGAATTGGCATAGGCGAGACTTGGTTGAGGCTCACCATCAACTCCTTCGCATCTTGGACAATCTGACTCTCTGCCATATTGTACTGTTTTGCATTCTCAACGAGAAGCTCGAAGTCGTCCTTGAGGGCTCCGAGAGAGGCATAGCTGCCGTTGTCGAGGCGCTTCTTGATATCGTCCAGCGCGATCGGGTGCTTGATGAATTCATAGTAGTCTGGATAGTCGCGCCGCGGAGGTTTGTGAAGAAAATCGTACGAAAGAGACCGCCCGCTGTTTGCGAGAGAGTAGAACGGGTGAAATGTGTCAGAAGCGAAGCCAAAGGGGTTGTGAGAAGAAAATCAAAGGCGAACAGTGCGACAAAGAACAGAGAACGAATAAGGCAGGCACTCACTCTTTCACCGCATCTTTCACCGCCGTCCAAATCTTCAGTCCCTGCTCCTTCACCTCTGGCCTTCCACTATGCGCTCCATTTACTTTCTTGGCATCTATGGGATCTGACATTGTGATATCCAAGCCCGAGGACGATCCGTCTGGTCCTCTGTGTCGCTTATGCCTGGAAGTGTTAACCCCCCCTGACCCGTTCAATCTCGCATGCTCGCGCTTCGACATTGTTTAGTATAACTGAGCCGCGGAATTTGGAACGTCTTTCTCGGCTGATTTTTTGGAGGGCAGACAGTTCTAGGTGGGAGAATGGCCGAAATACGTGAAACGATGCTGCAGTGTAGACAACGAGCTCACCCCTGCCATTAACGGGAGGTCACGTGCATGTGACGCGTTGATCATGTCGCCTTATTTGCGCTTGTGGACGCGTGACGAATAGGGGTTAGTCCTTCTCCATCAGCCTCCATCTACGCTTTGGGACTGAAATATCTAGAAAACACAAGCTAGCTTTATAACTAGCAAGCCACAGGGCTACAAAGTCTAAATTCATAACATTTATCCTCTACAGTCCATCATCCAACCAGCTTCGCCACTCTGAACTCACGCATCCTCTTTCGTGCCGCACGAGAATGAGTATTCATTCCGCCATTGAAGGCCCAGTCAGCCTCATTCCACATATCTGCATCATCGTGCAGTCTGACGGAATATTTTCGAAGCATATTGGCTCCACCGGGCTGCCACAAGTGAGTGAGAATTCTGTCGCTTCCGTGATAGACAAGAAACGCACATGTTCACCGAGGTATACGGTGGCGTCAACTACAGTACCGTTGATCACAACCACGCATCTGCCAGGTTTCGCTTGAGCGAACTCCTTGACTTGTTCAATATTCCATTCTGGACCATCCCAAGAATCGTCCTCGGGTTCGACGATACCCAGAACTGTTTTTCGATACATATACCTGAGCGCCTCGCCGAGATCCTCGCTTCGCACGCGACGTAGAGACGTGGCGAGTCCTAGTTTGTGAAGGACAAAAATAATCCACTTGCTCGGGTCCCAGTCAAGCAAGGATGGTCCGGAGCGGAAATCATGAGGGAACGAGTGCTAGTTGAGACGCGTCAATATTTTCTCTCTTGTCGTGGTAGAAGAAACTGACATGCTGGAAAGACTTCAGAAACTATACATAGTAAGGTATCTGGGATGACGTACAAAATTATGGTTGCCTTCGCCGCCAGTCAACAGAGCCAGAATCTGAGAATTCATTTAGTACATGCGCCGAAAGTTGCCTAGAATCTCCCACCCACCAGATTTCCTCTGGATGTGTCTTCATCAGAATACGGCTGAAGTCCATCCCAGTGGGCCAACCTGCCACAATAAACAACCTCGATGCGATGACAGACATTCAAATGACCCACGAATTGACAAGGAAAGTGCAGTGCCAGACTGGTTTAAACCCTGGTAAGAAAAGCCATCGGATCAGCCGAAGGGTGACTTACTAAAGAGTCTCGCTACCAGACCGCCCCATATGTACCCTCCTATCGCATCATTCCAGAGTGCACCAAGAAGAGTGGGACAGACGAAGCCAAAAAGAAGGGCAGACGAAACTGCGGCAACTTCTTGTTAGCAGTTAACGGCCGTCAGGCAGCAGCACGCGTACCATAATATTTGTGTTGGATCCGGACCACTTGAAGAATTGGGTTCTTCTTCAGTAGTGGGGTCTGATGGAAGCCTGGGACACACCTGGATCGCTCTCTAAGTCATCTCTCTCTATCAGGTGCATTCGTTCATGCGTCGGCTTGAAGAATATCCACCCCATATGAGAATAGAACAAGCCTCTCGTTGCTGCGTAACTTCAAAGTCTCATCGGTCAACCGTATCACAAAGAAGTGAGGTAGGCACGTCTTACGGGTCGTGAATGGGGTCGTCTGTGAATCTCTGCCAAAGGAGTTAAAGGACGAGTGAGCTCATATCGATGGAGCAAAACGTACATGGTGAAGCCGGTGCCGAAGACACCTGCAGGGAGAGAAGATGGACGAGATGCGCAAAACACGACGAGCAACAGCTTACCACCACTTAGAACGATGGGTCGGGCTCATTAATTGTTCAAAACACGTTTGAGAAAAGTACCCACCTTAATAGATCCCTGAAAAGCCGACGAGCCCAGAATGGCGAGTACAATGCGCACCCCCAGAGATGCACGAAACGCCTTGTGAGAATAGAGTCTGTGGTACCCCACAGTAATACTGAGCGGTCAGATGATAAGCTTCGCAGGAGCTAGTGAAAATAGAACTCGTTGACGCACCCGAAGTCCGCCAACTGCCAGGTAAGAAACCAGAGCAGGAGCGTCGCCTTCTTCGTCTTCCAGGGCGGCATATAATACATCCCGGCCAACGCGGCGATGTGCACAAGGACGAAGAAGAAGGCGTTGCCCCACCATATCTGGGGAGGTCCAGGTGGGGTCGGCGCGCGCTCAGACGAGGAGGTCGATTTCGGCGACATGAAAGACGGAGAAAAGGACGGTAAGGGTCCTGTTTTTCGATGCGGCGGAAGCATACAAAGAAGCAGGATCACGGTTTATAAGATCGGGTCTATGATGTATGTAGTTGCACGTTCGGGTTGTCCGGTTGTTCTTGATCTTTTGGCATCCTGTGGCGTCGTCAGCAAATCGATCACAGCAACTTCGGTGCTTTAGCAAATGCACCCTCTCCCATCGACTTAGCCCGAGACCTATTGACCGTTCAGACTCCACCGCATAGGTGTCGAGAGGCGGCACTGATCGGCGTCATGCGCAGCAGCATCCTTTCGGGTGGGGGAAGGAGATAAGCCTCGTGCATGTGCATGATGCACTGACGGTGCGACCGTGACGTCCTTTGGCCGACATGCAGTCAGCCAATCATACAAACCAATAATCCCTCTCCGAAACGCCCGGATGTTGTGAAATGATTAAATTCGATGTACTCCGACTGTAATACCAGGTGAAAGGGAAACCAAGAGGACAGACATCACAACCCACAGATTACGGCCAGGCGTAATATACTATTCGAGTACGTTCACGGCGAATGCACCTTATTCGCCGCACTCAGATGGACGTATTCGTCCCACATAGAATCTGCAACATCTCTTGTGTGGCGCACTGAGTCTTCTTGAGTGCGCCACACTGCCCATTCAGTGTCCTGGTTGGCACCCATCCCCATGCCTTTCTTTTTAAAGACCATGCTGCCTGGTTTCCATTCGCCGCCACTCAGGTGAATCTCCCGAACACCCAATGGCAGCAAATCCCGGAGCAAAGTCGGCAGTGTCTTCACATTAACGCCTGACCCAGGCATGATGGTTAATCCCCAAGCGTCGTCTTCGACCAGCTCATTCCTTGCTTTGAAGAGGGTCCTCAGTGTTGATAGCCCTTCCGGTGCTTTCGATTTATGACCACTAAGGCTGGGAGTAAACAAATCGGGTCAGAAATATTATGAGCACGGCGTACCTGGTTAAAATGCGTGAAATACCACCTATGTCGGAAATATCGCGCATGGCTACAGGATATAGTCTCATTTATACACATTCAGCGCGATGAACGCTGGCTGACCTTCCACAGGATCTCGAGTCATGTCGAATGCCCTATGAAAGCAGACTAATCGAGGCGTCACTGAATTTTGGGCGGGGTGACAAGAGATTAACCTGCACACCTTCGAGAGGTAGGATTTCGTCTACAATTCTGGATGCTATTAATTGCTCTCAAAACCAGAAGGATGGCAAAATCCATCAACGTACATTTTCATGCATTCAACATCAACTCTTCCGTCTTTGGTCAACGCTCCCACAGTAAAGCCTCTTATATTGACGAGATCCTTAATGAAGCGAATGTCTTCGAGCATAACTTCCAATTCCTCTTGCGAGTAGCAAAAATCACCGACGCGGGGACGGATCATTGCCTGAGACGAAATTTAGGCACACCAGGGTAACCTAATGAGCCGAGGATAGCTTACAATCAAAGGGACCTCGACGACATTCTGAATGGATTTGAGCAGGCCTAGAGTAGGGGTAATGCCTCCGCCAGTGCCCAAGTTGCCGCACACCTCGAGTCTGTCTGCCCCAGCCTTGACTGCGCTAAAGAACGAAGGGGAAAAAAGCTTCATGAGCGCTGAAAGCCAAATATTAATATTGCGAATAGAGAACCCTTACGCGATGGCGGACTGCACAGAATCGACGCAGACTTCGATGAGCAGAGCATCGGGCACGATGGCAGCAATTTCAGCCATTTTACACAGGAAAGGAGAGAGATCTCGTGGCAATCAACGCGTGTGTTCGGCACGACATGCTGTTGGGCAACATGTTGAGGTTTGGGGGCTTAGGGTCGTTTCGGTCCGATGCTTACTTCTCGGCCGTTGCCGTGGTAGTATGACCATACTGTGACCGCGTAAGTCGCGTCACGCCCTTCAATTAATGCAAGTTCCATGGACCATGTGCATGAAGCCTTGAGCTTGTCTTCTCCTTGCCCGCCTCCCTCTGATCTATCTTCTTCTTCTCCTCCTGTTTAGACCTATCGGAGGTCTAAGTAAATTTTAAATGAGCAAAATGCCTATGCGCTGCCGGGTGAGCCTTGCCGGATTTTCGAGAACGTGCAAACTGACAGGATTTCGCTAGGCCTACGACGACAGCGGCATTCCTATAGGGCGTGGGTGTTCCAAGGGACTTTCTTGCAATTTCGTACATCCCGACGATCAACGTTGGGGCGCGGCTATTCGTAGATATCAGGTGTGCCACAGTAGTCCATCTCGTTGATGTCGAAGCTTGACGGTATTACCTCTTTTCTAGAATGCTCCTTCAGGTCCGCCGCGTTTTGCTCGCGATAGGAACGAAAAACGGACTTCCAGCTTGTGGGACCCCGATCCCCAGGATCCCCCAGCTACCTCCACCAATGCGACCCCTCTCGCGGATTCTAGCTCTAGACGGGTTAGTTATGGCTCGGACAGACATCAAGGTGCCTCGAACCAGCAGAGTTACAGTTCTGTGAAAAGTCCGGCGTGGGATAAAGTGGTTACGAGCACTCCACCTGCGCGAGACAAGAAGTCGGACAATCAGAGCTCTGGGTGGTCGACTGGATGGAGTTCAAGCGCATGGGGCGAGCGTAAATCGAGTTCAGGATGGGATACTGGAACTGGGTGGGATAACGTTGCCACTAACACGTCGACTTGGGGTGGAGGAGGCTGGAATGTGGAATCTGGGAGTGCAGATTCCAGTTTAACTTTCCAGAGCAAGATGCCGGCGGGAGGGGAATCCAATAATGAAACCGCTGGTAGCCCCTGGCTATCCGGCATAGCAGCCAACAAGAAGCCAGAGAGTAGAAAGGGGAAGGAGAGGGCAGCCGAGGACGTCCATATGCGCGAGCCTTCCCCGCGGCCTTGGGGGCAGCCCCCGCCTGCGCCAGCTGAACGGCTCAACAAGCCGGACCTCCCGCCAATACAACCGGATGCACCCCACCGCCCCCACACACGGTCTCCGACACCCACCTCATCTTCCTCGTTCTCAAAGCCAGCGAACGCCGTGACCACGTCTTCGAGGCACGACAGGTCCAGAGTCTCATCACTGGATCTGAAAAAGTCCGCAGTCGATGGAGCTTTCAAAGCATCTCACCCAGGAACTATGACCCTTCTCGCCGAGTTAAATGGCAGTTCAAGAGCCTCGACGCCCACCGTTGTACCGTACACAAGGGATTACCGTGGGTCCAAAGGCAGGGTTGCTCTGCATAAAGAGATCGTCCAGTGAGTCCACGTCTTGATTAGTTTCCTCTCCAAGACCGTTGACCTTGTGCTCCAATCCTCCCCTCTCTCAGGAAAATGCAGAATGCAGTCATTCTGCAAGTCCAAAGACAGCGTGCCGAAGATGGCTTGGAACGATGGAAGCGGACGCAGATCTCCGACCCTTACAAGCTATGCCCGCCGGGTGCACGAAAGACCCTTGACAGTGCAAGAACGAAATTTACAGAAAAGGATGCGCGCCTACAGAAGCGACTTCTTCGGTCCATTCAAGAACTCGCTGATCTCCCCGACCTTGCAGAGAAGCACCAGCCTTTGAGCATGAACCTGACAAAGGAGGTCATTGCTTCGTACACACGTGAACTAGGCGAATGGTTTAAGGAACTCCAGCTGCATAAAAGGTTGGTGATGGAAGAGGCAGAAGAGCGACAGGCACAGCCTGGGGAAGGAGAAGAAAGTCCGGAAGATGAGCCAGAAGACACACGAGTAACGGGCACAGAACTTTGTGCCCGCGGAAGGTGGTCTTGGAGCGAGCTCAACGAGGCTGTCGCGAGGATCGAGGATCAAGTTAGCCTCGTGTCTGAGGAAGTGTACGCATTTAAGTTCACAAATGCTGACGAGGCACTTGATGTCGAAATGGAGGAGCTCAGGGAGCAACTTACTTCCGAAGAGCAAGCTGTACAGGCGATCCAAAACTTTGAAGTTGTTGACCGCCTAGTGGCCGGGGCAAGCATTGTCGGAGACCAGGTATCTGCACAAGCACTGCGAGCCGCTGAACTTATTCAAAGAACCAAGCATCTTGAGGATCAAATTGAGATGGTGGTGGCTGAGACGGCGAAGATGAACCAGCTATGTGCGGAGGTATGTTCTACTACTGGCACCATTTTAGACAGGGATCAAACAGTGCTAACCTCCCTGTCTATTCTATTCTGTTTCCTCATTAGGCAGAGCAACAATTTAAAGAGTTCGAACACTGGAAAGAGTCAGATACAGAAAAAATTCAACAGTTGACAGAAAAGTTGAAAAAGCTTTACCTGCACAAGCGTGTCAATAGCTCTCCACCATCACCCAGGTTCTCTCCGGTCACGCTCGAAGTTCTGCTCGAGCACTTCAAACCTGTCCTACTGGTGAGAATGCATGAGGACCTCAGCCCAGTCTTTAAGGCCCTACGTGATCGTTGCTTCGAGAATCAAGAACGGGCGAAGGCTGAAATTGACGAAATGGTCAAGCCCGCTTTGAAGCAGACCGACGAAATTTGCCAGCGTGTATTGTCTATGACCGTCAGTGAAGCCTCAGCCCAATTGTCCTAGCCTTCCGCTGCACTATTTTTCTTCCTCTTTGGACCATCATCCAGCATCTTGAACGCACCGTAGATTCTGTTCATTTCGAATGTTTTTATTTATCAACAACGCAGTTGTGAATTTGCACGCTTTGCATTCTATTGTATCACTTATAATGTTATGTTAAAGTATCTCCTACATGTCCATATACTCGTAATTATCAACAATCGCGATCAACCGGAGTCATTGAAATGGGTGTCGAGGGTAGCTAAATTAATAGATTACAAGTACAACTAACAACACTGTGTCCGTGCCCCTCTCTAGTTCACCTTCACCTTCTCCGCCTGGTACGCAAGTGGGGTATCGTCATCGTCCGACTCACTGTCCGGCTGCGGAATGTAGCGCAGGTATCTTCCAGGCTCCTCGCCCAGCTCTTCGAGATAACGATGTAGCATCTCCTCCCGCCCCATAGGACGGACTTCGTAACCTTCCGAGCCTCTCCGAACGTGGACCTTCCCAGCAGGCGGAGGTGAATACTCATCATCCGAAAATTCGCTTTCCTCCGAATATGCCTCTGGTTCATATGAGCTGCTTGGGATTTCTTGATAGTCGGGGTGGTATGGGGGCACAGAATTTATTCCAGGGTCCGCCTTTCTCCGACGCCTGCGAGCTGAAGGAAGGACACGCATTTGTGAATTAGTGGGGCGTAGTGCCGGATTGAGAGATTCGTTCTCGTAAGTCCATGGTGATGAATTTCGAGTGCTGTCGCGATCGCTTTGGGTGGATGAATCAGACGAAGGATCCTTCGGAGGCCAGCTTTCCCCTGTAGAGAAAAGTTGCATGAGAAATACGGAACTAGAGGCTGGGTGTAAGGAATGGATCTCCAAAGATACACATAGACTTACATTGTAGAGAAGAAGAACCAATGTAGACGACTAATTACGCGAGGCGGCCAGCTTCCTCGTTGTACGAGTCGCGGTTCTTGAGGGTGTGTAATCGATTCCACTCACCGTCCTTGTTGGAGAGTTCATATCTGAGTCCGTTCCCTGGCGTCCGGCTGGGCCAGCACCAACGCAGGGGACTTGGTCCAAGGACAGATTTGATGTTGCGCCTGACCCCAAGATCCTGTCAGGCATCGTGAATATGAAGTTATGAAATCGCCGCAAATGTACGCTCACATAGGGAAATTTGACCTGGACCGAGAGCTAAGCAAGGCCTAGCAAGTGGATTCTAAATAACGCACCTCTTGGGTCTTCCCTCTTCTAACCAGTGTTGCGACTTTGTCCTTCTCCCAACCCTCAATCGTGGTTGTATTGCCTGCTAAGCTGTAGAAATGGTAAAGGCTGCAAAAATAGGTCAGTGATGTTCAAGGGCACAAGGCGCCAACCCAACCTGAAACCTCCAACGGCAAGTAAAACGGGAATACAAGCGACATAATTCAGTATGATCATGATGAGTTCCATAGTTGACGGTTCATCCTGAGATGCGAGTTAGCTGGCCGCTGGCCATTTTATGGAGCGTTAGTTAACGCACCCAATATCTCGATCCCATTGAATATATCACTCTCTTGGTCACCATTGTGATATGATATGAACAAGCCACGTCGACGTAGAAGAGGAACCGTATGAAGTGAGCATAATTATGGTGTCCAACGCAGTTATTTATCCAAGGACAATGATGGTCTGGGATGATCGATATCAGAGGCGCACTTTTCGCAAGAGAAATAGCGTACCCATCCTCAACACACATCTTTAGAGAAAGACGTGAGTCAACAGTGAGTGGCATGGGGAGGCAGGCGAACCTGTTACACTGTCTACAGTGATGGGCTCGGGGTGGTTTGTATTGTTGACACATCCGACAGTAGCGCGGCGCGCCGGTAAGTTTTTTGACTTCGTATCCCTCGGCATGCGTGTCAGGTTTCTGAGGACAGTCGATTAACTCTCTGGCAAAGGGTATATAGAGAGCTTGGGTAACGAACCCATCCTTCGGGGACCCGCCCAGGGTCAGTGTTCACGCTGAGGAAGTAGTTCCATAGGACAAATCCAACGAAGACGCTAAAGTACACTAGTCAGTTTTACGGTGCACGAGGGAATGAAGTCGGCACTCACTTGAAAGGAACGAGTAGGGTAAGGAGCTCGACAGACACAGTGCTCCCATACCACGGCCAGATTATAAATATTTGCGAGGAGTAGGCAATAAAGCAGATAAGACAAAGAACGAAGTTGACGATGAGTCGGCCAAGGAGTGGATGCATAAGGGGAAGTCCTGGACGAGAGGCGCGTCATGCTGCGCGGCCGAGGTGAGGATGGGCGGCGCGGCAGCCTAACACCCTCCGAAAGACACATACGCACACAACAATTTCTGACTTCCGACCCGCCTCTTCCGACAACCCGTTCACCAATGCACCGCGTCGGCACCTCTTCTGTCCGCGTCCTTCGCGCGTCAGTCCCCACGGGGACCAGGTTCAACTCTACCGATTCTGCCAAACCGCCACCAATTCGTCGCAGGGTTCCTCTCGAACGTTTGGGAGACATCGTCATCCGTGAGTCTAATGTTTTCTCGATCTCAGAGTACAGAGAACTGAAAAGGGGGTATTTGCAGCTAGCGCACAAGAAATACGCAGCTTGAGGACTCGGCAATACAAAGCCGACATCAGCTATCTGAAGAATGCACCAGCCAGAAGTCTAGCAGGTCGCTTGACCCAGCTTGGTGCAGGGAAGGACGCCCAATCTTCCGAACCAGACCAACGAGCTTCGCAAACTCAGAAAATCCCCCCTCAAGCAATCGCTGTGTCTCGAGAGCGCGTAGCCGCATTGACCGCGAAGAGGCGTGAAGCCCGTTTGTCCCGGCAAGCCGGCCAGTCCAGAATCGCCCCAAGAGCTCCTAGGAAGGCTGCCCAACCTGGAGCCACGAGTGAATCTACAGCTGAATCAACATCTATAGGGGCTGAGGAGCGGCTGAAGAATGCTCTCGCGTCGGCGGCGAAAAGAAGAGAGGACCGTCTCCGTCGCGAAAAGCGACAACAGCAAGGCGCCTCGTCTAAGCAACTGGCAAGACGACCGAGGCGAGTTGAAGCCGCGGCTGTTCAAGTAAACGACGACTTCGATGACAACCTCATCAAACCCAACGAATCAGACGAACCAGACTATCTCCCCGAATTCCTCGGCCCAGAGCCTATCTCCCCTCACCTTCTAGAGACTTTGAATTCCACTGTCAAACCTCGTACAGTTGATCTCGTCGCGAAGGGCGGCGAGATTATCCTCCCTTTGTATCGAGCTTCGCCTTTCCTCGGAGGGGATTATTCACCATACGTTGGCTTGAAGCAAGAAGATTATTCGCAATCGCTGGAAGAACTCGGTGCCGTGAAGCTAGCCCAATTGACCCTGGCTCACCAGCCGGATGTTTCAATCCAACAGCGCCGACATGCCCTCGACATCGTTTCACTCTCAGTAACACCTGCTGGTAGGCAGGTGGCCAAAGCTTCCTAGATAGCAAAGCTCTCTAGCACTTGTCCTGCCATAATCACACACATTCGATATAGAGGTCGAGAGAGAAACATACATATCTTCATAAGCTAAGGGACTAAGAACAAGAAAACCTCCCCCATCATAGGTTACATATGAAGAAAGACGAAATTAATGTCCAAGAGAGGGTTAAGGGTGATATATAGAGGCACATAATCTAAAACGAAGAGAAGAGAAGAAAGAAAGAACACTTGAGAGTACTTGTTATCACCATTCGAGTTGCTCCTCGAGGTCATCCGTATGTCTTGATAACTCTCTTGGACGTACACCCGTTTCGATCTCCTCAACGGGCGTGATGTCGAGTTCGGGGTCGGGCTCTGGAGACTCCATTTCCATTGACACTGCATCATCATCATCATCATCCACAGCTGGCTGAGGCTGCTCTTCCACGGTCTGCACCGCTGCGGCGGGAGACTTGATAGCTTCGGTCGGAGCAGGTGGCTCAGCAGGTTCGACAGTCGCTACCTCCTCTGGGACGGGCTCCGCTGGCTCCTGCTGAACAGAGATGTCCTTCACAACACCATTCTCGCCACCATGCTCGCCACCATGCTCGACACTCTTTTCGACGCCCTTCTCGACGTGTATCTGCTCTGGCGCCTGTTCCGTGGTCTCTGCCCGCGGAGGCTCAACATCCATAGGTGCTGGAACAGGCTCTTGCGGAGGAACCTCGACCGGTTTGTTCTTCGGCGGACGTCCTCTCCGGCGTGGCTTCACAACTGGTTTGGGCGGCGTGTCCGGCTCAGAGATACCTCCGTTTTGTTGTATCGCTGCATTGATGGCGTTGGCGAGGTCCTCTTGATGCGTGGGCCCTGCGTTGTCCTCCGGACTAGACGATCGTTCAGGAGGGGGGCTGCTATGCATAGTTCGGGCTCCTCTACCTCTACCACGTCCACGTCCACGTCCACGAACGCGGCCCCTTCCACCCCTTCCACGTCCGCTGAGTACAGAAGCATCCACGGATGGTGCCTCTGGGGCTGGGGCTGGGGCTGGTGCCGGGGCTGGTTCCCCAATCGGCGCAGGTTCTGGTTCGCTTGGGATGACAGGTACAACTTCTGGTCCACGAGGAGATAAGCCCTCTCGTCCAGGACTAGGCGGAGCGTCACGAATAGCGCTTGTTGGCACTTCCTCAGGGGGAGGACTCAACGAAGTCTCCTTTGCTTCAGTGGGCATCACTCCAGGAGCCGGTGTAGCTTCTTTGCCAGGGCTGGGCACAGTCACCGGTTCAGGAGCATGTACCTCTTCGTCAGGTGTATGGCCGTTAACATCTCCTACACCAGGTGCCACTTCTCCGTCGGTAGGGCCAGAAGCATCTGCATCGCCACTCCCTCCAGCGTCGCCAGCTGCTGTCGCCTGCGACTCCCTATTACGGCGTTCGTAAACACCATAAAGGAGCTCTTCCGGTAATTCAAACTCGATTTCTGGGAATGCGGGGGTTGCAATACCGAAAGAGTTTGTACCACGTTGGGCTCGCCCTCCACTTCGAAGAGCAGCACGTAGCATGACGGATGTCGTATTCTCCTTTACGCCAGCACTGTTTATGAAGGTAACTGAACCTCTGGGTGCCTTCTTGCGCCCGACACGGCTTGAAGAGGCCTCTTCTGGCTGAGGTGATGGGGTCCTAGATGGAGAGGGCTCCTGCACCTTCGCGTTTTTCCTTCTCCTCTTGACAGGACGCGTTGAAATGGATTCGAGGTGTTCAGTAGGAACTGGGGCAGTTAATGGCACCCCTTCTTCTCCGGCCTCAGGCTGCTGTGTAACAGCAATTTCTTCAGCCGGCGGCTCTGCTACGGTTGTTTGCTCCATCCTAGTCGAAAGCTCGCGAACTTCGGACGAGACTTCCTCCTCGTTCTGAGCCTCGTCTTCCTGTGTTTCCACATCGATATCCATAGAATCGTCACCTTGCTCTCCTTCTGTGGGTATTGAAGTGTTTGCAGCACCTTCCCCAGGCTCGGGTGCCGTTTCAGGGACCTCCGGTCCTGGTTCCTCTTGTTCGCCCTCCGAATCAACCTTTTCGGACTCGCCGTCATCCGCCATTTGTACATCAATGCTCTTCTTAGGTAGAAGTTGCTTATCAGCCCCGGGTTTCGACACTGGTTTGCCAGCCACTTGGCTGGTGGCAGACGCGATCGGCGATTCTTCATTTTGGGAGCTTCCATTTTGTTGAGGTAGAGGTGCCTGCGAGGTGGTGATATTTGACGAGATTTCACGGTAAACTGGGGCTGGGGCGACAGGCATTGTTTCCTCTTGTTGTGACTCGGGCACAGGAGGAGTCGCCTGACGACTGGGTTCAGGTGTTTCCATTTCGACGTCAACAAAGGGACTCGAGGTGAGAGGACTTTGCTCGCTTAGATGAAGAGGAGCTGGCGGAGTTGAGATGTTGTTTTGTGTGGCACGGGCAACTGGCGGTTGTTTCGGTGTGCTGGCGGCACCTCTTGGTTTCTTGGGTACAGTGAGCTTTGCTGCAGCAGGAGAAGGCGCTGGTGTGCTCGAGGCGCTGGATCGCACAGCGATGCGAAGCTTGAGACTTGCAGTATCCTTCCTGGCCGCCTCAGCATTAGATATCCTGTCCGTATCGGATTCCTCTCCGTCTCGACTCTCCGTATCCTTCCTGAAGCCTGTTGGTTCTTGAGGCTTGCGAACTCTGTCGGGGGGAAGAAGGTATTGGTACCGCTTTTCGAGCTTGATAGCCATATCCAGCATTTCCTTTCTCCGTCTTTCTCCTTCTACGTTGGGTATTCCCCCGTTCATTGTGTACAGACTGCTCTCCGCTAGTTCTTCGGCATCACTAGCTGTTGTCGGAGACGGGGGGGTGAAGTAAGTTGCTGGAAGACTCATGAAAGCTGACCCATCCATGCCACGCAATTGTTCGATCCTCTCCTTCAGTTTGTAATGCTCGTGCTTGAGTTTTTCCTTTTCGCGAAGGCGTTGCCGTTTTTCGAAAGTTTCGAACTTCCTATGTCGTTTCTCATAAGCTGCATCCGAGGTTTCAGCACTTTCCTGCAGGATGCAGGGAAGGAAGGTTCAGTACGAGATTAGAAGAAATCATACAAAAACATACGTCTTCCATGCCCCGAGGTCTAAAGCGACCACCGACGGTTGAAGATTCTCCAATGCTCTCGAATTCGGGGGTTTGGATAGTTGCTTGCTCCCGGTATGCTTTGAGAACTTCAGGACGCTCGAAGTACCGTTCATTAGGAACTATGTTTATTCGAATACCGGTCTCTGAATCATTTGTCGAGTCGGTGTCGGCGGCAAAGGCTGGGTTGGTTGTAAGGAAGAAGTTCGTGTTTTCTGGGATCAATGGTTGGATTTCAACTGTGAAATGCATTCAGGAAATAATGCATATGATCAAGAAATATCGAAACGAACATTTGCGCTTATGGGTGTCCAGAATCAAGGTATCGACCTCGCAGTGGCCCACCCCAGGACCTCCTCGTCGAGATCGCGTGGGCAAGACACGCTTTTGGCGGCCTTGTGCGCTTGCTGTTGAGGATGAACCGCCATCCATGTTTGATGCGGACAAACGTGAATAAAGGAGATCTGCCGCCAACCGTTGGAATTAGCCCCGACAAGAGTTTATGGTGGCAACGAAACGCCTCAAAAGAGAACGCGTCGAGGATGGATGGAGACGCGGTGTCGAGATGAAGAAGAAAGGCGGTGAAGATGACGGAGGTTGAGATCAAGCTTTTTTTCGCTTACAGAAACGGACTCGTGCGCGTTCCTGGTCTGAGCGCACTCCAGCTTATAACCTGGCCTAGTGAAAAAGTCTCCAAATTTCATGCTCATTTCTACCCTCGCAGTGTTGAAATATACAGCCTTGGCCAAGCAGTGCTCCGACGACCGTTGATGCAACGTAGACGACATGTCATGATGAGAAACGGAGCCTCAGGCCTCAGGTGCGAGATTGCCGGAACCCTGCGTCACTCTTTCACCACCCACCACTTCATTTACCATTACATACTATAAAGCATGCTCTGGTAGAGGCTACCTCTTATCTGGTAATAACTCATGGTTCTCGGTATTCTGCAGGCTGTCGTTTCGAATTACTTCCCAACACAGTTTGCCCTGCACATTGCTGGTGGCATCGTCGTTGCCTTGTTCATCCGAGCTTTCTCGCAAGGGAGAAGGACGAACCGGGAAAGAGACCTCCATGCCCGGACAATCTTGGTAACGGTAGGTATTGTGCAATTTCCCCATATCCGCCTACGATGATGGTATGCAATAGGGAGGGTTCACGCCTCTTGGTCTTACTTTGCTGCAAAGTCTCGCCCAACGCGGTGCACATATCATCGCTCTTTCCCCCGACCCCATAGATTCCGCCAACGTTACAATCCTCATCAGCCTTCTTCGCACAACTACTTCCAACGAGCAGATATTTGCTGAACACTGCGACCTCACGTCTCCGTCCTCTGTGCGGTCATTCTGCACCAAATTCCTCACCGGTAAAGAGCAACGGCTGGACGCGATTCTCTTCGCGCATGAATACAAACACATTGGATCTCCGAATATCTTTTCCACTAGCTCAGTCGATGTCGATCAGAAAACAAGAGACTCAGGCTCTCTTACCACCTTCCTGATTTCCACGTTGCTGTTACCTGCACTGTTAGTTGCACCAGTAGAAAGAGACATCCGGATTATCAACGTTGTAAATCCCTTCTACGCTGCAGCCGCAGGAGTTCCTTTCTCCCCTTCATTTTCCTATGAACTATCGTCGCCCACATCCAGCTCTTTGTTCCTGCGTGAAGGACATCGATCCTTGCGAACAGTTGTTTTTACTCGACATCTTCAGCGCGTCCTCGACGCTTTGCCCACCGCTACGCAAGTGCCACGTACTGAAGAGGGCACCAGCGCCGTCCCCGTTGTAAATTCCAGGGTGCAGAAGTCGAATATCACCACCGCCAGCGTCTCTCCTGGTATCAGCCGAGTCGACACCATTTCCCCATTGTTGAACGCAGATTGGACCTCCTCGTTTGGATACTCGTATCTAGGAATGATCTTGTAGGTGATTCTCGCGTGACGTGAACCCGTCTGACATCTCTTTGTTGACTAGATATCTGACATTCCAGCCTTTACTTCGTCTTTTCACGAAGTCTCCAACAGCTGCCATGCAAACGATTCTGCATGCCCTCTTTCTGCCCACGCCATTCAAGGTCCTTGCTCAAGCTACTCCGGGCACGACTGAAAAGAAGGATACTAAATCACAAGGACCTATCGAAGCCTCACACCTCGAAATGCCTGAAGAAGTGTTACGACCTGGGTCGCTATACGCGGATTGCGCCGTTGTCCAAGTCAAGGTCAAAATGCCTGACGAGCTGCTAGAGGAAAAACACAGCCGTCAAGATGTTAAGACACACCCGAAAGACAGCGGGAAGGCCAAGGGTAAACCATCTTTGCAAGAGGAAGTATTGGAGATCGCTGACGATGGAGAGTATGGTGGGGAGCTTGGAGGTCGGTTGGTTTGGGAAGCTTGTGAGAGGGCTCTGAAGATATGGGAGAAGGAAAACCCTGGTCCACCACCGGAAGAAACCCCCAGACCCCAGAGTAATCCTCAAGCAACAGCAACAAGGCCACTGGAATCTGTGAAGGAAGAAGAGCCGGAGTCGGTATATTGAGCGCCTCTTTGCCGTCATTTTGGCCATAGACTTTGAAACCCATCCGTGAAATATAATACAGAGGTTAAATAATTCCAGTCCGTGTAAGTAGTAGTGGTCATAATGTAGCTCCAGTGGAGGCGTTGTCAACTGAGATGGCCTATAGCCTCGCAACACCGTTCTTTGGCATCCCTTGTGAAAACACCCATCCATCTCGTTCGAGTGTTCTGACTGCTTCTGATAGCATCTCAGTAGGGACGAGAACATAATCGGTATTCCTACAACCAATTAACAATCAGGAAGGTGCAATATGCAGGCAAGGACGAGTTTACTGACCAGGTCGACAATGCGAACACTGGAACTTTGGCGAGCTTCAAGGGGGCCGTCAACGAGGCCATTATACCAGTCAAGCCTTTATGAGTGATCGACGAGATACTCTCTTCAAGAAGATGGAAGACTTACTATGCTCCATCGGCCCTTGGATTTTAATACACATCCACGTCGACTGTTCCTTATAAGAATCGGGCATCCATGTATATGCCTCTCCGACCAACGAAACTTCGTCCTTTGTCCGTGTCACGGAAAAGAAACTGCCCTTCCCATTTGTGAGATCGTTGATAATGCAAGGGGCTATCTCCTGGCCGGGTTGGAGCTGGACGACAAAGAAAGGGTCAGGGAGAACCTGAAGGTGCAGAGCAGGGCTTTTCGACGGGGGAGGCATGGTGAATAGATGATAGCTGAATCGTCTGCGCCCGGGTTAGTTATTCACTACAATTCCGACGGGTGCGCATTATAAGGGAGCCGCCTTGAAGCCGCTAGAAATCCCTTGCTCGTTCTGGACAAGTCGAGTTGGTGCAGTGTCCGCGAAGCTGTTCACTGCCCAAAGCGAGCACTGGTGAAGAAAAATACAATCTCAGCTCTGGACTAGGACGGAAACGAGGGAACGCGGTGACAGAGCGGTGTTAAGGACGTTCTACCTGGAGGCAGCCTGCTAGAAGTAAGAAACCTTACTATAGATCTTTGACGTTTAGTCACGTGGGTACTGGGAACCGCTGTCGAAATCATAATGGAAGAGATCTCATTTGTCCTGGGGTTCACATACATACAAAAAAGCTCTACTTCGTTCCTAGGTGCTCACAATCGAGAGGGTATAATCCTGCGCACGGCTACTGCCGGTGTAGACTGTGTAGACAGTCGTGCCACTCGGAACCCCGTCACTCGTGAAAGCAGTCGATCCACCAGATGCCAGAAGAAGGTTCCCACCAGAAGAGACCTGGGAGGCAAAGTCTGAGCATCGAGCAGCGTATAATTAACCTTGTACTCACAGCTGAGAACGTCGTTGCCGTTACCCCGCTTCCGCATGTCAGACTCCCACTGCTGACACCACAGTTGCCCCTCGAGGACGTCATGGTGAAGCTTGAGGTCGTCCCGGAAAGTGTCATAGTCGCTAATGTTTGCGTAGACCATGTCCCTGCAGTCAAAAGCCCGCCAACAGGGGAGCCAGACTGAATGGAGCGAATGGTCGCTTTACTAGGCAGACTCGAAGGGGCCTAGTAAAAGAATGTCAGGTCCAAGACAGCGACCTGTTCGAACAACTCACCCCGGTGGTTGTCCCCTGAAGGTGATAGAGTATTAGCACGCGCTAGCAAGAGCTTTCAGCAAAGAATTGCAGGGAACTCACGCCGCCAGAAGTAGTCTGGGTTCCTGTGGTCAGCTAATCGTTGAAGGTCAAGAAGTTTCTGCTTACTGTCGTTGTCGCCGGGGTGCCACTCTTGGGAGGATATTTGATTCCGGAAGATGGGCAGGAACCCGACTCCGGCGAATCTGCAAGGTAGCTGCGTAAATACAGCGAAAAGATAAAGACTAAATTGGCGCCATACTGATTGGGACGAAAACGCCGTCTATAATAGAGCCCCTCAAATTGAAGTACCAGCTTATTTGATTGAGGGTTCCTGACTGGCAATCGAGTGCTGGGGTAAAGCCCTAGAAAGAATCGAGGAAAATGTTAGGACAAGGACATCCCTGGACACCACAGGTTTCGTACTCCAGATGCACTCTTCAAAGCCGATGTTAGTTGGGATAGGGTGAAAGTCTGTGAGTTGGTCGGTAGAATGCCAGCATTGGCGAGCCAGGTGTAAGTCGGCAGCGTCTAAGACATAACGAGTCAACCGTCTGTTGCTGCAACGGATTCATAGACCGACCTGGAACAATTTCACAACCGTCTGGAAGAATGCAACAGCCTATGCCCAATGTCAACAAGATCTAGGTACATTTGAGATTTTCTATACCTCGGCTCCTCTGACACTGCCGCTTGGGAGACATGCGGTCTTGAGGGTACTGCGAACGCATGGATTTAGTAGAGGAGCAAACGGTTGGCGCACTAACGGACCTCATGCACGTTCCGTGAGCCGCCCATTCGTGCTACATCGTTTTAGGATCTCTGGTATACGAGGTGGGTGCTGAATAGTCGTACCGCCCAAAATTGTTCATTCTGTCCGTTGATGTCTACCCAGTACTGTCGTAAAAGACATCGACATCAGGATTGAAACGAACGTAACTCGTCAAAATGCATTACTGTTCTCATGAATGCAAGGGTATCACTTGCACCATTGTTGCTCAGCAACTGTCAAGAGTGCATCAGTGACGCTGCTCGTCCCAAGCGACGCGAACTCACACTGCTGATCCCGGTATAAGCACGAGAAGAGTCGCAATTTTGACTGAAGGTGGTATCACAACTAGATTTATGATGAGAGACATCGATTGTCGTGCTGCATGAAAACATACTGATCGGGCCAAAGGCCTGTCAAGGTGTGAGTTTGGCTTAAAGTTATCCGGGATAAATGAAGGCTTACCGTGAATGGTCCAGCTGTTGCTAGGACCCGTGGAAGGATTCGTATCCCAAAACTACGCAGAAAGAGGCATTCAGATTCTGTCTAGAGATCCAGCTCGTCGACCACCTACCTGAGTCTGCAATAAAAGCCCCTAAGTAAAACAAAAAATCCCGGTAAGTTGATCGTCAGCATGAGGATGAAATATCGCACTCCTGGGGCTTCGAAGCAGCATAAATTCGATACGGTCGAGGTGTTGCGGCACGACGCGGTCCCAGTAGTCGAGCATCCCGAAGTGAGTAACTGAGAGCGTCCAAATAGGTCTGCTGGGCTGGTCTCGGCCAAGAAAGGCGTCGCAAGGGTAGCGCTGATCAAGCTAGCGAGGAAGAGGAAACACAAAGACATTGTGCGCCAATAAAGCTGAACAAATAGGTGCTTCAGAGATCCCAGGTCTTCAAGGAGTGAACCAAGTGGCAAGGCAATGCAGGGGAAGAGGAGGGCAACCCGATCAACGTTAATTATGTACTTCTCTCAAAATAAGACGGGCGAATGCTGATCGAGTAACGGACACTATCGGCCAAATAAGCATCGTCTCCGTTCCATCGCACTCCGTAGACTGTCGAACGAGGATGCAGTTACGATCTGGGATTCATCAAGACCATTCCTGGACGGGCGAACACCTGGCCGAACGCACATAGCTCTGCTGCATGCGGGTCCGGGACTCATGCAGACAGAGCTCCATGGTCTACTTCCAAATCAAGCCCGTCGCGGACATCCCAACATCCACAACAGCACCGGTGATAAAAGTGGATGTCGGCGAGAACAGGAAAACACTGCATGGCATGGACAAAAGAAGAGGAAGGAAGGACATCGGAGTGAGAAGCACATGCACCGAGTGTTGATGGAATCCCAGACAGGAGAATACAGCACGTTGAACGCTGTGGAAAATGTTTGGAACGAATAAATCGTATGAGTAAGACAAGAGCCTACAATTCAGACGCGATTTAGTGTTCACGAGTGTGATTAGAGGAAGAGGCACTTGCGGCCGAATCCCACTGCCGATAAGAAGGGAAATCTGCGACCACCTGCTTCGAGTCGTGCACCTGTCTTCATGGAAAGGTGATGAAGGGATAATAGAGCCACGTGCGAGAGAGGTTATCGGCTCGTTGTCCACATGTTTGCGGACTTGACGCCGCAAAGTTATTTTTATCGATGCGTTCGAACTTATCTCGCGAGTGTGTTCAACATGACGGCGATTTTATTTTTATATCGATATTGAAGAAAATATAAAACTTGAAAAAGAGGTTCAGACCACGCGAAACATTCCTAGTTTTAAGCGAGTAAGTACGTACCTGTCTAATCACCACCAGAAGGATGGCAAGTCAGACGGCTACTGGGTGCTATTTTTAGGTTCCTCTGTTGCAGAGGAGGAACGTTGCTCGGCAGGACCTAGCCATTCGTCATTCCACTTCGCCATAGCGGATGGTGAGTGTGCAGCCAATGTCGTTGTTGACGGCGAGTATGCTTGCTGCTGTTGAAATGGAAGCGACAATCCGAACGCAGATGCAAACCGGGGATTGATATGCGGCTGGACGAACGGCATAGGCTGCATGGCCCCTTGCCCATAAGACCGGTAATCGTGCTGTGCTAAATCGAATTGCTGTTGTTGGAACGATTGACCTTCTTGCGAGGATGCCTGTCCATAGCCCCATGCCTCAGAGTTTGTTTCAGGGTAGGAATACTGGTAGTGTTGTTGATTCGACTGGGAATAACCTCCTTGTCCTGTCGCACGAGCAATAGCGAGAGAGGTAGGAGACATCGACCGGGCCTCTCTTGAATTATGGCCGTCTTCAAACGTTTCTGGAGGTCTTTCGCTTCCATAGCGCTGCGAACCTCGTCCTCGTCCTCTTGTTCCATGGCCTCTTCCACGATCTCGGCGGCCACCTCTATCCCTGTCACGGTCTCTACCTCTTCCGCCTCGCCATTCACCACGGCCTGTGCCCTCTGGGCGATCATACGGCCGGCGATCGTATTGCTTCGGAGCCCGGTCGAAGGATTGCTTATGCGAGCTCGAAGCAACCTCAGAACGGGCTTCTCTCTCTGCTACGTCCGGAGCAGTGTATGCCTCACCATATGGATCATCATACGGCATTGGCGCAGGCCGTGATGAGGGCCCTGCGGTGGCATAGTCGATATCATAAGGTCCATGCTCGTCGTACGCGTTTCTGCTGAAGAAGGTTTCGTCCACAAGGTCTTGGTCCCTCATAAGGGTTGGGTTGGGAATAGATGCTCGTGAGGACGCCACAGAACGCGCTCTCGAGTCCCCACGTCTGAAAACAAGAACAAAATTGGTCAGACGCCCACACAAAAAAGTCGTTTGAGTTCGACGTACTTGCGTTTTAGACGTGATCTGTGCGCAGCTTCCGCCTCGTCGTCTGAAAACTCCAGTTCATCTTCCGCTGGTTCTTCGTCATGAACATTGCTGGCGTCGCTGCCTTTCATCGCCTTTATTTGGCTGACGAACACGAAATGGCTCTGTGCGGGAACGTGGAACACTTCTCTGCCCACCCTCACACGCTCGGGATCCAACGGAAATGACGAGTTGAAATTGACTTGATAGAGGGGTTGCATTGTTGGTCCAAACGTTTCGTAGATCTGCCCTGGTATTGTATCAGAAATACAGTTTTCCGGAGGAATAAGGATACTCGTACGTAGCCCATAACCTTTCTGTCGTTGAAAACCAATAACGTATCCGAGTCCAACGCGCGGTCTGAGCCTCGATTCGCGATTTGAGACGGAAGCCCACGAACGATAGCGACGCGGTCAATGATATTCATCACCTCTCCGACTTTCTCCAGGACCTCATGCTCCCCGACTTCATCCACTTCGGGGATAGTGATATCGGCTTCTGCAATTTCATGTTTGGTTTGGAAGTATGTGCCAGAGGTAGGAGCTGGGACAGGATCTTCATCATCATCCAAATCCTGTTGTATGTGGGTATCACGGCCAACTTCTCCCTCTTCTTCGTCTGAATCTGATTCCGAGTCTGAATCCGAGACTGATTCTGAGCTTGTGTCTGAAGGTTCTGAACTTCGGTCAAAAGGTCAAATTAGTAGGTCGCAAAAGCGGAGAAGCGTGAACATACACTGACTGCACGCCTTTTGGCCGCTCATCGTCGTCCATAGCACCACCTTTCGTTAGGACAGCCGCAATTTCGTCTTCACTGTCGACGTCGCTCTCGTCTTCAATGTCTGAGCTTTTGATGTCATCATCGACCTCCGAGGTATCCTGAGGCGGAAGTGTAGCCTCTCCCTTCTCGTTTGGGGGAGGTTGGGACGCTTTAACCCATTCTTGTATGAGTAGCAAGTCTTGAGGTAGCGTTTGAGGGACCTTGAAGTCCATTGGTGGCGCTGCGCCTGGGCGTTTAGTCGTGGTTCGGGTCAGACACCCCTAAGAGGCAAAAATTTCAATTGCAGGAATTTCCGTTTTTAGCACACGTGTCTTTCCAACTCTCCGTCACTTTTCTGCCCTGGCACCATCCCTCTTCCCTTCCTTCCACCTCAAAATGTTGACCCTCACCTCCCGGAGACACCCAACGTCCTTCATAAGGACTTTCCAACGGTGTAGTGCCTACTCGACGGCACCCCCACCTCCAGCAAAGGTCCCGCTGGCGCTCGTTGCGGAGCTACGCAAGCAAACACAAGTGAGCATCTCCAAAGCTCGCGAGGCGCTTTTTGCATCCAATGGCTCCATACCTGGCGCGCTCGAGTGGCTGAAGAACGACCTCGCCACCTCCGGCGCAAAGAAGGCCGCCAAGGTCGCGTCCCGGGAGACGAAGGAGGGGCTGGTGAGCACCGCGGTTCTCTCCCCTGGGGCTGGGTTCCCCGGCACAGTTGGCGCGGTGCGCGCGGCGCTCGTTGAGCTGAATTGCGAGACGGATTTTGTTGCGCGGAACGATCTGTTCGCGCAGCTCGCGGCGGACATTGCGCATACCGCAGCGTACATGTCCGAGGCGAAGGAGGGTGCCAAGGTCGGTTTTGCGTCGGTTGGGCTGGAGGAACTGAAGGAGTTCCCGCTCATCTCCAAGAGCAACCCCGGTGCGGTGTCGTCTGGGACCACTGTCGCCACCGCCATTCGCGACACTATCGTCAAAGTCGGCGAGAACATTTCTTTGCGGAGGGCAAGCGCCATCGTCGAGGATGCCCCCCTCGTTCCTTCGCCATCAACGCGAAGCGTGCTGAACCTGGGATCCTACATACACGGTGGGCTCTCAGGGCTCCCATGTGGTCGCGTCGCGTCACTCATTCTCCTCAATCTTCGCTCCTCTCAAATATCGCAACTGCTTCAACAAGAAATCTTCCGCCAGAACCTTGCACACCTCAACCGTGCATTGGCGCGTCAAATTGTTGGATTCGAAACATTATCCATCCAGCATTCTCCTGATAACGAGGTCCCCGAGCTTGCCTTGTATAACCAAGAGTTTGTGATGCTCGGTGGAGATTTGGCCTCAAGTCCAGTTGAACAGGCTCTGCGTAACTGGTCGTTAAAGGAGAAATTGACTGAAAGCTCAGGAGAGAAAGGCGGCGTTGATGTGGTGGACTTTTTGAAGTGGAAAGTTGGAGAAGGAGACGCATAGGCTCTCACCTTCGACAGTCATGACTGTTTGAATTACCCCAACTCTTGTTATCTACAAAGTATAGAAACAATAAAAACACGCGTAAAATCGCCCATCCAATGCTCTCGTCCCTGTCATGCTGACACTTCTATGAACACAACATTGTGAGTAGTAACTAGTCTGTATATTTCTACAGATCGTACAGAAGATGCACCCTGGCTCAGAGAGCTGTAAAAAGGGTCGGGGTATCCCAATCATTGCACCTTTATGTGCAAGCGCTTAACATGAGGAAGACCATGCCGATATTGTACAGTGAAATTGTTAGGATAGTCTTTAGTGCAAAGAGTCCTAGAAAACGTGGGTTAATTATCTGCGGAACCAAGAGAGGAAGAGCAGACACTTACACGTCTAAAACAACAGGACAGCAAGTTTCTCACGTCAGTGAGAATAGCACAAAGCGACAGGGAGCTTACATTGGATTCCAATGAACATGTAGTAGCTTCCAAGCCCCTTTGAATATATAATGTCAGTGGTGTTCAAGTCAGAACCGCGAATGGCATACAGTGAGGATGTGCCACCAGGCATGTCCTAAAGAGGGTCCGTGTCGGTTCCAGCTCTGACGTCGATGACTTCAAATCAATACGAACCTTCAAGGAAGAAAGCAGCTGGCCATCCAAGAGACAATTTCCATCGAGTGAGGTTATGGCAGAAGATATTGTCCAAGTTCCAAACGACAAATCCAAGAACGAATAATGCTGCACCAGTAGAGAAGAAGTTGGTAATTGTCGTTTTGGCTTTCTGAGAAATCCTCTCTGCAGCTTCAGGTTTGTGGAGGATGTACGTGACGCGCAACGTGTTAGAAACGACGAGGAAGCCGAACACGAGCTGGTGGTACACAGGGTTTCGATACAGCATGCTGCGCCATCGTCAGTGGGTGAACCGGGTAAAGGATTGCAGGGGACCCACTAGCTCCACGTGAATAGTATATCAAATGCCGCCAACAGGGCTATTAGAACCTTTGTTCGCGTCGAATGCAATCCATAGCCGGGCTTGTTATCGAAGAGGACCCAAAGGCTCATTGAGCCGACATAGATCATAGGTAGCTCGTCGGCGAGCTGGGCCTCGAACAGCAGGGTGGCATGGAAGAAGAAGCTACCCACGCCAACAAGAGCGACGCCCTAGAAAATCACAGGCCATCATCATGAGCGGCGAAGAGCGGGCGAAAGCGAGAAGCACGCTGACCAGGTACCCAAGAGAATAGCGCGTCGGGAGGCCTTCCTTTATTGCCTCTACGCAGCCTAGAACGGCGAGGGCGACGGTGAAGATATTCGACAGTGTATTGGCCATCTCTGCGATGTACGGCGAAAACTGGTGGTTGAGCTACACATCGAACAATGAGTAAGCCTGGATTTGATAACAGAAAGCCGAAAGACAAACCTCACACCAGTCGAGGGTGGCGGTGACGGGGCCGTACACGCCCTCATTCTGCAGCCACGGGGCAACCGATGTTAGGTTCAACATGGTGGTTGAGGAAAGAGATGAAAGGGCACATGGGTGGACGGGCAAGAGAGGACATAAAAGTCGGATTTGACGGTCCAGCCGGTGACAACTGTCCAATGATTGACGCGCCCATCGTCATCCTGCTGATTGAATTCGGGTTACTCCGTGATTCCCGCGCTCAGGGTCCAGTGTCCAGAAATAGCACATTAGTCATTGGAGTCACATGATGTGCCGTCCTTCGCTCCGGGGTGCGAAAGTGAGTTGCAGAGAACACTGAACGTTGAACAGCGACGATGAGGAAGTGCACTGCCGCTCTCTGGCGCACCTCACGGGCTGCTGCCCTCAAAACTCACCCCAAACCACGCCCACTCAGCTCTGCCGCACCCCCACCCAATGCCCAGGTCACAGTCTTGCCGAACAAAATACGCGTAGCAACTGAGAGCACCCCAGGGCATTTCTCGTCCGTCGGTCTCTACATCGACGCTGGGGCTCGATATGAGACATCCCATACATCCGGCGTCTCCCATTTCTTGGATAGGATGGCATTCAAGGTCAGTACCTTTAGCTCTCCTGTTCGGGACACAACTCACATGGTTGTAGAGCACCGGAACGCGCTCAGACGAGCAAATGTCCTCCGACATCCACTCACTCGGTGGACAGATAATGTGTTCATCGTCTCGCGAATCCATCATGTACCAGTCCTCCCATGCTCACAAAGGCACACCTCTCGCCCTCTCCCTCATCGCCGACACTGTCCTCAATCCCTCCTTCAAACTTGAAGAGCTCGAAGCTCAGCGCGATGCCGCGTACTATGAACTGCGGGAAATTACCTCCAAACCTGATATGATCCTGCCTGAAATTATTCACGGCGTCGCTTATAACAACCAGGGCCTCGGAAATCCGATGCTCTGCCCGGAGGACAGAATACCAGCCATGAACGCCGGACTGCTGAGCTACGGTATGTCGGAATGGTACAAGCCAGAACGCATGGTCGTAGCTGGCGCTGGCATGCCTCATGAAGAGCTCGTCGAACTCACAGACAAGTTCTTCTCTTCGCTCAAACCCTCGACAACAGCCGCGTCGGCCACACAGTCCGCCCAATCCCGACCGAACAACTCCGTCAACGTACCTCCACATCTACTTTCCCCTTCGTCACCTGGTGTAGCCAAGTCGCTCACCCGCGCAGCTTCTTATCTCTTCCCCCACTCCTCTCCCGTAGCTCCCAGCGTTGTTCCAAAATCTCCCACGTCAACATACACAGGTGGACACAAATTCATTCACGACCCGTCACAAGAGCTTAACCACCTCTACGTCGCGTTCGAGGGTCTGGGTATCCACGATGATGACGTCTACACGCTTGCGACGATGCAAGTCCTCCTGGGCGGTGGTGGCAGTTTCTCTGCAGGTTCGCTTTCTACTCATCTATCTTTAGCTCTCTTGACTTACGCACAATCCACAGGCGGACCCGGCAAGGGAATGTACTCCCGTCTCTACACCAACATCCTCAACCACTATCCACAAATCGACCACTGCGCCTCCTTCCACCACATCTACACCGACTCCTCCCTCTTCGGGCTCTTCGCCTCCTTCCTGCCCGCCGGCTCAGGCCTCTCGGGGGGCAACACCCCGAGCCAGATTCTTCCACACCTTGTACACCAGCTGAGCCTGTTGGTGTACATGGACGTGCCAAGGGATGAGCTCCAGCGCGCGAAGAACCAGCTTACGTCGAGCTTGATGATGGCGCTGGAGAGTCGGGCGGTAGAGGTAGAAGATCTTGGACGGCAGATTCTGGTGCACAATCGTAAGGTGCCAGTTACGGAGATGACGGATAAGATTAATGCCGTTACGCTGGAGGATGTGAAGAGGGTCGCAGCGCGGATATTTAGCCCCGACTCTGGAAGTAGGCCAACCGTTGTGTGCATGGGTCATGAAGACGTCGGCGACTGGGGTCCTGTCTTCACCAAGTACGGTCTTGCAGGTGCATGAGCTACCTGTTAATGGTGCTTGCTTGAGCCTCGTCGTTCGTTGGGTGCTTCATGACTAGATGCAGCATTTTACAGATACGTTACGCTAATTATTCATGTATTGCAATTGTGAATGCTATATTCTCCGCTCCAGGCTAAAGCACTGTCCTGATCTTCGTCCACCGTGTGTCGCGTCGAGTGCTCAAGTATATCTCTGAACCAGGCTGGGTGTCCATCCATGCACTTGGTGAAGTGGGCACCAGGTTCGTTGCCTATGAAGTCAAATCAGTGTCGCCGGAGTATCTGTTGCTGTAGGAAATACGCACCAAATACCTCTGCCCACACTCAAACGACCCCGCTTTCGAGCCCTCATCTAAGTTCAACGACAATACATCCCACACCGTCAGCTGCGCCATCCGATTTGCCGGTCTCCGCGACGTGCGTGCATCCTGCACAGTGAGCAACCGGAACGAGCGGACATCGCGTGGCGGGCAGATGATCTGCAGTTCTTTCTCGATGAGGTCTGCCAGCTCCTCGCGTTGTTTCTCAGTCTGCTTCCGGATATGAAGGGCGAGCCAGCCAGCTTCGGTAGGTGAGATACGTGTAAGAAGGGTCGCGGCGGTGTCGGGGTATTCGAGCTCGTCATATAGCGATTCTATACTGTCCGGAGGGCAGTCTGTTACGTGTTAAATTAACGACAGGCACCTCGAAGGAACATGTGGCATACCATCCTCGGTGGGTTGAAACCGACTGCCAGCTTTCCTCTCTAGACGGTCGATATACCCTTCATAACGCGAAACATCCTTTTCCAGATTGGCTCTTAGCTTCGAAGCCTCTACCTCTCGTCGCCGCTGCATACAACGTCAGGTGGATGAGTATGAGTAGAAGGTCCGCCCAAAATTTAACCTTCCACTGTTCATGAACCCGCATCTCCTCTGCTTCGTTCCACGGCCCTCGACGTTCTTTCTGCCCTTTCTCGTCTTCGACGGTCTCCAAAAATGCAACAGAATACGTCTACGACGAATCACTATCGAGCCAAGTGTGTAGAGACCCGACAAAATAAAAACTGACCTGAATGATAACGAAATCCAGAGCAGCAACAAGACCTCCGTCTGAAGTGAGACTATGCAGAGTTGAAACACACGGGCCCGCTGTGAAGCCCAACTTCGCATGCCAAGGCATAAGATGCGACGAATTGCCAGTCAGCACCAACGCTGTCGAGTTGTACGCCTCCAGAATCTCCATTGGGTCCTTCTTCTGGGTCGAAAGCTTCAAAATCGGAAAAAATGTTAAGCTCAAAGTTCTAACCTTTACACTCCCTTCAAGTCAACTTACTTTGGCACCGGCGATCCCCAGCTTCCTCCCAACACGCAATACGCCCTTCCTCGCTGCCCTGGCCATCGGTGCGTCAACTTGTGCCCGTAGGCGGTACCACCCGTCCGTCAACTCGAACTCGGGGTGAGGCTCGATGGGCAGGCCATCCTCTGTCCTGCCTCCAGGGCCCCAAATAATGTTCGAAATGCAGAGCACCATAGGAAACGCCGCCGGCGCGTCCTGATTAGCTAGTTTGCGGAGGGGAGGTCGAACACCAGCGTTCAGCTCACGTTCGTATCTGCATGGCCAAGATTTCAGTTTCAGGAGGAATTTCAGGAAGAACCACATACCGATAGAGGAGCTGCCGCATGACTTCCGCCCAGCACCATCTTCTCATCTCTGCATTGGACTCCTTCTCAGGTTCAAGAGTGACCATGCCTGCAAGTTTCCACAAGATGAGTGCCCAGTGGTTGTCTACCCATGGTTTCGTGGCGAAGGTACAGCCGCGAGTGAGGAGCTCCTGAAGTGCCTCTTTGGGACCCAGGATAGTCGGCGTCTCTAAACCCGGGGGCGGAGGTGTGGAGGAGCGTGTGTGGAATGTGTAGTACATTGCAGAATCTGGTGTAATTATTCGCAGTGTTGATGCATCACTAGACGAAGATCAGAGATGTCTGAATGGAGGAGAGATTCAAAAGCATATACGCACATGTCCACGGACTCCAGGTCGTCAAATTGCTGAGGCTGCAGACCCGAGGTCTCCAAGGTCTGTCTCTTCGGTGGGGGGACTGAACGAATTGATATTTGTCAATCACACAAAGTCGCGAAATTGATGTGAGCAGTCTTACCCAGGTCGAAGAACTTTCGTGGTACAGGCTTTTCTCGCGGAACAATATTGGGCTGTGGCGGCTGAGGTGTCCTAATCTTCGCAGCTTGAGGCATTGGCGACCTTCCAAGGCTAGAGGCAATGAGTGTTGACCGACCAGCTCCGCCGGGCCTCATGTTCGCTTTGAAGGGTGTGACGAAACGTGCAGGCCGCGTTCTCAGAGCCGAAGCAGGTGTATGCGTGCCAGGACGGAGAGGGGTGACGAACCCTAAAGAACTACTTGAGCCTGAATGTGGATGAGATGCTCGAGGCACTGTGAGGGGTGGGTTGGAAAGAGGAAGTGGAGTTACGCTTGTGGCTGTTGTGAAGCCTAGAGAGGTGCTTGGCCGACCTGGGTTAAGAGGCGATCCGTGGAAAGGAGGGTTATGTACGGAATGAACTTTCTTGACGAGCGGAGATTTAAAGGCTGTCGGTCGTTGCTGAAGGATGGAAGATGGAAGTCCAGCCCGCGAAAACCCTGTGCCAGCTGGACTCGGCGTTGCAGGGGTGTTCATAAGACTGGAAGCTGACTGCAGTGCGTGCCGTTGCGGTGAATGGCCAGCATGATGAGACGCTGATTTGAAGCCAACTTGGGGTGCTTGCTTTTGGAGAAGATTTGAAGAACCGGCATTTTCGTCGTTCGTCCCATATTGGGGCACATCCTCCTTCTCCCAGGCAGCAATCCTGGCTTGAGCTTTTGCCAATGCCTCCTTCGACGGTACGATAATCGTCCTCGAGGTATCCTTCAACTTCGCCGTCGTAAAACCTACGAACGACGTGGGTGCCACAAAATGTGCTGGCAGCTCTGCGGAAGCAGGTTTGAACCAAGCCTCGAAGTCGGCCCCAGTGGGTTGAGCTTCAGGAGATGGCGATCTTTCGTAGTCTTTGCTTAGGTTGAGAGCTGAGGCGGACGTGAAGCCGACCATGGCAGAAGCTGAAGAGAATACTGCTTGCGCTTTCGGTGCTTTTGCAGCAGACATAAATCCATGACTGAAGGGGTTGTCTGGGTCGTCGTGGAGTCCTGTAGCCTTGCCCGACTCTGAACCAGGCTTTGGGAACGAAGAAGACGGTTCTCGAGGTTGAGCATCATCCCACTCAGGCTGCTTTATCGCGTTCAATGAGCCTGATGTTGTAGAGAATCCGGCCCCATCCCGCTCCTGTGAAGAATCCTGTTGGTTCTCCTGCGAGAGACGCGCCTCAATCTCGTCGAATGCAATGAGATCATGTTCTGTGAGATCTTCAACCTCGTATGTTGGGGATGAAAGCCTTTGGCGTTTTCGAGCAGGGGAGCTTGAGGCTAAATGGGACTCAAGTCAGCTCGTTGTCAACTTCCTGTGTTCCGTGTACATACGGGACTGAGCCATATTCTGCGCGCTGGGCATTGACGACCTTGTCACGGTACCGCGTTTCAGCAACAAGATGCTATGTCAGCAAATCTCACGCCCCTATTTGGGAGGATTTAAAGTAACTCCCCCCTGGCTTTCTGGTAAGTACAACTTGTTCTAGCTCCCATGTGTTTATATACGAGCGATGAATATGATACGATGAGAATTTTCTTGGATGGACAGAAAGACGGATTAAATGTCAACTACTATTGCAGGATTCCGTTTATCGTCGCGGAAACCGCCTATAGATGATGCATTGACAAGAAGACTTGAACCCTCCTTCCCTCGGCCACCGAACAGTCGCTGAACGGCACCTAAGATGACCCCGAACAAAGAATACCAGCCCCCTTGTCCCGCGAGAATGTTTTCATAAGCCAATTGGTCGTCTTGCCATGGTACACATTCTACTCCACGCGCAGCATGGATGTGACCGAAAACATGCAATCGCGGTCTGACGCGCCAAAGCACACGGAGTAGCGCCAAACAACCGTACCCGGCATCGAGGTGGTGAGCAGGAGGTCCATGGGTGATGAGAATGTCTGTATTTAGAGGAACCTCTGACCAGGGATCTGTTTCTGCCGAGTCATACGAAAGATGCACTACCCTGGGGTATTGAAACAGCCAGGAGCCATGCTTCGGTGTTTGTGGGCTGCCGTAGACGTTGAGTTGACGGTCATGGATGGAGAGCGTGGCAGACGTATCGTGAAGGTAAGTGAGATCGGGGTAAAGGGTTCGGAGGGCCCCTCGGCAGTCAAGATTGGACAGACATTGGTCATGGTTCCCTGCGATGAATACTTTGTGGGCATGCGGCTGCGAAACCAGCCAATCCAGCGCGTCCTTGAGTTCTCCTTCTGTACCTGATTGAGTAAGGTCGCCGGAGTGAATGAGGATGTCGCCCTGGGGTAGAGGCGGTAGGTCATGGTGTGCATTATGCGTGTCTGACACACAGACGACACGGATTGGCTTTGAGGGAAGCAGTGGGCGCAGGGTGAGGGGAAAGTGATTGTGGATCAAACGAGCAAAGAAAACTAAGGGTTCCTCGAAAAACTGCTCCCAAGCAGAAGGTGGACCTCTGTTGAGGATGCTATCGAGGCCGTGCGCCATACTCCTCGAGGAAGCACCGGGGAAATGGGAAATTACTCGGAGGTGCTTGGAAGAGATAAACAAAGGAGCAATTTCCTTTTCTGCCGACTTGTTGGCTCCTCGGCCAGCTGCTCATTTTACCAAGTCCGCTCAGAAAACACTGTCACCGCTGACCCTCGTTATACCCCTCCGCACTTTCCTCCATGAACGCTGAACGCGTTCCACAGCAAAGCGCGCCACCGGTACGACAAGCAAAGCCTCCACCCACCGGCCCTGCACCTCCGGCACCTGCCACTGCACCTCCTGCACCTCCGAACCACACACACAGTGCGTCGGAAACTGTTAACAAGTATAGCATGGAATCACGCTCATAGCCTCCATGGTTCTATTCTAGGTGTCAATGGTCACCCCCCACCGCAGAATGCGAAGGGGAAGAAACGGAATGACGTCCCTGTTGACCCTGCCACGATGTACGAGTCCCTCAAAAGTCGAATAGCAGCTTTGGAAGAGGAGGAGGTACTTGAAGAAGAAGAGGAACGAAGGTTCGGTATGTGTATACTTTGCTGTGGCAGACCAGCGCAGCCTTTCACAGCATGTCACTCGTTTACAGCTGAAGAAGCTCAGAAATCAGTCAAGGGCCTCGAGGAGAATGCCGTGCACAGCAGATATATCGAGCTGGTGAGCGCTTATGCAAGACTACTTATAGACGGGCGTTGGTAATGTGTGGAAATCTAGTTTGCGGAACTAAAGCGCGTGGAGCGAGACCACGCAAAGGAGAAGCAGAAATTGGTTAAGGACAAGGATGCTGGTATGCTCTGCAGCTGAACATTTACCCTCTACATGATGTATTAACGAAAAGCCGATGCTTAGCCAAAAGTCAATTGACGAAGGCGAATCAGACCAAGACCAAAATGGAGAACCTTGCTCGCGAACTCCAGAAAGTGCGCCAACGCCCCCTGCTTCACTTCCAACCCATATTATTTCTCATGACTTGATCTTTAGGACAACAAACGCTTACGGGTACGATGGGCCCTTGTTTATACCAATCACTATTGAACACGCTGAACTATGGAAACAGGAGGACGGCAAACGGCTGGCCCAGAGCGTGGAAGAAGCTCAAGAGGAGGTGTGTGACCCCCATACGAGGGCCATGAACTTGGAAATTCAACTCAGGAACAGCTCCTGCGGATGAAAAATGACTTTGCGAAACGTGTCGACAAGACTAAGCAGCAGGACGTCAAGTACCGAGAAGCGCCCGACATCGTCGTCAAGGTCGTCTGTCGCTACCGCCACGAACTCTTCTTCAAGATATCTCGCAAGATAAAACTCTCGCGTCTGATCAACTCCTGGAAGGAACGGATGGAACGTAACTGCGGGAGCAGCGCTGATGGGAAGGAGAACGGATCTGCCAACACAGATGCTGCGAGCACTAATTCTTCGTCGAGTTCCGCGTCGAGCCTTGGGATGGACTTCATCTTCACATACAATGGCAGGATGCTGGACGCTGAGCAAACTCCAGAGGAGATTGGAATTGAGGAAGGGGATGAGATTGTGGCTGTCGAGCTGATGGATTTGACAGAGAATGGCGGTGGATCGGAAGAATGGGTGAGTGTCGCATTGGGACTGACGGTTTTTTTGGTTTTTTTACGAAGTCCAGGAGGAGCATGTGGAACCCAGACGCGAAAAGTTGAAGAAGGAATGGAAAGACGATCCAGAGGAGTATGTATTTGGACATTTTTTATCTTCTCTCTGGTTTTCAATTGAATATCTTGTTTCAGAGCTAAACGTTCAGTGGAGGAAATCTTCGACAGCGTGTATGATAATTTCTGTGTCCCCAAGGTAAACCAGTACTAACAAATCGTTTTGACAGCGTTCGTGAGAGACTGAAGGAGGTCCTTCGTCAATACGAGCTTCGGGAGCGTCATTTCGAATGCGTCATTCGATCAAAAGAACTGGAGGTATTATTATCTCGTGCTCGTGCGGCAGAGCAAAAACAGTTAGCAGAGGGCGAAAAAGGTCGGGCGAACAAGCAAGAGGATGAGGTATGCGCCCTTTCGCATAACCCTACATAATACCCCACTCCTGAACCAATAGCAACTGCCTTTCCACTATCTCTTTCGCGCTTCTCTCGCTGTCCACTCCTTAACTCCGTCCACTCCTTCCCCTCTCAGAACCGTCAGCTCAGAAAGGACCTGGAAGACGCTCAGAATGGGCAAACTATGCTCATTGACAAGCTGATCACCTGCTGTAAAGAGGTATGAATCGGCCGTCCGCGAAAGGGCAGTCTCAAGCTAAAGCGGGCTTGCTTGTATAGATCATCCAGAAGCCCAATGCAGAGAGGACACAGCGTCTTTTCGCCTCTCTTCGGGAGGAGCTGGAACGAAAAGGTCCTAGGACGGCTGCGAAGAAGCTCCCAGATAGTCCTGCTGGCGGGTGAAAGCCGTCGGCCTATAGTCTGATGGTTTCTTCCTAGTTCTGAAAAACAAGCGGACGTTGAATCCACTGTCTTGGTGTGAAATCTGAGAGTAACGTCACTTGGGCATCAGTAACAGAAAAGAGAACAAGTCCAAATCTAAATCGAATCAATTATGGATTATATCCTTGGAGGTATGTATGTGGGTAATTAATCCGAGCCATCTAACAATGAAGCCTTGTCCTTGTCCGAAATGCAGTAGAGTACAAGTCCTTTTGATTTATTTCGTCCATTAAGCCAATGCATCCAGCTCTTCCACAGTCTCAACCAATCCCGACTTGGAGAACACCTTGCCTTTCACGGCATTGAGACCCTCTCCGGCATAACTCACAAGTGGGGAAAGCTCGATCTCAACATCTTCATTGACTTGAGCACCTGCACTTTCTAAGAACCTCTTGTGTTGGGCCAAGAGATCGCGGCGACTGGTTTCTGGGTCGTCAGAACCAGTTCCAGGGGCGTTCTTGAGAGGGCTGAATTCTTCCTTTCTCTCCACTTCCAAAACCGCAAAGCGCTCGGTATGAGGGAAGACATCGAAGACGAACATTTCCAGCTTCATTCCATTGGGCTTGGCTGGCTTCACGGATCCGCCGGTCTCCAGATCAACGTGTGGGATCTTCTTCCTGGCAATGTGGAAGGCGAGGTCGTCCTCAAAGGTTTCAACCCTGTTCAAGAAGGAGGTGGTATAGAAATGGTTGGCGATGTTTCCTGCGCGGAAGGACAATTCGCCAGTCTCCGGGTCGCGTCGCTCAGCTTGCTCTTTGGAAATCTCGGAGTACTCGACGACGCTAAATTTATCTCCTCGACATGCGACAACGCCAACAGACTCCGCGGGGTGGGTTTTGGGAACGACCTTTGCTGCGCAGTCGGCTTGCTTTTGGATGCTGTAGCCAAGGAAGACAGGATCGGCGACACGCACGAGGCAGTTGTCAACGCAGTAAGCATGGACGTAAAGAATCTTGCGTTTGGCGAGGTCTGAGAGGACCGTGTCGGGTTTGCCTGGGGAAAGAGGGGATCGTGTGGCAGCATATACACCGCCGTTGCCGTCAGGGGCGACAGCTACCTTCGATGGCGTCTCGAGAAGGACTTTGCCCTCCATCGTCAAACAAGGAAGTGTTCCTAAATGGTACAATAAGTATGTCTTCAAACCAGGTGATTGATGTGCAAACCTTGCTCAAAGAAGACGACGTTCTTAGGGTTCAGGCCGAAATAGGCGTTCTTCTTGAAGAACTCTTCTGTGTCGCGACGCGTTGGGCCACTCGTCATGACGTACCAAGGCACAACGACTGAACCAGCAGGTTTCGAGCCTTCTAGCTCGGCGACGATTTGCAAACGCGCGATACGCTCTGCCTGGTATTGGAAGAGCGACTTGTGGGAGGGGAGGCCTATATCATAGCAGCCTTTCGGTGCACTGCTCCCTAGCCTAGTTCCTTGCCCGCCAGCCATGAGCAGAACGCCCACCTCACCCCGCCCAATCGCCTCTAGACCGATTTTCCGCCATTCTTTCGCTTTCACCTTGTCGGTGACAGATTCTGACGCGCCTTTTGGTAGAGGTTGGATCATCTCGACCTGGACGGTAGGATCGAGTATCTCTGCTTCTGAGGCAACCGCCTTTGCGTAGACGCGATTAACGCGTTCAATGTTCAATGCCTCGAGCTGTGCCTTGAGCTCTGCTTGTTGTGCTTCGGTCAACTTCGACCAGAACTTGAAGAGATGGCCTTGACCAGCGGCCTCGTAGCGTTGCATAAGGGTATCGATGGACATCGCGATAGCGTACTGAGATGGTGAACGTGTGTGTAGAGGTGAATTAATGAGCTGGCGAGACTTTGGGTTCGGACTTTGCCGCACCGCTCGACGTCATGGCTGTGAACGGACCTGTGTCTGATGCTCTCCTCTGTCTCTACGCCCTCCGTCGACCATAGCCTCGGGGCGGAAAACCAGCGCTCAGTGCATGAAGGCTAAGCTTGAAGACGAAAGAGTCGTCGCATTCTTCCGAGATTTCAGCGTGGGAGCAGGCTGGTCGATTCGTGTTGTTAAACGCTGCGACATCTGCACGGTCAAGAAGCAAAAATAACGCGATTTTTCACGCAAAGCAACCGGTTTCCATTTTTTGTGGTTCATGACGAGCTGCAAGGCTTCCATTTGTCTGCGAAGCAGAATCACAAAAGCATTTCTTGGGCTGATGGACGTGGGCTCACGAGACCTCCGTCTTGTCGCCCTTTAGGCTCATTGCTCTCACCTCCGCTACGAGCGCTCGGCCTTACCAGAAATATCTCTTTGAGGGTCCGAATAAGGTGAGAGCCCATCAGAAGACGCGCGGAGATGCCTTGTTCAATGGGATGATCAAGTCAGGCGATTCACAAGCCCAAAGGGTTCCACCTCGGGTGCTGCAGAGCTCCCAGCATATTTGCTCTTGGCTGGGGCTTTCATCTCGCTGAGAAGCCCGTCCTCGTCGCTGTTTGCTCTCCTGGAACTTTCTTCTTGACAAGCACTGAATGACACGCTTTGCGTCCGCTGCTGTCCAGCGGCGTCCTTTCTCGGGCTTTATCTCCTGCCATGCAATGAGCAGAGGAATGGCAGTGAGCACACATGCACCAAGGACATCGCGCTTCGTACTTGGAGGTTCCTACTTTCTGTCAGTAAGGGCACGCCAAGATGCGTCTTGACGGCATAGTGCCGTATAAATGACTAGCTACCCACCACAGACCGATCTTCCGGTCGTCCTCTCGCGGCGGATCTATTATTGGGGTTAATCGCATTAGCTTCTCTCGTAACTCTATCGATCGAAACTTCCCAGCGTTTTTTCTATAAAGATGATTGCTACCCAACGACGAGCAACCCAACCCTCTCCACCCTCTGCACCACCTCGGTTATGGGTTCCACGCTGCGCAAGCTGGTCACCCTTCTCGGCGCCGTATCTCTCGTTCCGAGTATCTTTGCTCAGACTTGGGGGTTCCCTTATGGCTCTCAGAAAGTGAGAGGCGTCAACCTGGGTGGATGGCTCGTGCTCGAGGTGAGGCGCGTTTCTTGGATATCAGATAACATCTAATCACGGAGGCAATAACGACGCGTTGTTGCAGCCTTGGATCACGCCTTCGCTCTTCGACAACACCGGAGACTCGAGGATCGTGGACGAATGGACCTTTGGTCAATACCAGGATCGTGCAAGGGCCCTAAGCGTCCTACAGAATCATTGGAACACGTGGATTACTGAGGCTGATTTTGCTGCTATCGCTGCCGCTGGGTGAGTTGACATTGATCGAGCCTCGAGCCTTCTATAGAAGACGCGTAGGATCTAACGGAACTCCTTCCCTTGTGCACAGGCTCAATCACGTCAGGCTACCCATCGGATATTGGGCTTTCGATGTATCCGGTGGCGAACCTTTCATTCAAGGGCAACTTCCGTACTTGACGAGGGCAGTCAACTGGGCTCAAGCACACGGGCTGAAGCTTATTATTGATCTGCATGGTCAGTGACGCGTGTTTCACGCTCTTGGTCGTTAATGACGCGTCGTGTTACGTTCCGTTTCTCTATAGGAGCCCCTGGAAGCCAAAATGGGTGCGTAGGGTGACCAAACTATCCTTCCATGCAACTCATACATCGTTTAGATTTGACAACTCCGGTCAGAAGATGGATTTCCCGTACGCCTACCCCACCTCTTTCGTCTCAGCTGAGTACTCATGAAGCACTATTTCAGCCAATGGCACACCCGGCAGAGCAACGTTGACCGTACTAATGCGATCATCAAGCGCCTTGCTTCCATGTTCGCTGGCAATACAGGGGTTGTGCCTGTTATTGCACCCCTGAACGAGTCCGTGACTTTTCCTTGCTACATGGGATAGCAATTCACGAGACCTTGACCCATCCTAGACCGGCAGGGTTCCACGGAAACCCATTGCTTGCAGTGACGAGACAGTTCTGGTACGACAGCTATGGAAATATTCGGTGCGTCTATGTCTGCTACCTATTATCATATTTTACTGACTGGTAGACGATAGCTGGCCATTCGGAACATCTCAGCAGAGCAACCTTGTAGTGATGATCCACGACGCCTTCCAGCCTTTGTCGTATTGGAATGGTTTCATGCAGCCCCCTAACTGGCAGGGAGTGATTCTGGATACCCATATCTACCAGATGTTCTCGGTTGCTGTAAGTCTCTTCTCTGCTTCTGAGTAATCACCTACTAACCAAGATGCAGGAAAACCAAATGAGCAACGCCCAACATATCGCAACCGCCTGTGGCAAGGCCAACTCAATCATCAACTCTCCTCTTTGGACTGTTGTCGGCGAATGGACCGCCACAGCAAATGACTGTGCCAAGTACCTGAACGGACGTGGTGTTGGTTCGCGATACGATGGCTCTTATCCCGGATCGACCCGTGTCGGCAGTTGCACAGGTCTGACGGGGAGGGCGTCGACCTTCAGCACGGCGTACAGGACCTTCCTTCGTCAATACTGGGAGGCTCAGGTCCAAACATACGAGAAAGGTCAAGGTTGGATCCAATGGACTTGGAAGGCTGAGATCGCAGATGAGTGGACCTACCAGGCTGGCCTGGCTAACGGATGGATCCCCAGGAATCCAACCGCCTACCAGTATCCTAATATCTGCGGTTGAACCGCGATTGAACTTTCGAAGCTCAAACACGCGTATTTCTCTTCCCTCTTGTTTTCTTTCCCTAACATCCACCACGACACAAACAATGTCTATACCTTTCAGATTTATCCGTAATACCCGCGCCCCTGTGTTTCTATGTTTTGTATTTTATGTACCGCGTCACGACATACGCGTCTTCAAGCTCCGATTCCATTCAAACGAACACGATGCATTTGATTGTCGCAGTTATTTCTGCATAAACAAATAAGCACGTATTTGGCCAGTTCTGCTTCACGAGAACGTGCGCAGAGGAGACTGATTCCAAAAAGGGATAATACTACTGCAAATGGACAATCTCCGGAAGCTCCGTTTAATCGATCGCGATCGTCGGCTTCTCGGGTCCTGAAAGTGATCCCCTGCGGCCACCATGCTTGATGCCAAACCACCATCAACCTATTTACAAAGACGGATTCGACGTACTTCCACCACAAAGGAAGGGCTCTAACAAAATGGCAAGCGGACCTTCAGATTTCTCAACGCGATCAACCAGCGGAAGTCCTTCGGCTGTTGCCAGACGCTTGGACAATCCTTGTCCGCTGCCTCGCAAAATGCTATCTCGCTATGGAAATTTTGAAAGGCTGGTGCCGCAGCCCCTGGACCTGGTTCGACGATCGATCTGCGGACCTGGTGGCTTAGTCCCCTTCTATTCAAGCTATAAAGGCAGGTCAGCCTCCTCGCTATTGAATCGTCTTTTGTCCCCACAGTCGTTACCATGCTTTTCACCGCCGTCGTATACGGCCTGTCACTCGTTCATTCTATCAACGCTCTTACATTTGGCTTCCCCTATGGATCGCAGAAGGTGCGAGGAGTAAATCTGGGTGGTTGGCTCGTTCTCGAGGTACGCCCCTCCCCCTGTTTTACTGGTCGCTCATTGTCCTAAAAGTCCCCCTTGCCAGCCTTGGATTACCCCTTCTCTCTTCGACAGCACTGGAGATTCCCGGATTGTCGACGAATATACTTTTGGTCAATACCAAGACCGCGCGAAGGCTCTTGCTACCTTGAAAAAGCATTGGGACTCCTGGATCACGGAGGCCGACTTTAAGGCTATCGCAGCTGCTGGGTGTGTTCTTCTCCCGTGTTTTCTCTATGCCCTCACCAATCTGGGGGCACAATAGCCTCAATCACGTCCGCCTGCCCATAGGGTACTGGGCGTTCGATGTATCTGGTGGAGAGCCCTTCGTCCAGGGACAGCTTCCCTATCTCACCAAGGCAATTACATGGGCGCAGAAGTACGGATTGAAAGTCATTATTGATCTTCATGGTGCGTAATGTCTTTTCTGTAAAAGGGTGCAGCTGGATTAAATGCCGTGCAGGTGTCCCAGGAAGTCAAAATGGCTACGATAACTCTGGGCAAAAGAAATCCTATCCGTATGTCCCACTATATTTCACTTCAAGCTGCGTGCTCAACTCAAGATAGCCTATGGCACACCCAGCAATCCAACGTCGACCGCTCAAACGCAATTATTAAGAGGATCGCGTCCACTTATAAAGATATGACCGGCGCTGTTCCCGTTATTGCACCTCTGAACGAGTAAGAATCCCGTCTGACAGAAAGTACGGTGGATCTAACCTTTCGTAGGCCCGCCGGATATTTCGGTGACGACGTTATGAGGGTGGTCAGGCAGTACTGGTATGACAGCTACGGCAATATTCGGTGAGGTTTCTCCATCGCGCATCGGGCAGTGCCTCATTCTCCTCTTAGGTGGCCCTATAGAACGTCGCGTCAGAGCAACACAGTTGTGATGATTCACGACGCCTTCCAACCCTCTAGCTACTGGAGTAACTTCATGTCTTGGCCTAACTGGGAAGGGGTCATCATGGATAAGCACGTCTATCAAGTCTTTTCAGTCGCCGTAAGTTACTGATTCGTCCCTTCGAGGTGACACGTTAATTGACGCCCAGCAACGTATTAGGAAAATCAAATGACCAACGCGCAACATATCCAGACCGCTTGCGCCAAAGCAGCTGATTTAACCTCTAACACCCTGTGGACCGTTGTGGGCGAGTGGTCGCCCGCTCCCAACGACTGCGCAAAGTACCTGAACGCCCGTGGCGTCGGTTCCCGCTACGATGGCACCTACCCAGGCTCTACTCGCGTTGGAAGCTGCGACAACCTCACAGGGAGCGGAGCGAACTTCACCACGGAGTATAAGACCTTCCTCCGACAGTTTTGGGAAGCTCAGGTCATCTCGTATGAGAAGGCGCAAGGGTGGATTCAATGGACATGGAAGGCCGAGAACGCCGATGAGTGGTCTTACCAGGCGGGCTTGAAGTACGGTTGGATCCCTCAGAAGCCCACGGACCTGAAGTATTCCAACATCTGCATTTGAATCTACGCTGCTCTATGCGCGGCGCGCCATGCCAAAGGCACCAACATCACTCATTTTTGGATAGTGCTTTACTTGCGGCCACATTCGTTTCTTTTTAGTCGTTCGTTTTTTGTACGTTACTGTTGTTATATAGCTCAAATAATGGGGATCGTTGCACTGGCTTTCGAGTGCGTGCGTACTGACGCCTCCAGATGCGCACTCACACAGAGATACGGAAATTGATTAGCGCCCGGCGGATCGATCGGAGACTCGGCCTCTACGACTGCGCTCGATAATTATTTAAAACCGGCATCTGCCTACAGTCAAATATCCAAAAGCGCAACATACTCTACGCTCATAGTCTTCAGAGACAATGGAAGACATAGATAAGGAACCCGACTTGCGAGGACGAGGGATGGCGCGTCTGTGTTCCCGGCCTCCTCTCCGGACGGAGGTCCAGGGCTTGGCGCCGGCTTTTGATTGTGCTGGACAACACACAGTTGCTTATGTATTCGTTTATGCATTCTTCCAGACCCAGGAACCGTGCCTTCCTCTAACGGCATCAAGGAACGCTCGTGCTCGCCGCGATGCATGTTTCTGAGCGCTCTTGTGGTGTACTCTCTGCAACAGAATTCTTATACACGCTACACCAGAGAGTACCCTCGGAGGTCTCCCAAAACGCGTCCTTGGGTCTTCGCGTTGGTTGACCAGAAGTAGGGGCGCCACCGCCTCTATACATCAACGCAGCGCCGGCAAATTCGAACGCGTCCTCGTCCAGGAGCGCGCGTCTCAGGAGGTCCGGTAAAAGGCGCAATCGAAATCAAACCAACACAGGCAAGGCACCGCGGCAAACCGGCATGTCAGACTGCAGTTCCGCGAGCCTTAAATGCAAAATGCGTACAAAAGCGACCTGTAATCAGGCTTGGATCCTGTCTCCTTTCGCGAGCGTCTTCGCATCCCCTCCCTCCTCCACTCGGCGTCGAATTTTGTCGTCGTCGTCGTTTTTAATCCGCCCTCACACTCTTTTGTACTGAAGCAACGTCACTCTCTTTCGGATGAAATTCCCCTCTCATATTATGGCGAGTGCCGTATGCGCGCTCTCCCTCGCTCCGTCTGTCCTCGCCGTACTTACCTTTGGGTTCCCCTACGGACGCACGAAAGTCCGGGGCGTCAGCTTGGGCGGTTGGCTCGTCCTCGAGGTACGCGCGTTGCACCTTTTCATGGCATGAACAATATTGACTAGATAATGTGAACAGTCCTGGATAACCCCCTCCCTCTTCGACGCCACCAATGACATGCGCATCATCGACGAATGGACCTTCTCGCAATACCAATCACGCTCCAAAGCCACCTCCGCGCTCAAGAAGCACTGGGACTCCTGGATCACCGAGGCGGACTTCAAGGCGATCGCTGCGGCGGGGCTGAACCACGTCCGGATACCGATAGGGTACTGGGCGTTTGACGTCTCGGGCGGAGAGCCGTTCGTGCAGGGCCAGCTGCCGTATTTGACCAAGGCGATTGGATGGGCGGGGAAGTATGGGTTGAAGGTTATTGTCGACTTGCACGGTACGGAATTTCTTTCGTCTTTTGAGCCTTCGCGTACTCAACTTGGGCGATTAGGTGCCCCAGGAAGTCAGAACGGCTTTGACAACTCCGGCCAAGCCAGACCCACGCCGTAAGCAACCCACTCGTCTGTATCAACTCTCGTACTGACTGCTTCTCTAGTCAGTGGCACACCAACTCAACCAACGTCAAACGGACCAACGCCATCGTCAAGCGCATCGCCTCATTATACAAAGACAAGAGCGGCACCGTGTCAGCCATCACACCTCTGAACGAGTGAGTACCCATGGGCGCCTATTTAATTTAATGTTGCCCAGGGTGGCATGTGCTTCTTTTGCTTGGCTCGGCGTCTAACTTGGGGATGTGATCTAGGCCTGCGGGGTACGTCGGCGGGACGATTATGGATGTCGTGAAGCAGGTAAGCTCTCTTCACTTGCCGAGGATATGGAAGAGGGCTGATGAGGCTTTTCGGCGTGCGTTAGTTTTACTACGACAGCTACGGAAGTATCCGCTGGCCGTACGGCACGTCGCGTCAGGGAAACACCGTCGTGCTCCTCAGCGACGCGTTTCAGGCGACGGCGTACTGGCGCGGGTACATGCCGTACCCGCAGTGGGACGGCGTCATCATGGACACCCACATCTACCAGGTGTTCACGGATTGGGTGGGTGCTCTGAATCCTTTTACCGTTCTCGCAAAACTAGGCGCTAACAAATTGGACGCTAGGAAAACCACCTCACGCAAGAGCAACACATCGCCGCCGCCTGCGCGCGTGCCTCCGACATGACCTCCGCCTCCCTCTGGCAAGTCGTCGGTGAATGGTCCGCCGCCTCGACGGACTGCACCAACTCGCGTTCCTTCTTCTCTCGCGGGTCCGGATCGCGGTACGAGGGGACGTACCCCGGGTCCACGCGCGTCGGCTCGTGCGCCGGGCTCACGGGCAAGGCCAGCACGTTCAGTACGGGGTATAAGACGTTCTTGAGGAGGTTCTGGGAGGCGCAGGTGGTGACGTACGAGAAAGCGCAGGGGTGGATTATGTGGACGTGGAAGGCGGAGAATGCGGATGAGTGGTCGTACCAGGCAGGGCTTGCGAATGGGTGGATACCGAAGAAGGCGACGGATTTGAAGTATAGGAATATTTGTGGATGAGGAGTGGGGGGTTCTACAGCGCGTTTGGGGTTGATGCTGTTTCGTTTGGGATGTTGCTGTGGGTGATCATATTCGCATTCGTTCGTTCGTTCGTTCGTTCTTTTCTTCCTGGGTTGTCGCGTTGGACTTTGAATTGTTCTGTATACTTCTTTCTTTCCATCCGTTGTTGCCATCACTCCTTTTCTCTTCAACCCCTCCCCACTTCGGTCCTCGACACCTCACACTCGTTTATACCTGTACCTCTCTGAGTAGTAGAATTATCATTACCTTCATTCATAGTCAGCTGTAGACAAATGAAAACTTATCGTCTCACAAAACTGCGCAGAGACGTCCGGCGTCGTGTTCATTCCATCCTCTAAATGGTCTATTACCCAAGATATAAGATATCCATGCAAAGTCTAGGGTCATGAATCATCTTTTAGGTCCCGATCCCGCGCAGCCTTGTACAGGTTGATGATAATGTCGTTCGCGGTCAGCGTGACGATTCTATACGCCAATTCTCATCAATGGACTACTCAGCGATTCATCAGACCGAGCAGAGCACTCACGTATGCGGCGCGATGCGCAGAAAGTGCGCCGTTGAGCCTATAACACACACCACACCGAAGGTCTCAGCCGCCTACACGAACACAACACGAGGCAAGACAAGGAGAGGCGCACCCTTATACCACCCCTTCACCCCCTCCGCCTTGAATGTCTTCCACAAGCAGTCTATCGGGTTCTTGTAGAGCGTCCCGCGCACTTTGCCGTCCGGACCGACTATCGTCGGCTGGTTGTACATCCGCGTTAGGGCGGTGTCGGCGGGTTGCATCGCGAGACACTGTATTGTAGGTTATATTATTATGAGGTTAGTGAATGATGGTGGAGGGAAGGAGGGGAGAGAAAGGGGAAAGAGACGCACGACACACGCGCCCGACACGCTACTGCTGACGAGGAACGTCCAGGTGCTATTCGCAGGTAGGATGTCGTGCTTCACGAGCTGGTTCTTCGTGAAATTATAACTCGGCAATTGTACCTATGCCAATGTGTCCATAATCAAAAGAAACGGATTGGATTGGCTTCGGTAAGCTTGCGATAACCCGAACACGTAAAGACCAAAAGCTAACCGAAGACCCCATGGACGTGCGTAGGATGGCCGCATCGATGCCGCGGACCAGCCCTCGTAGGCCCTCGGCTTTGAAGATCGTGGATAGCGCGTGGAAGGAGCTTTTGTAGTAGTGTTGTGCGCCGACGGGGAGGGCTGGGGAGTATGCCTGGGTGGGATGTCTCAGTATTTGGGCTTTGTGAGGGTTGGAGAGATGCGAACCTGCATACGGGCTTTGATGAGGAAGAGGGGGTTGCCGAGGGAAGCTAGAAATGATGGTGAGGGAGTGGCTGACGGCGGCGGGGCGTGGAGTGTGTACCTCCAACAGCTCCACTGGTTGCTCCTGCGAGGACGGATGTGAAGGGTATTTGCTCATCGACGGGTCGTCCAATCCAGTTGTTGAAGGTTCTCCGGAAGGGTTCGTAGAAACCTAACAAAGAGGTTTGGGTATTTTCCAAGGGCGTTGGGAAAGGGATGGGACGGACCTAGCCTGGATCCGTTGAGGAGTATCTGAATGTCGTGTCAGAGGGAAAGCCGCATAGCCCAGAGATTCGGTCTTACTTGGTACGCATACTACAAAAGTGTGAACGGGGGTATAGCATGCAGGAGAAGAACACGCACAGCTGGAGGCAACCCTCTCTGAAGACCGCGTATACCCTCGTTCTTCCATGTTTTGGAGAAGACATCAAGTGCGTTGTTATAAACCTTCTTAGTGCCCTCCTTCGCTAGCTCGCCCTGAAGTTGCAGACGCGTTTTCGCGACTTCGGCCGGATTCGAGATGGTGACCTTGCAGAACACGGATCGGCACTTGAGTGAGGAATGGGTGAAGGGAGAGAAGAGGACATACAGCAATACATGCTGCGATGCCCCCGCAAACGAAGCCTTCTGCTGTCGAGAGAGGTCGAGACTTTGTGGGCGCGGGGCTGGCCATGCGAGGAGGGAGAGAGAAAGAGGACGCGGGCTGGGATGATCGGCCCGCTATTTACGCGGCGCGTGACCCGATTGGCCGGGAATGGCACGACGCGCTTCGGTGCTCTCCTCTGACACTCACCATGCGCTGACGGATGGCCAGCCCACTCAGCACTCGCATCGTCGTCCTCGTCGGCATCCTCGCAGTCATCCTTCCCGGCATCTCCCGCATCGTCTCGTCTCCCTTTGCGCTTCTCCTCATATCACCCCTCGTCTTCGTCATATTCGCACTTGCGTATCTATTACTCACGATCTATGTAGGATGGTACCTCGACGGACATAGGCCACAACCGCGCAACCACCTCCGCCACGCCGCTCGTCCCTTTGTCTTCTCCACCCCCGCCGCCTGGCAAGCTGTCCTCACTCGCTCGCAGTGGTCACAGAACACACCCAAGACTCTCCCGCCCCTCTACCCCGAATCCCACCAAGTCTCCGATGCCCTCAATGATATCGTCACCCTCATCATCCGCGACTTCGTCTCCAACTGGTACGAGAACCTCTCTAGCTCACCTGCATTTCCCATCGCCGTCTCTTCCATCATCCACGCCTCACTCGAGGAGCTCATTCAACGAGCCTCCGCCATAGACCTCTCCTCTCTCATCGTCAAACGCATCCTCCCAAAGGTCACTGCGCATATCGACCAATTCCGTCAATCCGAAGTTGCTCTACGTGGCGCGGGCCTCGAGCGGAGGTTGACCCAGTCCGAAGAGCTTGACCTACTACTTGCGAGCCGGTATGCAAGCAAAGGAGTCAAACTGCATCCTGCCATCGAGAACCTTTCCACTACGTTCACGCGTCAGACCGAAGAGGCACACATCAGGCAACTCGTAGACAAGGCGCTTCCATTCATTCTCCCGCCCAAGGAGCGCAATTCCAAAGCCCTCAAGTTGGTCACTCGTGAAATCGTCACTTGCACGGTTCTGTTCCCAGTGGTCGAAATGGTCGCTGATCCAGATTTCTGGAATAGGATGATAGACCAGGTGGTGAGCAAACTTCCTCTTCGTATCTCTATTCGTGCTCAGGAGACTTGTTTAGGCCGGTGCAGCCATCCACCAACAGTAAGTAACACTGATGCTTCCTGCCAGCGGTGTATCTGACGATTCCTAGACAACTGATTTCGAAAGTCCGAAATGTACTGGAATCGCAACTACCGCGTCAGAAGAACCGCGTAGCCCCTTCCAACCCCGTTGCCCCTGGCGTCACAGAACGTATCACAATTCGCACAAACGTCCGCCAATTCGAATCCTTCTTGCGCAGCATATCTCACACCTCTTCCTTGCTTGACGCTCGTCGTCTCAAGAACGATATTGTGGGAGAGATACGAAGAACAAGGCTTCTGCTAGCAAACCATGAGAAGGAAGATTGGATTGATGGGGAAAAGACAGAGGATGTAGTCGCTTTTCTGGACAGGCTCTATACTGCGAAGCGAAGGGTAGAAGAGAGAATCGTTGTTTTAGGGGGCGAGGATGATTCGGTACGTGAATATCTTGTTCTGTATCTCATTCCGACTCACTTCTTCTACAGCAGAAGCAGACGCCAATCCAAGAAGCCGAGCCGAAATCCAAAATCTCTCTTCGAGACATCCTCCGCAACCCCAATTCTCTATCCTACTTTATGGAATTCATGGATCGACGACACCGTTCGCAACCTGTCCAGTTCTGGCTAACAGTCGAAAGCTTCAAGAACCCGCTCGAGTCCGTCGACTCCGACACCTCAGGCGACGAAGAGGAGATCATCCAGGACCCCTCGACATCAACCACAGTCAAAGAGGATATATCCATGATCAACGACCTCTACTTCGCGAACAACAAAACGCACCCCGCGCTCGCCTCAATACCGAAGAAGCATGTCGACATCATCCGTGCGTTCGTGCTCGAGGCGGACCCGTCCGTCGCAGCGCAGAGGAGGGTAAGGCGGAGCGTGCTTCTTGCACAGAAGCAAGTGGAGAAGGACATGGAGGCGGACTTTGAGGAGTTTGAGAGGTCGGAGCTGTGGTTCAGGGCTGTAGGGGACTCAGCGTTCTCAAGCAGCAAGGCGGGGGTGGACCCGTTCGCGAAGGAGAGAGACCCGCTGCTCGACTCACCGAGACAGTCGATGTCGCCGACTTCCATGCACCAGCTAAAGCATCCGTTCTCGGCTCCGTCCCTCTCATCTACATCTGCTTCGACGTCGACTTCGCCTCCACCCTACCATGCGCTGAGCATGCAGCGGACCGTCAGCTCGACGTCGAACCGGTCTGCGCAATCGACGAAATCGAGCGGACATCCACTCCCGCACCCACATCCTCTGCCTCACACGCCGTCGAACATCGAGATTCTTATGTCGGCCGTTCCGGAGTCGGGCTCCGACTCAGCATCAACGCGAGCGCCGTTGTTCGACGACCCAGAGGACGAGATGCAGAGGGCAGAGGAGAAGCGGATGGAGGCTATCCAGGCTGCGCTGACGGATATTATGGCGCTCGAGCAGGAGAGGGGCATGGAGAAGCCGGGCCGAGGGTCGGTTGGGAGGCAGAAGAGCTTGAAGGGGCTGATGGGTGGGGATAGGAAAGGCGGCCCGCTGTTTAATTCTGTGAAGGTGTCGTCGAAGAAGTCGGCGAAGCGTGCGGCGGTGATGTTTGATGACGACCCGAGTATCATCGAAGCCGACAAGAACGCGGAGGACGGCGAGGAAGAGGCGGAAGGAGACGCAGACGCCGAGGGCGAAGGAGAGGCCTCAGGCGACGGCTCGCCAGATGACAATGACAACGAACACGAACACGAGCACGAACACGGCACCTACCAGCTCGCCGCCCCAGGCGACCTGCAGCTTTCCTACGAGATCTCCCGACTGGGCGCCAACATCTCCGCCCTCGAGGCACAAGACGCCATGCTCGGCACCCTCATCAAAAAAGCCGAGCTCACAGGCGACGCCCAGGAGCTCCGGCTCCTCCAGCGCTCCAAGAACTCAATGACGCGCGAACTGCGCGAGCTCGCGTTCCAGAAACAGCAGTACGAGATGCAGGAGCGCGCGAACCGGCTCATCTCTGACCGGACGAGGGTGTGCATCATTAATTCGGCGGTGGCAGAGGAGGAGGGGAAGAGCGTGGTAAGGTATTTGGTGGAGGTGCAGCAGCTGGCGGGGGATGGCAGCTTTGCGAGTGGGTGGGTGGTCGCGAGGAGGTATAATGAGTTCTTGGGGATGCATAGTAAGTTGAAGGAGAGGTATGGGATGGTAAGGGGTTTGGACTTTCCGGGGAAGAGGTTGGTGGCATCCCTCTCGGGGAGCTTTTTGGATACGAGGAGAGTTGCGTTGGAGAAGTATTTGCAGGTGAGTTCACTGAGTGCATTCTATTTTTTTCTTCTGATAGACTTCTTGGCGTTCAGAGCCTGATCGCTATCCCGGTCGTATGCGAGAGCGACGAGCTCCGCGCCTTCCTCTCGCGCGACTCGCCCTTCATGACCCAACCCACCACCACCAACAAACCCACAACCCCCTTCTCCGGCACCGACCTCGTGCGCAACGTCTACCGCTCCGTGGCCGAGTCCATCGACGACATGTTCTTCGGGCCCTCCATGCTCGATGTCATGATCCAGCGCCTAACGCGACAAGCCGCCGAGTTCACGGGCATCGTCGGCTCTGGGGTGACAGACGAGGACCTCGTCGCGCAGGCGCTGAACGCCTCTGGAGCTGGAGCACCCGAGGCGGCGCTGATGAAGCTCTCGTCGAGTCTGTCGGGGGATCTGAAGCCCCTGGAGGGAGAGACGAGCACGTCGACGTTCTCTGCCCCGATATGTGATTTGATACTGGCGGTTTTCGAGCTGAATAAGAAGAATAATTGGCTGAGGAAGCAGGCGATTGTTATTATTTTGCAGCAGGTTTTGGGTGGGACTATCGAGCGGTGCGTGTTTTTTTTTTTCCATTGTGGAATATCTGGCTGATGTTGGTTTTTGCAGGAAAATACGCGAGAACGTACGCGGTCTCCTTAGTGAGAGCAGGTTGATGTCGTACATCAACATCTTCCGCGACGGCCTCTGGCCAGGAGGCAAGCTTAAGCCTCCAGGTGTCCCACGCACAGCAGAGGAGAAGATACGGACGAGGGACGAGGCGAATAGGAAACTCTCCTCTCTCGTTCCGGACCTCGCTGCTAACATGATCGGTCGGTCGAACGCCCGTCGGGGTGCTCGCAGGATCTTTGCTGTCCTGCAGAACAGAAGGCTGAACCAGCATATCGTTTATACTATCGTTGATGAGGTTGGTTCTTGATTTTTGTTCTCTTAAGACCTTTTTAACATCCGCTTCGCACAGGTATTCGCGGCTCTGTTCCCTGAAATTTCCTCCACGACGACTACCAACCCACCACAACCATGACACGCTAATAACGACCAGTAATGACGCATATCCATTTACACCATTCGATACCACAGCAACGACCTTCCATCCCATTTATGATAATTTACTCCACATATTTAAAGAGGACTGTATAATAGAGTCAACTAGTGGTGATGTTTTCTGTGGACATTTCTACGTCTGTGTCGTTGTCCTTTCCATCTTGTCCTGAGCTAGGAGTCGACTTTTCAGGCTCTTCAGACGATGCCGTCGGGTTGGGCCTTTTATGCTTCGTTCTCCGCTGCATGAGGGCGGCTTCGGCGGTCGGGTCGTCGTAACTGGCAAGCTGATGAGCATTGTTGTTGCAAAGGGGTTATTTTGGCTTACATTTTGATTGCATGTAGGAGGAAGCCTCCGGAACCTGACATCGCCATCATGGGGTGCGTACGACCAGGAAGAATCTGGTAGCGTCTCAGCCAAGCTTCTGTGACGTTAGGACATAGCCATTCGGGCAAGTTCCGTAGTTTTGCCTGTAGGTCCACGACGATCTGTATCTCTGTTGTGAGACAGCAAGGTGGGGAGACGGAGAGAGACAAACTTGTTGATAAGGGCTGTGAACCACGGCAGAGGCAGAACCACCGAGGTATGGTGACAATCGCTCAATAATGGAATAGGGCTCATGCTCGCTTGCTATCACGAGACTGAGTATATTCAATGCAACGCTCGCTCGGTCAAGTAAAATGAACTGACCTGTCGAACTCTCCAGAGAATAAGTCTTCTCGAGTATTGGATAGCAAGTCAGAAATGGCCTTCCGTTTACTCAGTCGATTTTTTTGCCGGTCCGACTTGACTTGGTCGTCGGGTATGTCAGAAGGGGCGAGAACTACGAAAATGTTAGAGAACACAGAAACCTCGCCAAAACGCGAGAGCATACTGGGTGTATAGTCCTCTTCTGCTGTTGCCCAGTTGAGAGACTTGAGAACATCCGTTACGGATGGTTCAAAGTTCATTTGGCTAACGATGGGGTACGCTGGAGGGGAGTCATTGTTGCAGATCGTGAGGAGGTTCCCTTCGCCTATTGCAAAAGATGAGGCAAAGGATGAATTGAGGAAAAGCGAACTTGTATTCCGAGGCATACCTCCCATGCGTTCTAGTATTCCAGCAACGAGCAGGCCAGAAGCGTCATCCACCACTAAATATCTTCCTCCGGGTCGAATATTGGCGAGATTGAGCATTTGGGATAGGGAGTCAATGCGTAGATCGCGAAGTCGGTTCTGATCCTTGAGCCACCAGTATTCTGCGACATTGTACAAAGTTGGTTCAATAGTCGAGAACACTTTGGAATACCTACAGAGATGTCTAGAAATGATTGAAGGATTGATTCGAGCAACTCACTTCGCTTCCTTCCTCTTCTTGTATTTGTCTTTACTATACTCCGTCTTCAGAGCATAATTGGCGTGTTGATCTATTTGCTTCTTGATGATGTCCTGGAGTTCAACAAGGAATCTGGTTACTCGAAGTGAAAAAGAGGAGGGGAACTGAAGACAGGCAGGGACCTACAGAAGCATGAACGCCAGTTTTCTTCAGGGCTAATATTTCTTCCCCTGTTAGAGGTTGGACGAACTCTCCGTCGTTGATGAGCTCGTTGTTGGCGTCAGTATCCTCTGGGATGAGGTCAGTAAAAGAGATTGACGAGGGAAGTAGGTTCCATACCGACATCCTCCAGAGTGCGAGGTGGTAGATATTTGAGCTTTTTGCCGGCAATTTCATAGGTCAACCCGTACGGTTGTCCAATAAGTTCATTTGCGTGGAAGGATCCGAATTTCCCGACGACAACAGTCCTAGACGTGCAGTCAGATCTCAGAAGAATGCCCTAATCCACAAACAACGCACGTATTTTTCTCCACTTTCACACTTTTGATGTCCCCTTTGGGTAGTCTCAACAAGACGAGGTCGCCAGATTGAATCCCTGTATCCCTGGATTTCTGTTCGCTTTTTGAGGACTTGGGCACTTTGAAAGTGCTCATGACGGGAGGAAGGTGAGATGGTTCAAATCTTTCCGGCGCGACCATCCGGAGATCGCTTACATGCTTCGCGCGAACCCCAATCACAGTTCCGTTCATGACCCCACCACCAACACCCCGAAGGCCTCCCCGGAAGCCACAACTTTATACGACTAAACGACCATGGCTGCAATCGACGTGAATGAACAACTCAACCAAATTCTGAAGAAGTCGCAAGCACCAGCTGAAAACAAGATTCTCCCTGATGAGATCGCAGCTTTGACCTCGGCCTTTCTTGCTAGTCGACCTGATGCAAATGACATACGACCGAAGGCCTATGTGGTGCTTTCTGCAATATGTCAAGGCTACAGAAACGCGACGGAAGCAGATAAGGAAGCAGAAGCTGCGACGAGGTCGATTACCAGCTTGTTCCAATCAAGGATCGTAGGGTTGCTTGGAGAAACCGACGAAACCTCCCTCATAACGGGAGTTTGCTCTCTAGAAGCCCTCTTTCAAGTAGATCCCAAGGCGGCGTCTGTGATCTTCATACAGGATGGGTTGGTCGAAAATCTCATGGACAGTGTGGACCTCTCCCCTTCTGCTTTGCTCTGTCAGGAAGTAGCCCATCTTCTGGGTCAAGCATGTGGACACAAGGCATGCCGGGCGGTCGTCACTCCCAAAATCATTCGTTGGCTAGAGTTTAAGTCTCGACAATCGGATGATCTGACCTTGCGTGGGGCTTCTTCTGTTGCACTCATCAAATTATCCAAAGGAGCAGGTTCGGACGCGCCAGAGGATGGTACTGCAGAAGTGCGAATTGGTCAGACGGATGAATTGGCGCAGACCATGGTAGATATAGTCGTCTCAGGACAAATCGCCTCTGCCGTTAATGCAGTTGAAGGACTAGCCTACCTCAGCACCGATCCGACTGTCAAGGAAGACCTCGCCAAAAACCCTACCTTCCTCAAGCAACTTTTCGCTCTAGTTCCTTCGCCAAAGCGTACCTCCACGATTAGAAAAGGCCTGGATGCTACGCTCATTTATGGTATTATTGTCGTCATTTGCAACATCACCGCTTTCCGGCCCCGGTTTAGTGAAGAGCAGAGTCAAGTGGAGAAACTGAAGCGAATGGCGAAGGCTGGTAAGGGTTCGTCAGATGCAGCAGAAGTAAATGACATCCTGGACAACGATGAACACGTGAAGGCACGGATTCGCTTGCTTATTTCCGCTGGCGCCCTCCCTGTCTTTCCAGCTGCGATAGCCTCTTCCGACTCTCCAAGCGTGCGGTCACTCGTGGGTAAAACGCTGCTCAGTATCGTGGAAGACAAGGAAAATAGAGGGAAGGTGCTCCAGGCGGGAGGATCCAAGGTCTTGCAGACGGTCATCAAACAAGCCCTCTCATCACAGTCAGATTTAGGCAAAGATAAGTCGTCTACTCTCGACGCCGCTGAACTTGAATCCATCCAAGCTCTCGCCAAACTTGCCATCACCTCCGCACCTGTCCAAGTTCTTGGACCGAATATTGGCGCGATGTACGACGTGATTCGACCTTTTTCCATTCTTCTCCAGCACCCGTCTTCGAATCTGCTACAGAGATTTGAGGCGATCATGGCACTCACAAACCTTGCATCTTACAGTGCAGATTTAGCCTCGCGAATTGCGAAGGCTGATGGCCTGTTAAACAGAGTGGAACTCTTGTTACTGGAAGACCATACGCTAATTCGCAGAGCATCCGTTGAACTGATCTGTAATCTTATTGCCGGATCAGATGAGACATTCGAACGCTACTCTGGAGAAACTTCTAATTCTGCCAACAAGATTCACGTCCTACTGGCCTTGTCAGATGTCGAAGATCTACCAACACGACTAGCAGCATCAGGTGCTCTGGCTACTGTCACAGCAGCGCCGACAGCTTGCAACGCCCTCATCTCCCTCCAGTTTGAGAGGCACCGTTTCCTTCCCATCATGACACAACTCATCGATCCGTCTGCCCTCCCTAGTTCCGTTGACGAAGAACACCCATTGGAGACAGACCCGGGCCTTGCTCATCGAGGGGTTGTATGCGTTACCAACGTTTTCATGGCCGTTAGTGACTCGAAAATTCGACAAAGATTGTGCAAGGAGGCACAAGAATCAGGATTGCTGCAGGCGTTATCCCAGTTAATCAAAGGGCAAGGAGTTGTGACAGATCCATCTATCGTCCAGCAAGCTGCGGGAGCGATCAAGGCACTTCTTCCACAGTAGCACGCTGCGGGCTAATGTATAGTGGTATAGTGTAAGATATCTTTGCATAAATACGCGGAATACATAGCCAGCACACATGCATGAGATTGCATGTTCAACAGCTTGTTCGACCAAGTTAGTATAGTAACTCATGTCAACTTGGAGGTGCTCTCGGAAGAAGCCGACGCAGACCTGATCGGTCAACAGGGGACACTGCCCTAATATTCGCATTTCCATATCTTGCATTCCTTCGAATCGCTCGTTGCAACCATTCTCTTTCCCGGCGGTTGTCTACATATACGCGCAGTCTACTGGCTATATACTCCACACGATGGTATGGTTTAGTTGTTTGCACTCATGCGCTGGATTTGACCCCTTCTGCAGGCGCCGTCAAAGAAGGCAGGAAAGAAGGTGACTCCTGCTGCTAAGAAGTCGGGGCAACAGGCGAAGGTCGCGAAGGTGTGAAGCATTCTGACGTATGGATAAGTAGTGGAGTCTAATCTCGAGGTCAGGCTGATTGGAAGGAGGGTTTCAAGAAGAAACAGGTCGGGGTGTCAGATATGACCTTGTTGACCACGATCAGCAATGAAAGCATCAACGACAACCTTCAGAAGCGATGGACGAACGCGGAGATATATACCTACATCGGCGCAGTGCTCATCTCGGTCAATCCCTTCAGAGGTAGCGTCAAATATCCTTTGACATGGCGATAACTGAGATGCACCTCGTCTGCCTGTTCGATAGATCTCGGCATCTACACTGAGGAAACCTTGGAAAAGTACAGAGGGAAGAATAGGCTCGAAGTTCCTCCTCACGTCTTCAGCATCGCTGAAAGCGCATACTACAACATGAACGCCTACCACGAGAATCAATGTGTGATCATCTCTGGTGAATCGGGTGCTGGAAAGACAGAGGCAGCGAAGCGAATCATGCAATACATTGCGGCGGTGTCTGGTGGACAAGATAGCAGCATCCAGCAGATCAAAGACATGGTTCTTGCAACCAATCCTCTATTGGAGAGTTTCGGGTGTGCAAAGACGCTGCGGAATAATAACTCGAGTCGCCATGTGAGTGCGCCTTCAACGCCTCCTTTGGCACTTTGCTGAAATCTTAGTAGGGAAAATATCTAGAAATTATGTTCAACGATCGAGGAGAGCCTGTGGGAGCACAGATCACCAACTATCTGCTGGAGAAGGGGCGAGTGGTGGGCCAAGTTGAGAACGAGCGTAACTTCCACATCTTCTATCAATTCACGAAGGCCGCTTCCGACGAGCATCGAGGTGCGACCCAATGGCACATACTTCCTTAAAACTCTCTCAATGCATCTCCACAGAGGCATTCGGACTGCAAGGCCCTGAAGCATACGCCTATACCAGTATGAGCAACTGCCTTTCGGTCTCCGACATTGATGATACGAAGGACTATCGTGATACCATAGTGAGTACGAAAAGCAGTTCCAACTCTCCTAATAACTTCATGGCTTTCAGAACGCCATGAACATCATTGGACTCAGTGGAGAAGAACAAAATGAAATCCTCAAGATGTTGGCCATCATTCTCTGGCTTGGAAACGTGCAATTCGAGGAGCAAGATGACGGGAACTCTACAATTTCAGATACAGGAGTGACGGACTTCGTCGCGTATCTTATGGAGGTCGATTCGGCACAGGTTCAGAAAGCTCTCACGACGAGGGTCATGGAGACGACAAGAGGCGGCCGAAGAGGGTCGATATATGACGTACCCCTCAATCCCGCGCAAGCAAGCTCCGGACGCGATGCGTTGTCAAAAGCTGTCTACAACAACTTGTTTGAGTGGATCGTTTCTCGAGTCAATGTGTCACTGAAGACTCGATCTGCTTATGCGCAAGTGATTGGGATCCTGGTAAGTCACCGACTTTGTCCCTCGAAGTCATAGCACCAACACGCAAGTTTTATAGGACATTTTTGGCTTCGAGATCTTTGAGGTGCGCTTGACAAATCGACTCACCAAGCCCTGACAAGGCTTACCAATTGTATTAGGACAACTCATTCGAACAACTTTGCATTAATTACGTCAACGAGAAGCTTCAGCAAATTTTCATTGAGCTCACTTTGAAGACGGAACAAGAGGAATACGTTCGCGAACAAATCCAATGGACACCAATTAAATACTTCAACAACAAGATTGTTTGTGATCTCATCGAAGAACGTCGACCTCCTGGCATCTTTGCGGCTTTGAATGACGCCTGCGCGACAGCACATGCTGATCCAGCTGCAGCGGACAACAGTTTCATACAGCGCACTGCGATGTTATCCTCGAACGCCCACTTCGAATCCCGTGGCGCACAATTCCTCGTTCGCCATTATGCCGGCGATGTCATGTATAATGTTGCCGGAATGACGGACAAGAATAAGGACTCTTTGATCAAGGATCTTCTGGATCTCATTGCCAGCAGTGGGAATTCCTTCTTGCAGACCCTCTTCCCTGATCGACCAGATCCCAACAGTAAGAAGCGCCCACCGACTGCCGGCGATAGGATTAAGGTGAATACAATATTCTCATATGCATTTGCACGTCACTCACGACCCAAAAGCAATCAGCAGGTGCCCTCGTTGAAAACCTGATGAAAGCTCAACCTTCATATATTCGAACCATCAAGCCGAACCAAAATCGTAGTGGGTCGGAGTATGATTCAAAGGCCATCCTCCACCAAATCAAATACCTCGGTTTGCAGGAGAATATTCGAGTTCGGCGCGCTGGTTTTGCTTATCGTAACACCTTTGAGAAAATGGTTGAACGATTCTATCTTCTATCACCCAATACCTCGTACGCTGGGGAATATACCTGGACCGGAGACCCGAAGTCAGGATGCCAACAAATTCTCAAGGACACCGGGATTGCAAAAGAGGAATGGCAAATGGGGGTTACAAAGGCATTCATCAAGAACCCAGAAACAGTCTGTGCCGTTTTTACTTCTTTTTCCTAAGTAAGAGTAACCTTTTTTCCAGCTATTCGCCCTCGAGACTATGAGGGATCGATACTGGCACAACATGGCCGCTCGTATACAGCGTGCATGGAGGAATTACATGCGGTACAAACACGAGTGCGCTCGTCGCATTCAGAGGTTCTGGAAAAACAACAAGGAAGGAATCGCCTACGCTCAGATTCGCGACTACGGGCATCAGTTACTTGCTGGCAGGAAGGAGAGGAGAAGATTCAGTCTGCTCAGTTATCGACGGTTCATGGGCGACTATCTTGATCTTAACGGAAGAAGTGCTCTCGGGGAGGAATTGGCAGAAGCGTGTGGAATCGGAAGTGAGTCTACTAATCATTACGTTTCCTTCTAGTTCTCATATAGATTTAGAGGAGAACGTGGTTTTCAGCTCTCGTATACAGTTGCTAGTGTCTAAACTCGGTCGCTCGAGTAAACCCAGTCCTCGTTTCCTTGTGCTGGTATGCCTTCTCACTAAATTTTCGTTACGCCGTTGCTTAAATATCCTCAGACTGCTAAAGCCGTTCACATTCTCGTCACCACTGCGAAGGATGGTTATGCTCAAACGACGCTTGAAAGAAAAATACCTCTAGTAACTATCAAGAGCTTGTCGTTGTCTAATCTCAGGGACGATTGGCTGGTAGGACTATTTTCCTCGGGTCTGGAAGTTCACTGAAAGGGTGATAGGCCATCAATGGAAATGCTTCGGAAGAAGGCGATCCTATCATTAACTGCGTCTTCAAAACCGAACTGATAACGCACCTCACCAAGTTGACCCAGACCAATGCAAATATTTTGATCGGACCTACGTAGGCTCTCTACCCACATTGCCTCTTTCTAATCTCTCACCAAATTGTAGGGTGGATTACTGCAAGAAGAAAGACAAACGAGCACAAATCAAGTTCATCAAGGACGAGACTGTTCAGCGCAATGACCTCTATAAGAGCCATACTGTGCACGTTCCGTCTGGAGAGCCGCCTGGCAGCGTTTCGCGGCCACCTGCTAAGAGGAAGGCGGGTGTCGTTCGGCCTATCACCCAGGGCAAATTGTTGAGAGCTGGAGGACCCGAGGTAATCCCTTCCTGATTCTTCAAAAGGCCAAGTGTTGAATGGTTTCTCCCAAGAAACGTCCTGGAGCCGCTGCGAGGAAGCCTGCAAGCCAGCCTCTCCCTGGCCGTAATACAACTGCAGCACCGAAACCCGCCGTCGCACACGTTCAAGCTCCGGTTTCGTCTATGTCTACGACTGGTGCGAAATCAAGGCCACCTCCAGCTCCCCCGCGCAATGTTGCACCACCGCCACCACCGCCACCGCCTCCGAAACAGCCGGATGTGCCTTTATATCGTGCCAAGTTCGCATTCCAAGGTCAAGAGGGTGAGATGTCTCTAAAGAAAGACGAAGTTGTCGAATTAGTCGAGAAGGACGACAACGGCTGGTGGTTGGTTAAGAAAGATGGTGTGGAAGGTTGGGCGCCCAACAATTATCTAGAGCTCGTTCCGCCACAAGCGGCAGCCCCTGCAGCCCCGCCGCCTCCCCCACGAAAACCCCCAGCACCAAAGGTAGTTCCCACCCCAGTTACTGCCAACGCCAATGCAAAGCCTGTGTCGGTATTTCCTGGTATGGGACCTTCTATCGGCTCGACTACACCCTGGAAGAAGACGGCTTCCACGATGGACGAGTCTCCAGCCAGCTCTCGCCCGTCTAGTTCTCTGGCGTCGAAACCGCCCCCGCCCGTTGCATCGAAGCCGAAACCACCTGCTCCAGGAGCCAAACCTGGTGTTGCATCGAAAGTGGGTGCGGCGAAGCCGGCTATTCCAACAGCACCTCGGCCGACCCCTGCTCCTCCAGGCGCAGGTAGAGGTCCAGTCACAAAATCACAAATTGCACCAGGGCAAGTCGATCTCGCTGCAGCTGTGAGTTGTCATCTTTTCTCTATTTGTTTGTACATACCGTGACATGCGCTTTATTTCTAGCTTGCCAGGCGTGCACAAAGAATGGCGGACGACTAGTTGGTCGATGTCAGATTGTGTTATAATACCCTTCAGTATCTCAGGCAAATACTCTAAATCTTGTGCTTGTTTCTTATATGTACCGTAATAGTGCATGGACATTGGAATCGGAGGAAACCTAGAATGAAATAGATGCAGAACTATAATGCGTTGTGTTATCTGGGACATGCTGTTTATGGATATCAATGCTGCAATGCTGCTGGAGAAAAAATGGGAAGGGATCCCGGACAACGAAAAGGAGCATGAGTAAAGGAATGGAGCGGACGAGTGTCCTGCACGAGAAGGAGATATCTAATCGCCGGTTTACTACAATGCTAAGGATGTACATATCATGGTCGATGGAGTTGTGTATTTAGATTGCTGGGCTTAAACATACGGCGGCAAACTTTCCATTAATAAAAAAACATAGACTTCCTTCCGTGTTCTTCTTTCGCTTCAGTCTTTAATTATAAGTGCTAGGTGGGTTGTGTGATGAGAATCGGAGGTGGGGGGCTTGAAGGTGGTATCGTTAGGGCTTCGACCTCCTCCTCTGAGAGCATCGAGTCGTTGCCGCCGTAGTCAAAGGAGGTATCAGCGTCTGTGGGTATATCATCGTCAACATCTGGCGTGCTTCGTTCCGACGCCAGGTCATTCTCGTCGCGCTCTGCGTTATAGCCGTTCTGACTCCCTAATTCACCATGCCAGTCACGAACTTCCTCCGCCGTGAGCACCTTCGTCGTGCTCTTGTTGCCCTCTGGGAAGTCTTTGACCTGCTTCTCCAGCGCTTGTTGACCTGACTTAAGGAGGTTGTCAAGTATCAGCTTTACGCGCTGATAAATCTCATCTCCGACGCCAGGTTCTGCTTCGTCTGCATCGGAGGCGTCTGACCCATCCTCCTCGTCGTCTGCCATCTCTGCGGGGCCGAGTGATGACTTGACAGCGCGGTAGGCGGGCGGTGGGAGTATGAGCCGTGATTCGCGTAGCTTGCGTCGTAGCTCGCGGATTTCCTTCGCTTGACGATGTTTCGTAGCTTCAAGAGTCGCGTTAATGGCAAGCAGAGAACGGTTCGTAATTTCCAGGTCTGCAATCTGGGGGTGGACGCCATTAGTAGAACAGGTGGAATTAATAGAGTGATGAATACCTTGCGATCCGACTTAGCAGCTGCCTTGACTTTACGCTCCGCTTGTTCCATCTCTCCATCCGTGTCCCTATCATGAGCACTGTCGCCCCCAGACTCGTCGGTGGAAGGCAGGCCAGCTGTATACTCCATTAAACTATCCAGCGTGCTCTTGAGTTGCTCCAAATTACCACCCGACCCTCCAAATCCGCCATGTTGCGTCGCGGGGCTAAGCCTACTGCTGCCATTCGTCGACGTCGAAGTAGGCTGGGAATCCGACGGGGTTGCGCCGCCTAGGTACGAGACACTCGCGGAGGACCTAGAGACAGAAGACCGCGACGAGAAGGACACTGCAGATGTCGGAGGCGAGAGTGGTGGAAGGGGTATCGACGCAGGGTCCACCTTCGCTACACCATTAATATTTGCGACCCGGGCAACGCGAGGTTTGCTCGAGGGTGATTCGTCCGACGCGGCTGGACTAACTCCCGGATTCTGCCCGAACGGCTGATAAGCGTGGTGCTTAGCAGGCGGACTCGCGCGCGCGAAGCGGTGCGGGTTGGCTACAGGTGTGGCCGTCGTGATTGGATAGAATTGGGGCGGCGGGCTCGTAACCGGCCGGGATTGGAGCGACATAGAGGAAGATATTGACGGGGCACGTGCGCGTGTATTTATTGAACGCGAAGATGGCTGCAGAGGCGGACTAGAGAGAACAGATGTGGGAGAGGGAGGGGGGTTGTCGGATGCCGACTTGACCATGGCCGATACTTTCGAACGTATGCGTAGAGGAGGCGAGTCGCTCCTGTCGTGGTCCGAAAGTCCAACGACGGACTTGGAGGGCATTAGTCGGGGAGAGGCGGAAGGAGAGGCGGAAGGAAATGCATTGGTGGATACGGTCGAAGTAGGCGACGGATGGAAAGAGGAGAATGAGACGGTATGATGTAGGGATACACTTGCAGTCCGAGCCCTTGGTTCTTCGGTAGGCGCTAGTGGAGGTCCCGACGGTGTTGTTGTCGTTTGAGAGCGGTTGCGAGGTTCTGACGTTGAATTTGCAGTTAATGAGGAAGGCGGAGGAGACCGCACGCTGCGGCTAACCCCAACGGTCGGAGCCGCTTTCGGTGCAGCAGTTGGTGAGATCACCCCATTCCGAAGACGAGAAATCAACTTCGCTGGAGAACCTGCACGAGGAGTCGGGCTGGCATTCGCTGCTGGCAAGGATACGACCACGTAATTGGGCAAAGGATGTGTATGCGGAGCAAAGGAAGGCTTACCCGACACCGTACTGCTCGTACCGGCCTTGCGGATATTTGCACTACTATTGACCTTAGCTTTGGGGCGAAAGGCGGGGCTAGGGACGGGATTCGGCTTCGCCGTTGAAACATAGGGTTTTGTAGGCGATGTTGGTCTTGAAGGGATCCTCGTTGTGTTGTTTCGAGAAGGGGGTCTTGATGTCGAGGCGTAGGCGAGCTTCACGGTGACCTGTCAATGTATCAATTAGGAAATCGAGCAGCGGCAGGAGACGCCACACAGACCTTGGGCTTGAGCGACGGGCCCTGGTCCATGTCCTGTGGTGGTGGCGACGAAAGCCTTGATGAGAGAGGAGGAGAGAGGAAGTAGTGACAGCCAGGGTCGAACTCGACATTCAAACTTTAGATCAATGGCCCAGATTCCCGAACATGGCAAGATAAGATATCCTCCAATCTCTCCCTCGTACACTTTACTTGAATCTCTAAATTTACATACTACCGCCGACGGTCTATGAAGAAGCCTCCTTTTTCAGGACGTCCTTGACGACCTTTTCGATTAAACTTCTCAGGCCCTCGTCTCCACCGCCTCCGAGCGCAGCGGCAACGCTCTTTTGAACATATTTCCCAATCATGTCTACCTCGATATTCACCTTTGCACCGACTGCCTTCTTGCTTAACGTTATCTTCTGCTGGGTGTGTTGGATGAGCATCACACTGAACGTCCGATCGGCGTCGTTCACTCCGGTTAGAGTCAGTGAGGCGCCATCTACCGTCACGTATCCCTTCGGAATGAGGTATGGCAGTAAGGATGGCCGCTCAGGGGTGGGTTCGAGAAGCTGAAAGGTCAGACGGAGGGAGTCACCGTCAGGGAATCGGTCAACAATCGTTGCTGTCCCATCCACATGAGCCTGCCAAAGATCAACATCCCATTCCAACGGCGAGATTAGCGGCATACTTGCACGAAATGCCCTCCGAATCGTACATGGGCTCCCATCGCACGTTCTAGGTTGAGTTGGTCCCCGACTTTTCGTTCGCCTAGCAGGCGGTCAATAGCCTTGTCTGGGAGACGACCACACAGTACTCACCTAGATCCGTCCTCTCCAACGTCTCGTTCGCCAACCACACCTTGAACCATCCTCCCTCCTCCTTCTCACTGAATTCGGTGACGGTTAAACATGCTCCATTAACTGCAATGGAGTCGCCGATATGACAATCGCTCAGGATCTCGGCAGTGTTGGCGATCGTAAGTGTGCAGCCTCCTTCGTTGACAACTATGGACGAGACAGTCCCCAGATGTTCTATCTTTCCGCAGGACGTCAATATTTCTTCAGGTCTGACAAACTTGAGCACGTACCAACCCAGTGAACATAGTGGTACGAGATCAAAGGCTCCGTAATAGAATCTTAGTCACTGACAACAAACCGAAAGTGATCTTTACGGAAATTGAATATGAATCTCTCGACTAATGCTAGGATTCAATTTGTGAGGCATAATTACAGTATTTCTTCATCTTCGATTGCTTAATGGTTGAAGTTTGGCGCTTGGGTAGTGGACGAAACTTGTCAGGGGCTCCGGGATTCCGGGCCGGAATTGACATATTGACACGTGATGATTGGGGTTTCTTTGAATTCAGCAGCGCGGAACGAAATTGTAGACAGTTTCCTCCGTTAATTGCTCATCAGCAGTATGGCGAGCAACCTACGCCAGGTCAGTTCTGAAGTCTTCATCTTAGCCTTTCTCGTTAAGATTGAACGAAATCCAGCCTACAGCCCCAACTACCCTACAGCAGGCACAAACCAATGCCTTGCTCAACCTCCTCAACCTCAATCAACCACCGGAGTCGAGTAGCGCCGGAGGCAAGGGCGGCAGCTCTGGTTTCAAGACGCCTCCTGTTGCCCCACCTCCTGTATGGAAAGTTCTCGTGTTGGACCAGCAAACGAAAGACGTGCTCGCAACTGTGCTGCGCGTCCAGGATCTACGTGACGCGGGAGTAACCCTCCACGTGTAGGTTACTCGTCGTACCCTTCATAGTGTAGTTGCATATTGACGGTGTTATGCAGCCAATTGCACTCTCTGAGACCTGCACTACCCGACGTACCCGCTGTCTACTTTGTTTCGCCAACCCTAGCCAACATACGAAGAATCGCCGAAGATCTTAAGAAATCCCTCTACGAGTCTTTCCATCTCAACTTCGTCGAACCACTACCCCGCGCGTTGCTTGAAGAACTCGCATCGTCTGTAGCACAGGATGGCACTTCGGAATTGGTGGAACAGGCGCGTTGCAACTCCTTTATCTATCCTAATGCCAGATTAACGTGAATGTTCGATATAGATGGTCGACCAGTACCTATCATTCATTGCCCCTTCCCCATCTCTCTTCTCCCTTCTTCCACCACAACCACCAGCGCAAACCGCAGCATCTGCCGGCCAGACACCCAGTTCTGGGCCGGTGTCAACATATACTCTCCTCAATTCTCCTTCGTCGACTGAGCAGCAAATCGAAGAAGAGATTGAGCGTGTTGCAAGCGGCTTGTTTAGTGCGGTTGCCACAAACGGTAAGGTCGTTGTTGCATCCTAAGCCCCCAATTCTGAGAGAAATAGGGCATGTTCCTATTATTCGAGCACCGAGAGGCAATGCTGCCGAGATGATTGCGAAGAAGTTGGAGACAAAAATCCGAGATGCAATTCTATCCTCAGCGCGAAACCACGCTTCCTCTGCCTCGCTATTTGCTCAAGATTCGACTGGCCTCTCGAATCTTCAAAGACCGCGTAAGCCTTGTTGTCACAGCCGAAGCTTATTCATTGAATTGCTTTCTAGTCCTTCTCATCTTGGACCGTAACGTCGACCTTGTATCTATTCTCGCTCACGGGTGGACATACCAAGCTTTGATTTCGGACTGCCTCGAGTTCAAGCTCAACCGCGTTTCCATTGCTCCGCCGAAAGAAACCAAGAAATCATATGACCTAGATTCGAAAGACTTCTTCTGGGCGGATAATGCTGCCAACCCTTTCCCTCAGGTCGCGGAAGAGATCGATTCAGCACTGAACAAGTACAAGCAAGACGCCGCTGAAATTACTCGCAGCACTGGGGTTAGCGATGTCAATGACATTTCTCAGTTGTAAGCTTCCTTTCCTTTCGTGTTGCCTTTCAAGAGCTAATATCTGGCTCTTCAGAGATCTGACGACAAATGCGGCACATCTGAAAACGGCGATAACCCAACTGCCGGAACTGACGGCCAGGAAGGCGACGCTAGACACGCACATGAACATTGCTCATGCGCTTCTGGAACAAATTAAGAAACGCAGCCTTGACGAGCTATTTAGTACAGAAGAAGCGATTTCTCGTCAAGTACGAAGCATTCACAACGTAGCGTCTTTTTTTCTGTGCTAACAATAGCGACAGACTACCGCTACCATCCTGGAGTTCCTACGAGCGCCTCGCCCAGACGGAGAACTGACTGCAACTGACAAACTCCGTCTCGTCCTCGTCTTCTACCTTTCAGCCCCGGACAACGCCATCTCGAAGGACGACGTTGCTGAACTTGAGAAGGAACTGAAGGCTGCAGGTGCCGACATGGCTGCCTTCGAATATGTGCGACGGACACGCGAAATTTCGCGCATGACGTCGTCTATTAGTCAAGGGACTGCTGGAACTGCGACACCGACTCTGGGAAGCGTGGCTAACCAAGGAGGGGAACTGTTCAAGGGCTTCAGTGCATTTGGTAACAGGGTGTGCCATTTTTCTCTTTACTTGTGTTACTCTTTTCTAATCTGGACCCTCGCAGCTCACGAACCAGCTCAAAGACGGTCGTTTCGATACCCTCATCTCTGGCGTCAAGAATTTCCTACCTACCAACAAGCTCTTCCCCGTCACACGGCTGACGGAAGCTCTCATGGATTCCTCGGCAGCGTCAAATCAGTCGCTCGCAGAAACCGACGAGTACATTTTCCTCGATCCCCGAGCTCCTCGACACGCACATGCCGGTATGCCCGGTGCCCCAGGAAGCAGTGGCGTAAGCAAGGGTAGGCGAATGGCTTTCTCAGAGGGAATGATCTTCGTCGTTGGTGGTGCTGGATATGTAGAATATGGCAATCTGGAGGAGTGGGCAGCAAAGTCGGGCAAGCGCGTCACATATGGAGGAACGGACATCCTTGATCCTGGAAGTTTCGTCACTCTTTTGGAGAACCTAGGCAAGTCAGGTTCTGTATAAATTGTTGTTGCCCCTGTTCCTTGTCCACCTCTCACTACCTCGTTGATTAATTCATTCCCCTTTCGGTTTGCACATTATTGAAATGAGGCGTTAAAAATACAACATATTCATGAGGAAATACATGTGAAAATGGTGCAGTAACGAAGTCAATGAGCAGGGGTGTTCTTTTGTGTGTGTAATGTGCGAGATTCACTTGTTGTTATTCGAACGAAGGGCCAGAATTTGAACAAGTCGAATACTATTAGGAGTGAGTTGAGCTTTTGTTAAAACCCTTTCACTTGACGCAGAGGAGACTTACAAGATGTTGATCATATCAAGCTCAAGGCTGAGAGATTCGTTGATGGGATCTGCCTTCATCAAGCCTCGCTCTGCCATGCGGGCGTGGTTGAGAATCTTTTGCGTGCTATTTGAGAGAAAGAGGTGTCAACGGAGAAACTTGCGATCGTATAATATTGAGACTGACTCGTAGAGGACGAAACCACCGAAGACAGCCAAGCCACCATACAAAGAGATCGATTCGCTGATGGCAAGCGCGCGGATACCCATAGGAAGGACCATTGGAGCGAGGGAACTGAGAGCAACGACAGTGACGCCAGCCAGAAGAGGAGCTCCGATGTGCAGATATTTGTCATTTCTGGATGTAGAAAGATGAGACGACAAAATTTACGAGGAACAGAGGACCTACGTCGCCGTTGCTCCGATGTACGAAATGGAGCCAACGACTCCAATCGTGTACAGTGCTGCTCTTGAGAGAATCGCCGGGCTGAAGAAGAACAACGGGCTCAATGTAGCAGCCTGACAACCATTGAAAGCCTGCAGGGACGTGGTCAGTGGTATTCATGGACAGCTGTGATCGAGTCAACATACCAGCCAGAACAGATGCTTCTGGAAGGTATTCTCTGGTGCTGTGTACATTGTGCCCATCATGGTACCAATTCCCCCAACCAGACCAACACCAAGGACCACCCCTTATGGATAAGTTAGAACGCGAATAAATCATGAATATAGAACTGACGTACATGGATTGGCTGCCATAATCCTAAATGCAAATCCCGATCGGAAGAGACTCCGGGCCGCCAACGCAGTCAGAGTGAGCCCTGCTCCCGTATATTGGAAGCTTTTGTTAAGAAGGTTCCTCTCGGACTCGTTGAGAGGGTCTCGTATGTCTCTATTCATCGCTGTATCCAGAATAACGACGGCTCCGGCGACGGCTCCCTGTAGGCAACACCGTGACCAAAAAGACGCGTTGAGACTCCCAAACGGAACGAGATCGCAAACAACTTACCGCTGTCAAAGCAAGCCGCTGCCACGAGATCGGCTTCGCCTCCTGCACAATGGGCCTCCCTTCTGACATGAGGGATCGCGACCCGTTGGCTTTGAGAAGGCTGGAAGGACTTTGCAAGTTCACTACAGGCCGCTTCGAACTTCGGCATGTTTGAGCGAAGCCATTGCTGAAGTATCGCGAGCCTTGAGCTGGTACCCTCCGAAGAGCTGAGGATATGATGGTCGGATTCACCAGGGGCCGTAAGGTCGATGTGGGTAGGCGTAGCATGATAGAATGGCGGGATGGGTTTGTGCTGTTTCACTTCTGAGCCCAGTGTGGGAGTTATATACTTACCAGGACGGTCGCCGAACGTGCGTCATTGACCGGCTCACACCCAGCTCCTACGTTGCCGGCTACGTATCTCATGCCAAAAAAAATGAATTATAGCACATCGAAGCAAGTTCAAAGTGTATAAGGATAGCGAACAAGGTAAAGGTATTCTGTAGGATTCAGGGAGGAAAAAGAACTAAGAACGAGATATACGTCGCAAGTAACTAACTGCTGTGTAACAAGAATTTTGTGCTGCAGGAAATCGTCGTTATTGTTTTCCTGCAGCGGCTTGCGCAGCGGCCTGCGTTTGCTAATATTTCTCGGTCAGTCGACGTCGAGACCGCACAGAAGCTCATCTTACGAGATACGCCATCAACTGCTGATATTGCGGATTGGCAGCACCTGGAGGACCTGCAGCACCTAACGCTCCAGGTGGTGGAGGATTCATCAGGTGAGGAGGCGGCATCCCGAAAGGCTGACCTGGAGCGCCTGACGGCCGTTGCTGCTGTTGTGCAGACTGCACCAAGGCAAGGATATTTGGAGGTAATCCTGCGAGGTTTGGGTTTGCAGTAGGAGCACCCATAGGTTGGGTGCTTGCCATAGGCGGAGGCATGCCAGCGTATGGGTTTGGTGGGGCAGCTGCATAAGGACCGGCCGCAGGTGGGGGTGGGGGATAATAAGGATTTGGTGGCGGTTGTACCGCTGATGTTGGGGGCATTCCTGGTTGAGCTGGGTGAACTGGCGCAAGAGGCGATACTCCATCTGTTGCAGGCTGTTTGAGGGCGGCGAGAAGCTATCCAGAGAGATGAGGGCGCATATTGGAGAGGACAGAAGCGTATGGCTTACCTGCTGAACCCTACGAGCCTGCTCCAGCCGGTCATCAACAGGCTAAAAGGTACGAGTGAGTAAGGGCAGCCTACGAGGGCCTGGATAACATACCGGAGCAGCAGGTGGTGGTGGGGGTGGACCCGGAGGCATACCATATCCAGAAGAGCCTCCGCCATAATTCCCAGGAGGCGGTCCTCCATATCCACCATGGTTGTCGTACCGATCAGGAGGGCCTCCCGGTCTCCCTCCTCGACCACGGTCGTCATCATAGCGGCCTCCTCCTCGACCTCGATGGTCGCGGTCTTGACGTCCATAATCACCGCCGCGACGATCGTGGTCGTCATCGCTGCCTCTTCCCCGGCCACGGCCACGGCCGCCTCGACCCCTCCCGCCGCGGATTCCTCCTCCTCCTCCTCCTCGGTCGTCCCAATCGCGGTTGCTATCGCTTGCAAATGACGCGTGAATGGGTATTCCAACAATATGATTCACCGGCAGACTCACCGTGGTCCAGAAGACGGGCCTTCACTCGCGTCCCATGCAAATGCAATCTCCATTACACCGTCTTGAAGACCTTGATGACGAAGGCGGTCATGAGCCTCACTGCAAGCCTACGACATCTTCGTCAGAGGTCTCTCAACAATTAAAATCACCGTCTTCATACCCGAGTATCATAAAATTCGACGTATCGAGAACTAAAATCACAATCAATCTGTTGTGTTGACCCAGTAAGAAGAAACACTGACTCAATACGATCACCCACTGGGCGTACCGACTTGACGTCGCCAAATTGCTGGAATTTTCGGCGAACTTCATTATCATCGATGGATTGGCCTGATACAGAATTTCTCAGGGACACTTGCAGTGTTCCTTGCAATTGCTAACATCCGATCCGGCGTTCAATCCACTGACGACTTCAGCTAGGGAAATACGTACTTGATTTTTTTCACGATCGGGGCCTTTTTGATCGTCGCGTGGTAGGGAATAATGGACATCGATCTGACGAAAGAAGCGAACAATGGGTTCAAGCGGGACTCATGCGATATAAAGGCGGTGGTAGCTTACAGGTCGACCACTGATCTCAGAACCCTGGAGACGTTCTCTTGCTCTCTCAGCTGCCCTCAAATCAAACTGGATGTGATCGTCAACCTCAAGAACGTGTTTTGCACGCATGACGCACTCACGTAAGTGACGAAAACCATCCCTCGTGTTGATATCAGGTCAAAAAACGTCTTGATTTCACCATGTTCTTCAAATATTCGACGCACATCCTCACTGGGGGTTTCATACTAATGCAAACTGACATCAGCACTCACACTCGCACTCAAAATGACGAAAGAGCCGCAAAGGCGCAGCGAAGAATCTAAGCTCAAAATTTCAAGGTGGAACTTGCCTTAATGTTGCGAATGAACAGGGTACGACATGGCTTTTCGCGTTGAATGCGCTCTTCAATAATGGAATCATGCACCTTATCTTCTCTATCTTTTTTGAAAGGTCGTCGATTTCCTCGGTCATTTTCGTCGTCATATCCCGGCCCGTCTACCACACGCGAATGGACACAAGTAAGAATCGGAGTATAGCAACATGGAGAAAAGATCAAGCAAGAATAGGACGTAGCAGTCAGAGCGCACAGAGCAGGCAAAACATTTGACAGTCTCAAGAAAACTTCAATGTCGGCAATAACAATGCTCAGGGACTTTGGCCAATTTCCACAACCTCAAGATATATCTTTCAGTCTTAATTGTAGCGCACCTTCATATTTAGGGTAACCATGGCCGTAACCAGTTGGCTGGGGAGGAAAGTGAGCAGGTGTAGAGTCTGCATAGTTGCTGTTTTGATAATACGGTTGTTGTGAGTTGGGCAGTTGGTCATAACCGTAGCCACCCATGTCGCCTTGATTATGTCCTTGGTCATAGGAGTTGTGGTTGTTCATGTTGGAATCATAATGTGAGTAACCGCCACGACCGCGATTGAAGCCTCCTCTTCCTCTGAACGGAGCCCCACCTCTCTCTTGATGGCGGTGGCCTCTATCGCCCGTGGGTCCGGGGGAGCTGTTTCCCCTGCGTCCGGGCGAGTGCTCGAAGCTGGAGTTGTACGGATGATGACGATTCATGATCTCAATGAGGGCAATGTGACGTGGGCGAGTCGTTGAGCAAGCAGATGAACGGAGACGCTCAGACGGCTGATAGACAGAACGGCGCTCGAACAAGGGTCGGCCGGGACTCAAGAGCTCAAAAACTCAAGGCTTGACGGCGCGAGCGATAGACACGGCGATAAGAGACGCAGATGGAAGCTGAGAGGAAGAGCGAAAATGAGCGGCTGGGAAAGGCGCACTCGCCCGCGGGACTTGCCGAGAGGCCACCGTATGCGGCCAGGCTGCGGTGCTTCACATCAGTCCACCTTGTGCTTATCCTGCTCCATCCCTACGACCATGTCTAAACAGTTCCAGTTCAAGCTTGTTCTTCTCGGTGTGTACGCCCTCTTGTAGTCCGTACATCTCCGGCTTACTCCTCTCAGGTGAATCGGCGGTCGGCAAATCAAGGTAGGTCTGACGTTGGCCCAAGTTACAGCTACCTCTGATACCTGGCAAGTCTCGTCCTGCGCTTTGTGAAGGATCAGTTCGACGACTATCGGGAAAGTACTATTGGAGGTGCGAAGGAGCCTTCTATATTGCCCATCTATGTCCTCATATCAAGCCAGCTGCTTTCTTGACGCAAACCGTAACACTCGAGGATCAAACGACCGTCAAGTTTGAAATATGGTCCGTACAGCTTAACTCGCTTGCTTATCCCCTTTCTGAAGCTGTTACAGGGATACCGCTGGGCAGGAAAGATATAAGGTACGCCAGAATGCCTCTTAACGTCCTGGGTTATGTGGAGCTGACTGACGCCCAACACAATCCAGTCTCTGGTACGCATCACCTTGATCTAGTTACTCCACCCGTCCTCAACTCAAGCTCATAGGCCCCCATGTACTACCGCAATGCCAACTGTGCCGTCGTGGTTTATGATATCACACAAGCAGCTTCATTGGAGAAGGCTCGTACGTGGATAAGGGAACTACAACGTCAGGCCGACCCATCGATAGTCATTGCTCTATGTGGAAACAAGCTAGATCTGGCTGCTCGACGCCAAGTCTCACAGGAAGAGGCGAAGAAGTATGCCGACGAGGAGGGTCTTATGTGGACGGAAACGAGTGCGAAGACAGGCGAGGGCGTCACGGAGATCTTCACAGCCATTGGTGAGTTGTTGTTGCCGCCACAATGTTAAAGATACTGATTCCTGTCAAATACTCTTAGCCCAGAAACTTCCCTTGACCGCACCAAGTGCTACACGGGCGGGAGCTACGCGAGCAGGACCTGGAGCGCGCACAGGTGTTGACCTCAACAAGCAAGCAACTGGTGCCCCTGGGCAACCTGACGCCTGCAACTGTTGAATCCTTATATATGCCGCCATATCCTCGGTCCATGTTAAGACGCCCTTTTGCTTTCTTTCTTGTAACGTATTACCATATTTTCTGTCATGATCCATTTCTTCTGGCCACTTCGGACCTTCTGGGCACAATTCTATTCACACTGAATCTCTTCGAAGGGCTCGGGACAAGCAACATTCGGTCACCGGAAGCACGACGAGGATTTGACTTCTTCGAATCCGTTCTATATTGCATCTTACATTTTATAATTTACATATATGAAACATTGGGTTTGAGATCCCAACGGAAGTCGTGGTATATGGCCTTTGAGTTGCAGTTAGAACCCTGCCGCCTCTAAACCTTTCCTAATATCTGCGTGGGTCAACTCGGAGTTGTGAAGGTCTTGACTCCTCTTCCAATACCAATTTTGGTCCCATAGATGGCTGTCCCGCAGGTGTCCTTCGATGAAGTTCATAGTCGACTCGCTCGCAGGTAGACAGTATAGTCGACCCTGGAATTTCAGCATTTTTGTAATGATTTCGTGCCAACGCGCTCGTTGGAAGAAACAGATTTGACCATCTTCTTGACTGTCGAACTGTTCATAGACGTGAATGATGTCCGTCAGGAACATTGTTATGAAAGGGACGCAAGGACCCTCCGCGGTATTTAGAAGTTGTCGGTAGCCAGCAAAGCCACCAGTGGGTTCATTATAACGGAGAAGAACGTCCAGCTGCGACTTGCGATTTACATGCCCCCAAGTAACATGCAGCCGAGAGACGACTACGCTCGAAAGAGCTATGGTAATGGAGCTCATTGACGCGAAGTTGTTGAGCACGCGGCATTTCTGGAGCAAAAAGTATCAGAACTGTCATACGTGATAACAGAATGACATATCACACCTCAGCGACTTTGATCCAGAAATCGACGGTTTCTGCTCGCTTCACAAGGGTTTCGAGATTCAAAATACTCAACTTGACCCAAGCACCCAATTTGTCGTGTGTTCCAATGAAGTTTGATAACTTTGCGACGGCCCCACCTGACTGTGTCTTGGCGTAAGCAAGACACTCTTGCGGGGTGATCTTCATGTAGAGAGATGACTCTAGGGCCGTCAGTTGCTCAGCAACATCAGACGGATCCATCTTTAGCAGGTCATTCTTATGTGCTTTAGATTTCCTTGATTTCTTAGGGGAAGTGGTGGTGGATGAGGAGGGGACGGTGAATGTCTGCAAAGGTTCATGGTTAAAGCAGCTTGTAAATAATTTGGGAAGAAACCCTTACCAGACGTTCCAGAGACTTGAGGATAGCTGTTGCAGTTAAATTAAAAGGTGGTCCATCAATAGCGTTTAGAAACTCTGAGAGATGCGAAGAAATATAGGGTTCTTCTTCCAAAAGCCGGTGATCCTCTAGCCACACCGTAAGGACGTCGAGGACGCGACGTTGTACGGGTAGACAGAGATTCGCATTCCAGTCCTTCCGCTCTGGATCTGTCAGGTTCTTTGGTGGTTGTATATTGAACCGATCGAGGAGCATGTCGAAGAGTCGGTTCGCAGTTGTGAATGTTCTGAATGTCATAAGAAATATGCTCGTAAATTTTTTGCTTTCCGCTATTTCTGTCCAGATCATTGGAATTTTGATTAAGGGATGTACAGAGTGGACACTCACTAGTGAGATCTGTCGTCCCTACGTCCGTCGTTAATCGTTCAACCAAAGCCTCGAGGGTTCCTGTCCGTATATTCCCTTTGTTATCCTCGTCGAGTTGGTCTTTGTGTTGTGGTAGCAGATACCATGGCTTTCCACCTTGGGAAGCAACATTCGTAGTATATTTCGTGTCCTCGCTCGCTCTCCGCCTCGGTGCCCTTGACTCTCGCGAACGTTTGGAGATAGCTTCGAAGGAGCCGACGATATCTGGACTGGCCAATTCATCTATCTCTTTTGTGTTGTTGGATTCTATGAGGGTGGAGAGGCGGGAGAGGGTGGGGTTGTCGTTAAGAATTACGGGTCTTCGTCTCAGACTCCGGTTGGATGATGTGGACCCTGAGCGTTGGCGACTATCAGCCTCTGAGATTGGAATAGGCGAGGAGGGTTTTGTCTGATAGGTAGGTCGAGAAGGAGGATAGGGCATTGGGGATGTAGGGGATGGTGGGGGATTAAGACGCGATCGGGGAGAGCTTTGGGGTTGGGCGAATGGATTGACATTCTCATCTCTTCTCCCCTTCGAGTAGTACATGTCGCGAGGGGATTGGTAAGATGTAGCGTTTAGGTTGGAAGAAGAGTTCTGGAGGTAGATGTTGAATAAAGCAACGCTTGGGGTATGCTCGACGACATTACCTTGCGGGGAACAGAATCGTCTTCTGGTAGGTCGAAATCTGGCTCAAACAGAGAAAGACCACGGTCGACTGGAGCAGTGATATACAGCTGCTCTGCGTCGTATTCTGCCACACGGAATTCTTCTCCGATGCTTCGTAGCCTCTCTACCATCTCCTCTAACAGAGGGGTAACGTACGCTTGAGGTATCCAACCGACCATAGTACCTTCCGTTCCCGTTCGCATTGCGGCCCACCAGCCCGTATCATCGCGTTTGATAATATCGAGTATCTCACCCTTCTTAAAGGACAAGAGACCAGGTTCGTCCGCAACGTATTCGTAGTGGCATAGAACCGAGAACTCGATAATGTTGTCTTCGGAGCTTTCACTAGATGGATTGGCTACATCAGCTTCCGCTCGAATGGCCATTGCAGCAGATGATGGCGTGTGTGCTGTGAGGACAACCTTGGAAGAAGAGTTGTACGGGGAGGGCTCGATTCGGAGATTCAGAGAGAGCGACTGGCGCACAGCCTGTGAGCGTGTCTGGGAAGCCGTCATGATAGACAACCAGATGTTGGACAGATGTCAACAAAAGCTTTGCAGTCCAACACAGATCGCTATGATGGCTGAGGAGAGACTTTCAAACCTTGAAAGTAAGAGAAGGAGAGAAAACAACAGTGGCCGTGCCCATTGCTGTCATTACAATTGATACCCACACAAGGCCTTGGTGACGACCATCAGGGCCTCTCTACTGCAACCCGCAGCCACAGAGGACTCGGCCTTGTCCCCTCCGTAGCTCTAGACACGGTTAATCTCTTGACCAGCCACAAAAATTGACATCGACTGTTGTACGAAGTTCATTAATTGAGCTCTACACCGCGGTAACGCTGGGTATTCGCGGTCCTAGTCTTTACGCGAGCTATTTATAGCGCTCGTCTTCATGATCATCTTTGCTGATCTCTGGGGTGTTGCATATCCAAGAAACCATTTATTCGTTAACGGCGCTGCGGCGACCAAAGAAGCCAAGCGTCGCACAGGCTCTTTCCTATTTGGCGTTGTTGTACTGCATATGATCATCTTCTCACCCTTGGGACTGCATCGAGTTCTTTTGGCACGACAAACCACCACCAGAGAGTCAAGGTGGCCGAAACTCCCTTCTCTTCATTACGCTCTCTCACAAATTGTTTTACAGATGTCACACATGTGGAACGCCACCAAAGCGAAGGTGAGGACGATCACATCAAGTTCAAAGCACCAGAAGTCTGCTCTCTTGGAATGAGCCTCTCACAAGGTTTCTATGCCCTGAAGGTTCAACTCCGGTAATTTCATGATATTTGAAAATACACTGATTGCTAATATTGATTGAAACATAGCCTCTCTGTGCAGCGCCTTCGCACTCTTCAGCAGAAGAAGGAAGCGCAAGCCAAAGCTGCTCGTCGTGATATCGCAACCTTGGTGGAGCGGGGAAAGATAGAAACAGCTCGCGTCAAGATAGAAACAAGTAAGACGTGTCGTGTCTGTCACCTACATCGTTTACTTTGAATAACTAAATGGTGCGTCTTGCAGTCATCAATGAGGATATCCACATTGAGCTCTTGGAGTTACTTGAATTATATTGCGAACTCCTGCTTGCTCGTTTTGGGCTCCTGGATCAGAAGTCAGCCATCTTTTGTCGGTCACATCTCAGGCTTCGAGTCTCATATCATTTCTCCTAGCACCCGCGAACCAGACCCAGGTATTCACCAAGAGTATCTTTGGGTCAATGTCACTGACGCCATCACCTAGGAATTGCAGAAGGCGTTTGCAGCGTGATACATGCAGCTCCGCGGACTGAGCTCAAAGGTTGTGACTTCATCCCTATTCGAATGTGGCGAAATTAACCTGCACCCCAGAATTGCACATATTACGAGACATTCTCATGCATAAATATGGTCGCGAATTCTCCCTTGCTGTGATGGAAAACCGGGATGGATGTGTGAGCAGTCGGGTATGTCATGCTCCTCACCGGGTTCTTTTGGAATACCTCACGTCATCGCAAAGGTGATGAGTAAAATGTCGACAGCGACCCCTCCGCCAAGCCTAGTCGACGCGTATCTAACAGAGATCACGAAGGCTTATGGCGTGCCTTGGTTACGGCCCAATGAAGAAGGAAATGAAGAAGGAAAGGTAAGGAATTTTCCCGAAATATCTATTGTTGTTGATGCTAGCGCATCCCATAGGATACCAACAGAGATGTTTCATCTACGGACGCTGAAACGAAGACAGAGAACTCTAAAAACAACGAAAATAAGTCTAGACCCACTTCGACTTCACCAGAGCCCGCTCCCAAATCTACAGAATCAAAGAAAGTGACACCTGCTCCAGTTGAAGACGAGTTTGAGGCGCTGGCACGACGGTTCGCGGAATTGAAGAAGCGTTAGCCCAGGCCTCAATAACTCCGATGTCCTCCATGAAGATCCTTCTATAGGTAAACACATATCACATCGATTAGACCAATTTATCCCCCGCTTTCCCGATGGTTCCCACTGGCGGCTTTCGCTGTTGGCTCCGATGCACATCGTGGTGCGTTCCCAGAAATAAAGACTCACGGTGAGTAATCAAGATCCCGATGGTATCTTTTCGCCTTTCGAGTACGTCAAAAAGTAGAATCTTGAAGGCTGCCACTCGAGTCGATCGATCCTGATCAAAGAAGGTTCAAAATAGTTCCCATTTGGTTCCCATACAGTGATATTCTATCGTGGCAGGGGGGTGTAATAAAGTTAGCCTACCCAACCAACGCGACGGAGGAATATTATCATAAGTTGGTCAGGAGCATGCCCTTGGGAGACAGAAGTAGAAAGTATGAGTCGAGAGGATTTTTGTCGTCCTTACCGAAATACAATCTCGGGGTTGTCAAAGAAGCCATGAACAAGCCTACTTTTATTTCCAATTGTCAGTGAATTTAATATCTACAAAACACCACCGAACAATTGTTATTAATGCAACCGCAGAAGCGGCTGTTGTTCTGGTCAGAACAGTCGACTTTTTGTCTACGCTTCCTCTGCCTCTCGAACTTAAGAGTATATGAATTTAACGTCCTTTCGGGCTTACTTTCGAAGGCGGAGGCTACGCCAATTAAATCACCCAGATAAGGACCCACAAGACAAGGAACGGAATGGAACCATGAGCATGAGGCTGATTGTCCAACGAGGAGCCTTTTCGGCGGTGGTAGGGGGAGGGAACTAAATTGGATGGCCCTCATCTCTCCTGCCACCACGGAAATTACAGACGAGTACCCCAAATCCAACGCCGTTCAGCCCACCAGTCAAGACGAGGCAAAAGAGAACCAACAAGAAGTTCGACAGTGGCTCAGAAGACGCTTCGATGCTGCCTCCATTTGGCCGGGTAGAGCAATCGCAAGCCGACCCGGATCTGGTCATTAAATAGTGGGCTCGTTCTATGCACGAGAGGCATAGAGAAGCAAAGCCGAAGAGGTGAATTTCTGCACTGAGTTTGTGACAAACAAAGAGTCGTCAGGTCATAAGTCTGTCGCCCTTTCGGCGGTGGAGGTAATATGAACCTTCCATGGCAAGGATTACACGCATAAATAGCAAACTGCGGAGACGTGTTGTGAGGGTGAAGAATTTCTCTCCGCTGCGTTTCGGGGCAGCTTCGTTGGCCCAGTGCCAGTGAATTCAAGGCAAGCAATGCGTTCATTTCGGTTTCACAAAAGTTACAGGGACCGGGTTTAATTGTGAGCCAGTTCGTCCATCTGTGAGGTCCGAAAAAAATTCACAGTGCTCGGAACCATCCATTTTTCAAGGGAAATTGTAGGTCTTGTCGTGAGATGAGGTTCAAAGTAGAGCTTGACTCTCTCCAGTGGACATCATCAAAGAAATCTATGATGAAGTGAATTCGGCTGAATCCGTGGAAATTCCAGTTCCGCTTGAAGGCAACTGACTTGAATTGATCACCGACGACGGTTAGATCCACCATTCTATCCAAGGCACTCGGTTTGTGGATCCTCTGTAAGCTGCCACGTTCTCCTCTTTCCCGGAGCGTCGCTGAATATCCGCCGATGAACTGGGGCATAATCTGAGCTCGCGCGATCGCTAGTATAAGCTGACACCCTTGGAATCTGTCTCCTTGTGATATAAATGCCCGGGTCATAGACTTTATATGTCCAGAACCCACCCGGCCGCCTCGACTTACCGTCAGCCCATGAATTCGATGGAGTTCGACAGCGACAATGAGAGCGACGTCTTCTCTATGGCATCGGCTGCTCCTTACAGCGTTTCTGGTTCTATGACTTCATATGACGTTGATCTCTCAATGCGCTCGGCTTCACCAGCCCCGTCAGTCGTCTCAATTACGGACTCGATGCAGTCGCTCTACAGGCAGGAACATGGACGAAATCTCAACAATTATTCCAATGTCTATCATCTCCCGGCGGATGAAGAGGAGCTGGACCGACTGGGTATCTTCACAGTTGTTCTGCTCGAGCGTAAGATTGTGCGTTGACTCAGGCCCTGGTGCAGATAAGCAGCACACCATGTTCGTGGACATGATGGGAGGGAAGTATGTCCCTGGGATGGAAGCCGTCATGGCAGATGACGTTCCAGGAGAGACGAAGGCCTGCCTCGATCTCGGCTGTGGCAGTGGCAGTTGGTGAACAATCCCGTTTGCATGCCTTTACCAGGGACTAATGGCGGCGCGAAGGATCATGGATGTTGCACGCGACTTTCCCCGTTGCAACGCAGTCGCTGTTGATCTTGTGCCAATGCAATCAACGTGAGTCCCGTTCCAAACGTTGTGGCGCTACGGTCACTTACCGGGTTGCAGGAGTATGCCACCAAATCTCCGGTCAGTATGACCAACTCTTGTTACGTCTATATATCGCCAACTTTCCATAGGAGCGAGGTCGACGATATCAATCTCGGACTGGAACATTTTTACGGGGATTTTAACGTGGTACATGCACGTCTTATCTCGTCTGGAGTGCGTACTTTTAATTCACTTCGTTTCAATTGACATTTTTTATCATGAAATAAAGATCAAGGACTACCATCTCTTGGTCGATCAGATCAGTCGTGTCCTACGGCCTGGTGGTCTCATTGACATTTCCGAATTCGATTTTCACATGTATGACAAAGACCACCGCCGGATTGAACTTGGAACGCACGAAATCGGCCCTCCTTGGTGGGCTCGCTGGATGACATTCTTGAATGTGGCAATCAGAACCAAAGGCGGTGATGTGGACGCCGCCACGCATCTTTACGACTGGGTGTCGAGTAACCCTCTTTTTGAAGGCGCTGTCTATCGAGAATTTTGGCTACCTGTCGTTCCCGGCCCTCGTGAAGCGAACGAGACGGAATTTCAGCGACGCTTTTACACGAAGCTGCGAGAAGATGTCACGGTACGAATGGTCTGCTAGTATTCCAGATGTCTACTTATCTTCATCATCTTCAGTCGTTTGTACGCTCCGGTCGACCATTGCTTCTAGGTAGCGGTCTCTCGGAAGATCTGGTCGACGACCTGGAGAAGAACGCCATGGCAGAGCTGGAGAGGCGAGAGTCACCTCAGTATACTCGACTCCAGTGTGTCTACGCTCGAAAGAAAATGGTAACATAAGACACAAAGTTACCCATTTTCACGCATCTATTACCGTATTTTCGATGTATTGGTGGATGCCTTATTCTTATTACGGTAGACAAGATATTTGCCTCGCTTCGCTTCGGCCATAAACAAAATCCGCCACTGAGCAGAATCTCAGAAGAATGATTTCGGATGAAACTCGAATTCCTGTAGGATCACGGCGCAAAAATGAACGAAACTCAAGGACTTGACTTGGAGACTGGCGGCTTGAGAATATGCGGAACCTAGCCCTGTGTCATACGATCAAAAGTTGACATTTTGGAAGGGGTGGAATCTCAAGAGACTAAAGTCTGGGGCTAATGGAACTCGGAAAGGCAACCCTGTGGCTCATGTGAAAGAGCAGAGTTGACACAATAGACACGCGCAGTGCAGCCGGGCAAGCACTTATGTGAAAGGAGAAAAAAACAGGGGATGAGAGATGAAGATGAACGCATGTGGAGGGAGAGAAAGGGAATAGAGGAGCAGGGAAGTAGAGGATCAAAAGTTACAACGGTGTGTAGGGTACAGTATTAAATAATTGTCCGTCATGCAATACTCTAGAAAATAAGGACACATAGACTAACGGAATAAGAGGGGAAGAGAAAAAATTAAGAAGCATTGAGGGGAATCGAGGATAGGACATTGCCTGATGACCCAGGGGTAGAACAATAAAGTGTCTGAGGGAGGAGAGACGAAACGGGAAAACGGGCACGAGCAGACGTACAAACAGACGTACACGAAGTCGAGGGATCTGCTTCATTATAGAGGTATCCGCATAACTTTAACTTACCTAGGACTCGATGGCTTCATCCTTGGCGTGTGAAATCATCACCATAGAAAAGAAGCGTGTTTTGGCATTTTGGCGCGCGCACATGTGGCTGTGCAATATCCCTTTCTCCAAGTTCGCTCACCAGCATCGTCCAAACAGAACGCGATCTGCGAGCAACTTACTCCGAGATCAACATCATTCAATGGACATTGTATCCTCAGTCGAGCGCATCGTCAACCCGGATGCAGAGAATGCGCACGAACTTCTCCAGCAATTACGCCTCACCTCGTCTCCTTCGGCAGCACAGATCCACCAGGACATCGAAAAACGTCTCCTTCTACCAAATCAGTCACTCCCAAGCCACTGGCTACCGTCTTATCAAGTGTTAGAAGGGATTTTACTCAAGGATCCTGTCGCCACTGACGCCCTCGGCCTCTTAGACACTGGGAACACAAAATATCCGTACCAGATCTTCTCAGATCAGAACCTGCACCTGCACCAACCACCGTCGCCTTTGTTAGGGCCGGGTTAGATGGGCATGTCACAGGATATACAGAGGTCGAATCTATTTACCATATTCCGTACGTGTCTCATGCCCGTGTTCGGATTTTCTAGGCACCTTCGACAAGGCTCGCAAGCGGCTTAACTTCCATATCACTCAATCGAGCGCCTGGCCCTAGCAAGAATTTTGTTCGAGGAAAATCGGGATTTGTGCCATTCTGGCCTGGAGGTCTCGATTCTGGCTCAGTCGACTCTAATAATGGCCCAAAGGTTGTCAAGGACATAAAGGGTCTTCGGACAGTCGCACCAGGGTTGTCTCGTGGTTTGCGTCTTCCAGGGGATCCCGTTGAAGATACAGAACTCGTGGCTATCAGCAATGATGGGATGGATGCATCTGAGGAACAAGAGGACGAGGTATGGCCGTCGAGCGTTGGTTGCCGCTCCTCGTTGACTTGCAGGAGATTCCTCCGCCAGGACCACCACTCGATGAAGATCAAGGTACCTCATTGGATCAGAGCAAAGACGTCGACGATCTTCTTCCAGCTTCGGTAGGTTTCGGGACCCACGTAACATCAACCTGCGCTGAGCTGCCACGTACCCAGCGATCCAACCTTCGGCCAGTTGGAGCTCCTCGGAAAAAAAGACGTCAAATCGTTCAAAAGCGCGACTGGGCTCATGTCATTGATGTCAACACTCCTTTACACAATTTCCATGAGCTCGTGCCCGAGATGGCACACAAGGTGGGAGTTGACTCACACTTTCATTTGTCGCCCTCTAAATTTTACCAGTATCCGTTCGAGCTGGACACCTTTCAAAAGCAGGCTGTCTACCATCTCGAAATGGGAAACTCTGTATTTGTGGCTGCACATACGTCAGCTGGCAAGACAGTTGTTGCCGAATATGCCATCGCGTTGGCAGAAAAGCATATGACACGGTTTGTCTCTGTGTATATCCTGATGTATTCTTTGTCAACGACCGTCTAACGCAGGGCTATTTACACCTCTCCAATCAAGGCACTTTCGAACCAGAAGTTCCGAGACTTCAAACAGACTTTCTCTTCCTCTTCGGTAGGAATTTTGACCGGAGATGTACAGATCAATCCTGAAGCAAGCTGCTTAATCATGACGACGGAGATCCTGCGTAGCATGCTCTACAAAGGAGCTGATCTCATCCGAGACGTCGAATTCGTGATCTTCGACGAAGTCCACTATGTAAATGATGCCGAGGCGAGTAATTCACAAGAACATATCCAGGGTATAATCTCACACCCTTTCAGCGAGGTGTCGTATGGGAGGAAGTAATTATCATGCTTCCGGATCACGTCAACATCATTCTTCTGTCTGCAACTGTTCCAAATACCAAAGAATTTGCGGATTGGGTAGGGTGAGTGTCAATGAAACGGTAGTTCCTACCGTCCCGACGAATCAACAGGCGAACAAAAAAGAAAGATATATACGTTATATCTACGCCACAGCGACCGGTTCCTCTCGAGCACTACCTATATGCTGGCCGCGAGATATACAAAATCGTGGACGCTGGTAGGAACTTCCTTGGCCAAGGGTCAGCATCGCAGAGCTTTTGAGGTTGGCGATGGACTAAAATCTGATCTTTCATGCAGTTATAAGGAAGCCGGAGAAGCAGTAAGACGCAAACAAGACAAAGAGCGGGAAGCCGCCGGATTGCCCCCGGTGCAGCGGGTTGGTGCTCGCGGAGCCCAGCGGGGACAGCAGCGAGGAGGTCCTGCGGCTCGAGGTGGCCGAGGAGCACCTGTTCCCGCCCGAGGTAGCTATGGAGGCTCATCCCAGCGAACTATCCATACCGCCGAAGACAAGAATCTCTATGTTCACCTCCTAGGTCATTTACGCAAGAAGTCGCTTCTTCCTGTGGTCGTTTTCACCTTCTCGAAGAAGAGATGCGAAGAGAATGCTGCCACGTTGACGAACGCCGACTTATGCACATCCGTCGAGAAAAGCGAGGTGCACATTGCTATCGAGAAGGCACTCTCGAGATTAAAGGGTATATTTCGTCTCTTCCTCGATCATTATGGCGATGGCTAAATCGTTGTATATAGGCTCGGATAGAAAACTCCCTCAAATAGCTCGTACTCGCGATTTGCTTTCCCGTGGTATAGGTATACACCATGGAGGCCTACTACCTCTCGTGAAAGAGGTGAGAGCCCGCGATTCAAACCCATAAACGAGACTGAGGGTTTGGAAAGTTGGTGGAAATCTTGTTTGCCCGTGGATTGGTGAAGATTTTATTCGCGACAGAAACATTTGCCATGGTCGGTACCTGACCGCTGCCATATAATGGATGGATTCATCTGAGAGCTTAGGGTGTCAACATGCCAGCAAGATCTGTTGTTTTTTCTCATATACGCAAGCACGACGGCCGCAACTTTCGTGAAATATTGCCTGGAGAATACACACAAATGGCTGGCAGAGCGGGCAGGCGTGGCCTAGATCCAACTGGGACAGTCATTGTTGTGACTAATGATTCTCTTCCTGAGGTATGATGACTGGAAGCAAACGTCTGTTTTTGCTAAGCCTGATTTTCTTTAGCAAATCACTCTGCATACAATGATCCTCGGAACTCCTGGGAAGCTATCCTCGCAGTTCAGATTGACATACAACATGATTCTCAACTTGCTCCGCGTCGAGGCTTTGAGGGTAGAGGAGATGATTAAGCGAAGCTTTTCGGAGAATGCGTCCCAGCGACTGTTACCTGAACAACAGAAAAAAGTCATCGAAGTAGTCCTCGTCTTTTTCATTGCAAATCGGCGCTAATGAGCAATTAGAGCGAAAAACAACTCACCTCATTGCCTAAACTTCAATGTGATGTCTGCCTGCCAGACATCGAAACTCAATATGATGAAATATCGGACATAACGCGAAAGAACCAGGACTTATACGAGATAACGATTGCGCAACGCCAAGCATCGAAAACGTTTTTTCCTGGCCGCGTTGTCGTCCTGAGGGATGGGGTACTTGTTATTTTTGCATCATGCACGCGCCTTCTAATAGCTATAAACAGCACTTCAGACACAACAACATTGCTGTTCTGTTGAAGGCGGCCCCTGTTCCGACTCTCGACTCTGGGGTTTTGGCTAAAGGGAGGACATACTTTGTCTTGGCTTGGGTGCACCCAGATACCAAGAGCAAGAAACAAGGTCGACCATTTCCTCATGCTTCAGGCACATGTCGATGAACGTACAACCTAGATATCGAAGCACAAGTAGTGCCACCTATGTGGCCGATATCGCCAACTTCGCTGATTGTGGAGAACGGCGTCTATGAGCTCACAGCTGTGCCACTAAGCAGCATTGCCATCGTCACAGCAAAGACAATCAAGGTACGGAACGGCAGTTTTTTCTTGTTATACTGGCTGACACGCTCTACAGATTCAAGTCAATGATATTGTCGACAGACATCTTATTTCGCGCATGCGAGAGGCGATAGCATCTCTTGAATCCATCGCTGGAGAGTTTTCAAGTACAGGATCAATTCTCGAAGTAGATTGGAGCCACATACGCTCTTTCGAATTCCAAGAAATCCTCAAATCTCGTAACTCTCTAATAAAGAGAATAAACAATAAGCAATGCATTATATGCCCCGACTACTCTGACCATGTAGGTATCTCTCGCCCTGCTTTGACGCCCCGCTGATCGAACGCAGTTCCAAGTCATGCATAGTCAGAAAGTCTTAAAGGCCAACATTGCATACCTGAAGCTTGCCATATCTGATCAAAATCTTGAACTCATCCCTGATTACGAACAACGGATCGCGGTCTTGCGAGATCTCAGATTCATAGACGAAAATTCAACAGTTCTTCTCAAAGGCAGAGTTGCTTGTGAGGTACGTTTTAATCGTCGAAGGCCTTGATGTTCCTTAACTTCTTGTCAGATCAATTCCGCAAACGAGCTGATCCTGACCGAGTTAATATTGGAAAATGCTTTGGCGGGATATGAACCTGAAGAAGTCGTGGCTTTGCTTTCCTGTTTCGTTTTCCAAGAGAAGACCGATGTTGAGCCAGTGCTCTCACCGAAGCTTGAAGTAGGGCGGGATGCAATTCTTGCCATCAGTGACCGGGTCGGGCGCATACAAGATCTGCATAAGGTTGCATCCGAGGATTTCAGATCAAGCCTCAAGTTTGGTCTCGTAGAAGTAGTGTACGAGTGGGCTAAGGGCATGGTAAGTTGCTCGTTCCTTCTGAAGAATCTCATGTAACCGCGGTGTATAGCCCTTCGAACAAATCACGAACCTGACGGACGTCGCAGAAGGAACCATAGTCCGGGTGATTACTCGCCTAGATGAAACATGCAGAGAAGTCAGAGATGCGGCTCGTGTAATAGGCGACGCAGAATTGTTCAAGAAGATGGAGGAATCCCAAATCAAAATTAAACGGGACAGTGAGTGTCACAGCCCCTTGAATTTCTACCCCACTAACCCTTCTCGAAGTCGTGTTTGCTGCGAGTTTGTACTTCTAATCGATCTATCTGAGCTCATGTGGTATGTGGTATGAGATATGAGCCGCTTCAGAAGCTACTGAGAACAGTGCTTATCACAATCCACCTCGCACAATTTGAATGAGGAAATAAATGCGCCACAGGATCACGTGTTCACTGCTTTAAGACGCGTCGCTTATTTACGTGTGTTGACGCCATGCCCTTCTCCCTCCCCATCTTGTAAGGCAATGGCGACACCCTCAAGCGAACAAGGTCCTCTTCACATGGAACAGAGTGCTCTAGAATCACCTACGCTGAGCTCTAGGAAAAGAAATCGCGAGGATGAAAGTCTTGACGACTCCATCTGGGATCTAACTGACGACGGCCGCCCGAAGACGCGAAGGGTCAACCCACAACGCCTCGCCATACGGCTCGGCCCAGATCTGGTAGCTGAAATGGAGGCACTCATTGTCCCTGGTGCAAAAATGCCGACGTTCGCCATTAGGAAAGACTTCCAGGAGCGATATGCCGTCGACCGAAGGCATATTTACGACTACTTCCACTCGAGGGGTATGCATGCTCTCCCGTTGAATATCCCCTCGCTACTAACGCTTTATTAGGCCTACGTGTTGCTAAAGAAGATAAGCATACGAACCTGATCAGAGGCCGAGCGATGAAGGCCCAGGCTCAGGCTCAAGCTCAGGCCGAATCACAAACTATCCTCACGGTAGGTGACTCCCATTCCATCGTGTATTGCTCTGAAATGAATTTCCAAGACGCCATCTGCCGTTCCTAAAGAAGAAACTTCTTCATGCGATACTGTTCCGCAGCGTCCTTTTTTGGTAAAGGCGCCACGCTCTCCGAAATTGCGCGGTAGACCACCCAAGCAACAAATGAAAATCCAAGAAAAGAAACTTAAACTTATGCGCCGCTTAAATGCATCTGCTCCTAAGGTGACGAACAAGAGTTGTTCTCCTGATACTTCGAGCAGTCTTACTTCCTCTGCGGAAACGTCATCGGACCCTGGGGCTACCACTTCTTCTGGGACGGACACGGACTGGGAAACGCCATCACCATGCCCTCAATTCACTTTGCCTGCCGACTCCTCTGATGACACTGATAACGCGGGCCCCTTTCCGGACTTCCTGGATTCTCCTGATGACTTCGTCTCTCGCTATGGCGACTCTCCAGAAAATTTCCAACAACCTTTCTTAGATGCTGAAACCACCTTCTGCGAAACGAGCTTCGACTCCTTCATGATGGCTGATGAGGATAGTCTGTTAACCGAGGGCGGGCGAACTGAACTCTACGATCTCATCAACAACAGTATTTCTCGGGGTCGCCCTTTTCAGGATTCTTCTGGCAGTTTCAACCCGTTTACGAGCGATGGCTTCCGCTCTTGTTCCAGCTACAGGCTTCCTCAAAGCCGTCAAACCCGTAAAGTTGGAATGTATGCCACCGGGGCGATAATAAGCAGTGATGTGACCTCTGCGGACTATCAGGATCTCCGCAAATGGCTATCGGACGAGGTTGATCTATACCACCCAACTCTAGAGAGTCACGAATACAACCCCATACGCGACAGCTTGGAAGGTGGATACGATTTGCTTGGTCTCTGTTCTGGAACTATTGTTAGCGGACCTGGGGATTTTCACTACGGCGAAAACTTTGCATCATCTGAGCCCAAGAACCGGGTCCTATCTGTCAATCCCTTGAGTCGTGCGGAATACGTTGGTGAGGTATGCTAGGCTTGTCTTTCTTCAAGAGAACGGTTCTGAATTCAGATGCCAAAGAACACGCCATCTACATTGGTCCTTGATAAACGCAACATCGAGAATCTTGAACCGGGTAGTTCTGAGAACCACCCGGCCTCGCTTCCAACAACGAAAGACGCTTAAATTCGTCCCGGACCGTGAAGCGGACTCGGTTAGGTTTTCAAAATTTAAGGCCCCATTTACCGCGACCCTCCCTCGTTTCACCCGACTCCGTTCCCACTGGCTCTGTTCCCAACTCCTTGGCCGTACGATTTTTCTTTTTTCCTAGCCTATTCTTCACCTTTTTGCCACCGGGACACCCAAATGTTTTGTCACCCTGCGCCACCTCTGGCAAAACGCTATTTTACACAATACCTATGGCCGTCTTGATTTGTAGCCTAGTCCTTGTTATACTGTACGATGAAACTCGGAAAATTATAAGTAGCTTAGGATGAATGCGTGTAATATGTACAGATGCATATGCGAATAAAGATGCAAAAAAGCCGAAATCAAAGCTAGAAAGTATACGACGCCATGCATCCACAATTACAAAAAATCATCGCCTCTGATTCATTAGATACAGTTGGAAGAGTAGCGCAGTGCGGATAATGCGATGGCGGGATGGACCGTTGAACAAATTGATCGTGATGGATTGTAGGTAATACGGATGAGTAGGTGTTGATATCGTAGTCCAGGGGAGGTGAGAGGACATCTGACCGCGGTTCTTTTCGGTGAGATGGGCTTGAAATGTCCTCGCACGCAGATGCCAGTTTTGAGAGAGATATAATTGGGATATGACGAGATGGCCGAGGCTGGTGTAGTTTCACAGGCGCTTGGCTCGCTGGAGGGGGATAGCACCCTGCCGTCACCGGCGCAGGTAAGTGAAGTGCCGCTGGTGAAACCGTTTCGGATAAGGGAGATGAGGGTAATGTCGATGACTGCGGCGAAGCGAAATCGGGACCCGTAAAATTAAGAGGCTGGGCGAGGAGGACCGGTTGTGAATAGGATGGTGAATATGTGCCAAGTTCCTGCGCGGCAAGGGCCCCATAGGAGTCGAAGCACATGGGCGAATGTTGTGCGCCTAATAATGGCTGCTGATGGAGCCAGTCGAAGTTGGGATCAATCGGAGCTACAGCGGGATGCACTCCTTGGCCGCGAAGTGATGGAGCGTCCCATGTAGACGGCGAATACGACGGAGTGGTGTTCTTCCCCTCAGCCGGAAGATCCCATGGCCGCCGCCATTCCTGTGGTGTTGTGCAAGTGATATTCGAACAGGTCGCCGACGGTGGTGTTGACATATTTTCATCGTCATAATATAGGTCGGGAAGGTCATTCGGAAAAAAATGGGAAGGAGAGGCCATCTGGGGCTGTATTCGGGCGGAAGAGCTGGCTTCACCGGTGCCGTAGCTGTACGAGGGGTTCATCGGTATCCTGGCGCGGGCGCGGGCGTCGAAGTGGTGCGCCGGGACGTAATGGATGGGAGACATGGAGGGAGAAAGGAAGAAGCGCGGCGAGGCGAGAATGACCGGGCTTTTATATGCATCACGTAGTGCTCGGGTAGAGGAGTGTTCTAAAGAGTTCTTTATGCGCAGCCACAAGGGGCATGTGTTATATTGGAAACCTGACGTTAATTTTATGGTGAAGTAACAAAGGAGATCAGGTACGCCACGCCGCTGATGGCCACCTGGCTCCAAAAGGATTACACCGATGACGGCCGGGGCGCTAACCTGGGCACGGAGCTTTTGGCTGAATTGCAGAAGACTACCACCCTGCAGCGGCCTATATCAGGCAGATCAGGTCGGAAACCACATGAACTACGGCGACGCCACTCACCCAAGCCATAGATGCTCAAGCTTTCTTCCGTGAGTCGCAGCGCACCCTTTTGGCACCCTCATCGCGGAAGGCAGAAGGCAGCCTTGTGATGCCGTGCATTCTTCGAGCTGAGACGTCGTACTTATACACGTTCCTGCACGTTCCTGCTCTGCTGCCTTTCGTATCCAACAATGGAGCGAAGAGCTTATCGAAACGGCCTCGTGGCCCACAAAATTTTGCGTTTCAACCCAAGCCTATTGTTTCACAGGACCATCAGTTGCAGAGTGCACACCATATAGCGCACACCTCTTCGACCCCATTCAACGACGTCTCTCGAGCCGACCGTCTATTGGAAACACGCATACGGGTCATTGAAAACATGTCCCAATTACGACAACGATGGCCGAATGGAAGACTCCATGATTGAATAGCCTTCTCGCCGCGGTTTGGGTCGTGGCGACTGTGCATACATGGAGAAGAGAAGCAGAGCCGGGTGTAGAAGGCCATCACAGTTCGTCACAAATCGATTATCGGTTCTTGGGAAAGCCCTCTTGGCTCATTTGAGGTTGCTCACAAGCGCCAACATTCCTTTTCTCGTCGCAGCCAGCAATGGAACATCGCTCGGGCCCCTGACTCTTTCATCGCCTTTTGTCGTATTCACAGCTTGTCGGCCATTCTACGCCATTCAACATTTTCTGCTCTCGGCGGCATGATCTCTGGGTGCCGTGGTGACCCCCCGCAGCGCTGGTTTTGACGCGATGGTTAACACAGCGCCTCCACGGAGCGGCGATAGGGCTTCGTAAACTGTTTTAGAATTGCGGAGAAACAGCCTCGTTCTTATCAAGCATTTGGGTAAACAATCAGCGAACAGAGTTCCGTCATCTAGCACTCTGTTCTAAAGCCCCTTTACTCGCGTTCTGTAGACAACTTTGTCTTGGTCCTTGTGAGCTACGAAACTCCATGCCCCGTTGCAAAGAGAATTCGACCATCCGTTTTCGACGCGATCTGGATACCAGTGGTATCGGAATTGTGTGTGGCGTCACTACTCACAACACCGCAACCTCAACTGCCTCACCCGACAAGCCAGGAAGGCACTCCAGGTTCGAATTTCGGAACTGTTTGATTGCGGCTTGACCACTATTTTGGCTGGGCTTGTGGGCACGCAGGGTCAGACGACACTGCAGAATCTGAACTGGCTGTCTGTCCTATTGCCCTTTTTCTAACAAAAAAAAGGTAAAATCACGGCTATACACCTATTGATACATGAGAGCAGCTGCAAGCACTAGTCGTCCTCTTCGTCGTCCTGATGGAAAGCCCCAGGTACATGCCGGCGACGAGCCAGTTGTCTGAGTCGTGTAGACCTCCTCACACCGGAGTAATGATTCGACTCTAACCGATTCTTCTCCACCCAATCTTGTAGGGCACCTGACGTCTTCGAAAGGCCTTTGTACTCATGCCGTGCGATGACTGTCCCGTTCTCCCACCCAGCGCTCAGGATCACAGGTTCCTATTGAAGGGGCAGAAACAGATCTTGAGAACACACACACCTTTTGCGAGGAAAAACAGACACCGACCTGAGTATGCCAGCTAACATCACGTACGCAATAATTCGATTGGAGACCATTGGCAGGAGGAGGCACTGGCCCAGACGGAGAGAAGCCCGCAGGTAGTGTCCTTGAGCGATCGAGAACCTGCACTACTCTCCCGTCAAGGGACCATATCTATGCAATGTAGCGAGTCAACGATGCAGCAACGCTGAACGGGGTGATGCATTTACGTGTATTCTGCCATCCGCTGAACCAGAGTATATATACTGTGATCCCGTCGTCTCTGCTGGACTGAAGTGGCATCTGATCAGAGTGCGCAGAACGGCGTGTCCGCGATAGGTCATCACGCTGCAGTCCTTCGGATGTGCTTGATATCTCGGCTTGGGATAGTTGGGATATCTTAATTTACAGGTGGTCAGCCATCACACTGCAGCAGGACAGAGGCATGAACGCATGAAGCGGACCAACCTGTAATCGAAATTATCCACGCCGTAGTGGTATTTCTCCACAGCCTCATGCTCCGCGCTTGTCCGCATTTTGCGAAGGTCCCATAACCGCAGTGCTTGATCCTTGCCATTGGAAATGATGTAGCGGCCATCTCCTTTCGCCGATACGTAGGTGATTCCTTCTGTGTGCCCGATGAGAACGCCAGACGGTTTGTGTGAAGCACCTAATGACCGACGATCCCTACATTGGCATTCTTAGCCTGTGGGATGGCAAGAAGTTTTCAAACTCACCAAACTTTGAGGAACGTGTCATCCGACGCACTCACAAGAATATTTCCTGACCCGGTATCAGCCCAGCAGCAGCTATTTACGTCGTCCGTATGGGCGGCGATCTTGACTGTCCTCCTATTGGCCAACAGATCGTAAACTGAACGCAGAATGAGCTTGTGCTGATTGAAGGGAGATGTACTAACCAAAAATCTTTCCGCTGCCCCCAGCAACAACCTCGTTCCCATCAGCAGAGAAGCGACAGCTCCAGATCCCGAACCCTTCTGAATAATCAAAGCGCGGAGAAATTCTAGGAAGAGGGTCGGCAAATGGGATGGGAATTTGTGTTGCATTTCCATCTGGTGCAGTACTTGTCATGTAAACAGTTGGCGCCTAGAGACAGGTTTGCAAGCGTGCGGTTGTATGTTGCAAATACAATGCTCACAATCGTGGAATATATCATCCTGAAAAATCAATATCAGAACGAGCATACGGGCAGGCTACGAAAGCGAAACACCTTTCATTATCGGGAGAAAGATTAGCGTCTGTGATCGTCCATCTGCCTGGGTGGCCTTGAATAACTTTTCTCAAGGGCATTCGCGTGACAAGACTAGTGGTTTCTGTCCGTATTCGCCTTGAACCGCGCGGCACGCGTTCAATTCTCGAAACTGGATCTGCAGTTGGAGGTGCCTTCATGTCGAATATATGTAGCTTGAAGTCTGCATCGGCTATGAGAAAGGGCATCTTTCGTACGAAGGATAAACAACCTTGAGCGCAAGTATAATAGAACGAAGAGTCTGGAGGGAGTAATGAGAAGGAATTTAGCTGAAAGAAGGGGGTGACTAACCGTTTGAGAATGAAGCCGTGTACATGTTAGAATCATAAGTCGCCACAGTTACTCCGTTCGTGTTCGGGACAAGGTTCTAGAGAAATTATAATTAGACATAAGGACAAGCGATATGAAAGATCCACACGAACACTGCAGAGCTCCTCTCGATTGGGGGAGGGAATAGGTCGATACCCACGATCGAGAACGGTGCGTGCAAGATTGGTAGCCCTTCTACGGCTGCGATTCTTGATGCCAACCTGACCAAATTCGCCACTCGTGAGTAGCTCCAGCCCAGCCTGCTGAGGTTCTTCTACGGGCTTAAACCACTGCCTAGCTGGCCTTGGTGGCGGAGAGTAGTAGTAGTCATCATCATCATCATCATATTCGTCGTCATCGTTGCCCCCTTCGAACATCATGACATCCTCATTAGCCTCGTCTGCTTCATCCTCATCCGGTGGGGTAACTCGAGGCCCCGATCCCATAAGACGGGCCAGATCTTGCATGGTAATGCCTCTAAGACTGACCGTAGGCACTGAATCAGAGCTAGCCATGGGTTGGGGGCTTACACCGGACTGCAGAGAGAACAAGGCTGAAAATTAAGGTCAACTTCTGGAATTGAATTGTTATCAATAGGGGAGCTTACTGGTCAGTATGTCCTGCAGCCTAGTATTATCATGACGCGACCGCCCTCCTACACGATCTGCAGCGCCATTGCCTTCCCCGTTGGCATTGTTGTCGGCCATGGCGCAGAAAGTCGTGGTCGTGAGATAAGGTGTCTGAGTAAGGCACTGTCGAATCGCATCGGCACCAACCATGGCCGTGATGTCAACGGGTCATCCGGACCGATCGGATCTGCTTTGGGAAGGTGCCAAGCTGAGCCAAACACCTCCGCTCGGTGACAGCCGTGACGGGTCACTCTTTCAATACGCATCGACAAAGGCGCGCACGTCCGTCGGTTCAACCATGACTGCTGCGCCCATCGTTATAACCGCCGATGAAATAAACTGTCTCATATACTCCTACTTTCAGGATGCAGGTGTGTCTTAAACGATTAGTCTTCAATCATACTAGCTAATGCGTGAATGGACTTAGGTTTCAACCATTCTGCCTTTGCACTTCGCAATGAGGGCCGGCTACAAAATTCTCCTTATTTTGCAAAGCACATTCAAAGGGGAGAACTTATAGAACTCCTGAGCAAAGCTCTCCTATATCTCGAAGTCGAATCGCATTGGCGAGGGGATGAGCTTACAACTAACTGCAAGTCCGGTTTCTCGCTTCTCGAACCGCATGTATGTTCGACGGAACCTCCATCAGCCAAGACGATTCTTAATTCCGAAGGGCCCATGGATATTCACGATACTAATGGAACCTCTATGTCTGGTGCCGTCTCTTCGAGTTCGACGATATCAACATCTCAGGCGCAGGCCACATCACAGGCATCTCGGAATGGTGCACCGGCGCTTGACGGCAAGTTCCCGGTGGATCGAGTACCAATCACCTTGTCCTGATATCTCTCTCGAGTCTAGGTGGTCAAAGACAGAGTCAATCTATAACCTCAGCGGGCGACAGCAGTTCTAAGCGCAAAATGTCTCCCGTCCCGATTGAGGGTCACGTGGAGAAGCGTGCTAGACGCGCTTCCGTTGACATGGATGTTGACAACGTCTCGGAATGTGAGCAAGTTCGAACCTTGGCTACGACAGGGGCTTATTCATGTGAAACCCTGTAGCTGGAAGATCAAAAACAGAGCAGGATGCGTCGTTGTATGACCAATACGGAGGAACGAAGGCGGTCGCTAAACCGTCTGTCCGGCCCCAAGGGCCCGGTGATACTAGGACTGATCCTCGAGTCATGCTGCTATTAGACCAAAAGACAGAGGTCTTTGTCTGTGCCTGGAATCCGACATCACACCATTTGCTGGCTTCGGGGTGAGCCCATAGTGTTACACTTCATTCCGCCTGTGGTAACCAATATGGTCCGCTTTACAGATCAAAAGACGGCGTCGTTAATCTATGGAACCTCCCTGACCCACCGCCAGTCGGGTCAGATTCCTTTGCTGAAGCACCGGGTGAACCGGTTCCTATGGACAATGTTTCCAGGACTGTTCAAGGTGACTTGACTTCCCTTGATTGGAATCCGCAAGGGACTTTGCTGGCTATTGGATCATACGACTGCATATTACGCGTATGTACGAGTTCGGGATCTATATACTTCTCCCATCCCCAACACCAGGTAGGTTGTCACAGCCTTGAGGACGGTCCATCTATGGCTTCTAACGACGTTTTATTGAGAAGGGCCCGATATTTGCAACACGCTTCTCCAAGAATGGTGCGTGGCTCTTATCAGCAAGCTTGGACGGCACGACTTGCCTATGGGACGTGAAGGAAAAGCGCCTCCACAAGCAGTATAGATGTCATAAAGGTGGCTGTCTGTCAAACGATTCTTCCTTTTGAAACAAGTTCAATACTTATTCTTGCCTATCAGACTGCTGCCTTGATGTGGAGTGGCTCAATGAAACCACCTTTGCTAGTGCCGGTGCTGACATGCGGATATACATCATGCGGGTTGACGAAGACGAGCCGATCAAATCGCTAACGTGCGTTATTTTTCTTCTCGTTGTCCGATTCTCTTTCTCCGACTAAGATCTTTCCTCAGGGGACACAAAGACGAAGTCAATCAAATCCGAGTGAACCCATCTGGTACTCGATTAGCGTCTTGTTCAGATGATGGTACGGCCTACGTCTGGAAGGTTGACAACCTCAGTCCCCCAGCAGACACAATCCCGGGCTTGTCAGCATCCGATCACGTTGTGGTATTAAAAGGCCACAGTCACTCTGTCAGCACTGTGGGGTGGTGTGTCGACCATCCGGCAGGGACAAATGAGCTCCTTGCAACGTAAGGAGCTCCTTTTGCATACCGCGTTTGCTCAAATTCAATCATTCATATGCCTACAGATCGTCGTTTGACGGCACAGCACGAATATGGGATTCTGTGACAGGACAGTGCTTGCACGTTTTCCAAGATCACAGACGGCCTGTATACTCCTTAACGTTTAGCCCTGATGGTAAATACCTTGCCACAGGCAGCGGGGATGGCTGGTTACATATCTACCATACACGGGTATGTCATTACCTCTCCACTCTTGTGATTTATTTGACGTTGGTTGCCAGATGCACTTCCGAGTGTGGTCATGGTTTGCAGGAAGCGATAAACCTGGCGTCTTTGAAATTGACTGGCAAAATCTCGACGGAGTCAACCGAATAGCGATGGCTCTGGAGTGTCGGCAGGTTGCGGTGCTCGATGTAAACAAGCTCCCGATCCTACAGTCGCCTGTTCTGCTTAATGGGATGCAGCAACAGGCAACGGCTCGGATAGAGCCTGCATGAGATTTTATTTATTGCAGGGTGTTATGAGTATTTAAGATAGTACTGCGTCGTGCCCCTAAATGTACTCGTACAGCTCGACTTGTATTGGGAATCGGGGATGAAAGGAGGAAGGAGACACAGCCACAATTGTAGGTCCCGATCAAGATCGTCATCCCACGTGATGCCGAAAACTTATTATTCCTACCGAATCGCTCACCGAGGATACAAACCCTCTTCATTGTCAACCAGCACCACCCGCGCATACAGCTCGCCCTCCCTCGCTGCCCCGCCTCCCTCGGGAGACACGCTCGCGCTCACAATGTTGATGTTGCCGACGCTCCACAATCTCCTTTCTCAAGTCCTCGCACCTCCCTTTCTGCACACTGCCGTGCTTCTCACACCAGCAGGCGAACTCGTCTCCGCAGCCAGCGAACCATCGAGGCCGAAGGACGACATTCGAATAATTGTAGGCCTTAGTGGGGAAGTGTGGCAGGAAACACGGGAGCAGGGCTACGGAATGGTAGACAGCGAAGTGAGTCTTCTGGACGCTCGTTGCGGTCGTGTTTCTCACTAGCTTCCCTTTGTGGGAACTAGCTCGGTCGTATCATCGTTCTTCCCGTGGACGAGTTCTCATCTGGGCCCGAGCAGCCGTTCTCCGACGAGCACCAGCCTCTCATGCTTCTCGCCTTGAACGCGACGGACGCAGTTGAGTGGGAAGAATTGGATAACAAGGTCCGTGCATTGGAGCTACCGCATCGTGGCTACATGCTTACTGCGCGTGTTTAGGGTAAAACTCTTGCTGGACATATCGCGAAGCCTTTGAGTAAATTTAGGGAATTGATCGTTTCATCCAAGCCTTCGCGCTCGACGACAGTGACAACGTCGCCCGCACCCGTTCGTTCATAAACATTCCTTTCTTGCACACACGGCTCCTCGATCGCGCTTTCAACAGTCGCATACTCACCCACCTTGCTTCTTGAAACCCCCCACACCCAACGTTCGCTCTTGACTCACTTATCACTATCGTATTTTCCTCATAGTCTCTAATCCCGATACCTTTCCCTTTCTTCTCATTCGTCGTGTTTAATTTATAGACTAGACGCACATGTACCATGCCAGCATATGTATTATAGGACAGGACACTGGAACCCAATCACACGAATGGAATTATCTTGCAGCATCGTGAACAAGATTGTGTGGACGCGGGAAATCGGGTTCAAGTTTTTGATCGCGAAAGTCACTGAACTCTTCCCTCTTCCCTCTTTCCCGCACCTCTTCCCTACCCTCTCCACGACCACCTATTTATTTGGACGATGCGGACGATGGTCTTCCATTCGATATGTCAGTCTGGAGTACGACAAACTTCCGCTGTCACGAGATGTCGTCGCCGAAAGCTTAGCACGTTCGCGCAACAAATTGAACCTACGACGAGGTCAAGACCAGAACCTATTCCAATCAAGCATGAACCACCACAGACTCGTCCACAGCCAGACCCGTACCTCCTAGTCGCGCCAGAACTCACGCATATACGAAAAAATATGCTGAACCTACTTGGAACCGCACATCCAGACCTCGCAGATATAGCAGAGTATTATTTCTTGCAACCGTCAAAGCAACTACGGTCGCTCCTTATCTTGCTGTTTTCCCGTGCGACGAATGGCCTGGGTCGGAATTGGGAACGAAAACACTGGGATGCCGCGTGCGAGGCAAGCTCTGGACAATCGGAAGAGCTGGATCGACCTCTTGCACTATCAAACGTTCTCAACGAATGGAACCCTAGTATGCCAGACCATACGGAGTCTTTTGGGTCTGTATTCACTCTACAACAAGCTGTGCCACGTCTCGAACACCCCCCACCCCCTCCTTCGTCACCTCTTACGCGTGCCATACCAGGCATTATCTCTCTCCCTTGTCTCCTTCCGACCCAAATACGGCTAGCACAAATCGTAGAGATGGTCCACGTCGCCTTCCAGCTGCACGAAGGCATCACAAAAGGCTCAGAGGCTGAGTCGAGCAGCATGCAGAGCATGGGCTTCGGGAACAAGCTGTCCATCCTTGGCGGGGACTTCTTGTTGGGACGCGCCAGCACAGCGCTGTCGCGTCTAGGAGAGAGCGAGGTCGTGGAGCTCGTGGCGAGCGTGATATCCAACCTCGTGGAAGGCGAGTTTTTGAGGATGGAGGAGATTAGGACGCCTGAGCTCGGTGTTATGTGCGGCCCTAGAAGTGTTCTGAGCGCGTGGGAACTCTACCTGCGAAAAACATATTTGAGAACGGCGAGTTTGGTGGCGAAGGGTGCTCGTTCTGCTGTCGTTCTTGGAGGTTGTCGGGAAGGGGATATCTGGAAGGAGGTGGCATATGCTTATGGCCGGAATTTGGGTATCGCTTACCAGGTAAGATTTTGGTTTGCATAAAGCATAAATGGCGCACTGACATTTAACTTCCCAACAGCTATTGGAAGACGCTCTAGATATCAAGCACATGCAGCCCGGGCTGGCTACCGGACCTGCTCTTTTTGCATCAGAAGAATGCCCTCGATTAGTGCCTCTGATTCAACGGAATTTCACGGGCGAGGGTGACACCGAACTGGTAAATACCTGCTGTCTTTCATTCTTCTTCCTTTGCTTAATGAATGTTCCTAGGCTGTTGAATACATCCAGGCGACATCAGGAGTCGAACGCGCACGTCTCCTCGCCGAAGCCTATGCGGACAAGGCGCGAGACGTGCTTCAGTTACTTCCGGACAGCGAAACAAAAATTGCCCTCGAGGTTCTGACAGAGTTGGCTGTGAAACGTTCATGGTAATTCGTGCTTGTGTAGAGGTCGGACATGCGTCTAGAACATTCTTGAACCCTTGCAGTCGCACTACTTTAGATTAGAAAACTTATAGGAACCTCCATTTAATTCTTATCTCCACGCAGGACCCGCTTTCTACCTGCATGTTCCCAGAGACTGCGCCTCTGTCCGGTCCCCCTTGCCCCATGGGAAGTGTGTACTTTGCACCTTCGTCAGTCGAGATCCATTCCTGGAGACTGGTGGCGAGCTAAAAGTCACAATCGTAGTGGACTTGATCGGCCAGGGTTGTTGTTTGCAGAACGAAATTTCGAGGAGATACGCAAGATCGATTCCACAACTACGAAAGTGTCGCCTCTGATACGCTGGCCAGAGTGTTGGCTCTTGATTTCGTCTGTTTCCGCATCGGTTTAGCATCGGTATAGAGATGTGAACTGAATAAGTCCAGTGGAAGGCTGACAGGTGTATCTCGAGGCAAAGCTCGAGCGAGAGAGGTCAGGATGCCTGGAACACTCTCGTCAGATGTTACTTTCTTGTAATTCTCGATGATGCTAATTGCTTTTACGATCAGTGTAGGCTCCGACAATGCTCGCGTCAGGCCGAATAAAATGGCTAAGATACTCCGTGGAAGTCGGGTGGTCCCAGTGGTAGTGTACTCGACCGCTTCTTCGAGGTAGTTGACCAAGCGTTCTTGTGATTCCTTGGTGAACTCCTTTCGCGCTTTCTTCTTGAAATCAATCCTGAAGAAGGTCCGGCGGATGGTATTGTGGGCTTCGTGGGGTATGGTGTCCGACTCGAGCATATTGACCACATATTCCAGGGCGAGGTTGAAGCCGGCTTGATTGAAGGTCTTCTGGAGGCTTCTAACGGATTCGAGAATCTCGTTTGCTGCCTTTCTGTCCAACCCAAAGGCAGAGTTAGCTGCGAGAGACGCTGCCCGGGCATGGTGAAGCGCGATGGCTTCCATCATCACATGAGGTAGCGGAGTCGTGAATTCTGTGCAACTGACAATTTGCGCCTCTAACAGCAATATCCTCTGCTTCGAAGCATCGAGAACATCTCCTTTGTCGTAGAACGGAATATGTGCCACGTCGATTGAACCTTTGCGCGTCGGAACCGGTTTTCCTGTTTCGAGGGCGGCGAGCAACTCTGCTTCCAATGAATGTGCGCGGCCTACCTGCATGTCTAGCAAGCTTCTCGCAACGACAATCGACGCGGATAGAATATGATCTTGGACTTCAGGACTTGGGATGGCCTTCTTCACATTGAATAAAAGGTCGAACATGTCTTCTCTAAACTTGAGCATCTCCCTGTAGGAGGAAGATTGCGAGGCAGCCGCAGGTTTCGGCATGGAAAGCATGGTGAGGGACCATATTGCTTTGAGGCAGGTTATTGCTCTCTTGTGCGCGACAGATGGGTGGAGAAGGCCCGTCGCGCAACTGGCAAGGAGCCTGGGGATGCGATAACCTAATTTGATGGATATATCCTCGTGATGGAGCAGTGTCTCGAGGAGCCACTTGGCGCTATAGTCGAAGCCGGAGACTACACTCGGAATGACTTCGACGAATGGTTCAAACTCGTTGTCTTCGCGCAGAGAATTGAGCGTCCAACACATAGCTTTCAAGTCTCGTTGGTCGCGTTCCGGGGTGACTTCCATGGCTTCAAGTTCTCGTGCTTCGTTCATAGGACAGGAAATGGGCACATCGTTCCCGTCAGTGTCCCGACGGCGTAGCAGGCCAATCTTCCGAAGAACTAACCAAGAAAATGTGGACAGAGGAGTCCAATAAGGAGAAGACAGACGGAAGATGGGAAGAGCAGTAATGAAGATATACAGAAGGCAGCAAATCAGGAGCATCACGAGGACGAGAAATTCGAGACCTCTATTCACTGGGATCAAGAAAGCGATCAGGCCTGCGAAGAAAAGGAAGAGGGATATATGAAGGAGCAGAGGGATGGTCTCGACTATAGCCGCCATTCGGTACTTCTCGACGCCTTGATAGAGATAGGCACTGATGCGGGCTCGGTCTTGAGGAGTTGGTTTGCTATGAGATGATTGCAGATAATGGCGCGTCCACTGTTCTACCAAAGTTGCAGACAGCGCAGAGACAAGGCTGAACCCGAGACTCAGGAACCACAGAACGTTGCATATGATGGCAGAAATTGGGGGAGAGAAGCTGTCTTGGTCGAGGATGAGAAGAGGGGGACTGACTGGTATCGAAGACGTGTTTGTTGACAGCAAGCCTAGCTGTTGTGATATCTGCGAGAGTAGCAGAACTGTAGTGTCACTGGGTTCTGGATTGAGCGTCTTATAGCTCTCTATGATGAAAGCTGTAACACTCGCTGAGAATAAACCGGCCTGAGAGGTGGGGCATGATGTGCTGTTGGTGTGCAACTATGAAGGAAATCACTCACGAAGATCAAGATCGAGTCCATATCCCCCTTCCAGTTCTGAGCCATGGTTCGGTCGTATTTCTCCGATTTCGACAAGTACGCAGACCACAGGCTGGCCGAGGGATCATCATACCGGTACGGTTGGTACCCGTCTGCTGTATACGTGAAATGACGGATTGAGGAGGCCATCCCAAAGGAGATCCAAAGTGTACGAACCGGTCTTTCCTTCAGCCATCGTCCTAAAGTATTGCAGCTACCACGCAACAAGTATGAAGCTGAGGTTTGGGTAGAGCGGCGAGCAAGGAGTCAACGAAGGTCGCTTTCACTGTCAATGGCCGCATCTCGAAGGCGCAGCACAGCAATAGCCTGATGAGAAAGAAGACGGCCTAAAATTGATACCTATCAAAGTGAGTTCTTCGGTCAAATGTCCTTGCTCTAGTCCCTTTCTGTGACCCTCCGTAAACTTGCTGTCATGACATGGAAGACCTTCTTGAGCGATAAGTGCAATCGATGGTACATACAGTCACCGTACAGGAAGAGATGAGATATGTTTACCTTGGCACTTGACAAGAAAAACAGGCACATTTGCTCTCCGAGGCTTTCTATCTCGCAGAGTAAATGGATTTTGCAGATCCCGAGTTCAAAAAAATAACAGGGGTCAATGTAAACCAGCCGACCTCATAGGTCAGGGGGAAGCGGGGTAACAAGCAATATTTGGGAAACGGGGATTGAGCGGAAGCAGTTGCGGAATGATCGAGTAACCGGTCCCCGGTTTTGCGGGGTGCCGGGACATCAAATATAGACACTTTCACCTCACCCGCATTTCATGTTTCTTCCTTACCTTCATTTTCTCTTTTCTTTCTTTTTCTTCCACGAAAACACCTCTCTCCTCCATTTTGATACGCTTGAGTCTCTTCCTGGACGAGCGCGGGAATGTTGGCCCGAGTGACAATTAACACGGCGCGCGTCCTCGATGTCCACTTCGAGTCGTCTCCCAGAAGTGACGAGGATGGAAGTACCCTTGTACGCTCTGGATCTTCCTTGTCGTCTTGACTCGCGAAAGCTGACCATTGACACAAAAGGTGGTTGACCTTCAATCCCTTTATGCCCTCTTGCCTCCCATTCCAGATGCATGGCGTCCAGTAACTGCGGCTTATAACGCGGTTGCTCCGATTTGTACAAGCTTGCAACGGGTGATCAGCGAAGACATAGAGAACATGGCGTCGCTGCTGTTGGATTTGGAGCTTCGTCATAGCGAGGATTGGAAGAATGCATTGGTCTGTGCCCTCGGTTCTGTCAAATTTCGCGAAACTAAACCGCATTCTCTATTCAGCCTGTGGGGTTGCTAGAGGCGTCGCCACGCTCTCAAGGCGTTGGAATGTTGGTTCATGGATCCGAACCCGCTCATTTACCGTCGCCTTTTGAACGATCCGGACGAAAAAAGCGACGTTTGTCCGATTCTGTGAGTTTCTTGCTTGTTATGTCTGTCTTCCTTGAGGAAGGCTGATCTGAAAAACCCTTTAGCCATCTCCCATAGTGATTCCCAGTGTCCATCCTTCCGCCCCGGCCATAATCATCACACTGGCTGCCCCGCAACCGCGAGAGACCTCGTGCCGCACCCCATGTCAGGACCAAGCATTCGGAAGGCGCCTGGCGGTGCCCTTCCACCCTGTGTTCAACAAAACACACCCTCCAATGGCCTTTGAATCGTCTTCCTTGCCTCGACTGGACAACTGGAAATGGGTAAACGGGCATTGGATGGCGGTTCTGCCGTCATTGGAAGAGCAGGCCAAACGCGGCATGTTTTCGCGGCCTATCACGGCAAAGAGAAGAAAGTGCAGAACACCTTCGAAAGGTCCAACCTTTACGGACCCATGAAGGCGAAAGGCGTTGCTTCTTGCCGACCCTCGAGTGCGTCCTGCCTTACACACAAGAAAATTGCTTTGTATCTACGTGGTCATGCGGCTCAAGGTCGCCCCGACTACAGGTCGGCTTGCAGTGTTATCGACACGAGGAGATCATCGGGACGCCGTGTACGTACACCTATGGCCATTGTGCGGGATTGTGCTGTTCCCGCACTGCTTCACGCGGGTTCCTCTCGCATCTAATTTCAGAGACGTGGGTGGTCGCTCCTTCCCTGGTACCATTTAGCATAGCATCGATCTTGTAGAGGAGTATCTATCTTCATATTACAGGCGTACTTCTGAACGGGATTGATTTATGAAGAATTGCATGTCGAATCAATCGATTTTGGAGGGAAAGCCAGTGGTTGCCATTGGTCCGGCGTCAAGCGACTTCGGACTCAAGCGCCCAGTCGGCAGGCGATGTCACGGACACGTGTCCCTTCGTCACCGTGACCAGCTGGTAGGCGTGACGGAGGCAATTGAGTGTATCCAGTCGCAGCAGCCTCTCGTTGCCTTCCACCACAAGTCCTCCCCTTCTAGAGAATGCTGAAGGCACTCTTATATGCGTATGTTCTCGGAGGCATAACATTCATCCCACTCCTCATCGTCGCGGCTCTCTTCATCACTGTCTACACCTCTGTCCCAGTTGGGGATTTCGACGTCACCAAGAAGACCAGGGGGCGCTTGGAGGCGGACAATGCTCTAGAGGAAGAGAAAGCGCCAGAAGCGGACACACCACCCCTCGAGACGAATGACGCGCCGCGCACCCGCAAAGGATGGCTGACAATGCGCAGGACGTTTGAAGAGTCGACAGGGGACGGCGGCTATGTCACCCTTGTTCGTTCGTTCTTGGACTCCAGGTCAAAGGATCCCAAGAGATCTCGTCCGAAGGACATGTGGTACGTAGTCCTCAAAGGCAAGGTTTTGTATCTCTATGAAGATGAAGAGATGTCGGAATGCGAAGCTGCGGTGGAACTCAGTGGCCACCAGGTGGTCATCTACCCCGAGGGGCTGCCGGACGCAGAGCTGTACGCGAAGAGGAACGCCATTTGCCTCAAGCCCAAGGTCGCGAATCCGGACACCATGCCGAGTGTCACGAGGGAGATGCGTCTCGAGAAGGACAACGTGGAGGAGACGCTGGAGACTTCAACGACCAGTGGGAAGAAGCGGGAGGCTCAACGGGAGGCGCTGCTGGAGGAAGAGAAGAAGAAGAACGCCGCAAGAGAGGAGGCGTTGGATCCGTCGACACCTTGGTTCATCTTCGTTCGGTCGAATGTGGAAATGGAGGATTGGTACTTCGCCTTGATCCACGCCTCGGAGCAGCCAACACAAACGCCCACTCTTCTGCCATTACGTGCTATCTTCGAACCTGCCGACATGAACCACCTTGTTTCGACCTTGGACGAACAACCAGACGTCATACCAATGCGCTGGTTGAACGCTTTGCTTGGACGGATCTTCTTCAGCCACTACCGGACGCACAATCTCGAGGCATACATCATTGGCCGGCTCATGAAGAAACTCTCGAAAGTCAAACGTCCAGCATTTCTTACGGAAGTGGAGGTCACGCAGGTGTCGGTTGGCAACAAGGCTCCTATGTTGAGTAAACCAATGCTAAAGGAGCTAACGAAGGAAGGTGATGCTTCCATCGAGGTGCATCTTCAATACAAGGGAGAAGTGCGTATTACCGTGGAAGCGACTGCGGTCATCAACCTGGGTGCAAGGTTCAAGTCTTACACCGTCAAGCTGACACTGGCCGCAGTCTTGAAGGAATTGGAGGGCAACTTACTTGTCAAGGTCAAACGCCCCCCGAGTAATCGCATTTGGTATGCGTTTACGCAGACACCAAGGATGGTGCTCGAGGTGGAACCTATTGTCAGCGACCGGCAAATTACATGGAACATGATTTTGAGCACAATTGAGTCGAAGTTCAAGGAGATTGTGAGTAATGCCATGCTTATCATTCGGTCAGATATCCCTAACCTTCCATTATAGATCCAAGAATCGGTAGTGATGCCCAACATGGATGATATCGCTTTCTTTGACACTGAAGAGTACGAGCACCGAGGCGGCATTTGGTCCGACACATGCAGAAAGCCATATGTTCCAAGTTCAGCATCTGCGGTACCAGATGAAGTTCAATCTGTCGCTTCCGCCCCTCTTCCGGATACCACGTCAATATCCTCTGGCGACTCAATTGCCCCTGCTACCAAATCCCTAGATGAAATTTCGGTAAGCTCTGCACCCACAATACCAACGGAAGGGGCTTCGTCTTCAACGAGCCCTCTGGACGATTCTAACGACTCTTCGCGGAACAATACACGGCGGCGAACATGGTTCTCCTCTGTTCGAAGTGAAGACTTGAACTCGTTAGCAGGACCAGGCTTTGATACGGATAACAACCAAGAAAAGACTGAAGAGCATCGTGGCCGCACCCTCGAACCTGAAAAATCACCCACAACACGATCGCATTCAACTCCAAGTAAGCCCGAAACGCGCGATGTGACTCCAGAACGCACGACCAACGATGAACCCGAATCCTCTTTCCAAAAATCCCGTCGGTCCGCCTCCGTCTCACAATCTTCTTCAGTGAAGATGGACGCAGAGGAGCAGGACGACGAGGCGATGGCCCCCCGGACCAAGTCAACGCCTGTAACGCCACGCAAGAACTCGGACGCGTCGCAGATCGCGCGCACGCCGAGCCCGCCATCGTTCTTCTCCGCTCTCAAGTCGAAGGCGGCGGACAAGCAGGCGATCAACACTGCGAAGGAGGCCATGCGGAAGTGGGGCATGAATGTGAATTGGGGCGGGTTCAAGAAGGAAGCGAGCAGTACGAGCAATGGGTCGGGCGATGAGGGTTCTAATGGGAGTCCGCCTCGTGGTGGTGGTGGTGGTCTGCACCCTGACAGCAGCAACAGCACGTTCAACTCGCTAACGCACAAGGCGCGCGCGAGTTACGCAGAGGTTCGGGCTGCAGTGGCAGAGAGGAAGGAGCGCGAACGGACGCCAAGCTCGAACTTCTCCGAAGATGGTCTACGGCCTGCATCACCTTCGACGCCTCAGAACCAGAGAACGAGGGTGACGAGCACGGGCGGGTCGTCGTCGAAAGGCGGTTTCCTGCCCCTGCCCAACGGGTCGGTGTATTCCGAAGTGCCATCGAACCCCTCGATCGTGAGCTCTGCGACTAAGCGCCTGTCGGGCACGTTCGCGGGGGGCGGCGCATCGTCGAGTACGACGCTGACGCCACCCCGGCTCGCGAACAAGAAGTCGACACCGTCGATCAGCAAAGTCAACACCGAGGTTGACGCGCAGGACACGGTGATCTCACCTGGGCTCGCCCAAACACCCTCACACGCCTCCTCCTCCCATTCCTCCCACTCTCAGCAAACCCAGCCAACAATAGACCTCGACACGGCCCCCACACAGCCGATCCACGTCCAGCCGCAGGCAAAGACAATGTCAATACCCGGGATACACGCCTCTCACAGAGGCGAGGTGCAGGCGATGGGGTACGTCGCGCCGCCGCCTGACCCGCCTGCGCCGTCCAGCGCAGGAGGCGCGGTGGAGGGTGTCCTGAATTTGAAGAACCCGGCGATACAGAGTGTGTATCGGCTTTGGAAGAAGGATGGGGCGGCGAAAGAGGGTTCGAGTTCGACGGGTTCGCAGCAGAGTCAGCAAGGGCAGGAGACGAGTCCAGGGGCGGTTTCGGAGTCACCTCAGTCTGAGAGCTCTGTTGACCTGGAGTCAGATCCGGCCACCAACTCCTCGAACCCAACTGCATCAACCTCAACCTCAACCTCACCACCCACACCCGTCCCGCCAACCGTGAAACCGACACCACCGCCCCTACCTCCACGCTCGAACCCACGGCCGCTCAGCGGCGTACTCGTCGGCGCGTCGCCCGCGCCAACGCCCATACCCGCATCCGTACCCGCACCTGCATCCACCACGGTTCCAGAATCGGTGATGTCCCCCTCGGCGGCGGAGGCGCTGAAGCGGGTGGTGATGCGTGATGAGGAGATGCGTGCGGGGGCGGTGGGTACCTCTGAGCAAGAGGAGGGTGGACAAGAGGGTGGGAGGACCGATGCAAGCGCCGACGTTGGCCCGAGCCCGGCAGGTGAATCAGTAGCGCCAGCAGCACCGACAGCACCGTCGGTACCGATCCCACCGAAGACGCCTCCTGCCCTGCCGCCTCGGAGGATCCAGACACCCGCGTAGTCCGAGTCTGGATGGTATCCTCGCAGGAGCCTGTCGATCTTCCTGTTCTTCTTTCTTTGCTCATTCATCTTGTCATGCACTTTGTCCTTCCTTGCACTCGTTTCATTCCATCTCTATCATCTCCTACCATCATCACCCCCATGTACACAACGATCTAGTTCACTTATTTTTACTTTGGGTACAGTACCACCTTCCTCTCTCCCTCCTCCATTCTACTTCACCCCTCCTCCACTCCTCCACTCCACTCCATACATCTATTGGTACTATTGCACTTGGGCATTACATATACAGACACAACATTTTCCATTGCATTTTCCTTTGTACTTCTACATGTTCTTATGGTCCATGATCAATGTAATGATCATCACGTCGAAAAAGAAGAAAAAAAACGGTGCGAGAAGTAAAGGTGTGCTGGGAGTTGAGATAGCTCGGTGGTCTAGGAATAGCGAGCTATAAGTAGACCGCCGCGGCTAGAAGATCACCCAAAGAAGTGACTGGCAACGAGGAGGGATGGTCGTGAAACGTTCTGGTGTCAGTGAGGAATCGCCGGTCAGAGGCTGTCCAAATCATGAAGGACCATGAAGGATGTCCGTCGCCTTGCCTCGAAATTTTATTTTACTTTTAAGCATTTAAGAGTGCCGGGTCCGGTGGAAGCGAACCTTCGCGCTTCGGACCTTCGAGCGACAAGATTTTCAAAGAAGTCCTTCTATCGCGCCGACGGTAGAACCCATAAGCAGACAAAAGAAGACGCAGATCAGAATCATCAGAGGTCTTATCTACATATGCATAGCATACCAAGCCCGGCATCCGCAACTTGTGAGCAGCAGACCACAGTTGCGTCCGTGGTTTGTGCGGCTGCTGCGAGACACGGTCATGCAGACGATATCGATACAGCATCGGGATGACCGAGCTCGCCAGTGAAGACCGAGCTTGCCAGTTATTCAGCGCTCAGCATTCAGCTTGAGTCGTGCTTCCATGATTCATCCATCCATCCATTGATGATATGGGTGCTCGACAGATCTTGATCACATCCAGTCAGTTCGAAGGGAGGCTCGACGTCGATTATCGATGAGGTTGACTTTCGGGTTCCGGGTTGTCATGCACACCAACACCATCCATCGAGAACCCGTCGAAAACTTGTTTGAGGGTGTACTTACAAGAAGAACTTGGGTTGGATGGTAAGTTGACGGCAAGGAGGTGGTATCAATCGAATTTCACGAGCAGTTGTATCGAAAGATTTTTTTCGCTTCCATACCTATCAGCAAAAGACTGCGACTGCGCCCGTGAATTGGGGGCCCGTTGCGTGTTGATAAAGTGCGCTTTATACACACCGTCCTAAACACAAAATTGAAAAAAAAAATGTTGGTCGGTCGGTCGGTTGGGTAAAATTTGAACGCTCGACCTACGAAACGAATGAATCGTAGTAGATATATGCACTGACTTGCGAGGTCGCCTTGGCAGCTGTTGGTCCGTCGGTATGCATTCGGATGCGAGTCTAAAGGCAAACACGGCGTCTCGCGACCGAGGACCAGATCGTCGTCGTCCACGCGAGGCGATGGTTATCGGGGTGCAGAATAATTATTTGCAGCCTTCGCAGCGATCAGTTTGCTGTGGGCGTAACATACCGCTGGCATCAGGATGTAAAAGTATGCCTTTCGGGCTCCTCCAGGCGGCCGGCAGGAGGAGAGCATATGGAGCTCGCAGACTATTGACAGCGCAGTGCAGCGCCTCCCATCTGGCATCTGATCGCAACGCCAACAACGCAGCGGCTGAGGCGTCGTCGTGTCAATCTGCATACGCATATGGACGTGCACCGCTCGAGAGTCGGAGGGAGTGTGTATTATGTGCCGAAGTATTTTTGAATATGAAAGTTGGAAGGGTGTGATAAGCCGTTACGGTGCAGGTGGAAATAAGGAACGGGAGGGCGCTGGCTGTACATCCCTTGACCTTACCCCGCTACGCAGCTGCGGTTGAGTGCTGGGATTCCTTCTCGCGGCTGTCTGTCTTTCCCATCTTCTGTTGCAACTGCTTGACCTGTGAGTGTCGCATGCATATGCACGCTCATTTCTCGAAATACTGACGGCCTGAGCAGGTGTCAAGAAACAGATTTGGTCGGATGAGCGTGGAGAGTGTAGCAACAGGGTCGGGGTCGAGCTCGAGCAGCCATGGTGCTCGCGATCCTCGCACCAACACCATGGTCACGAAGCGTGGCGGAACCTGGGGAGGAGGAGAACGGAAAAAGGAAAAAAGGCCAGGTGTGCCCAGGTCGCTGATGATCTCGCCGAATCTCGACGCGCTGCTGGAGCACGAAGACCGGATGCGACAGTCGCCTGTGTCGCCGTACGCACTGTCGGTACAGACAACGTCGCCGCGGTCAGGGGCGTCGACAGCTACGATATCGCCGAGCGGAGGTATGGAGCTCGGGGTCGGGATTGGGGTCGGGGTCGGAGGCGGAATGGGCGGGGGATTACCGCCTCCGCCTCGACGGACGCGCGGGCCCAAATCGCCTCTGACGCAGGTGGTAGCGCCTCTTGGCGGGGTGGGGAACCAGGAGAACGTTGCGCCGACGACAAGCAATCCGTACATCAACCGTGCGCCGACGCTGGCGGACGTGCTTGGGGGCGACCGGAAGGGGGACGGATCAAATGCTTGGCGCCAACAATCAGAGGGGGGAGAGGGAGATCGAGTCGCAGGGTTTGTCGAGGCGGCCATGGGGAGCAGCAGTGGTGCAGGTGAGTGATCGATCGCGCGGGCGACAAATTGCACAGAAACTGACAGAATAGCAGCAGGTCGTCGTCGGCCCCTTCTTTCCCACGCGCATTCCCCCTCCTTATCCTCAGACTCGACAGACTCGCACGCGCCTCCATCGACCGTCGAGCACGAGCCGCGCATCAGCATCTCAAGCACAGTCTACCAGGCCAGCGACGCAGACCACTCCCTCGACTACAACTCAGACATGTCACACAGACACTCCTTCATCGACATCTACTCCCCCAATCCCCACCAGACTTCATTCCCCACGTCTGAGCCCGTCTCGCCCCTCCTCTTCGCCCGCGCATCCCTCGACTCCCTCGACTCCGCTTCGTCCAAGCCGCCCGTCCCTACGACCCCCAAGCCCACATTCACGAAGCCCACCCTCCGATCACGCCAGTCGTCCCCAAAACCATCGGACGACCGCCTCCCCCCAACCACCAACTTCCTCGACGTCGACGAGCGCGCTGACCTCGTCCGCAAGTCCCGCAAGCTCGCCCGCGTATTCGGCCAGACTCCCGGCGCAGACGCCATGGCCCACCAGGACACCAACCGCGCCGCCCTCCCCGTCTCCGCCTGGCGCGCCCACTCCCGCAAGAAGGATCTCAGCATCTATGCGTCGAGACGGCACAGCATGCCCCTCACCCCCGACGACATATCCTTCCTCTCCCTCGTCAGCCCGACCTTTGAGGAAAGCAATCCGACATCGTCGTCGCGCACTCGCGATCGGCGCAAAAATAGACCCTCCTCCCCTACTTCCTTTATTGATCTGTCAGAGGACCACACCAGCTCCACCACGGACCCCGGCGCGGACACGACACACCAGGCCGCCCAAACACCCCCTGATAACCTCGCTTCTTCGTCTGTAGGCCCCCAGCCCCACCCGAACACCGACTCGGACGCCATGTCCTCGCTTGACACCGAGGTCGAAATCGAGTCCGCCGAAGAACTCGAGCGGCGCCGCAAGCGCGAACGCCTCGCCAAGCTGCACCGCTTCCTCGGCTCCCGCGTCCCCGCCAACCTCGTTCTCGGCATCGACGACCTCCACGTCGAGGCGTCCCTCCCGCCACCCCAGGGCAGCCCTACGCCCCCTAGCACAAGCAAGAGTGGGAGCTCCGAGAGCGACGAGGTCAGTGGGTCGAGGAAGACGTGGATGAAGAGACGCAGGAGCAGCTCCGTGATCGCTCCGCCCTCCAGCTGGTGCGAGGACGTGGACAGGCTCAAGGAGGAGCTCGACGACAAGGAGAAGGCGATCAATGTGAGGCGGGCGCAGAAGATGGAGAAGGTGTGTCCTATTCTCTCTCTGTGTCTATCTACCTTTATACCCCTATTCATATCCACCCACACTTTCGCTCAGGTCTTCGGCGTTGCCCCGCCTCCAAACGCTCTACCACACCCGCACTCGCCCTCACCGTCCGTCCCCGCCGTCGCAGCCACACTCATCAAGTCCGCCCAGGTCCTCCCCTCCGGCGCCGTCGCACCCACCGACACGCCCGCCCTACCCTCATCGCGCAACCCGAACCGTACCTCATACATCCATAAATCTAATACAGTCATTGGGATCGCCTCTGTAGGTGCAACAACAGGGAAAGCAGGGACGGGCAAAGGAAAGAAGAACAACCGTCCTGGCACGTCCGAGTCGGCAAAGGGCCTCCTGCAGAAAGGCCCGGGCGCGATGGACGGGTGGGGGTTTGATGAGCGGCTGGTGCCTGTTGTGGGAGGGCATGGAGCAGGAGGGGAAGGAGGAAGAGGCGATAGGCACTCGAATATCTATAGCCATTATCAACACTCGTTGAATTCTCTGGGGGATATTTTGGATCGGGTGTGTGCTTTCTGTTCATCGTCGTTGATCTTTGAGAGACTGATACTTGTTTTTTTGTAGGACGACCGCGAGTCCCTCGCAGAGCTACACGAGTACCTCAACACGCCCGGGGTACCTCCACACGAGGTGCCTCCCACCTCCACTCTCACACAAGCAGACGACTCCGGTCGTGCCACACCCACCCCTACATCCAACACACCAGCAACCCGGCGCCTCTCCTCCGCCTCCCTCAAGTCCGAACGTCGGCGCTCCCTGCCCGCACGCACATCCCTCATCTCCTTGGCCTCCCTCGCCTCCCTCTCTTCCATAACCTCCGACCTCACCACCACCTCCATAGAACCCACCTCCGCGTCCACGGTTTCGACCCCCAAAGCGGACGTCTCGAGCTTCCAGCTAAGAAGGAGGAGGGCGGCGAAGCTCACGCAGTTCTTCGGTGTGGATTATAGAGAGCTGATTAGTGATGTGTTGGAGAGTATTGAGAATGGGGTGCAGGCGGAAAGGCAGAGGGGGACGTTGAGGGAGGAGGAGGTGCAGGTGGGTTTTTTTTGTTTTTTTGTTTTGGTTTTTTTTGCTTTCTTGATGCTGATACTGATGCCCTGCTTCACAGGACCTCCTTGCGAAGCTGAGGAACTTGAAGACGAAGCGCCAGAGCTTTATCTAACTGCCGACACCTATCTGCTCGATTTACGACCCCGAACCACACCAACGACCAAGAACGCACGACGCTATTTATTCCTCGATGTATTCGCCATCCATCTATTCGACCTATCCAAGTGTCACATGTCAAGCTTCATCTAGCATTTGGCTATCTACCTAGCATTTGCATTCCGTCCACCATGCAACTAACCGGCGCAACCCTACCACTGACCTATCGGCACACAAACGCGAAGGACACTAACGAGTAAAGCTTGCTGGTCATCGAACATCCAACTCAACTAACTAACCGCGGATCCTGGATTCTATCTATTCCATCTCATGTCTTCTTTTCTTTCACGAAAAATTACGACAAAAAAATTCTCTCCTTACCTTCATTTTCCTCCCTTTCTTCGCTCTTCTCTTTCTTTGCTCGCTTATTTTGTTTACTCCTTTCACCTACTCCGTTACTCATTCCTTTTAACTCGTCCATGCTTTTCTTTCTACTTCCTACTCCTGTACTGATATTTTCACGCGTTTGTTTGCAATTGAACTGTACATCTTAGAGGGGTAATCGAGGTGCTCCTGCAACCTGCCGAAAACACATTCCTCAAGTGCATGGGCTGACTGCCGGTCCCATGACATTACGACTCCCAAGTGCAGGGGGAGGGGACAGAAATTCCACAAAAAATGAGATTCCACAAGGCCGGGCTGAAGCAATGTCCGAAACTACGTTGAAGGAATTAACCGTACAGTGAGAGTAAGTGAGAGTAAGATGCTACAAAATGACGAGGTCGCCCTGACACGAATGACACCAGAACACATGCGACTCGTCGAGGAACTGCGAGCGATGGACTTGCTTCTGGCTCTGCACATGAGAGTGCTGGCCATGACTATGACTATGACTGTGACGGTGCCCAGCAACCGACGATCGACCCGACCCTCCACCTCCCACGCTGCCCTCGGAATGCACAGGCGACAACGCTCTCGACGGCGGGTTCGACCCACTCGCATTCGCCGCCTTGAACTTGACCTCGCTGTCGATCCGTGCTTTCAGCATGCTCAGGCTGACTTTGCGCTTGTGCAGCGTCTCGGGGTCCATGTTCTGCTCGAACACCGAACGGGCGAGTGGGCCTGGCAGGCTCGGGGCCACGACGCCGCCTGTTGACCTGTGCGAGCCGAAGGACGACCGCCGGACCTCGTTCGCGAGCGCGCTTGAGGGCCGGGAGGGCACGCCCCCGTGGCCATGTACAAGCCCGAGCCGCGAGGCGCCCCCGTTCGCCCTGAAATGGGCCAGCTGCTCCTCGAGCGCAGCCAACTGCTTCTGCAGCCCATGCACCGCGCTGTCCTTCTCGAACACCGTGTCCTCGAGGGCGCGGATCTGGGACGTCGCAGCGGAGAGCTCTAGGGCGTGTTGTTGGCGAAGGGAGCTGAGCAGCTCGTCGTCGAGTGACCGCGCCCCAGGGCCAGCGCCGTCCGCGGGCGAGTTGGCGGTGGAGGTGTAGGAGGCGACGGTCTCGCGCAGCTGCTCGATCTCTTCGTCCCGCGTACTGAGCTCGCTCCGGAGGGCTTCGATTTCGTTTTGGGCCCGTTCGAGGAAGTCTTGCTCTTCGTCCTTTGGTATGATTAGTTAGTTGAGAAAGTAGTTGTCGTCAACATCGGCCTACCTGTGCATTCCTCCTTGCCTCCAGTTCGCGTTGCAGAGTGACCAGCTCCTCTCCTTGCGTCTGCGAGAGGTTCGTCAAGCGTTCGATCTCCTCAAGCCTCCTGGCGGTCTCCTGATGCTGGCCTGTCCGCTGACCCTCAAGGTTTCTCAGGCTCGCCAGCGCAGTTTCCAGTTCCTCTTGTAGGTCTCCATACGCCTTCTGCATGTCGGAATGCCCATTCTGGCTGTCCGTAAACCGCTTCTCCTGCTGCGCAAGGCGCTCCTTCCACACCTGTTCCGCCTCCTCAAGCTCGCTCCGCGCCTCGCCGAGGTCGTTTTCGAGCTGTGAGATCGTCGCGTCGCGGTTTCGAACAGCGTGTTCCAGGCTCTCCGCCTTCTCGCTCAGGTCGAGCTTCGCAGTAGTCAGCTCGACGATCTTGGGGCGCATTTCGTCCAAGGACCGCATGAGATTTGTGCCCTCAGCTTGGAGGCTCTTTTGTGTCCTTTCTGCGTCCTCTGCTCGACGAATGGCATTCTTCAAGTCGTTCTGCGCCGTCTGGAGCTGTCTTGTGCTATTGGCAATAGCAGTAGCTGCTAGCGCTAGCTTATCTTCTAAATCCTTGACGGAACCTGCAGTTGATTGTGACGTTTGTTCTAATCTCGACCTCTCGCTGAGAAGCTCGTTCCGCTCTTTTTCTGTGGTAGATAAGTGTTCTTGAAGTGTGGCAACCTGAGCATCGAGCGCGGAAGTCTTCGAGGACCAGTCCAATTCCTTTGCTACAAGTTCTTGGACCTTGGAGTCGAGTCCATCACGTTCGGTCTTTAGTAATGCATGTGCCTATGACGAACCTTCGTCAGAATTACATTTGAGATTCGTGTTAGACACCTTTACCTGCTTAATCTTTGTTAATTGGAATTCGAGCTCATCGGCACGGTCTTGAGTGTTTTTCAGAGATAGTTCTAATCTCTCAACTCGATCATCACTTTGAATTTGCTCTTCAAGCTCTCGAAGCTTGCGTTGGAGTTCGTCTGCTTCTTTGCGTGATTCTATTGCTGTGGCAGTGATTATTTGGAGTTGCCGTTCCTAAGAGACGCAGCTCAGTGTCGAACTCTCTCGGGCGATACTGCGACGTACCTGCTCCTTATTCTGCGACAGCAGTTCCTTCTCCTTCACAGCAAGTTGTTCTGTCCGTTGAGAAAGTTGCTTCACTTCCGTCTGCAATCTAATAGACTGCTCGCTCAAGTTGTGAGATTTGGCGCGTTCTGTCTCTAACAAGTCCTCTAGCGTCTGCGCCTCTGAACGGGAATCAAGATCTGATACATGAAGAAGGAAAGGTACACACGTACTGGACTCGAACCCTTCTAGTTTCTGCACCTCGGAGGTAAGGTGTGCTTTCTCCGACACAAGTATGGACACAGTCCGACGTTCGTTCTCCAACGCTATTTCCGTGTCTTCTTGTAACCTCCGATGGTCCTCCTGGAGTTCTTCCACGTGTCGCCGTTCAGCCTCAAGGGAGGCTTCAGCCTGTTGCGCAGCTTTTCATGCGGCAACGTAAGATAAGTCACGCCGCTTAGAGAGCTTTGGGTGTGGTCAAACGCACCTGCTTCAAGCTCCTTCAAGCGGGAAACTGCTGCGGTAAGGCTTTCATTCTCTTTCGTGAGAGCCTCGACCTTCTTTTCCAGGGCATTGGCCCTGGCATCGGACAGAGAAGACGAGACAGGGGACGCTGATTGTATTGGTGGAGTAGATGCCGCCGCTGGAGATGGAGATGAAGCCAGAGGACTCCGCGAAAGTTGATGGACGTTTGTGCTAGCTGGCGGAGGTACTGGAGGTGAAGCAACCCGCGGTAATGAAGTTAACCATTCAGAGTCTGAGCCATCCTTCGAGAACCTAAAGGCTTAAATATCAGCGCAACCCCAGATTTTAAAGGTCCAGCCGACGAATGCACATACACTTCATTGAGATCTCGTTCCTCCTGCTTAACCGGTTCTGACGGAGCAGGCGAGAACGTCCTGGGAGGACTAACAGGCGACGCAACACCTGAGCTCGAGACGGTAACTGCAGAGTCCGCAGCCTTCTTTTGCTGGCGTTTCTTTAGCTAGGGGAAGTAATGCAACGCAGGATATTAAGTTGACGGCATTTCGTGTAATGTAGCTTGTATTACCAAGGCCTTCGCTCTAGCTGCCTTTGCTGCGCGTTCATCGTCAGCCATTCGGGATAGATGGCGTTCCTGAGGACGAGGAAACTGATGAATTGGACGTGGGTGGTAAAGATGACGACTGGGTGCATGCAGTCCCGGCGCGTCTGGATACAACGTCCAAATGGGGAAAGGGTGCTACTGGTTAGTTGACGTGTCTCTAGGTGTCTCTCCGACTGCAGAGCTGGAATAATGCAAGGAAAGTATATCTCGGTGCTACCAATCCTAAAGGACGCTGATGATAATAAAAATTGAATTCGCCGGTATATACGCAATCAGAATGGACGAGAACAGCAACGAGCAAATGAGAGGGAGGGCAACGACGAGTGATAATAGAACGATATATATCAGCCAGAACGGGAAAAACGATGGTATAGAAGTGAAGAGAAGGCAGTGTCAACTAGCAGAGTAACTGGAACGTCCAACACGAGTCAAAGCATTCACAGGTAAGTAGTAGATTGGTCGTGCAGGATGTCAGATCCCCGATCACTGGTGGAATAGACAATCCGAAAGAAACGATTCTGCATCACGGACAGAAAGACATGCCCAATGGCTGCTTTATGCCCAGACCTAAAGAAAGAGCCATTAGGCACGACGATAGTATTGACAGGAAATCAAGCTCACCCTGAGAGTGCTATCCCAACTACCAGTGCAAAGGGCCATTCCATCAACGCTGACACCCAAGCAACTAACTCGGTTCTCGTGGCCTGTGAGGACACCGACGCGCTCTCCTTTCAAGGTGTCCCAGACGTTGCACGTCCAATCATCATAACCACCGAATAAGATGCGACCGGAAATGGAGAAGGCAACCGACGTGATTCCACACAAAATGTTGTCATGCGTGAAAGTGTTCAGTTCACGATCGGCGCGGATGTCGAAGAGGCGGCACGACGCATCATCAGACCCAGTGGCAAATGCGTCGCCGTTGGGGAAGAACCTGTGGAAAAGATATTTTAGAAAATGCTGTCTGATGTCACATGATAAATTACACACTGGACAGCATTGATGTCGGACTCATGCCCTGTGAAGGTCTGGGTAGCCCGACCTGTTCTGATGTCCCATAACTTGGCGGTCGCATCACAGGCTCCAGAAACGAACACGTTCTGGTTGGGGCCGAGCGAAAGGCTGATAAATGGTGTCAGGTTTATTACTAGAGTGTACTCGAGAACCACATTACCTCATAACATCGCCAGTGTGGTCGCTGAATTCAACCACCCGAACGCCAGCCTCGATATCCCACAGCATGCAGGTCATATCACCAGAGGATGTGACGATTTGTCGATCGTTGATGAAACGACAGCAGCTAAGATAACCAGAGTGAGCGCTCAGCTCTCGAGCACCCTTCGCGTTGGTACCGTCCTTATTGTTCAGGCTGTAGATGGAACAAATGTTATCGAGACCCCCACAGGCGACGAAGTTGCCTGATGGTGAGTAAGCACAGGTCATGACCCAACTTGACCTCAAAGGAATGGCGTGGACTTTGTTGGTAGTATAGGCATCCCAGACGATGAGTTTGCCATCCTGAGAAGCTGATACGAGGTGTCTCCGGTCAGCAGCCCAGTGCATAGCGTAAATCTTCGCCAGATGACCCCTGAGAGCGCGACGGGGGCGCATCACGATACGAGGGAGAGCATCAACTTCTGCGGCCATGGCACGCACTTGAGAGACAGTCAATGATGAAACTCAGGCAGGAGGTAAAGGGGCATATACTGACAGCTGGTATCTGCTGAGGACTCTCGCTTCGCTCTGATTTTTTCCTTCAAACTCTCTGCCTCCCGGCGCGCGGCGGCGATTCTCTCCTGGATGTCACCTTGGCTCTGAGACATTTTGAGCCAATCTGCGAGTGGAAATGGCGGTAAATATGTGTGGAGGACGCTGAGAGGCAGCCAGTGTCAGAAAGTGGGGTGGAAGAGGCCAGCTGTTATCATACCTTCAGGGGAAAAGGACCAGAAACGCCGAAAATGCGTGAGAAAAGCAGTGTACCAGCGCTCTTCGCAGAGAATAGCAGCAACGACGACGACGAAGGTCGCGGACACGGGCTGAGGGGGGAAGAAGACGGTGAGGAAGGGGAGAAAAGGAGACTGGTGATGGAAGGAATAGACCCCGGTTGTCTTGTACAGCTGTTGATGGCTCTCGGCCACCTTCGCAACTTGCCGCCCATTGTCACTCTCCGCTCAAAAGTTGTTCCTTCCGCCGTCCCTCGATCTCCATTTCTCTTACCGTCCTCAACTTCGACCACCAGCTCCTCTACGTCCCCTACTAGCGAGCTCCTCTCTTAGTGGCGCCCCCTTTGCGCCATTAATTCATATTGCCAATCGTGGCAATTCTCCGCACGCTGCCTTGTCTCCTGATCCCATCTTCCTGTCAATCAGCGAGCGCCGTTTTTTCTCCTGCCTGGGCTGCTCTTCATTCCTCAAAGTCTGTACCGAAAACTCCTTTAGATGGCTTGTGGCTCCTTCTGACCGGAAGCGTCCGAAGGAACTCCCGTTACTCGCGTATTTAGTTGCTCTGTACCACTTTGCTGGTTGCGCCTATCATACCTGACCGGCATCGCCTCCCGGATCGTCTTAATTTTGAGGGGATATCCTTTTGGAATTCCTTTGGACTTGTTGTTCGGAGTTTGTCGTTTCTTATCCATAATTAGCCTCATCGGTTGTATAGGTGCGTCTACTCCGATTTTAAACGACGAACTTCTAGTCAACCCCTGCAGACTTGGTATGGAGTGCTGAACGGCATTTCTGGTTTGAACAGACACGCATCATCGGCGGCTTCACGTTCGAGTCTTTTCTGGCAATGTGTGATTGTCAGATCAGGCGGCGTTTTCACCCGAAAGTTGACTTGTCCAGTATCATCCAAGGCGAACGACCTAATGAACGGAGGGTGCAGTAAATCCAATCCTGCCGTGGAGTCGCTCTTTAAGACAGGACGGTCCTATGATCTGTCGACAAACACTAAGTGCGGGACGTCTTATTCCACATTCCTTCCTCCGTCAGAAACAAGACAGTGCACAAACTTTGTATCCCCACCTGTGCTCCTTGATTATGTAGTATGAATGTTATCATCATGCGCAATTCTCAAGATCTGACGATCTTGGTCAGGATGTTTTTGGCTCGCAAGGTCTATCTAGTATGTTCAAACAAACAAATCGATACAACCCTCGCATTAACTTCTGACCTCCGGATTCAATATGCGGATTCCTAGAGCTGCGGGTACGAGCCCCTTTGTTGTTTCCAGAGTGGTAAACCTGATGCATGTATTAGGATTCCTTTTCCCTTGGATTGTACCATCTGTTGACCCACCGACGAGACCCAGTGCCGATCGAAGTGGTGCCCGTCAAATGCGATGTGATAGCATTTACTTGCTCTTCCCATCGGAAAGTCTCCACGGGGCGAAATGAGAGCCTCGCAAATGCTTCCGCAGGGTACAGTTAATCTGTGTTTAAATTAATAGAGACTCTAGAGCTATGTGCTTTGCCTCTGGGAGACTGCGCTCTCTTGGATCGCTCCTCAGAGGACTACAATCCTAGTTTCCTCTCGGCTTTTAGGAGTTTCAGACACGGCCTCCTCTTCTCCCGCTTCCCGCATGTAAGATTTCGAAGCACGCCTGTGTTAGGTGAGAATATCGCCTAGACCGGTACTATCAATAACTAGACAACTCATTGCAGCTTTGCAGACATTCTCGCCGCGGTTCCCGGCTTGTAAACAGGGCGTAAGACCTGGAAACTCTGTCGGACATATCACAGGACTACCGATGAGGTCGATACTTGATAACCCCGGTATTCAGCAGAAATCAGGGTTTGTGAAATGAAGACACCTGGCCATCGGGGATCTTTGCCTCTTATCTTGTGACTAACCAACGGACAGTATGGGCTATATACGGCTTCCTGTGTCCGTTGTCTCCAGTCAATTGAAGGTCGACCAAGTTTTTTGTCGTTGGGGGATGTAAGCACCATTAGGACACTTTCCTGGCCTCTAGACGCGCGTCGGAAGAGTGAGACTGCGTATACTGCGGTGCCTATGCATTATTCTAGTCTGCTCGGATGAAATAATTGCTATCCGACGACACATTAGCGTTCCTCTCCGCTCTCGTCTCGCAAACATAATGCCATCTTTCACTCGGGTTGCGAACGCTTCACACAGGTTTTCAGTTTCCTATCGCCGACTGGCGCTATACTTGTCGACTTCTCTCAAGTCACCCCGGCTGGACACATGTGCCTTCCCTTCTCTGGTATATCAGCACAACTGCCGCCGACTCTGAGTTGACTCATGAATCTGGGGACTCGACAATCATGACGGCCGACAAATTTCGGTATACTCCAGAAAACGTGTCGTAAATCCGCACGACGAGACTCTCAGACCAATGCAGGAATTCTGGGCCGGGTCCGTGGTCCAGTGGCCCAGCGGCGCTGCACCCTGCCTATGCACGATGCCATCTGCAGGGGACATGAGCATACACGACGAGGCCATGCCAAAATTAGATGCGGTTGGTCGACTCCTGGCTGCACCCGCTCTGCTCAGCTCTTGTTTTGTATCCCCATCGTGGTTTGCGATGTCTCTTGACCGTCATTCATGATAACGCACGTCCTTAGGTTCCTCTGCCCATCAGCAATTGGACGCAGGCGAATTCTACTGAGCATTGATGTCCGTCGACTTCGTGGATCCCTCGTGGTAGTGCCGCTGCATAAACAGGCTCTCCTCCGTCCTGTCATCAAGCCGCAGGCATACATACGGACAAGAAACACCCCTTTGACGCCAATACTCTCTTACCTACGTCGATCCTACTCAGAAGGGAGAATATTCTAGGCGCGATGGTACACCCCTCTTACCTGCCTCGTATATTTCATTCTGACATATGGCACGAAATGACTTCGTGTCCCTCCAGCTGCAGCATCTCCGTGGCTTTTCTCGACCGTCTACCGATAGCCCGCCATGGTCTACTACTTCCCTCTGAACATTTCCGCTGGATCCAGTACTTTTCGCCTCCATCGAGATTCCTGGGATAAATGAATGTCATTTCATGTTCATTTCACGAACTCCCTTGATTAACCTCTGCAAAGTTTCGTTGTCGACGACTACGACCTTGAGGAAGCTAGTATATAATCCATGCTCGTCGCCTACAATGGTCTACAAGAAAAAAGGGAATGTCAGCTGCGACTGGTAAGTCGTCTGCAATGCACTCCGCTACCAACACTACCTAATCACTTGACAGGTGCTTCTCGCCTCAACGCATGTGAGCCAATTGACACCAGTGCTCATTCTCTTCGCTGAATCTACCACCAACTAGACCTTCAGAGTCGGGACCAACTAGCTTCTCTCACCTGGCATGAATCCTGGGCAGGCCCCAGCAACGAGAGAGTCTGGACACTCCTCTGCAAAAGTAAGCAGCTAAACTGCCCTTTCCTGAGCTGTATATCTAATCCCGGGCTATCGAAGTTGACGGGGAGACACGCGGGCAAGGCACGGCAACTCTTAAACATGTTGCCAAGGACCTGGCCGCCGATCAAGCATGGGCGTGGCTAGTTCAGAATTCCTCGACGTAATCGTGTTCCAATTACGCAGCCTGTGTATATCGGTGTTGGGTGGAATTATATTTATTCCTCTTGCATTTTTACTTGGTAAGCGTTGCGACTGGTGATGACGACTTCAGGGTACATGCCGGCACAGCGGAAGCTTTGGATAGAGAAAGAACGGAAAAAAACGGTCAAAACCGTTTATAAACAGGATCTCCGTCGTACCATTCATCCATTTTAAGTAGGCTGTGGCGCGGACTGTCGGACGGCTTCTGTTAACCGCTGGCTCTCAACTTTAACGATCAAATACGGCTATAGTTCTCATGAACAAGACCGCTCAGCAGACAGGACAGAGTGCCAAGGACCACCTCTCTTTCTCATCTCGAATTCTGCAGTCTCTACTGCTGACAACTTGTTGGCCTGACATTTTCTTGACCTCCCACGATTGCAACCACGACCTTCCAATTCATTGGATTATCAAGGTTTTCCCCTTGATCCTTTCCAGTTATATCGTCGCCTCTATCAGTTTGCCTGAAATATGCACCATCACGTCAGAGAAGGTGGGCGGCGTGAGGGAGAAGAAGTTAGCTTTCGTATGATCCTGAGATGAGACGAGTCACCAGACCGCATTTCTGTCCTCCGGTCCCTACGGTGCAATCGATTTCTGGAGTCAATTTCGCATCTTTCGCCGGCCTTCCCTTTCAAGCATCAGTATTAATTCTCAGGGTACTCCAGCGCTACTAGAATCCCAATCTAGGATCAGCATATTATCTGCAAGCTCCGAACACTCAGGTCCGTATATCGCTGCGAGATCGCGATAATTGACGCCGAGGGCAGATGGCTAGAGTGAGCTATTGTTCGGCGTTCTGATGAAGTCCGGCACCGTGCCTCAGGCCTCAGGAGTCAGTTCCAACATTGTGGACTTAGTACCTCTTGCTTCTTGCTTCTTGCGAAAGAGACAGGATACCCTAAAGAGACGCCTGGCACCAAGGCGATGTCGTCAATCATGTAGGAAGTGGCTACCAGGGGTTATGAGTTGAGCAATGTTCAATGTAGGGTCTCGGTACAAACATTGGCCAAAGATGAACATCTTGCAGTCTTCCAATGCATACAAAAAGCGCGTTCAATTGAGATCCCCTCCTTTAGCTTCCTTCCTACCCACCAATCTCGAGCTGCAATAATACCTTCGAAACCCCAGAGATGTCGACGAGTAAGGTCCCACGCATTGGTCTCTGAGACTTTGACTTTCTTACCGCAAGTCATAGATCACATCACTCCCCTCTATAACTGTACGAGGAGTCAACTCTTCAGCTGATACGATGTGTTTTACAATCATTGCAGACCTTTCAAAGAGGAATCAAGAGGGCCTTGTAAGCTGGGCCGAGATCCAGTCGGGACCTTCCCATGACGCCGTCTGGGAGGTCGAATGCAAGAGTGAGTACATCCTTCCTGCCAGGGACATCTTAGTAATATGTTATAGTTGGAGGGAAAGTAAAGGGTGTGGGAAAGGGCTCCTCGAAGGCTGACGCGAAGCATATTGCCGCGAAACTTGCATTGGCGGTACATGATTTCACCATTTGCTATATTTGCCCTGCCCCTGATAATGCTGATTAGCAACTTAAGTCCGAAGAGTAGCTCATCAACGAGTACCCATACTAGGCTGGAGGCGAATTTAGGATCCTCTGCGTCTCTGTAAAGTGTATTTTGTCTCCCGAAAGCATCGTCATGCTAGCGGAAGTATTTATGTAATTTCCTTTTGAAGTAAATGATGGACCACCTTTGTCATGGCCAGGGTCGCGGAGTTGCATATGAGTTCAAAAGTCCGTTTCAAATGCCGCACTGTCGCCAGGGACCGCCGAGCACTCACCGAACCTCACGTGTCAAGTTTACAATTTTGAATTTTCGACTTCCACGCCTCTTACTTCTTACTTCACGGGCGGGTGGAATCCCGTCGGAAACCACTATGGCGACAGTCCTCCGACGCGTCTTTCCGTTCCTTGTCGCCGCAACCACAGGTGGGCTCGGAGCACTTCAGAATATATAAACAAACCTAGAATTGCGCAATGGCACTTTCTCCAGGTGTCATCTCAGGAGTCTACATATTCAAGCCATTGATCGTTAAAGGAGTAGACGAGTTCGTGGATTCCACTGTCACATGTTCTTATACTGACATGCTATGACAATGTAGGCCTCTTGCTCCAATCGAATCTAGCACTGCAAGCACCTCCGGTGGATCCGAGAAATACCAAGGACAGTCCAGCAACAAGGATACAACCCCATAACAAGTTGAATCTTGGAAGTTTCCCAGCCCAGAGAAAGACGCATGTCAGGTTAGTAAGAGTGGACACGAATACGAGGGCAACGGACGACTTTTAAAGCCTTCCTTCGCATTTTGTTATTGTCGCTCTGTTCTTCGCTCCCAGATCTGTTCACACATTGTCAGAAAGACCCTATTCTGTATAAATCGCAGAGAATTATTACCTGAAGGACTGTCTCCCCGAGGAATATCATTTCTTTGCGTGTTTCTTCAACGATTAAATCTTGAATCGTGAACCATTTCTCGTCATCTCCACCACCACCTGCTGCTCGCACGTGGGCTTTCCAGACGGTGTTTTCTTTGTCTCGTGTCGTGCCTGCGACTGATTCAAGCACAACGTTGGCGATCAGATCGTATACAGTTGGTGCATTGTCCGGAGGCGCGTCAACATCTGCCGAATTTGTGTTGGAGTGAGAAGATTTGTCCAGAACCAATTGCAAGGTTACTTACACTCCTTGAAGTCTAAGCCACGCAGCGGGAAGTTAACAATAGTCGGGTTCTTCTCTTCGACGAAGATGTTTTTGGTGAAGCGTTTGAAATGAAGAATGATGTACCGTGGCAATCGCTGGCACTTGTACCGTCGTAATTGTCCCGCGGATTCCTTGGGATATGATTGATAAAGAGCGCCTGAATCCGGTTATGAACCAAAAATACCTGGGTTGTTTTGCCGTCATATTTGGCCAGGACAGAATGTATACTGACTTGCGGGATAATATTCTTCTCGACGGCGTCTTGAAAGAGAGGAGGGGGAGGCAAGTCCACCGCAAGGAACAGAAAGGGAGAGACGGTCGTCTTGAGCTCTAATCACAACTCTAAGTTTAACGATTTAGTGGCCTGCCTGATAGGTGACATACCGCGATCTATGTCGAATTTGGGCTTTTCTTTGAGACCGGAATCCGGGCGAACCACCACCTGTTGGGTTTCCAAACGCAGTTCCCCCTGGAACGTCTTGAAGATAATGCCTTAAAGGGCATAAGTGGTGTGTTGTGTCGCATCAATGAACTCACTGGAATCCTTCTTCTTTGTGCCACCGAGATCCTTATGAAGACGATTCAATAGCCAGCCTAAAAACTCGACAGGATCCCCTTGTTGTTCTAAGCGGAACTTTCCCAAACTGGCCCTATTGACTTCCTGCAGGAATTCATGGGGGCTGACCTGACTCTTGAACAAGCGAGGGTTCCAAATCTTCTTGGCGAGACCAGAAAAGCGCTTCAGAAGCTCAGGCTCCTTTCCATGGAAGTTTGAAAGCAGGAGATAGTCCCGTAAAGGTGGGACATGAAGTAGGGAATGTATAATGACGTTCATGTGGTCATTTCGCTTGATGTTATTCAGGCCAACGTATCCGGAGAGATAAGGTTCATGATTGAGATCGTAGGATGGTCGGAGGAGATGAGACGGCGATGATAGACTCGCAATGGACTGCGCGGTGAATTTTGGCGCCAAAACGTATGATATGTCCTCTAAGGACGGATCGGATACAAGGTATCCATCTGGGAGAACATAAACCTAAAGCGAGAATCAGATTGAGGTGCACAAAAGCATGAAGGAAAGTATACCTTGGTAGTCTCCAGATTTATGAAGACGTGATGGTCGTCGTGGATGGAGTGGGCATAGGCATACGACTTGCGACCTCTGCCTTGGAAATATTTGCCGCAGACCAGGCAGCCGTATATGTTGATATTTGACAGAGATACGGAGCAGACCTTTTCGAAATCGAAGTCAAGGACAGCACGGTTGATCTGGGAAGGAACCATGAGGGCTAACAGAGAGGCACCCATCCAGGCCGAAGCACGTACTGTGTCAAGATAAAGGTCGGATGGACGCGTCTGTTCCTCCTGATAAAAATGCATGTCTTCATCTTTCTCTAAACTGGCCGTTTCCTCCAGATTTTCTTGGACGCCAGACGCGACACCTTGCAGTGATGATTGCTCGCCGAGTTTAGCTCGTTTCGCCGGCCGCTCAGAGTTGACGGCCGTCGCGTTGGAATCGCCTTCATTACGCTTCATAGATGACTCCGCCATTATTTAGTCCAGAGCGAGAAGGTACCAGCAAGATGCAAAGTAGCGCTGGTTCAACACAGACAGGTGTTTGGTTCAACCATGTCGAGTAAGTAGTGCTGCTGCTTATGTAAACGCCACGATCAAAGTTATCCGGGCCGGGGTCGTGTCTAAGTATAGGTCAACGCGAGAATCTACCCTTGCACTGCGACGACGATGTTCAGCAAAGCCGCTCGACTTCCACCCCTTCGGATTTCAGCTCGCTCCCAAAAACTCGTACCGTGTTTGGCATTCAGCTCCTCAGTTCCGAAGACGTGTCCTATACCCCATCCACCTCTCAACCTCGATCCCAGTTTACAAACACTACTTCGGGATATCGACATCTCAATAAAGAGTGCCAAAAAACACGGCCAACTTAAACACAGAGAGCTAGAGATTGTTACAGAAAGCTCAACATCCTTTTCGAACCATTTGGCTATCGAGGAGTGGGCGCCATTGGAGACATCAGACGAGCTTGAGGAAGTGGAACGCGAGGACCGCAAGTCGCCTGCAGCTGCGTTTGGGTCGAACAGCGTTGGCTCTGTCATCCTTCCAATAGAGCTGCAGTCGTCAATAAATATATTACTATCTGGTGAGTATATGACCTTCAATTAGCTCTCCGTCGTTGTTGACTCGATGCTCCAGAAAGTGACAAGTCCATGTTACGCAGTGATGTCAAACGACTATTCCACCACACTGAAGGCACGGAGCAATCCGAGTGGGACACCGCCTATGACAAGGAATACCGTTCGAGAAAACAAGCATCCCGGCATGCGCTCCGAGATGGAACTGCTTTCGCGACTGTTGCACTTCCAGCTCACTACTCGGCCATCACTTCTGTTTTGCATCACGTCAAACTGCGAATGGAGCCAGGATGGGAGATAGAACAAGTTATGGATTGGGGCGCAGGAACGGGTAGCGGCCTTTGGTGAGCGCTTGAAGACTGCCATGTTATATTATTTTCGGAACTGACCGATCCAATCAAGGGCGTCTCTTTATTCATTCCAACAACCTAGCAGTTCAGACAATGTTCACGATAAAACTGCTATGACTTCGAAAATTACATCCTATGTTGCTATCGACAAACGTGATGGATTAGTCGCCATTGGGAAGAAGCTTGTCGACAGTATGTTCCACTTTCTCAATCCACGACTTCCAATCCTGACTTAGTTTAGGCACACCCACCGGTGCTCTTAAATTGCAATGGCAGCGTACTTTCAGAGAGGAAAACATTCTACTGCAGGAAGATGGACCAAAAGCGATGGCTTTATCCGCATTCATGCTGACAACATTGCCAACGTCAGTAGCACAGAAAAATTTGGTCAAAGAAATGTGGGATAGCGGGGCTCACACTATAGTAAGTGTTTATATTCTTCTAGATGCATTGCTAATAGCATTGCGAAGGTTCTTATCGACCATAACACGCCGGAAGGGTTCAGAGCCATTGCACATGCCCGAGAATACATCCTGGAACTAGGTCAAGCAGAATTAGAAGACGCTGAGCTTGCTACAGAACATCTGTGTGGGTCGCACGTCCTTGCCCCTGTCAGCATCCACCCATTATTTTCTATATTTTCGTAAAACTGACCCAGTCAGTAGTGTCCCCATGATGGGGCATGCCCTTTGCTGCGCTCCGGTGGACATCCTCTCATCTGTGGATTTTCTCAACGGATCCAACGTCCATCTTTTGTCCAAAAGACGAAGCAATCCAAAGTTGGGCATGAAGATGTCGAATATTCCTATGTTGTGATCCAAAGAGGTGCACGCCCAGGCCCCGTCGGGACAAGTGTTGGAAGAATTGGCGGCATCGGTCGGAGACAATTTGCAAAAGAGACCCTTGCAGCTCCGATGAAAGAGTTAAAGCTTCATGACGAGGGCGAACCTGTTTCTGCGTCTTCTTCCTCAACAGAAGCGACAGAACTCGTACACACTCCTGGCGAGTTGTCGGAAGAGGAGCTGCAAAAGCGACTCCGACAAGAGGCTTACCAGTGGCCCAGGCTGGTTTTCCCTCCGTTGAAAAAGAGCGGGCATATCATTTTGGATAGTTGTACATCGGAAGGTAAAACATCCCGATTCGACTTTGAAGTATACGCTAACCTAGAGACAGGGAAAATTATGCGTTTGACGATACCCAAGTCACAGGGGAAACAACCCTATTATGATGCAAGAAAGTCCAGTTGGGGAGACATCTTCCCTCACCCTCCGAAAAACCCGCCGCTTGAGCGATATCAGCCAAGTGTCGAGAGGAAAGGTGGTGCACCGAGCGCTGGAGGGGATATCGGCAAACGAAAAGGCCGATTCAAGAATCGAGATAGGCCCAGCTACACGGTAGTCGCCGAATCTCTCCGAGAAAAAAGGAAGATGTCCAAGCGAGACTATCAACGACACCGCGGAGAGAAGGTGTGGACCGATTAAGTCAAGGCAAGCTGTAAACCTCTTCTCCTTCTCGCCCAAAAACTACATACCCAGCCCTCATCCGTGCACGTACTCGCAGCTAATTAGTGTAGAATTTTCGATTAATGATGTAGATTAGTTGGACACGACAGCCCCGACATAGCACCCTAGTAATCTGATATCCGAATCCCCGGTCCTTGTCGAGAACTAAGAATGACCTTCTTGATAGGTATAACTTTCTCAAAACGATCAGCAGGGCTCATTTGAACATTCAGCGAAGGTAACATACCTGCCCGAGTCCCGCCGGAGCTCTTCAGTTTACGATCGGCAGCGTCCGCTTCTTTCGAGTTACCCGTCGCCCGCTTCACAGAAGCCATGAAATGGTGGACATTCGTCACAACATCCTCAACAGGAAATTGCATCTGCTCTGCGTGTCAGGAAACTGAAGAACAAAGTTCTGGTAAGAAAGGAAGCCTCACTGTGGCGATCGGCGCTCGAATGTTTCCTGCCCTGTCTGCTCTCCATTCGCTAGTTCCGTGGAGTCGCTGAATATATCCAGCAACATCCTCGGTCACTGTTCCTCTGCGTTCTGAAGGCATTAGACCAAGTGGGCCGAGGAAACGACCGAGTTTCGGGGTAATAGTGCGGATGAGTGATGGAATACATAAAATCGTGGTAGCACGGTGACGATTGTTGAGGATCTGAAAGTCTGTGAGAGGGGACTGAGAGCAGAAGCGGATGGGCACTCACTCCTTCGATTAATTCCGGGCCTCCAACGATGTGTGCTCCTGCTTTCCGGGCTTCCTCCGCCCGTCTGCCCTCTGCAAAAACAAGAATCTTGTCTTCAGCCCTGGGTTTCGCCTCTCTCGGAAGGTTAACGCGTCCTCTTGGAACAGCCGTTCCGTTTCCAAGTTCTGTCTTCACGAACAGTTCATAAATTGAATTCGGGGAGGCTACCTCGGCGGCCTGCGGGAAACTTAAGAAATGGGTTCTTACGGGTCGGTATACAACTCACTCTAAGTACTGCAATGGCCTCTGTTAAGGGAAGCTTCAACAACTTGGCTTCTTCTTTCACAGCTAGAGCAGCCTTTCGTCGAGCCTTGGCTGCAAGTGCCTTTTTGGAGGGAATGCGAATTTTGGATTCAGGCTTCCGGCTAATGTTCAACGCGTTGGTTGTGCTGAATTGACGCGCTTGCGATGCCGCACACTAATGGATTTGTGAGCAGTAGTCCAATTGAGGAGGTGAAACGCACTGGTAACTGTCTATACTGCCGGAATAAGAGCCCAAACATATTGGAGGTGAGTACTGTCACTGTCAGCAATGATTGAATGGGCACGTTCTCTCTCAGTCTGTCATGGTAAGCATTCCCATCAGAAGACCGTGGGAACTTACAAGGAAAGACGCTACGATCGGAACACGTTTGTTCCCCTACCACTATCTACCATCTCGTACATACTGGTTCAAACCCCCTGAACCAAGAAGACCCATTCATCAAGGACAACCTGCTCCAATGATCGCCTTTTCCCCCGTCTGCGCTCACAAATGCAGTCGATACTTCTCGCCGCAGGCGGCAGGCTTGTACGAGGATCTACCCTCAGAGGATCGGATGTCCTGGTTGCTCTCAGCGCCTGTGAAATTTCGACGTCGCGTGTCTGCCATGTCTTCCGATTTTTCTATCTGCGGTCGCGCGGTCGATCGTATTATTTCTTCGTCGTTTCAATCGCTTTCGTCTGCGAGTCTGACCATCTTTCACTTTGAGTGGGTATCTCTTGCTGTGCATTTCATGCCGGGTCACTCAGCGATTTCATTCTGCTCTGAGATATAGTGAAGCCGAGAAGCAACGAGACTGGCCCCATGAAACAAGCATATGAACTAATCCAGTCGCCACGTACATGATCTGCATCTTCATGTCGGACCTTCATCCATGATCTGCCCGGTATGCATGAGTTTCGTTAACCGACGGCTTGCACATAACGCGTACACTGCACAAGACCTATGTATGCAACTGAATTGCGTTCAAGATTACCCCCGGTATTTTGGTGAGCTCACTCTAGAGATACTGAGACCGTTGGAGAATGCATCATCGCAATCACCCTGTGGTCATACGTTTCCTTGAGAATAGGCACTTTATAAATGCCATAGACACGAGCGATCTAATTCATTTGCTGCGGTCCTGTGAATGGCCATTAGGCTCCTCTTCCTGGAGGGTCCAAGCAGAAGTAAGTAGGCCGTTTGGTTTACACGCTCGAACGGCGCCATCACCATCTGTCATGCGGCCCCTTTGGGTACTTCTATCCTACTTACAGCGCCAATCTCACTCATGCTTGCGACCTTTGTGAGGGTTTACCTATAGACAGTAAGCTCTGGAACTAAGCATCTCTCGACACTTTCTGCCAATCTCGGGAAATGTATTGCGCTTGTTCAATATCCGCTTGTGAATTCCGATGATCTGGAGGGCGGCTTGCATCCAGCAGACTGGGGGTGGATGCATTCTGGCGCGACTTGGGTCATAGTTACCTTTTGAGCCGTCTCGTGCCTTTGAATGCACTGGCGGGTGTGGCATTTTAGTTGGCTACGTACCGGTCTACGCAATGCACATTCAGCCTCGATACGACATTCCCTTTTCACGTTTTTTGAGCCTTTCTGCAACCAAAGCAACAACGGAGAAGACATTGTGCCCAATTTCGCGGTCTTTGAATTATGTAGCGTGTGAATATTTTGACGATTCGACTCCGGAGTTGTTCCTTTTCCGTTCTGACCATCTCCTCGTATGTCTACCTCTCTTATCCGTTCGACCAGGTCGCAGCTGCCTCTACGAACGACAGCCATCTCTATCAGGCATTATGCTGCCCCTCACGCTGACCAAGGAGGCGACCCCAAACGAGAAGTCATCAGACGTGTCCTCTTCCCAAGCAACATCCGGAATCGAGCGACACCAATAGGCACCTGGCGCCCGGACGTCGGACGCGCAATCCAACGGGCCATACCCTCAGTGCAGGCTCACGAAACGATTGAACGCGCCTGGTTGCTTCACAAGCGCCATGTGAGGAAGAAACGTGAAGAGGAGACCGCCAGGAAATTCGCATGCATGCAGAAGGCGATGGATATGTTGCATGAGATTGATGCTCGGCTCTACATGGAGGCCAACAAGAAAGACGATCCTCGTGCGAGGTCGCAAGACGAGATGGAGATGATGAAGAAAATGAAAGTATCCGAAATTAGAGCACTGGAAGCTAGGATTCGAGGACTATTCCCTCGCGAATTGCGGATACCTACAGAGACACCTTCACGCATGGGTTGGAAGTACGAATGGAAGACATTCCATCGACCGCTTTAATCGTGAGTGTTACCCTCGCTTTGGTTGTGATATTCATTATTCATAACGAATAACGAATTTCAGGCTTCCCCCTCTCACTACTATTACGCATTTTCTGAAGCTTCCGTTTGAGCTCGTATCGCTTCACAATGCCAATGGATATCTCTGCTTCATAATGTACAGATGTCGGAATATGATACGAAAGCTAAGCGCCGACTGGAGGACTCAAGACCATCTGTCATCTCGTAGGGCGAAGACCTCTCCTCCAAGCATTCCAGGGTCTTGTCCGCGACTTGTATTGGCCGTCTTGCTAACAACTGCGCCATGAACAGATTCCAGTGCATCAGTCCATTTATTCAACGCCGCGTATCGTTTCTTCTCGAGACTTTGCCTAAAACGATTATCAGACGGAGACTTCGATTTGAGAGCTTTATGAACACTGACTTGCGGTCAAGTTCAAGTCTCATCCCGACTTGGTCGATACGCCCTTCGACCTTGCCCTCTAGGATCAGGCCAATGAGGAGCTCTTCGACTTCCTCTGTCGCGACATTGAGTTGCTTCGGGCATTTGAGTACGAAGATAGAAATGGGAGTGCAGCGTGCATACCTTGGCAAGGAAAGACAGTTCAAGACGAGTGTAAGGCTTGATAAGGTCGATCAGGTATTGTGTACGCAAGCTCCGAAGCAGCTCCCCAATGTACGACCTAATGAAGTTATCGTCCATAATTGTCGAACGGTTATCTGCAAGACCACAACAGTCAATAAGGCCGAAGTGAAAGAAAATAATCTTGGAAGCTCACCTTTCAGAATCTTTTCCGCAAGGTGCACCTCTCGGCGCTGGTAGGCATCCACCAGATCCGTCATAGCCTTGATTTGCGGGTCCGTTTTATATGGCTTTGTTTCCTGGCTGTCGAAAGGGTTGACCTCACTACCGGTCAACATATTCGCCAGCACCAAATATTTCAGGACTTGAATGCGTTGGGGTGAACCAGCTTCATCATAATTGCGGAAAGACTCGAAGAAATCTTCACTGGCCCGATTCCATTGTCCTGAAAACCACCAACACGGCTCAATATTTTCTTCTTTCTTAGCTATCGAGTTTCCACTTACGCTCACCCATCCACATCTTCCCACCGCATTCTTTGATGACACCCATGATTCTGGGATGCGGTATAGCTGACCGAACGGCATTACTGGCGTTGTAGATTTCCTGGGGGGAGATTACAATGAGAAGGGGCAACAAGGCAATACGATGTCCGTACCTTTAGCTTCTTGAAGTTTCGAGTTTCGTTATACATCTGAATCTCTAAGGCATAGATCTCCAGCAATTGTGTTCCGCGTTGCGATTGATCGTCTGCATCCCCCAATGCTGCGGTCGCGTTGTGAAGATCTCGTATAAGCTGGTATGTTTTATTAATAGAAGAAATAAAGAGCCCTTCAGTAAAGGCACACCTTCGATAGACGAGCAAATTCTTTCCGGTCTAGCCACAATTTGGCAAGCTTCAAATTTGTCTTGACTGAAAGACGCTATGGGATGCCATATTAGCTCAAATAATTATCTGAAGATCAATTGACAAACCTCGTTCTTAGCCTCCTCCAGCGCCTTGCGCGTGGCTTGATAGAACTTCTCCAGAATGTCAACCTCAACAACGCCACCCTTTCCACCACCAACGTAGTCGAGAATGCCATTGATCGACCTTTCGGAATAATTACGTGTCACAGCCGACTTGGTATAAGTGAGGAGTTCTGTGTAGGTCTTCAAAGCTTCAGTCGGTCTCTTCATTTGCAGGAAAAGCAACTTTGTCATCTGTTTGAGAGCTTTGAAACCCCTGGAGTGTAGATGCTGAATATTCAGCAGGGCGAACAAAGACACGAGAGCATACCAGTCGCCCTTTTCATCCTCTTGATCTACAATAGTCCTAAACTCCTTCAGAGCCTCTTCTGGATTGTCTTCCTTCTTGGCTGTGTTCTACGTTAGATCATGGAGCACTTTGGGAGAGATGCGCGCACATTTGGCCTTATAGTACATATTTTCAACATCAACATTATCCTCGTCATCTTGATCTCCCTCGTCTCCGGAGTAGTTGAAATCCTTGGTGCAGAATAATTAGCAATGCGCGATGCGTCCACAAAGTACGCACATCGTCATCACTTCCTTGCATATAATCGGCATCATCATCATCCATGTTGAGGGCCTGGGCAAATTCCGGGTCGTAAAATGTGTACGCTAGGCTTCTGAATGCCTCGCGGTGGGCACTTACTCAGCTCAGTAGTGGACCACTAAGAGGGCACTCAGTGGGGGCGATGATATCTCGCACGTGGGACGCGTCAGTAACCGACAAGGACAAACAACACCACCCCTAATTTCGGCCAGGTATCATCAAGTCTTTTATAAAAATGTTCTACATTACTTAGCGCGTCCCATTAAATGAAGCCAAAAGATACGCCTTACCTCAAAAGTCTATTGGGAAAAGGATGTCGTTTGCGTCGCAACTCATCCATCAACAGTACTAGTTGTGATACCGCACATTGGTCATCCAAATGGGTATATTACGCGTGATCAACTTAAATGATATCCAGACTCCATGCTCCTGCTGCACCATACCTATGCATCTTCATTGTTGTTCAATGGCCTTGCATTAGCAAGACTTTCGGCACTACAACATCTATGGAGTCTCCGAAATCCTCTTCTCCAGTCGTCGGCTCATTAAGCGGCCAATCCTCCAGGTCCAGGAGCAGCACCAAGTTGGCCGACGATGTCACGAGCCTCACCTCCTTCAACCCCTTCTCTGAGGAGGATGAACACGATCAGTCATCCTATACCTTCGTTACATTTTTCTCGCGTGTGAAGAATTCACTTTCTGTCCCTCTATCATCTGCAGTCTCTGGCGCAACGTCCAGCTCAGCAACTGCCAACCACACGATCCCAACCACGACCATATCTGAGGCTCGACGTCCATCATACACCACTACCCAAACTGGCACATCCAGCTTCTCTTCTCGGACCAACAATTCAGATAGACCGAACCCCCTCATCGCTGCACCAGCCACTGCGGCCCCACCATTGGTTTCGCTAACACCCGCGAGATCAGAGCTGCCGACATATGCGGTCGAATATGATCGCTCTTCTTCCCAAAGACCGCCATTCTCTCCCTCATTGGATACGGGTAACAACGTGCAGTTTGGAACCTCAATTCCCGGCTTCCCCATCCAAGATGACGCGCGAAGCGTCAAGACCACAGCGAGCGTTCATCGGTCAGGTTCAGTCTATAAAGTGATGCGGCGTCTGAGGGGAGAAGGTATGCACGCGAATTACATATACTTCCGGTCGTTGCTAATGCGATTTTAGGGTTGTCTCGAGATTACTGGATGGACGACGAGAATTGCAAGGAGTGTTACGATTGCAAGAGCGTGTTCACGACATGGCGCAGAAAACACCATTGTCGTATCTGTGGTATGTTTTTGGGCCTCATGCCCGCCTCACCGTCGCGCTTAATTTGAACTAGGTCAGATCTTCTGTTCGCGCTGTGCATCTAACATTATCAAGGGGGCGAGATTCGGAGCTGAGGGGATGGTCCGCGTCTGCAATCTGTGTCTAGAGAAACTCGCCGAAGTCGAGGAAGATGACGACGACGATCGACGTTCTATCATATCATCTGCCACAACGTTTCCTGCTCATCAGCTTGGCCTGGACAATCGCCACCCGCAGTCCCCTTTTGCTGCCTCTCAACTCTTCGGACGCACAGACGAACCTTTCAATTTATTTTCGATCGCGGAAACACAAAGAAAGCCAATCTACGATTCAGATGGGAGCTTTTCTCGCCCAGAGACACCCCACTTGCGAGAAGGAGAAGATGGTGTATGGGAGACCGTCAGGGATAATCCAGCGCCGTTTCGACGGGCGCTGTCGGACGAGGAGAAAGACTCGGGCAATTCGCCCAACTCATTTCAAGGAGATGGTTCTCCGAAAGTCCCTGACACAAAGAGCAAGCTCGATGTACTGGCTACCAAACCTATCACTATTGACACAGCGACCAGTTCAATACAATTTCCCGTAGGATCTCCGGATGGTCTTGGAACACCCCGTAGCCTAACGAAATCAAGAGTCTCTAGCAATGTCTATGGGGGAGATTTCGAAGTTGCCACCCCTTTCATCAGAAGCAGGGTCCAGAGTAGGTTGGATCCCGCCACCTTCGAAACCGAACCTGGCTGGCGTACAAGGCGTGAAAGTACAGCGTAAGCGTTTGGGTCGGTCTATTATTTATATGTTCTGATTTCTTACCTTTTCATCATAGTTATGCTCAGGAGCTCAATCTTGCGTCCATGCTACATCTGAAGATCATGTTGCGACAAATGCTTACTCTAGAAGGAATTCCTAATATCAAAGAATGGGAAGAGATTCTCCTTCGACTGGCGCTTCGCATCGCAAGAGAAATGACATTTACTGCCCTGCCGCATCGGCAAGGCCAGGATATGGACGTCCGTCGATATGTCAAGATCAAGAAGATACCCGGTGGAATGCCCAAAGACTCGGAATACGTTCCCGGCGCCGTCATCACAAAAAATGTAGCCCACAAACAGATGTCGAGACTCCAGCTAAACCCACGCGTGATGCTTGTGACATTTCCTTTGGAGTTTTCGCGTGTGGAAGGGCAGTATATGCACTTCGGCCAAATTGTCAGGCAGGAGAAGGAGTATCTGGGCAATCTCGCATCTCGCATTGCCGCTCTTCGACCCCATATCGTCCTTGTCGAGAAGTCTGTCTCCAGGCTTGCTTTGGACGCCCTTGCAATGCATAACATTGCCGTTGCTCGTACGGTGAAGCCCTCAGCAATCCAAACAATTGCGCGCATGACACAAGGAGACGTCTTCTCGTCGATGGACAAGTTGGCTTTGGAACCTCGACTTGGCCATTGTGCTCGGTATTCCATTCAAACGTACGACCACCCGTTGATTCCTGGTCGCCGCAAGACCTACATGCGGTTCGAGGGCTGCAACCGCGACATGGGCTGCACCATCATATTGAGAGGGGCCGACATTGATACTCTACGGCGCGTCAAGAAGGTCACTCGTTTCCTAACGTTTATTGTCAGGAATTTAAAGCTTGAGACCCACCTGTGGAAAGATTCTGTGATCAGCCTTCCTTTGCTCAACTCCCAAGCAATACCATCGTCTGGGACTCGTCAGAACAAACTCAGCCTCTCGGCAACTTCCCTTTTAATGCCCTATTCGAGTTCCTCAACGCAGAAACTTTTTGTTCCTAGTGTTTCTAGATCAGGTTCAGTCAATTCTCTGTCCGAGTCACCGACTTCAGCCGAAAAAGACAGTGATGAAGACCTTCCTAACGAGGATGCAGAGCAGCTTCGCCTCACTCGGAGGATTGATGAATCACTTGAACCGTATACTAGGACATTTATCTCTGTTTCTGCCACCTTGCGGTTCCCTCCTCCTTATCCTATTAGGCGGATGAAGGAGTTGGATGACATGCTGCTAGAAGCCAAACGGCTCTGGGAGGATGAAATTGTTCGCCGGGAAGAGCACACTCAGTCTATGCACAAGCAAGAGGAAACCATTACGCCTACTACGGCGGATGTCCAGTCTTCCGAACTACGACTCACCATTGAACCGGACGACATCGCTGCTCAAATAGAAGCGTTGCCAGTTCTGAATTTGCCGACAACTCCCTTACCTCAAGAGGGCTTCCCAACCACCAGCTCGCTAGAAGGAGGCACCTCATATTTTACCCTCAACCCGCAGCCTTCCTACCCCATCTCGCCCATGCCCTTAAGTGTAATTGTTCCTCGTGAAGAGCGTGACCCTAAGAAGACCGCAGATGACATTCGCCACCAAAGCCACTATACCCTAATAAAGTGGCAGCATGAAGAATTCAGGCGTATCTGGGAGTGGTATCTTCGCAAAAATCCCGACGATTTTGTTGTCGAAAAGTACCAGTGCATCCACCTCCGAGAATATACAGTCCCAGGCCCCGACATGGGTCAACATCGGCCATGTTTCGAGCCAACACTACGATATGTCAAATTCTATGGCGAAAACGACATGACTCTTGGTCAGTTCATCGAGAGATCCGTAACCGATACTCTTGTTCAATTCTTGGATCCCAAAGCTATTTGCACCGGCAAGGGTTGTGACCAGCCCCTTGCTCGTCACTGCAAGGTTTATGTCCACAATGAGTCCAAAATTTTTGTTGCTGTCGAGCAGTGGGATGGTCAAATCATTGGTCGTGCATTCCATCCTTCACCTGATCTTGTCACCACCTGGAGCGCTTGCCGTGTGTGTGGGTCCGCGACACCTTTCATCCCTGTTTCCGAAGAGATGCAGCGCTACTCGTTCGCAAAATTCTTGGAGCTTCATTTCTATCCGGCAGATGTTAAGTTAGTTCAGGGAGCAGGTTGCCAACACAACATCTACCAGCACCACATTCGATACTTTGCATCCAAGGGCATGACTGTGCGTTTCCAGACAGATCCTATTGTCTTGCAAGAAATTATATATCCCCCCTTCCGAATCCGAGTTCGCCCCGAAGCACAGCTGGAGCTCAAGAACGCGGACTTCGACAGGCTGCATCATTGCAACATGCTCTGGTATACGGGCCTAATTGACGATTTAAAGTTAATTATCATTGACGCAGCAACAGGCGACCAGGAGACAGATGCACAACTTTTGGCAGATATCAACACCCTTATCACCAGAGCTGAAACAGAACGGGAGGATATCACCAGACTCATAAATCAGATATATAGAGACTCACTGCCGACTGACACCTTAGCGCTGAACCAGGTCCATGCTTATCGACAGGATAAGATTGTGGCCTGGCAAGCGGATTTCGATAGACTGCCCAAACCTCGACCAGTGCAGACCCTCAGTCGGAACAGCAAACGATCTTCAGCTTTTGGATCTGTTCGTGCCATGTGGCCCAGGAGATACGATCTGGCCGGTGCATTTGAGAGTCCCCATTTACCGTCTTCCAGCGTGTCAGAAGCAGAAGAAGGGCCTCTCAAGCAAAAGAGGGTGGTAACTGGAGACTCTATAGCGTCGTCTGCATCAGAAGCGTCCGAGCCAGAGACGGGACCAGAAACAGAAGAGAGAACGGACAAACGCTCCAGCAATGTCGATGATTCACGATCCCCCGAACCAGAGGGTTCCAAACCGCCTTCTGAATCGATGCAAACGACACCCAGCGATGTGCAACCAAAGTCAGACGCCGATAGCGATTCCACAATTGGCGCCGCTCGCGAGGATGTTGGTCCCAAAGTACCTATTCCGGTGCAAGTCAGTGTCGACTTCGCTTCTTGCTTCTGAAGTCAGAGTACTGACCTTTATCTTGCAGGGAACAGAACCCACTGCTGAAGATACCGCTGCCAGGGCCTCCCGATTACCGCGGCGAGCACAAAATTTGACCGTCGCTGAGCTTGTGAAGAAATATCAAGACTTCCTCCCTGCGCAAGGGGTGCAAGATCTGGCGCAGACTGCGTTCGGTCCACGCCCAGTCATGTCCGAGAGTGAGCAAGAATATCCTTCACAGGTCACTCTTCGACCTGCAACTCGTGGCAAGAGTCGCCATCGTATTCCCATCCGAAAGCCCTCTACTTCCGATTTCGAGCAAGGTTATGCCGCAAACGTGGCACCTCGGTACTTGTCCAACTCGCGAAAATCCCTCGCGACTGCCACGGGTAGCCGCATCCCTGGCCCAAAGGGAATAGGTGCCCTCGAATCGCAGCAGTCGTCGAGGCGGCCTTCACCAGAGAAACGCCCTGTCTATAGTGAAGGTGGAAGAGAAGTTCGATTCAGTCGTCCGGCTTCTCCTCATGGAAGCAGGTTCCCGAACAATAACAAGCAAACTAAGCCTCGAGTCGTTAGTCGATCCAAGGATAAGGTTGTACCACGGCCTCCTTCAACTACCGGCAGCAAATTAGCTGCCCGACGCCCACCATCAGTAACCGGCGGCAAGGTTTCTAACATGGCAAAACATTATGAACGGCTTGGCCGCGATGCAGAACGACAAAAGAGTCGATACGCCGTCATTAGGGGAAAACGCGCTCGTCCTGTCGCTTCTGCTCGGGCAAAAGTGGAGGTCCTCGACAGTCTTAAAGACGCCATCGCGGATGATTCTGAATCCTCCAATTCCTCAAGTGAAGCTGATGACGAAGATGAGGGTATAGACGAAGAAAGACCAGTTGGACTAAAGATTCGACCGCAACTACCGACATTAGATCTCCCTCCCCCGGACCCCGTCCCACAAACTGCGCCACCTACTGAATCATTTCCCGAGATTGAACACTACCAGCCTTCCTCTCAGGAAGAGGAACCCTCCACAGCACATCTCCCACCGCCTGGCCAGATATCCTTACCGTCATCCCCTTTCTTGGCCTCTATGAAGGCGAAACAAGAAATGGCGCTCACCCCACCTGCGTCAGACATCGAAGCAGGTGGGATTGAAAGGAACTCTATTCTCAAAGCGTTGTCAGGGTTTTGGCCCCAACCTACTCGTCACGCTCCTGAGGACGACGCGATGAGCGATCCTGAGCACATCTTCCGCGATTCCTCAATGGTAGTCCGCCTCGATGAACCTACATCCATTATTGCTTTAGCCCTGAAGTAAGTATTGGTCATTGCTTGCCTTGTCTACAACTGACCAATTGCAAGTTCTCCGCAATACCGCGAGATGCTGGCGAGATCTCGAGCAGAAAAGAAAACCGCGCGGGAAGCAAAACTCACAGAAGGAGAAGTTTTCATGCCGGATGATCGATCGATTGCAGATTCGACGTCTACTTGGGGTGTGGTCAATCTAGACTCCGTCGATTCTACGGACCCTGCCGACGATTTACTCGTTCCGTCTTCTAAGCTGCCATGGGCGATAAGTATGTCTATGTTGCAAACATTTTGGCTAATATGCTAACTGTGTTGGAAAGCTTTCGAAAGCGGAGGATTGACCATTAGCTGTACTGTGCTCTACCCGGAACATTTTGATGCATTACGAAGGACGTACGATTGCGAGAAGAGCATGGTAGAGTCTTTGTCAAGATGCGTTAAATGGAATGCCAGCGGTGGAAAATCTGGTTCAGCCTTCCTTAAAACGAGAGGTTAGCATTTCCGCTCTAAATTCACTCTTGCTGACGATAGTCTAGATGATCGATTCATAGCCAAAGAGTTATCCAAGCCAGAATTGCAGACAATGGAGACATTTGCGCCTGCCTATTTTGACTATATGTCCTCGTCAGTCAATGCCAATGTCAGTCTCTGATGCAGGAGACGGTGGTCCACGATAACTAATGTGGAAAATATGCAGCGACCAACCCTGCTAGCCAAAGTCTTCGGATGTTACAAATTAACGTTCAGGAAAACTGGAAAAGAGAGAGGATCCAGCAAGTCCAAGTCCATGCAAATGAATCTGGTCGTTATGGAGAATCTCTTCTATGACAGACGTTTCTCTAGAGTAAGTCCTTCCCCTACATTGCGTTCTCTCACTCACGTCGCATAGATCTACGATCTGAAAGGGTCAACAAGGAATCGCCACGTGCAATCGACCGGCAGAGAAAACGAAGTTCTGCTTGATGAAAATCTTGCAGAAAGTGAGTTCTCGAATCCTCGGGATGGCTATTTTATTTATTTCATCTCAACTAGCTGCTCACCTGAACCCTCTCCACCTTCACGAGCACTCGAAACGCATTCTACGTGGTGCTCTCTACAATGATAGCAAGTTTCTGGCAGATATCAATGTCATGGATTACTCCTTGGTTTGTGGGGTGCGTTGTTTTCTTTTGCCCATCGAAACAAGATCTGAGGCAGTTTCAGGTTGATATTGTGAAGAACGAACTTGTTGTCGGAATCGTGGGTACGTAATATTCTCTGGTGTGTAGGTTGCCACTAAGGCGTCGAGGCACAGATTACATCCGGACTTACACGTGGGACAAAAAGCTAGAGAGTTGGGTCAAGGAATCTGCCTTCTTGGGTGGTGCTGGGCGAGGCGAACCTACCATTGTAACCCCAAAGCAATATCGACAGCGGTTCCTTGCCGCTATGGATCGCTACTTCCCCCTGGTAAGGTGACAGCAGGTCTATCCTCTGGAAAGATATTGATATGGTCCTCTTGTATAGGTGCCAGACCGATGGATGAAACAGGTTGAAGCCCCCGAGGAAGATTCTACTGTCCTGTCTGAACTGTGGCCAGACTGGTGAACGGGCTGCCATGGGTCCTCAATTCTTGCCCTCGCATTTTAGTTGTACAGTTATACTCTATATGTAATGTAAAGTGTTCATGCCCGATATAAAATGTAGCATACAAATTCGAATCACCCCATCTTCAGTTTCTTGGCCGGTTGGGGAGTCCCATAGTCTGCATCCTTCCGCTTCTTCGCAAGGCTGGAGCGCCAGGCGCTCATAAGCTCTTGAACTCGTCTTTGAATGGCTAGAGCAATTGGGCCAACCTCTGACTCCTGCCCGTTGAACTTGATTGCATTTTGCACCATTAATTCGAGATCGGCTTCGAAGGCTTCAGGTGTTTCATATTTGTCGCTGTCCAGTTTCTGTCGAATGGTTCTCAAGTCGCGGGCATCCTTGCGAGGTATGACATCAAAATAGGTGGGGATACCCAATGCAACCGGGTCCACTGGTTCGAAGAAAATCCAAAATCTATGATTCTGGGTCAGAGTCCCATTCAAGGGCTGGATAGATGAATATCTTACGCAGGGTCCTTGAATAAAGTCGTCATGATGCCCTGCAAACCACGCTTTTCCTCCTTGGCCAACTTGCGCCCCAGAGCTTTGGGCCACTCCTTCCGAGACACTTTTTCGACCGCATCAGCGCAAACAGTAGGATAAGTACCTGGTGGGTTGAATTGATAACAGTTGCGAAAGACGAGGTCCACGTCTGCCTTAAATGACTCCATGGTCGCATATTTGCCTTCGTCCAATTTCTTAGATATAGTACCGAAATCCATGGGATGTTTGATTTCGTCGAAATAACTGGGAACAGGTTATGTATGTCCGAGGAAAGGAGGAGTTCAGACTTACGTGGGGCAACCGTCACGGGCTGGATCAACTGGAGTAAGGAAGATAGGAGCCTCGGGTACTTTGACGACTGCTTTAAGGAATTCTTTACATTTCTTCAGGTTGATAGGTGTTGCTTGCATGGGTCTACGGGGCGCAGGAGAGGGAGCCGAAGAGGTAACTGTGTCCCTTTCTTTCTCTTTCCCTTTCGACGAGGGAGCAGGAGCAGAAACAGGAGTTGGAGCAGGAGTTGGAGCAGGAGCAGGAGAACTCGTGGCTGTCGCAGGGCGTGATGAATCCACAGGGTTGTCTTTCTTGATTCTGATTGGTGGCGGAACAGGCTTGTGGGGAGGTCCTGGATGCGGTTTGGATGGTCCTGGAGGCGACGGTCTTTCCTTTTTGGGCGAGGTTGCAAGATCTAGGATTTCGTCTTCGTCGAGGTCAATATGTTTCCGCTTGCCATTGACCACAACGCCCGGAGTGTGCCTTTCAGCCAAGGAACGCTGGCGCTGCTCGTTTTTCTCACGTTCAATGGCGAGAACTTCTTGAAGCAAGTCATGTGATCCATCGTCGACATACGGAGGCGGTGGGGCGTCAAGTACCAAGCTCGAGGGCGAGTCCGTCAATTTCGGCTTCTTCTTGTGAGGTTTCTGGATCTGTACCGGCTCTGGCCCCTTGGCATGAGGGTGGGATCCAACTTTCAGTTTAATTGTTGGACGAGACGAAGATGCTGCCGAGGGTGTGGAATCACGCCGTTGTGGAACAGCAGGGATCGGAACGACACCGGGTTCTGGGAATGCTTTCGGAACAGGAGGGAGAATGCGTGGGGTGGCTTTTGGTGCAGTAGCAGGTGTTGGAGGGGGAGGAGGACGTGCTTTATCTGCTGCTTCCAATGTTTTGTTGATGATAGCCCATTCTAAGTGACAATACATCAGTAAAGGGAGTCACAACAAGATAAACATGCGTTACGTTTCTCAAAGAAAGTCTCCAGAGTGATTGCTTCTTTGTGGACGAAATGATCAGGCAGATTGTAGGTCTTGGCATTAGCGATCATGAGGCGAAAATCAGCCTGGAAGGAGAATCTATCCTTATACATCCCCTCTTCCAATTTGGCGCCCATAGTGCTGAGGTCCATGGGATCTTTAATGATGTCATAATAGCTACAATGGGAGGTACAGCATCAGAAAAAAATTAACCAGACATGTAATAAAACGTACTGGGGAGCGTGATCTCGAATAGGATCAACAGGCTGCAGAAAAGGACCCGCATGCTTATTTGCCTTCAGTTTCTTCAAGGCGTTACGAGAAGCTCTCAGATCGTTCAAAGACATTCCTCCTGATTGAGGCTTTGGGACATGCGAAGGTTTTGCATTAGGCTTTGACGCTGAAGGCTTCGACGCTGAAGGCTTCACTTTGACCTTGGGTGCTGGAAGGATATTTGCAGGGTGAGTAAAAACGACAGCCTTTTTTGGTGCTTCTGCAGCCGGGGTGTTTGGCAACTTCGGGGGGTTGACGTCTGGATGGGGACTGGCAGGGAGCCTGAGTTTTGTCGGAGGGTTCAAAGTGACAAGAGGGGCTTTGCTGGGTGGACCACCCGATTTGATAATGCGAGGCGCTTTACCTGGCACCTTGACCGCTGGTAGAGGAGGGGCTGTTTCGATGACAGGCGTGCTGGGAATATGGATCTTGACGGACGGCGGAGCTTCTTCAACAGGACGAATGAGGAGGTCCGCTAGTTTCAGGATACACCACCTAGCCTCATGGTCAACATCCGGGTTGCTTTCAAGATACTTCAGCAAGGAATAATTCGAGAAGAAACGGCTGAGGCATACAGAGCGATGGGCATGAGGAACTCCCTCAATATTTCATTTTTACCAACCTCGCGGTCTTTGCGTAGTACCTTGATCATGGTTTCCATCTCGCTTTTCTTTGACTCCTTCAGCTTCTCTTGAGAATTGCCATCTTCTTCAATCAAAAGGGATTCCGACTCTTTTGCAGTTGCTTTCATCTCCCCCATTTGAACAAGAAGTGCCAAGCTCGAGCAAGCGTTCCGGGCGACATGTCGCCTGATTACACGACACGAATCGTTCGCCATAACGGCGAGGATGTACCGCATTATTTGAGGAGTGTACCATTTAGTGAGGAATAGGCCATCGAAGGCTGCAACGCGAACTTGAGTGTAATTTCCCTCCCTATATTTTCCGTCAATGTCTATCCAGATTAATCGTGGCAGGCTCTCACCTCGTGAAGGGGAAGAATATCCTGGGATGAGTATGAACTAGATTTGCGATCCCGAGCGCCATATAAAACTGAGAAAACGTGAGAGCAAATGAGCCTGGCCAGAAACTCGAGAAACGAACGACTAACCTCCATAGCCGCAATCGTCACAATATTGTGAGGAGACGGGATAAGCCGATCCATGCTACGATAGCGGTCGACTTCTGTGCGAGTGAGTTTTACAAGGTCCATGTCCTCGGTTGTATATTCTGTGCGCGTTTCCGATGGCAGTAGTTCTCCGCGTTCTGGGGGAGCAGTCGATATGTTGGCGTAAGCGGCAGCAGATATAACGGTGCTGATATACAAGCCATCGGAGTACTGGACGTGAATCAGATAAATGTCACTCGGCAACAAGATTCCAATACTCACAAGGTTGGAGGTGTTGTCGTTATACCGCAGTTGGTCGATGAAGAACTGTCGCACAACGGTTGGTGTTTTGCCGTTCTCAAATCGGACTTGGGAGATGGCGGATACCAGGCTCTGAAGCAGAACGGTATGAGGGCAGAATCCCTCCCTCAGCAGTAAAACAATACCTTGCGTACAAAGTACTCTGGCAAGTCGGCGAAGTCATTGGGCTTTGGAACATATTTATGTGAGAAAAGATCCTGGTTGGGATCTTCGGGGTCGTAACAGTAACGGAGAAAGAGCTTGAACAGATGAAACAATCCCAGGAAATCGAGCTTTCGAATGGCACACTATCCAGGACATCAGAGATTTCAACAAAACCATTGAAAAAAGGTACTCGCCTGGACCAAAGCCAAAGCTGCTTCGCTTCGAATCCGATAGTAATAGTTCGACACCAATACCGTTTTGGTCAGTGTGCTTGATACAATTGCCGTGGGCTTCTCGGCCAATGCGTACACAGCCTTGAATACATGTTAAGACTTGTGTCTTCCAAGTGTCAGACGCGGACGCACCTCGAGCTGCGCGACAACATCTCTGTCTCGTTGCAACTGAGAAACCCACATGAAGTCGGGCTGTTCGAATTTGATGTTTGCTATCCATTCAAAATCTGCATCCATTCGAATCCACTCATAAGTGGCTCCACTCATGATGCCTTCGTCCTCTTCAGTCCAATCCGCGACCTTCCAGTTCTCCCGTTCTTGTTCCTTCTCCCAGATTTCGAGGCCGAAACCAATATCGACCATCCCCATGGCCTCAGCAGCCTCAGCATCGCCTTCAGCCGCAGCCTGGGCAGCAGCTTGTCGTGCCAGATACCTTTTCGTGTTCCTACGCACACGCTTATACTTGGTGTTGAAAGGCACCTCATAGCGTTTGAAGGGACTACGAATGTCCAAGACGTGTTCGTACGGGGTGCCATCAGCTTCGTGAATGCGTATGGTCATCTGACCCTGAAACACTTTTAGTCAACGGATATTATACTGGTGAGGGTAGCAGAAATGTACCTCAAAAAATGGAACAGGCTTCATGAGGGCCTTAGAATCTCGTTGCTCTCTAAGGCAACAGCCGCTGGGGCCTCTTGTCGCATTGTAATCTCGACAGCCATCTTCTTCCGATTGAAGGAAGCAGAGAATCCAAAAGATGGGCACCCACTCCCGTAAATCCATTGCTCTGCAAAACTTCTTGGATCAACGCCGCTGACTTTTCGACAAGTTCGGAGAAAGGTGTGCGTAGACAGTGCATTGTTCTGCAATTCTCCACTGATTGCTGACAAGAAAAGCTTGGGCAGAACACGGCTCAGACCCAACGAAGTACCAGATTTGCCTAGTCGGCGGTCCAAGATGTGAAGAACCAAGGGAGCTTTGAGGTTGATAAACGGCAAAGCTGCGCTATCTGGTGGGTCCAGGACTTGAGGTTGACAAATAGGAGGCATCCCTCCGACATCCCACGCTAAAACACGCTGCATATCTTTCTTGAGCCTAAACCGGTAGTCGTTATTCCCAAATAATTTGCGCAGGAACAGACCCGTGACGTAGGAGGCGAGGCCGTTTACAAGCCACAAATCAGACCAACTCTTGGGGATGATGTTGATCCCTGACCACTGACAGGCCAGGGCATGGCTGAGAGCGTGCCTTGTTTCGATAGCTTGTTCAATGGCATCTTCACCATGGAGAAGGTCTGTTGTCAACAGCGACAGTGTAGCACTATCGAACCGTTGGGTGGGTAGTTGGTCAACGAACACCACTTTATACGAGCCGAAAGGATAGGAACCACATTCGGAGGTGTAAAAAGACATCGCAGACCGTAACACCGATGTGGAAGAGTTGAGGAACAGCTCGTGACCTGGCAGGCAGAACGCGTATATATGAGGTTGGGAAGAGCCTGTTGTTTCCTCCGCAGTACTGTCAGGTGGAATGGAAAGTAAATGGAAGGGGCCGGCAGCGAAAGCTATGTGTTGAACGGAAGTAAGGACAGGTTGAGAGAATAGGAAGATCGTCTTGTTGGAATTGTACGGATGTGCAACCTGAGAGGAATGAGCAGGTTTCAGACAGCTTGTATGAAGAACCAACCTGTTCGACCAACTCGCCACTGCATACAACCATTGTTGGAATGGCGTCGCTCGGTTCGTCGTCGTCTCGACTTGTATCATGCTCCTCTAGATAGCGAGGCACGACAAACTCGAACTCCCAAGTACACTTTTCCCACAAGTTGTCCAAGCACGGGACCCAGCACCTGGCGGAATCGGGGGAGGAAGGCGTAGTATACGCATGAGGAAGACGCTGACAAACGGTGTTGGTGCCAGAAGAGTATAGGAACAACAGAGGCTTACGAAAGGATACGAATCACTCGGGAGGACGAATTCGAACCCATCAGCGGGATTGCGCAAGCTGTAGGAGATGTTGATGGTAATAGGAGAGAACTCTGGCGTCGTGGCCTGTGTCTGGGGGAAACTTGGTGTCTGTGGCTCCGGCGTTGCGACTGTGCTCGTTTTGGCTTTGAAATGAAACAGGTGATAAAACGCGAAAACGCACCATCGTTTCGAAACATATTCCCCGATGAAGAGTGGCCAGACTGCTTGAGGACCACCTGCGCCGGAATTCCAATCGACAATTCTCCCTCATCACCCTCCTGCAGCGCAGAATAGACCTTCCTTTTCAGTTCTGGATGACGATGACAATCTTGAGCTTCGGTTGGTCCACCCATGGTGATGTTGGCGAGTGGATCAAGGTGTGTAAAGTCAGCAGCATGGCCGGCGACATTAACCTTGTGAATGGCTAGAAAAAGGATAAGGAGGGATGAGCAAAGATCTCTGAGAAATAATTGGCACGTACTGCACTGTCTAGAATGAAGATGAACAGTACGGAGTTCATTGCTGGTTGGTACAATCGTGATCTCGGTGTACCCCTACAGGAACATTAGTGCCTGGTGACAAGGCCACGCAATGGATGATCACGTACCCAAAGCGCTCCTGAGAAGTCTATCTCCAAAACAACTTTCTGATGACTAGTAGAGACGACAAGGATTGTCAGTACGCTCCTAAAGGCGGCAAGTTGAAGATGGAACTTATATGGAGAAGCCACGGCGAATATGCTCGCGTTGGAGAGAGATTCTTGAGTCCATGGCGTAAAGGGAGCTTCAGAAGTCAATTAAGACCTGAATGAAACAGAGATGAAGAAGAACGGGGGAGAGGGGAAGTAGGTTGACGTGCGGCGGCGTTGAGTCTTGTCTAGTCGGTGGTGGTCAGGCAAGACCCAGCTCTTGCTTATGTAAGTGGACCTCTCCTCGTTTTGGACTACCATGCCGCCAAAATCAATATTTCGCCAGCCCGGGGCAAGACACTTCCAGCTCGTTCATCGCTCGCAAAGAGACCCTCTTATCAACGATCCTGACGCTAGCGAACATGTCTTGAAGCCCTTTGAACGAGAAAATTCTAAGAAGGTGTTTGATCATTTTTCTTCTTCTTTTATCCAGGCTTATCTCCTCCAGGGAAAGACTCGCGCCGACCTTGAGGAACTCTTTTCTGAAGAAGGCGCAGCTCCCGGTCACAGAAATATTGGCGAGTCTAGCCTCTACGGAATTTACTACGATGATACCGAATACGATTACATGCAACACCTTCGGCCAGTTGGCGTTCAGGAAGAGGGTGTGGATAGTGTTCTGATAGAGGCTCCTTCTACCTCCAAGCAAAAAGGCCACCAAAAGCCGCGAATTAACTTTGACCTCCCTGAAGGCGTGCTTGCATCTACTTCCGAACTGCCTCGAACCTTCGAATCACAGCAGGCTATTCCAGATAGCATAGCTGGTTTTCAGCCTGGCATGGATGCCCATCTTCGACAAGTCTTGGAAGCACTTGAGGATGATGCATTCGTCGATGATGACCTGGACGATGATTTCTTCGGGGAACTGGTCGCCGATGGGGAACGAGGCAGTGACGAAGAAGTTGGCTTCGAGTTCAGAGAAGAGGGAATAAATGAAGAGAAATCGCAGAACACTCAGTCAGGATCTGTGGACGAGAGCTGGGAGAAGCGATTTGCAGATTTCAAAAAATCTCGATCAGCCCTAAACAACGAATGTCGAAGTGATGACGGATTTGATTCGGAAGGAGGGGACACAGTTGGTACGCTTCCTGCCCTGTCTGTCGTCGGAGGGAAGAGAAGGAGGAAAGGGACGAGTGATGCTTCCGGCTACAGTATGAGTAGCTCGTCCATGTATCGCAACGAAGCTTTGCAGACGCTCGATGAACGCTTCGATCAGGTTGGATATTACTTCTTTCCAAGATTTTTCTGTTCTGATTTATTCGTCCCCTAGATGATTTTAAAGCAGTATAACGAAGACGAGGAAGGAGAAACGTCGGAGGATGGACATTCCGATGACGCTCCGGAGCTTATTACTTCCCGTGAAGACTTCGACTCCATGGTTAACGACTTTCTGAACGACTTCGAGATTGTGGGTAGGAAGATGAAGCCGAAGATGGAGGGCGAAACGGGTGTTGAGAAACTTGACATTCTTCGCCGTGCCATGGGACAAGACGACCGAGTGCGCATTGCCAATGGCGACGAAGGGGACATCGAGGAAGACGATCCTTTTGTTTCGGACGACGAAGTCAAGAAAGATAGATGGGATTGTGAAACTATATTAAGTTGGCAAACCTTTCTTCTCCCGTCCCAGCAGCTGGTGCTAATTCTTCCCATCAGCCACTTACACGAATCTTGAAAATCATCCGCGTCTCATCCGTGCTCGAGAACCCAAGCCAGCGCCAAAGATCGTTCTTGACCGGAAAACAGGGCTGCCGTCTCTTTCTGATCCGCTTCAACCCAAGCCCTCTACAAACCAAGTTTCATTTGCACCAACATCAGAGGATGCTGACGGATCCGACGAAGAGAAGAGCATTAACAAAGGTGCGATAATTGCATGTCCTTCAGTCATGTCTGACACCTCAGCCGCAGTCCGTCAAACCGTTTCTCGCCCCCGAGGTGAATGTAAAGAAGACAGGAAAGCAAGAAAGGCTGCCGTCAAACACGAACGACAAGCCCGGAGAGCCGAAAAGAAGTCAACTAAGGAGCAGTTTGATGCAGAGATAAAAGCACAGAAAAAGAGAATAGGAAATAAAGAGCTTAGACTGAAGATTCTGTAGTGTATGCGATGGATTTCTTTTTAGATTCGCAATTGTGCCAAGCAACCTGATGTCAACCTGATTGGCTTGGCGTATGTAACCATCTCCTATGAGCTCCATCGATGGCAGCTTTCGACTCTTCTCAAACTTTCACCTCGCTTCACCCATAATCACTGTGTAGTGTGTACGGAAAGATGGGATTCTCACCAAGTATTACGAACACTACTCTTCTGCTGACCGTTCTGGTCATTCTTCTTCCAGTCAAGACCTATGCGTTTGGAGCGGGAGATATCCCTGATTTCGCGTATCTCAACGGTGAGCACCTCTCCTTCGCCAGGGCGTTCGGCGCTCTGATCGGTTTCTCGTCTAGACAAGGCATTCCGACATGGTGACATCGAAAATGTCCTGGAAACTCTTGTGAAATCAGCTGGAGGAGGCACTATTGGAGGCGCTGGTCTCTTGGGTATTGCTTCTTCGGTCCTTAAGCATGTCGCTGGTGGCTCGAAGTTCAGCAAGAGCGATATCAAGAAGGTGTACTTCGTAAGTAGCCTCTCCTTGTTACATCGCTTAGACACCTCATATGCCTGATTTAAAGGGAAACTGGTTAAGAGACTATTCACAAGTGAGTGTCAACCTCCCATCTGACGTCATTAATTAACTAAGGGATCCAGGCTATGGACATCGCGGGCCTCAGCAAGCTGTCTGCCAATACTCTTATTCTCGTAGTTTCCGTTCTCGGTTTCATGGTATGTGCTGAGACGCTAGGTTCCTATGATATTGGCCATGACGAGATTGTTCTAGACCTTTGGTTATTCGACCGAAGAATTTGAAGTCACTGCTGACCGTCTCGGTGTTTATCTTCCAGTGGTGTGTGCCCTCCCTCTTTCCACTCATAAAATCGGATCCTCATAAGTTGTAATAGGAACATATCGACAATCCAAAGTAATGCACCTTCTTCGTTCGTACGATTCCTGGACTGAATTATTGCCACCGCTCCAGAGGCTATGCGGAAAAAGAGGGAGATGCGCGCAACTTCCATCCAAAGCTCCGACCTCCTGTGCAGAGTGAAGAGCTTGAAATTGATGCACGCACGGGTATGAAGGTCCGTCATTAATCTTACTTACCACGGACTTTGGATTCACTTTGTTCACAGAAATATATGGCCACAGAAAATCAGGGTTGGGATACATCTACAGCGTTCATTCGCCGAACTTTCCGTGCTTGCATTGAGCGAGGTCGCCGCGCTCAGGGCAACGAGAACGCAGACTTATGGGAGGCGTTCCGCTTGTTGGGTACTGGCTTGCATACCATGGAGGACCTCCTCGCCCACAGTAACTGGTGTGAGATAGCTCTTCGAAAACTGGGGCACAGACAAGTTTTCTGCCATGTTGGCGACAGAGGTCGGCTTTTGTTTATGACCCACATATAAGGAATTTAACCCGTAATCTATTGAACAGTCACAGTGAACACCCCCAATGGCCCAGCTCCTCCTCTAGTTACAGGCACCTTTGGAAGTAGGTCTAGGTCACGTCCTGCCCTTCTAACTTTGTGCTGACAGTCTCTCCGTTGATGCCTAGGCGCGGACTTTTTGCACTCCTTGTTAGGAGAAGCGGGAGAGTATGTTCCAACATCAAATACAACGATTCGCGCCATCATCTAATTGTTGACTGCAGCAAATTGAGTCAGGCCAGTGTAACCGATCTCTCAAGCAAGTTGAACAACGTAAGAAATTCTTCTTCGCGTTACTCACAGAGTTTACCATCGAGTATAGGCTTCGCAACAGGGTGGCAGTAAACCGGATATCTCGAAGCTACAGGACCTCCTCAGCAAATTTGGAGGCGGCGGTGATGACAACAAACTGAACAAGGGAGAAGAGATTAAGCAGCAAGCCCAAGGTTATGACTTCAATCCTGACAACGTTGCGCCACCCGAAGTTCAGCAGAAGCTTCTTGACATTTTGAAATGGCATGACGATGTCATGAGGGACATTGTCAAGAAGATTGAGATGGTCCCGGGTCTCACCGACTTGTTAGACGAGTTCTCGAATGCCCTGAACGAATGTGAGTGTTCATTTTTCGTATTCATCACTGATATTTATTCTTGTACGCCAGACATTTACACTGTCCTTGCACCATACCTCGGGGTGAGATCGATTTATCCCTTTAGAAAAGATGAAGCTAATGCCTCTATTAGCCTATCTTAACGCAGGCAACCTCGGCTCTCGATGAAGGGAGCAAAGCTGTCATCGATAACGACGACCAATACGAGGTATGAACATGATGGTTATTTGTCTTGCCGATCGTACTCACATAATAATAGGTCTTCAATAATCCTAATGCCCACGACCCATCTCACAGTCTTCTTTCAAAGGTTTGGGGTTTTTATGTATATTTGATTTCATGCTCTTTTTTCTTAACATCGCTCAGGATCATTTCGGTTTGATTCTGAACGAACCCGCAGGAAAGATTGCCCAGATCGTTGTGGTTCATACAGTCAACCTCCTCGTCAGGGCTTGGGGCGACAGCAGCAACCCAGATGACGTTATTAATGAGGCGCGTTCCAGCAGGTCGAAGCCTGATTCTTTTCTCATCTTCAGTAAGTAGGTCTTGGAGGCTTTCCATCACCCTTACTTCGCCACCGGCCGCTCGGAGATCCAGAACAAGATGTTCGATCAAATGCAAAAATGGATCGGTGGTTTCGGTGGTGAAGTCGACGAGATCCTTCAAGCTTTGACGAAAGTACATGTTCTCTCTCTCTTTCTCGCTATGGCTCTGCCTAACGAGACTTGCAGGAAAGCGTTCGCGAACACAAGAACAAACGCAAGGGATTGGAAGATACGCCTGAACCTGGCTACGGTGGTTGTGGTCATGGCTACAACCCTAGTCAGACTGGAGGCAGCGTTGCAGGTGTCTACTCAGGTACTTATGTGCTGCTGCTGCTGAGGTGATTAATCTGACAAATTTCCTGTAGCGTCAAAGCCCACACAGTCCTATGGGCGAAATGACAATAGTGGTACTCAATCAGGCATGTGCACCCCAGCAATTTAGTTCTAACATACTCTTGACGCAAATTTATCGTTTTGGTAGGTGGGTATCAGTCGCAGTCGACCTATGGCAGCTCCGGGAGGAGTGGCACTTCTTCATATGGCTCTGACCACCCCTCTGGGGGCTACGGGTCTCAACGAAGGGACGACAATACCGGCTCGTACGTCGGCCAGACTGGAGGATATGGCGGTCAGAGACGGAATGATGATAAGCCTGCATATGGTGGCTATGGTGGTCAGCGTCGTGACGAAGACTCTGGCTATGGTCAACGGCACGACGATAAACCTGCATACGGAGGTAGTGGCGGATACAGTGGTCAGCAACGCGACGATGATTCAAGCTACGGTCAACGGCGCGATGATAAGCCAGCATATGGTGGCGGTGGATATGGTAGCCAAAGGCGCGATGATGACGATTCGCGAGGGTATAGTGCTAGTGGAGCACATGGGGGTCGTTCCGACAATCAAGGCTATGGACGCGACCAGAGGGATGACTCCCACGGACCCGCCCGGACCTATGGGGGCCAGAACCAAACTGGTTTAAGTGGTGGATATACTCCTTCGTACGGGCAATCAGGCGGCGGCCAGAAATATGGCAAGAAAGACGAGTCGGATGACGATGACCGTCGTGGTGGCCGTGGCAAGAAATATGGCCAGGGCAATGACTCTGACGATGAAAAGGAGAAGAAGAAATCCGCGCAATCTAGTTATGGTGGAGGTTATAGACGCGGTGGAGACGACAACAATAATCACGGCCGTTTGAAAAAGGACAAGGACGACTCGGATGATGACGATCGCAAGCGTCACGGAAAGCATAGCAAGAAGGATTCGGACGACGATAGGAAACCTGGAGGATATGGTGGCCAGTCTGGCTACACCCCTTCCTACGGTCAAGGCTCTTCTGGACATGGAGGTCGTGATGACACCTTCGGCGCCGAACGTCTGAACATTGGCGGTCGTGAGGATGATTCCGATGATGACAAGAAACGGCGCAACAAGTACGGCGGAGGCAGGTACTAACTTTAAGCATAAACATTATTTGGCGCCCGAGTCTTGACCGTGTCATCCCTCCACGAAAATCCAACGAAATCCTCACTCTTCCTTCAAATGTTTGCAAAACCAATACTTTACGGACTATAGAGCTGTTTGAACAGGATATATATCGGAAAACCAGATGTAGTGTACAAGTTGCCTGTGGACTCAGATACTGATAACGAATTGTACTTATGCAGTGACTCTTTGATTGAAATGTAGTCTTCTTGACTTGATCTTGCCACTGACTTTACAATTCTTGCCACTTGACGTTGTCAATAAAGATGGCGACTATGGAACACGAACCCGATGGCTCTGAGATAGACCCTATCTGGACTACGAGCCGCACCGCTCGGCAGATCTATGCGCTGGGGGAAGTGGATAAGGTTTGGCTCACGATCTGCCTCGTCTGAAGAAATGTCGACTTCTTCCGCTAGGATATAACGCGACTTCTGGCATTAGCTGCATCCTCCATCTCACTGTTGACGCTCCCGCAGACGGATTCGCCGGAGGACAACCTACCGCAGGGCGAGGAGAGATCTGAGCAGTTTGTTTTGGAAGTCAGCGAGTACTTTGAGCGCCTCGATGTTCGTGGACCTTCTCACTCTTCATGAACTTGAGCATCTCACGCGCTAGCCTATCGGTTTTTCACCAGTCTATCCAAGTTGCAATTCGCTCGTCTCTGGCTCATATCAGACATTCTCGCATCGCACCGTCAGCTATCAACGCGCCCCCGCCGGGCTCAGTCCCTCCTTCACTAGGAGTTGGACTGCCTTCAGATGGTAGCACGACAGCACGGAACCGGGGCCTTCAGGAAGAAAGGCTTGAGCGAGACGCCTGGAAGGGTATCCTTGCTGCCTTGACGCGTATCAAGGAGGCACAAGAGTCGAAGATGAAGGTGGACTCGGAAAATCCCAGCGTGTCGAGATGATCTTCAAGTTGGAACTGCCCTAGACTCGAGGCCTTACTTCAGAGATGGCCGATTTCACTAGTCGTACCCTCGTGTACATACGACTGTACTGTCAGTCAATCGGACGCATACTGGGGTAATTATACATCTTTCATATAGTTTGTCCTACACGTAGCGAATAAATCCAACACGACCGTTCACATTCCTCTATTCATATGCGATCAAGCCTTCGCACTTTGCAGGATCTCCTCCGCCTTGAGCAGGTCTTCGTCTTGTCCCAGATTGAAGTCTTTCTTCGCCGATGTCTACGATGGCAAAAACCACAGTCAGAATCGATGCGCCCAGTCGTCAAAGTAAAGGTTGGCGCACAATAAGAGCTTCGAGTTCATCTGAGGCTTTCTTCAGGCGTGACGTAGTGTCAAGAACCATCTTTCCGGATTCTTCAATCATCTTGCCCTGTCTGCTCGTCAGCGAGAGTAGGGTGAATTTCGATGAGAGAAAGACTGACGGCATTCTTGATATCCCATTCCTCTGCGCCATCCAGCACCAACTTTGCTCGCTTCGTCTCGAGACCTTCAGCCTCCTTGCGATATAACCCCGTCTCTTTCGATAATCTAGGTATGTCGGTTGAAATAAGGAAAGATCGAGCAGCAGAGGCCACAGACACGGCAATTAATGAGATCTCATCAGCTGCGACGGTCGCACTAACAAGCGACAAGCGTACCTCTGAACCACACCGTACTTGATCTTCAATTGCCTCTTGACAGCTGCGAGGTCGCTCATTTTCGAGATTCGTTACTTTGGCCGGTGTAGGTCGGTGTCGGGAGAAGAAAGATTGTCGGAACAAAGGTGTTGGACGCCTCACCAATGCGGTTTACATGTCCACATCGGTGAATTCAGCTATGACGAGTGTTGGGCGAGGGGTGCCAGAACCGACTGGAAGGAACGAGGGGTGCCTTGAGTCAATTCGATGAAGTCATAGAGCAGAGTCAGGAATTCGTGCATCTTTGAAAGTGCCGAAGTGCGGGGGCAAAACAAACTGACCCTTTTTGTTCGAGTACTGAAGCCTTCGCGTAATGAAGCCAATTGAAGCTGACTCAAAACTAGAGCTCACACATCCGAAAACTTCATCAAGTGTTTTTTCATTGCGTCGTAAGATTCCACGGAAATCGTACTACAGCCTAGACTATGTAGAGGACAATCGCAGATTATCATGAAATGGGTCGCGTTCATGTGAAGGGGGCGTGAGGTAGTAGTGTGTATGTGGGGGATTGCGTTAAGTAGCTGAAAGTAGGTGGTTACGGATGTTAGGAAAGCAGGACGTTAGTGATGACGATGATGAACGACTAGTGAGCAGGCGACCGACCGCCCCGCGCAGCTCCAACCATGGGCGCAAGCGCCGATGCCAGTGGAAGGAAAGCGCACAGAGACAGTCTGAGCCACAGCGCCGAGGTGCGAAAGGAGCGTCGAGCAGAGGTCGTGAAAAGTAGCGTGAAGAAACCCAAAGGATAACCCATCGACGTCGCGCTGAAAGAACCGTTCCGCATCCCTCTCGCGGCCAGCTGACCACCATACGAAGACCACGTCCAACCGACCTGAGCCCAGCACCGAGCAAACCGAGCTAGCGGGCCGGCGTGATCTGGACCGAAGGAGTGTCGAGGCGAGCAGAGCGTCGAGCTCGCCGCACGCTGGAGAGGAATGGTTAGCCTGCGACGTACCGCTTTGCCTTCGAGCTAGGCCCGCACCCGCACAACCCCGCATCCGCCAGCCGGGTGGTGCACCCACCGCCGACCGACCAACAACCCGACCACGCACCCATAACCCGGTAAGACCCCAGAGCCTGAATTCAGCGGCTCAGACACGCACTATCGCTTGGCGCACGGACTAGCCGCAGCCGCAGGGCGTTCGAGGCGAAAAGCAAGCAAGGGGCCGTCCCAGGCGAGGGGCACGTAGCAGGTCATCAGGCGATAAGCGACAGGAGCGTCCGACAGACGAAAGCGAGGCGGAGCAGGCGAGAGTTAGTCTTGGGCAGGCGAGTGCGGCCGGGTTCGTGTCCAGCGTGAGGTCCGGTGGTGTAGAGAGGCGAGAGGGTTGGGTTCGAATCTTCCCGGTCGTCGAAGGGCTTCCTGGGCAGCTCAGCCACTCCAGAACCCCAGTCGAGCTCCCAGGCGCCTGCGGGAATGGCGCCGAGCCCAATGCCGCACTGAGAAATGGAGGCGGCGTGGTCTGGGAGAGGATAGAGAGAGGAATGACGATCGGAAGAATAGGAAAATATGGAGGCGCGAGATAAAGAGGATGTCGAGGGCGAATAGTAGAGAGGAGAGGAAAGAGGACACGGACGGATGATAGATGGATGGATAGATGGATATGGATAGCGGATAGAAGAGTGCCGAAGCCGTAGGCGTTGATCAGACACCCACGACGACGACGGAGGGGTTCGCGGAGGTAAGGAAGAGTTGAGAGGGATGGCGGTGATACAGAAAACGTTGGTCAATAAACAGTGCAAAAATGGATAGCAAAAGGACGTCGGCGGTAGGAGGAGCACGAAGGTATGCTTTGGAACGTGGCGCGGATTGAGTTCCCATGTCGCGAATAGTGTCCTGCTGCTTCTCGAGGAAGAAAATAACGAAAGGGCGTTGAAACGATGCCAGTGTATCGGCACAAGGGGAGCGAGGCACGGAACCACAACTAAGTGGTCGTTCGCCTCAAGCTGTTGTTGACGGGGTTGCAGTGGATCGGGATGCAATGGCGGGCAGCGACGGGGTCTGAAAAAGATGGAGGTGTACAAGAATGCGCCTCAGGCTAGGCGAAGTGTGCACTCCGCAACACGCTCATTAAGAGCGGTGGGAGGTATAACACCTCAAGCGCTGGCCCGGGTCTTGTGTGCGTGTCGTGCCCAGCGGCAATGCGTCGACCAGATATCCAGGATGCCCGTCCTCGTTGGCGGGTTTCGTCGGATTCGACCTCCACTTCGCCGGTAGCAGATCGCCGGATCTGCGCGACTGAAGTGTGCAGCGCGGCTGCAAGAGAGGTGATACAGCAGGTAGAGGAGCGTGGTGGCGGCCATGGGAAGCGTTGTGTCGTCGAGACACAAGCCGGAAAGCATGGGATCGCGTCGACGTTAGGCCGACGTAAGAGAAGGGTCGATGCAGATAAATGGAATGCGATGCGTGATGATGGGATAGATAGTATGCGTAATAGTCCGTGTCATAAATCAGATGCAGTTGATGATGATGATACCTGTCCTAGCAGGAGGGCGCTCGTGTCCGCCACCGCCTGACCAAGTTACCACGAGTTTTGACGGTATGAGTTGGGGTCAGACGGGTCCACCGATTGCGGAGGGCAATCAGTTGGAGAACGAGGGGGCCATGTTGGCAGCCCCGGCGCGATTGAGCATCAGCGCCTCGTTCACATTGCGGAGACGGTGCACTTCGTGGTCAGCACCCTTAAGTCGGATCTCGAGTTGGTCCTTGACAGCCTCGAGGTACTTGATATGGCTGGTGGCTAGAATAAGAACATGATCAGTATGAGCAGGCGATGCATGAGGTAAGAGAAACGTACCCCTGTCGAGGAGAGAAACTTTGCTGGCCTTCTGATTCGACGCAGGGAGGGTTTCCTTGAGGCGGGCATACCCTTCCCTGAGCTCGTCGCGTCTTCGCTGCTCGGACTCGATGCGCTGCTTGCGGACGGTTTCGCGGCGCCTAAGATAGATGTCAATGATTAGCGATCTGATAATGGTGTCGATGAGAAGTGGACGCTTACGAGTCACGAGGGGAGCTGTCGTTGTTTCCAGAGATCGATCCAGGCTTGAATTCCTCATCGTCATCGTCGTCCGAGTCCTCGTGGTTACTCCTTGTTGCTCTGCGCTTGAGTGCGGCACGCGCGGCGGGCCTGTTGGCTGGCACTGGGATGGGGTTGTAGCG